TCTTTTGCACCACTCAACCAATTCTCGTCAAATTTTGCATGCACATACGTATGTACATCCAGGTGGACATAGAGAAAAAAAATTTTAATCAGACTTGCTACGAACGAATAATCACCGAAAAAACTGATCCTAAAAAGTGAGGGTCCGTAATGCTAACACATTAATGCAAAATTGAATTTGCTCGCGCTTATGTACTTGACTTTTCAACTTTTTTATCCACACTTTTCTCTTGCACCACTCAATCAATTCAACCGGATGACACAGTTGACTATTTTTGCTTTAGCGTGAAATTTACTCGCTTGCGCAACATTGTTAGGTTAGGCGCGAAGCGCCTAATCAAACAGACCTAGTATTATAAATGCATTAGGTATAGTAACATATATGGATTACTAATTTAAAAAGATGAGCAAGGCATACACCACCTCCTCCCACTAAGTACTTTCCATAACCCCCACTTACAAGTTGTTGGTGGTATCCAACCAACGGTGCAGCCTCGTAGAATCTACCGCCATAAAATAGTTAGTTTCAAAATCTCCGGTCCAGAACTCCATAGACATACGTGCTGGAAGGACAGCAAAATTCGAAGAGATGGTAAAACTATTTGAGCGCAACAGAGTGGTAAACTCAACGTCTAGATATGAGAGGACTAGAATGTGGTACCGAAATTGTTCAAGTTTGTCTTATAATCTGATCTACTATCGCAATACCGATCGTCCGAATTTCTTCTCAATCTGAAGTTTGGGTTCCCGAGACATCCACACATCTCGATAATGTCCGTAGATCTTAGCAGCCAGTCCATTGCATGAATATGGTCGAGAACCCAAATGTGAAGGCTCCATAAGCGTCAATGGTGGGGTCAGGTGGAATGAGGGGAGTAATATACATTTTTCACCTTTGTGTCGTTTCACACAACTCTCAAGTTCTGTCATGCGGCAATTCTGCTAACCGGCTTTGAAGTAAACAACACAATCTGTTGATTCTTCGTAAAAGTGCAAATTCGATCACTTTCGACGAGACTAAGTGATTGACGCTGGTCCAGAACGCAGTGGTGTACAACGGCAACTTTACATGAGCTTTTGTTAGAAAATTGTGATATACATATCCAGCATCATCATAGTTTTTTTAAGAAATCATTTCTTATTGTTTGTACGACCTGAAGTTGTTTACGGACGTATGGATCTTAATGGTGAGCTATTTCTCTTATTACCGAGAGATACAAAGACGCGGACTCTATAAATTTTAAACAAGCGCAGAAAGCACAGAAAATTTTGACTTTGACTTTTTTTATGTTCCATAGTACTTTCCTCTTTGGCGACCTAATAAATATTCTAAATATTTCACTCACTGTTGCCAAAACATTATCATTACATATGCTTCTCAAATTTACAGGTACATCAATTCCTGGGACCAGTAGAGGTTCATCATTTGAACCATCCAGAAAACTGCAAAAGATGAAAAGAACCTTAAATCAACATGATTCAACAAAAATGTTGGATGAAAATTCAGATTTAGATTCAGATTTAGAAGGTGAACATCATGGTGATGATGATGACAACGATTATACCTTTGAAACTGTTGATGAAAAGCCTATGTTGAAATGTCCTACCCTTTTTACATTTTTATGTGTACCTGAAATGACCAATCCAAATTTGAATCCTGAGTCTGCTGGCAGTGAACCTGATACAGATCCATTAACAGCAACCTCTTCTGATTATAATGATAATCCTTCATTAAGTACTAATATACACTTTGATGAAGCATTAAAAGTAAGACCTAATGCTAATACTCCCATTGATTATTTTTCTTTGTTATTTACGCGAGATTTGTTGCAAGAAATAGTATATGAAACAAACAGATTTGCTTATCTTCCATCTTCTCAAATTTCAAATTGGAAGAAGCTTACTGTAGATGAGTTAAGAGTTTTTTTTGGTTTATTCTTTCACACTGGTGTTGTAAAGATATTACAGATACGATACTATTGGGACAAAAGTGAACTGTTTAATTTTCCATTCTTCTCAAGTAGAATGTCCAGGAACAGATATATGGCTATACTCCAATGTCTCCACTTTGCTCAAGATCCTACAGAACGGGAAACAGCACCTAGGGATCCGTTTTATAAAGTTCGTTCTATAGTGGACCATTTCCAGAATAGGATGATGGAAGTGTATAAGTCAGAAAGAAGGATTAATCCGTATGAGCCACTGGCGTCGTGGAATGGTCGTATTTTTTATAGATCTTATGTTATAAACAAAACTCAGAAGCGCAATGTAAAAATGTATATATTAGCCGAAAACGATGGACTAGTCCAACGTTTGTTGCTTCATCCTGGCACAGAAGGCAAAAGCCAAAGAGATTCCAATAGAGGTATTCATATGTTGTTTGAAGGCTTGGAACATTCAAATCCTTCTTTTCTTGCGGATGATCTTTATAATGGAACAACTTTAAACTCTAGTATGCTTCAAGAATTTTCCAAGAAAGATAGCCGTCTGCATGTTGCTGTTTCCAAAACTACCACAAGTAAAGGTCTTGGGCAAGAAAAATCAGAGGGGATGCCTAAATTAAATAAGCATGTAGGAGGCATTGATCAACTCTTATCATATTACCTTACTACAAGGAGGTCAGTAAAGTGGTATACAAAATTGTGGTTTGATATTTTAGAATTAATGCTGCTGAACTCCTACTTGCTGTACAGGAGGTATTCAGGGGACAAAGAATATTATTTATTTAGATATCGCTTAGAAGTAGTGAAGAGTTTATCAGGTCCACCATCAGGAAGACTTTCTGCCAATCGTATTCCCTCCACTTCCTCATTCATAAACTCAGTTCACTTCCCAGCAATATATCCTGAATGTCCTCTGAAGAAGAAAAGGCGTGCACAAAAATTGTGTAGGTTATGCTATCAGAACAAAATTAGAAAATATGTATCATCCTACTGTCCAGGCTGTGAAGGACATCCAGGCCTTTGCATTTCTTGTTTCATTCAATATCACAAAGAAAATGAGTTTAAAGTTATTTGATATAAAATTATACTTTTGTTAGTAGAAATAAATTATTTTATTATAATCAAAGTATTTTATTTTAGAAACCTTAGTGTATTAACTTGCATTTTGTACTTTTGAAGTATGATGTAATGAATTCTGCAATAACAATTTTGAAGGAGTCTATTGATATCTTAAAATATCATATCTAAAAAAAGCGTAAAAATATTTCCGCATTTGATCAAATGATTAGTTTTATCATAAATATAGATGAAAGAGTATGTAGAATATGATAGAAAATGAATGTTTTTTTCTGTTAAGAGGTTTTGGCTTTAAAAGCAATGCCAAAATTTTCAGTTAATCAATATTATACTATTCTATCGCTTTTGTAACTGTAGGTATCGAACGTGCAAGCAAATGCGACGTTTCGGTCAAGTATGCAAGGTCACATTTGTGATTACACCGTTCAGAACCCTTTCTGAATAAATGTACATCAGGGATGTACAAAGTTGCTATGGGATTCCCCTTCTCTTAGAAATTCATAACCTACATACACAAGGAAAATAGTCATAATGGAAATGAAGTTTGGAACGATTATGGACATCTTTGATGTAAAATATGCGTTTTTGTTTTCAATACCTACCACCAGAAGCGCTGTGATTTACTAATTCCAGTCGATATAGTAGAGTGTAATACGAAAATGTAATAAAGATCATTGGTGCGTAAATAAAAAAATGCTTACTTTGCACCTTTATAACTTTCATCTCATGAAATGTGCTGAAATATTATATTAAATAAATATTTAATTAAAATAGGTTGAAATCAAAGATCTATACTTTACCTCTAGATTTCTATACCTCTGGATTCTTAGATCTCTAATTATGCACAGCATTTAAAAATCGACATGTTATTCTAATATTGTGCCCATGTACTTTATATTAAGTATTCTAGAACGTAAAATATTCGTAAACTATTAAAAAGTATGAGTGCAACGTGAGTTACATTTGAATTACCCGGCTTACATATATTTTTTACTTTTCATGTACAAGATGTCGTCCTTGTCCGAAAGAGAATACCCTATTGAAGATTTCAATCTGTTTTGTATGACGTGGCTCGTGAAACAGCACAGTTTTAAACTCCGTGCCTAGTGGTGGAGATGTATTTTCGGTAAATAATATTGTGCTCACAACGAAATGTGTTTTTGAAAGCCTGTAGTGTTATAATCTGCCTGATCTTGAGAACTTTCCATGGTCATATACTCTGGTAAGTTTGATTTTCATTATTTCTATTGTCGAATATACATGTGTATATATGTATATATGTACATATATATGTAATATATATATGTATAACCTTACAAAGTAACTTGATTAATATTCAAGTGCTACTACTTTTTTGATTTGAATCAAACATTTGGTACTCAGTTTGCCCAATTTATATCACTTGTTCTGTATTAAATCTGTTACACCATTGTTTTTGGAATATAAGCTTCATGAAATGATCAATAATCATCTTTTTACTGTAAAAAATTCTTGTGTCAATATATGTTTGCTATTGAAAGAATTGACTGTTATATATTTGCATGTATATATCAGTAATGCATTTACATTTATTACCTTACAGCATATATTTGAATCGCTGATGATATTGAAATCTTTTTGTAATTTTAATTGACATAAGGTTATAATATACTCTTAAAACTGTACCCAAATTAATTTAAATATTTTTTGAATGATTTCAAGTAGTAGTTATACTATTGACTATTTGATTATATCATCACATAATTATTTTTAATGCTTTTATACTTTTTCAGTAACATTGCAATTATATGTAAACATTAATAACTTCAACTTGTATGCAATTTATATATACAGTAAAGCGTGGTCCTTCGACAATAATTGAATGTTGCGTTTAATTTGTTTCAAGTATTTAATATATCTGCAACAGAATTATATTAATTTAGCCTGAATCAAAATCAATATATATCAATATGTATCTGTTAATATAATATATGACAGAGAATAAGAAAATAATCTTTGGTATAGATAATATTTTTGTGTAAATGATCATATACCGCTATGATTGTACAAATTTATGGTAAACTGTTACATGTATTTCTTTTTTAATCTCAATTATTATTTCATAATTTTGTAACGTCCAGGGTGAGTATTTTACTTGTACTCTATTTAGAAGTTATTTAAAATGAACCTTATATTTCTTGAAGAAATATGATGTGCATATTGTTAATGCTTACAAAAATTGTTACTGATAACCAGAGCTGTCCCTAGAATTTACAGGGCCCAGGCCAAAGGTCAGTATCATGAAAAACGTTGGATATAGATAACCTTAAAACCTATTTTAACAGAACTATAAAATTACAAACTGAAATGGTTAAGAAATAATAATTAAATAACTCGTGTATTTTATATTTATCTGGTATTATAAAATATTGCAGTTTTATCTACTGATGTAAATACATAGGATTTTTGTATACTGTTTCGGATACTCTGATTACATTCGGGTAAAGTCGGAGAAAATCGAGCCCGCTCGAATTAAATCGAATCGAATCGAGATATCGGGTATCGCAAGAATTTGTTCGAGTCCGCCCGATTTGTTCCGATTTGATACGAAATAATTGGGCTAGTCGAAGTTCCATATGTCTTGTATATTTCTTATTTTTGCAGCAAATATAATAGAATTTTGCTATACAGTCCTGCATAGGACTGCAGGAACGGAAATAATTGTACATATAAACGGAACTCCTCCCATGTAACAATTAGTTCCCAAAACTTCGATACTAATGATTTCCCGCGAAAAATTTGAAATTTCTAAATTCCCAACTTTGGAATTCCGAAATTTCTATGCCTCGTGCTATCTGATCCTCGGTAAAAGCTACGATGACTTGAACGTATGACGATAACAATGAATACGAAGTACACTTTTACGACTAACATCCAGTTTACATGAAATTTGACACAGATTCCTTTTTGAAGAGTTAAACTTCTAATTTTGCTTTAGCTATTCTTTTAATTCATCCAGCGTAAAGGTTGAGAGCGGTATAAACGTTAATTTAGAACAGTGACGAATCCAGAAGAGGTGCAATGGAGGCAAGAATGACGAAAATAAAAAAATTATTTATAAAGTAGTTTTGCTTTTGCTAATATCGTGATTTTGTTGGAATTTTGCAAACATGGCTTCCAAATTCATCCCGGTAAATATTTAGTTGTTCAATTTTATCGACATTCTTCTAAATGAAAAGCATGCCAACTTATTCTATAAATGAGTACATCCTACACAATCATTTTATTTATTCACGCTAATATTATCGTATTTGTCATATGATTTTTCTGTGGTATTCCTATTATTATTACTGGTAAATATAACTGCGTTTCGGTAATTTATTATTCAGTTATTTTCAGTTAAGAGACATTTTTATTATTATGTTTGACCACACACATCATACACCATTGTATTCTCAGCAACCTCTATTAGAAAGTCAATCTAAAAGCAGGGCTGGATTAAACCATTATGCAAAATAAGCACGTGTTTAGGGCATCAAGAGAAGGGTACCACACAAATTTTCCATTGCTGAATTTATGGCGGACTATATTCCGTGTCCCAAATTCCTGAATCTCCAAAATTCATAATTCTACGTTCTCAAATGTAAGAATTAAAATTTCGAAGTTTCTAAATTTTTAAACCCAAAAATTTTGGATATCGAAAATTCCAGAATCCCATATTGAAAAATAAAATTTTATTTTACAGTTTATATTGTGCTTGGAGTTTGGAGTCTCTGAAGGCATTATTGCGGCCCTGTCTAAAAGCATAGTGTGTATTCTATTTCGAAAAACAAAGGTGACCTTTAATTTCGAGAACAACTCCATCTGGAAAGAAAATTATACGATGATCCCTTCTATACCATAAAATTCTTATTAGACAAACTTGTCTCGATGATATTTAAAAGCAGTAACAGTTAACTTCCTCGCTCTGTGTATAAAGTATTTACATGAATTTCCATTGGCAATTTATAGTGCAAGCGGACTTGTCGCAGCAAAGGGCAGACGTGCGCCACAGAGAATAGCACGCACTTGTACACGCGTAGATATTAGAGGTTCTCTATAGGTAAAGATCGCATACATATATCTACCTAGCTAGTACCACCTTTAACGGTTCGATAACTTCCATATCTTAACAGCGGGAAATATGACGGCATAATGTAACTTGTTTTATCTCACATGAAACAATGATGAAGATTACTTAAATTTTTTATCCGATTTAATCTAGATGATTGTTCCGCTTATAGTAGATATAAAACTTTCCGTTTTTGTTCGAAAATACTTAACTTACTTCCCTGTAACTGTACTTACTTCGTTGTAATTGTACAACTTTATGTAACGGTATAATTGAACTGTAAATATTAAATGCGTATTTAATCATTTATGGCACAGCATTTATAACCGATTAAAATCAAAATATTCGATCTTTTTTAGTTTTGTACCTTTTAAAAATTTGAATTTTTATTTTTATTATTGTGTCCAGAACAAAATTCTTTGAATTACAATATATAATATAGTTGAGAACGATATAAACAAATGTTAAGTAAAACGTTAACTACATCTTTAAGTAAACAAAAGAATATGAGAAGTACTTTATACTTTAGATTAGCACTTATAAATTATTATCAGGCAAGAATCAAGAGAATGAAACTTCATTAAGCATAATAAAACTCTCTATATATTTGTATATGATTTCTTTGAATTATTTATCTCATCGACTTGAGAAAGTATAATGAAACAAATGAATGACTTATCACAATATTCTACTATGGTTGCTATAAACTGAATCAATATTCACAAACTGATTGCTGTCTATCATAATTGATGCATTGGCTGCCAATGATATAGTTCTATGTTATTTTAAAGTCTCTACGTAGTTAGTGCCAACATAGTTCTATGTCGTTTCAAAGTCTACAACTGTTAGATTCATGTTAGTTTTACAACATTCTTTTTCATATTTACAATGACTTATATGTATTCCACGATGAATAGAACTGTACTGCTTGTTATTGCATTTTCTTTTTAAATTATTAATTGTAGAACTACTATTGTGAAAGCAGATTTATGGTTTCCCATAAATTTTTATTAGATTTATCCAGATATATTTAGATTAAGTATGTGTACATAGTCAAAGAATTCCTGTTCAAAACTACTATATACTTCACCAGAGTTATTACATTTAAATCTGATCGAGTATAGGATTTGAAAATAAATTTAAGAAATTTTCAAGTTGCGAATAAAATGAGAGCAGAAGTAAAAGTTATGGAAATATGTGAAAATATCCAAAGCTTTGTTAAAAAGAAGTTATATATGAATATTTAGAAGCTATTATACATGTAAATTGACATGCGACCAAGTTAGAATTGCTGTTATATGTAAGCTTAGTTCTGTGTCAATAAAATGTGTTTCATTAGACACAGTAAATTATTTGTTAAAATTGTACATATATCATGTGTACAAAAAACTTGTTAAAAAAAGTATTTGTTTTCTGATAATTAAATAAAAGGGACTTCTATAACTAGTGCATGATAAATTGTATAACTGTATTTTTCTATTTTTTGTATGCAGTTTCGTAGCGTGTTATGTACTAGTTTATAGGTACATTTTAGAAAAAGATAAAATAAACCATAATGTTTTGTCCCAAATTTACATGCAATTCCATATTGCAATGTTTCCTGTGTCAATACTTTCGTCCAGTACAGTATATATTCCAGATATGTAATATTTTGTATTAGAAATAGCTATGTAATATTCGTCAGAATACATAGCGGTTGTTTATGATTATATATTCCGCCATGTGAAAGGGACTTTTCGCAATTGTACAAGTATGAATCGGGTCTCGGTGCGCGCATCGTATCGGCCGCACCGAGTCCTCGAAATCCGGGGGAGTAGCGCCGCTCGCGGGAATAGCCCACCAGCGGAGCGGTACTCGCTCTGCCCGTTTCGTGCACCAACGAAATATCTTCGACTAGACTGAACTCTTCTTCGGGCACCGAATCTAAACAGTAAGTCTACGAACTTCTCTTTCTCTTCACCGAGACACGTATTTTATATATTTCCAACGTGCACAAATACTTTGGCCGAAAAAAGAGGAGTGCTCCTTTTTTCAGGCCTTGATTCACATTTTACGTTCTACGTTCTTTGATTATGTACATATTACATAAATCCATATGTATTTACGCCAGTGTGCGTAGGGTGGGCGCACATGTATGTACACACATACATATCTGCGCACATAAACTTGCATATGTATATGCAGAGGACATATATGTGTGTATATAAATATAAGTTACACATGCGCACACAAGCTACACACCTAATGTACGTGCATATATATGTACACTTATACCAGATAAATTTATATATTCTTTGGAATACACTGTGCATACTTTCATGAATATGCTTGGATGTATCGTGGTACGTATATAAATGCGTACGAGTTTCGGGTGGATGGAAAAGATTTTATTTCAGCGTTAAATATTCTTGCATTTTTTAATTAACGTGTATATATGCACGTGTATGTATATAATGTATGCGTGCGCATGTATACGTGCGATATTATCTATGGAGAGCAAAAATTTCGTCCTCGTCTTGTTTATTCTGTAAGTTATCTAACCTTGTATTGCGCGTAAATTTGGTAAATGGCGTATTTTGGTGTCACGGGGATCGCTTGAATTTGATTTTCCATTTGCTATGCTGTTTTTAAGAATCAGAAAAGTGAATACGAGCTTGTTGCCGGAACGAATAAGATCGATCGAAACGACGATTTCCGTTTCGGTATTCAGTATGTATTTACGACATTTGAATAGGAAGAGGTGTTCTATAATGTTGGTGTATGCGTGTGATCATTCATGATTGGATTTAAGAATTGAACGTGCGGAGTAATATTTAACTCCATTGATGAAGAATCTTAATAATTGGTATTAATAGCAATATTTACACTGTTGGTCTAAAGTATTGACACAGACAATATTTTAGTATGAATTTGCATGTACATTTGGAACATACTATCATATTTTACTTAATCTTTTTATAAAATGCAGCTTCTAATTTACAAATGAAATATATAACAAGCTCTGTATGTATATAAAATAATTGCACAGTTACAAAAATAGCAATATATCAATTGGGAGCAACATCGGAGAAGTATTAGACACTCACAGCTTCTACAGTATAAAATACTAAATTATATTGTTTAATAATGTGTTATCTTCTCTTTTTTATTACAGTTTTGATTGATGAGACATTGAATGGACTAAAGTTGCAATTTATTTTTGTTATTCATGCAAAAATCCTTAAGAAATTACTATTTTATGAAGTAACGTAATCTAATTCACTTAGTAAGACTTTGGCTTGTAATTTTGAAAATAATACTTTTTCTGCAATAAAATTTTAAAGGATTAAATAAAACATATTTCATTCTAATACCATATTAAAATCTGGCCTATGACAGTACTTTTGTTCAGCACTTGAGCTTATAACATATTTATGATTCATTATATATTATTGATTGTTTATTTCTATATACAAGTTAACATGTATTTTATATTACCTTTTCTATTCATCTTTTAAAACTATTTATATAAAATCTAATTATTTATAGGAATGGATCAATAAAATTATAATTAGTCTTTTCATTAAGTATTTGCAATGTATCTTTATTAATAAATATACAGAGCTTACAATTCTTTATTCATTTATCTTTTTTTCATGATTTCTCCAGTAATAAAAAATATAATTTTTTGTTACAGATCTCCACTGGCATGGAGCTAGGAGCACATTGATAGTGATAGTCTACAAGGTTAGTATTTATATTTTGCATCAGTGATTTAAAAATTTGATCAATTTGTGGAAGCTTAATAAAATTAGTAGCTCGATAAATTGAAATTAAGTATAGATAAACTAATTTGCAAACCGTGTCTTAATTTATATATAAAAGCTTTAAAGTAAAAATCCTTGAACTACAAATGAAGAAGAGAGCGCAATTTTTAGTGTATTATAATTTTGGATGAGTACAATTAGACTTGATTTACACATTTTTAATTGTGATACTATTACCATATGAAAATCGGTATTAAATGTATCTTACTATAAGGTACATTGTTTTCAAATGTTAGATCTTGGTTTCTATGCATTGCCTGCCAAAGAAGAACTGAGCCCTATGTTTCCACACAATTCTAGTTCACATGAGATTTCTACAGAAACAAATGCCTTCGTACAAAATTCCATGGTAAGTTTTAACTGTAATTTATATAATTTTAATTTTTTAGTATATTCAAATTACTTGTTATTTTGTAATTGTTGCTAATGTTACTGTATTCATAAAAGGAGTACAGGATACGTTGTTCAGAAACAAATGAAAGAATGTGACATTTTATGTTGCATTAGTAGAAAGCACCAAATGTACTTTATGTCATAGGCAGCACAGGAAATGGTGACTGCGAATGTCTGGATAATACATCGCATATATTTTGTTGTTACCTACATACTTTAATATATTTATAGCATTACATGATATCTTATGCTTCATTTCCTGCTATTGTATTTTTCTATACCATAATATATGTACCAGTAAAACCTTGAGCAAACTTTTGGATAAACACTGTATAGCAAACTTCTTTTCAAACTAAAGAAATAGGAAGATATACTTTTTTTACAAGCTAAACTAAAATTTTCTTAAATAATATTTCAAAGAATCGCAGGAATGAAGTATTTTGAAGTTCTATTGTAATGGTGTTTTCTTGTTTCAGGGGGATGTAGTAGTATTAGGGAAAAACAGTCCGATAGGGATGGGGGAGGGAAGAGAATCAGAGAATGCTAGGTACTGTGATATTGAATTCATAAACAACAGCATGATGGCAAAACCTACTAGCCATCTCGAAAATATCGTCGCCACTGACTTTTTAACCGTCCTGTCAAGCCAAACTGGTAATTATTAATTGTTATAGTTGCATCTTGAATCTTATGTTCTACAATATTACAACAGGAATTTAAGTTTTAAATTAATTTCATTTTAATGAACATTATTGAATTAACTGTGGTAGTATCGAATGATGAATTATCTGGAAATATTTATTGGACATATTAAAATTTGAGTGTATTTGAAAAAGGAAATAGTTCTATGTACAATTTTTTTTTGAAAGTTCAAATCTTGTAGAAAATTATAGTAACATAATTGTATTTTTGCAGGCAAGTTTATCTTGACTAGTCGAAGCTTGATCTGCCAGTCAGTGGCGTCGTCAACCACAAAACACCCAACAAAAAATCATCTTCTAACTTACGATAATAATAATAATAATAATAATAATATTATTATTAATATTAATAATAACAATGGTAGTAGTGGTAATAATAATAATGATAATGATAATGATAATCCTAAACTAAATGATCGCTCAAATCGAGCGGAACATAATCATCAAGACGATCGAAAACCAACAGTTCATACAACAACAGCAACAACAACAAAAAGAAAACATCCGGGCTTGTCCGGTAAGAACAAACCGGTCAGCTCCGCCAATAACTCTAAGTCTATGTCTAAGACATTAAGTGATAATAAGACTAGCTTTAGCATACTAAATATTAGGGTACTAAGTATAAGCGTAAATCTACGATTAACAGGAGATAAGTGTGCAGTCGGTGAAGGGGTACCTAGCCTAGTTAGGATACCCAAGTCTGATCGCCCCTCATCAGGCCACTTCTCTCTCGACTCTCTTGACAATTACTCCTTACTAGGGTCCTGCCTTCATTCGGGCAAATACAATAACGTTAAGTCTAATTTTAGCCTCCTAAGTAATAATAACGATAACTACAAGTCTGTGATATTGCTCAGCTCAACCAGTAACCATTATTTCCTCCGCGTCGAAATGGACGGTGGTGCGATTGCAATGAAATTAAGAACCCATTTGGATTTATTCAGATTTTTCGTCAATTCTTTTTTCGACGGTTTATCGTTAGAAAATGAAGAACAATATCATTTCGAATCGCAGGATGATGAACGTTTCACAATCACAAACACGATGTTCTTAATAAACGACCAAACGATCGAAACCAAGCTTAAGATTAATTTCGGATCAAGAAGTCCATCGAGCAAATTTTCTTTGACGCTTTTAGAATCTAGTAAGATTCTCATGGAGATTAATTGTGCATTTCCACGTCAAAATCAAGACTCAAATGAACTCTGTTTGTCACGCTTATGTACCTTTAAGTACCTTCGTTCAAAGATTCGAATATTTTTATCGACATATCCGTATTCGAAAGCCGAATCTCGTTTACTTTATTTGGAAATCGTTGATAACCCGTCAGAGATTAATTCTTCTGTCTTAGTGACGATCGAATGTTGTTCGATGGAAATCGACGTTAGGGACAGAGTAACATTGCAAAACGTCGTTTCGATGATAATCGAAGAGAACTGTAGAATATCAAAAGCGCCTTTAAATTTCATAACGCTGAAGAAAGTTGAAGCAAGCGATACGTCGTCGAACGAAGAATCACGTCTAATGGTAGTAGTGGTAATAATAATAATGATAATGATAATGATAATCCTAAACTAAATGATCGCTCAAATCGAGCGGAACATAATCATCAAGACGATCGAAAACCAACAGTTCATACAACAACAGCAACAACAACAAAAAGAAAACATCCGGGCTTGTCCGGTAAGAACAAACCGGTCAGCTCCGCCAATAACTCTAAGTCTATGTCTAAGACATTAAGTGATAATAAGACTAGCTTTAGCATACTAAATATTAGGGTACTAAGTATAAGCGTAAATCTACGATTAACAGGAGATAAGTGTGCAGTCGGTGAAGGGGTACCTAGCCTAGTTAGGATACCCAAGTCTGATCGCCCCTCATCAGGCCACTTCTCTCTCGACTCTCTTGACAATTACTCCTTACTAGGGTCCTGCCTTCATTCGGGCAAATACAATAACGTTAAGTCTAATTTTAGCCTCCTAAGTAATAATAACGATAACTACAAGTCTGTGATATTGCTCAGCTCAACCAGTAACCATTATTTCCTCCGCGTCGAAATGGACGGTGGTGCGATTGCAATGAAATTAAGAACCCATTTGGATTTATTCAGATTTTTCGTCAATTCTTTTTTCGACGGTTTATCGTTAGAAAATGAAGAACAATATCATTTCGAATCGCAGGATGATGAACGTTTCACAATCACAAACACGATGTTCTTAATAAACGACCAAACGATCGAAACCAAGCTTAAGATTAATTTCGGATCAAGAAGTCCATCGAGCAAATTTTCTTTGACGCTTTTAGAATCTAGTAAGATTCTCATGGAGATTAATTGTGCATTTCCACGTCAAAATCAAGACTCAAATGAACTCTGTTTGTCACGCTTATGTACCTTTAAGTACCTTCGTTCAAAGATTCGAATATTTTTATCGACATATCCGTATTCGAAAGCCGAATCTCGTTTACTTTATTTGGAAATCGTTGATAACCCGTCAGAGATTAATTCTTCTGTCTTAGTGACGATCGAATGTTGTTCGATGGAAATCGACGTTAGGGACAGAGTAACATTGCAAAACGTCGTTTCGATGATAATCGAAGAGAACTGTAGAATATCAAAAGCGCCTTTAAATTTCATAACGCTGAAGAAAGTTGAAGCAAGCGATACGTCGTCGAACGAAGAATCACGTCTGATGAAAGAAGGTGAAAACGTGGCCACCAGTTCTTCCATTACGCTTATCGTTCCCGGAAACGAGCTAACCGACCAGCAGCCTCCGCGACCTTTCCCATTGAGAAACGCGCCGATACGCGCACAATCCTCTCCTTCGTGGCTCGACCTGGTCGCGAGCGAGCTGACGCAACGCGCATGTGTTCCACTCTCGTTAGGATGTAAGCTTTATGTGGTTAAACTTAGCTGTAAGGTAATTCGCGATTTTAGTATTACGTGGAAGGGGATACCGAGCCACGAGACTAGTTACAAAAAAAGGACGCATCTCGATGTTCAGTTCTTGAGTATTTCTGTCTGTGTAATAAACGGGACGACATTTAACATACCAAATTTTATAACGGCGATGACGATAACGTGTCCCCACGAAGGGATTAGTCACGAGATCTTTCTTTGTAACGAGGGAGTTTCAATTTCTTCGATGAATTCATTGACAACGATCAATTGTGACCACATGAATTCAATGAGAGAACATTTGAATGCCCTGTCGTCGTTCAGTGTGATAGATGGTAGGATGTCGGATTGGTCGCTTGTAACTTTAAGAAAATTGAACGATGAAATTTTTACCTCCACAACAGTTCTCGCACGAAACTGCGTGTTCCTATTAAAAAAGATCTTTAGAAGAATGTATTCGAGACTGGCCTCGAAGAACGAACATCCGGACGCTCGTATCTCTACGAGAACCACGGGCACGTTGATCTTGAACTTAAACGAAAAGACAATGGAGATGTTGTCCTCGGAATATAATGGTATTAGTGACGTGGCAACAATTACTGTTGGTGCTCTTTCATTTCAGGATAATGTTAAGTCTAACGAGCCTTCGGGCACTTATCTAGCGAGCTATAAGTACTCGGGGTCACATGCGTCTTATTCAATTAGTTCGTTGCGCTCTAATTTATTTAATAAACGAATCAAGCTAAGATATCAAGCTGTCGTCGGCTTGATCAATGATAAAATTACCCGAGAGGATCTCTGTGATTTGTATCGATTTAAAAGAAGGTTATACAAAGTACACGAAGTTATCGGATTTAATGTTGAGAACGTTTTTACAAAAAGTCTGATCAATTGTAAACGACTTGCTCTCGTCGGTTCGACGCCTCAGACTGCCCGATCGGTCGACGGCCATCATTGTAACGCGAATACCCCGGATTTGAAGAGGACGGATAACGTTGTAGACCTTTACGATTGCAGCCAATTCGAAAGGTCTCGAACAGCTCTCCGTTCAGAGAATAAAACGAGTCCCGAAGATAATCCGACTACTTCGACCCAGTCAGATAAGATCAATGCGAAGTATTCGATTCCTGTTCACTTCGAAAGTAATGAAACTATTGTAAACGGCTCAAACCGAACTCAACTTATCGCATACGCAAGGAATCTCATAGCAGCATCCCTGGGAGTTTCCGCAGGCACTTTACTACAAGCTCACAAAAATGATCTTAAGCAGGCGTTAAAGCTTCTTTTCGGATCGGTCTACAATTTAGATCAGCCCAATTTAGAATATAAGAAACGATGGGGCATTCCTGGCATTCTCAAATTAGCCGGTGGAGGTGAAACCTCTTTGAACAGCGCTGGAGCTACTAATTGGGGCTCTACGCAGACCAGTGCTACAAACAATAACAACAACAATCAATCAGGATGGGGTGGTACCTCGGGAAACCCTTCTGGTAACAGCGGGGCACCTGGAAACTGGACTGGAAATAGCGTTAACAGATCTGTTACTGCCAATCAGAATCCAAATCAGAACCAAGGACCCGGTGGACAAAATGTTCCAGGTACCTTTGTGTTTCAATATTTCAAACTTTCTCTTCTTAAATATATTGCAGCTTCATTTCAGGTTTTCACTTAGGATTCTAACATCAATTTATAATATTCTAAACTTTCAATATTTTTTAGTAACTAAAACATTTCACATAATACATTTGTTTGGGTACGTCACACAGGAAATGTAAATAAGGTGAACAATCCAAATCAGCAGTCGAATCAACAATCAGGGCCACCAACTTCTCAGTCAAGTGGTACGACTCAAGGTGGACAAAACAGTAACCAATGGTCGCAAGGAAAATCCAACAACCCTGGAGGGCCTGGCCAAAACCTTTCCGGTCAAAATAACAATAATAGTTCAGTCCAGCAGCAGCAGTCAAATTCCAGTAGCAATAATAATCAGCCGAATAATCAGGCTCAGGGATCCGTTAACAATAATAACACATCTGCTAGCAATACCCCTTCGACGAAACAACAACTAGAACAATTGAATACAATGAGGGAAGCACTGTTCAGCCAGGATGGTTGGGGCTGTGTAAGTTAAATTACTATTAAATTACGAGTCGAACCTAAACTTGGATTTTTAATTAATCATTCTTTCCATCCTTAGCAACACGTTAATCAAGACACAAACTGGGACGTCCCAACTTCTCCAGAGCCTAGCATGACTAAAGATGGAGTTCCAATGTGGAAGCCACCAGTAAATAACGGTACAGACTTATGGGAAGCCAATCTTCGAAACGGTGGTCAGCCACCACCGCAACAACAAGCAAAAACACCTTGGGGTCATACACCAGCTACAAATATTGGTGGAACTTGGGGCGAGGATGACGACGCAGCTGACTCGTCAAATATGTGGACTGGTGCTCCTACGTCTTCTCAACCAAATTCTGCAGCTGGACAATGGACAACCAGCACAGGCAATCAGTCCGGCATGTGGTCAGGTAAGCTACCGTTTTAAATATAAAAGATTTCACGTTGTTTGAACTGGTTGTTTAAACGTATAAACTGTTCTTGGTCATAGGATCTAATTGGGGTGATCCAAGAATTGATCATCGGGATCCTCGAGATCTTCGTTCTGTTGATCCTAGAGAGATGCGGGATCCTCGTGATCATAGGATGTCCTTGGATCCTCGGGAACACATGCGTGTGATGGATCCAATGGCTCGAGATCCTAGAATAGCCGACATGCGCGGTGATCCTCGTGGAATTTCTGGAAGATTGAACGGTGCCAATGCGGATGCCATGTGGGGCCAACCTCCGGGTCCTCCACATCATCAAATGGGACATCAACATCCTTCGGGACCTCCTACGAAAATGTTGAATCCATCTAACATAAATCAGTGGGCTGCCCCACCGCCGAAAGATATTATGCCTGGAAAACCTTCAGGTTGGGAAGAACCTTCCCCACCGACACAAAGAAGAAATGTTCCGAATTACGATGACGGTACAAGTTTGTGGGGTAATCCTGCAGCCAATCAAAGGACAATACCTGGAACTAAAGTTTCTCACTGGAAGGATCTTCCAACGCCAAATTTGGGCAGAACAGGTTTGTTTATTTAATCAGTGTTTTGTATTAGGTGTGTTGAGTTGGAATGTTATTGATAAATGATCAAATTCTCTTAGTAGGAATGCAATGCCCTCCAGGCATGCCACAGAACAGAATGCCAGGTCAACCTGGAATGAAACCGGATGTAAGTGGACCAATGTGGGGTCATCCTGGTGCACCTGGCGGACGTAATGGTAGTTGGGCAGAAGGACCACATGATACAGGTTCATGGGATGAGCCTAAAACTCCAAGTACCTGGAATGAAGCTCCGTTGAACCCTGGCACTTGGGGTGCACCTAGTACACATAAACCTAAACCAATGGGACCTACTGGAAGCTGGGTCGATGCCGATATGGATTCTGCTCCCAGTTGGGGTCATCCTACAAAACCTACTCTCACAAAGGAAGTTATATGGAACAGCAGGGAGTTCCGATATTTGTGTGATTTGGGATTCAAGGTATATGACACTTTCAGAATCTTTTTCTATAAATCGTTCTTCATGTAATAATTTTTACTGTTTAATTTGCAGAAGGAAGATGTTGAATTGGCCCTCAGGAATCGAGAAATGAACAGAGAAGAAGCTTTGGAACTTCTAAGTCAGTTGCGGCCTTTGGATCAATGGAGACGACACGACGCACACTCCAGTTATGATCCGACAAATCAAGCTACAACTGCACCAGCATATCCTAGATTTAATCACGTCGCACAACAGATGTCTTTCCCACCGGTAAAAGAATTATTGTAACCTTTGGACATTCGTGTAACAACTACAGTGTCTGATAAAAGTTGAAAAAATTTAAATGGACGGTACTCATGAATTAGTTTATAATTACAGGGTGCTGGAGTACCAAGTGGAAACACAACTGGCAGTGTGGGAGGATCGGTTGCTAGTGCAAGTTTGCTGAAGTTACAACAACAGCAACAACAAGCCGCTGTTCCGTTACAACAACAACAACCTAGTACTAATGCACCTCAACCACCTTTTAATCAGGTAAAACAATCGTCGTCAAGAATCGTGCAACAATCGATAATTTTGGTCAATGTATTTTTTTCTTGTTACTTACAATTTTTATTTGCTTCGGTTGTTAATGCTTATTTTGATACTTCAGGCTTCCAGAGCTCCTCAAAATCAGCCTAGTACTCAGCAGCTACGTATGTTAGTACAACAAATTCAATTAGCCGTCCAAGAAGGTTACTTAAACCACCAAATTCTAAATCAACCACTTGCACCTCAAACTCTAATACTTTTGAACCAATTATTGCAACAAATCAAAGTACTGCAGCAACTTCATCAGCAACATTCTGTGCAAAGTACAATGAAGGGTAATAATCAATCAGTCCTTCAGATAAGCGTACAAATAACCAAGACGAAACAGCAGATAGCAAATCTCCAAAATCAAATCGCTGTGCAACAAGCTACTTATATGAAGCAACAGCAGCAACAACAGCAACAGCAGCAGCAGCAGCAACAACAGCATCCGGCGCCACCATCTCAGAGTTCGGAATATTACAAGAGTTCTGTACATGATCCCATGTCGGCGTTGCAGAACAGTTTCACGGACTTGACAATGAACAAGGAGCCTCCTGTCGTAAGTTCTCTTTATTTAATTAAAGATATGTCCGTACTTATCTTCTGTGAATGTAGATAACATTGAATGTTCTTTACAATTACAGAGTCAGCAACAATCAAGACTTAATCAGTGGAAGTTGCCTTCTTTGGACAAGGACGTAGATTTAGTTTCAAACGAGTTTTCGAGAGCGCCAGGAACAACCAGTAAGCCAGCAGCTACACCGGCTGGTTTGACACGATCACACAGTAGTCCTAACATGAATCCTTTGTTGGGTCAAGGAGATGGTACATGGTCCACCAGACTTGGGGAGAGTGGTTGGCCAGATCCAGGTAACACGGACTCCACTGACGGAAAGGACTGGCAGCCAACGGGTGCAGCTGCTGGAGCCGCTGCCTTCACCGACCTAGTACCTGAATTTGAGCCTGGCAAGCCATGGAAGGTAATCCATTTCCAATATCGTACTTCCTTTTGGAAGGCAATTTTTACGTTTACTAGCCGTTATGGATGTTCAGGATCCCGAACTTCCGAGATCGGGACGGCACGGAACACTTCGGGTGAGATCGGTAGAGATTTCAATATTCTGATATGACTCAGAAAATTGACATTATTCAAATAATCATTTTTTAAATGTATTGTTTAAATAATGTTGAAGCTGCTAAAAATTCTGGTATTATCATAAGTGATTTATTCTAATACTTTATATATTTCTAGCACATGTTAATAAAAGTCAACGAGAAGCACCGTTTAGAGTTCGTTAGCGAAAAGCCTTGAGGAGGGAAAAATGAATACCTGTCCAGGTTTGGTATTTATTCGGGTCCACCTATATTTGATTTCATTTTAGGGTACCCAGATGAAGAGCATCGAGGATGATCCTAGCATTACTCCGGGCTCTGTGGTCCGTTCACCACTGTCTCTGGCAACGATCAAAGATCCCGATGCCATCTTCTCTTCAAGCAGCAAGACTTCACCGCCACCGCAACAACCTACTAATCCTGATACATCAATACCAAGTTTAAGTAATTCTACATGGACGTTCAATCCACCTGCCACTACTCCAAGTGCTTTTACAAGGTAAAATTTCGTTTACAAGGTAACTTCCTGTAAAGCTGTAGATGTGAATTGAATGAATACATTTGTTTTCAGTGCGAAAAATACTTGGGGTGAATCTGCACCACCACCGACTGCAGTCACTTCAGAACTCTGGGGAGCACCGATGAGTAAGGTTCGTGGTCCACCGCCAGGACTGAGCAGCAAGGCCACAGGGAATACAAGCAATGGCTGGGCAGGTCTTGGCACCGTTGGTAGATCATCTAGTTCATGGGGTCTTCAATCAAGCACAAATGCTGGCTGGGTTTCCACCTGGCTACTACTAAAAAATTTGACGCCTCAAATTGATGGTTCTACATTGAAAACACTTTGTATGCAGCACGGTCCTGTTCAAGACTTTCGACTATACCTCAATCATGGAATTGCGTTAACAAAGTACTCATCGAGAGACGAGGCTATCAAGGTATAGTACCCTTCATCTATTATTTTAATATTTCCAAATTTAAAAATATATTGATCCAATCACTAATTCCAATTTTGAAATAATTTTTACATTTTGCAGATCACTATACACTCTTATATCCCTGGGTCTAAATACCTTAGATCCTTCTATACATTCATATGTCCTTAAATTCCTATGTTACAAAATTCCTGCAATTCTGAATTAAGCAAAGGAGTAAGTAATAAGAGAAATTGTTATTTTGTGACAGGCACAAGGTGCTCTGAACAATTGCGTCCTGGGCAACACGACGATATTCGCAGAATCACCGGCCGATAGCGAGGTACACGCTCTGTTACAACAGCTAAGTCATGGGGGTCAACAGCAGACCGGAGCGACAACCGGAGCAGGTTGGAGTTTACGGCCATCGAACAAAACTGGTCCACCGCCAGACACGTGGGGCGGGAGTTCCAGCCAATTGTGGGGCGCTCCGCAAAGCAGCAATTCACTGTGGAGCAGCACCGGTATCGACAGCAACGATCAGCAACGTGCTACGCCCAGTTCACTGAACTCGTACTTACCCGGAGACCTTCTGGGAGGTGAGTCGATGTAGAGTGCCGCACGGACGGAGCCGGTGTCACTCGTGCGACGACCAAGCCTTCTTCTACTTCACGATACGTCAATTATATATTCCGCATTGTCCGATGGGCCGGTTCTCGCGAAGAAGTTACTTAAATCAGTGCCGCGTATACGCGCATCCTAAACACGACGCGTAACAAAACTCAATTGAAACCAGTAACACAGGGATCTGACTTTTGATCATCCTTTTCATTTCGTTTTCCGTTTCCCGGAAGGGGATCCTGTTCGATTCAAGGATACACAGGAAGGGAGGGGAAAAGAATATTTTACGAATTTCCAAGGTTCTCTTGGTGTGCGCCGTATTTTTCTCAAAAAAGGAAAACTGTTCGTTGGGAGTAGTAACCCGATTACATTTAACATTACGCATGGATGCTGGTTGTTATCACGTGTACTATGTGATAAACGTGTACTACACACTGTTTTACATATATTTTAAAGAAAGAAACAGACAAAAAAAAAATGATTAGTATTATCACACTGAATGGATATTGCTTGTGTTGCTACTTTTAGTACTTGGTATTTTTAAAGTTAATACTAATTTCATCTGACGAATAATGCGCGTATGTGTGTACATTTAAGTGCGCACCATATTCGATACATATATATATACATATATATAAAAGAAGAACACATATTTTAATGACACTACTGAACTATAAGTATTCTTCCTTGTGCAAGTCATCTTTTGATTATCGTGTATTCTTTAACGATATTCCGTTTATTCAAACGAAAACGTGTATTACTAGCATATTTCGATGTTCAATTCGATACGTGTATTTGGTATACTGCAAATCTTCTCGATGTTTTAATATATTTTAAACTTTTTATTCGTTGCTGCGCTTATGCGTTTTATTGCAGTAAAAATGGATATAAATCACACGGATTATGTTGCAAAAAGAAGAAATTTTTGAAATCACGTCTCGAGCGCATTTTTAACTTTCGGTATCTGGTATTTGTGCGTATCTCTTTTACTCTATATACATGTATATACATATATATATGTATATATGTATATATATGTGTATATATATGTATATTTAATAAACGCACATTATTACACGTCGTATCGGTAAGAAACTACAGTATATTTGTATCTGTATTTTTTCTTTTAAGTATTATTGTTCGTGTGTGTTAGTTCTTTCTTTCTTTTTTTTTTCCGTTCGATTAACAAGATTCGTAGTAACGTGCTAAACGCGAATGCGCTCGTGTGATTAATATTAAAACATCGACATGCAAACGATTTCTTTAAAACAAATACAAATTTTTGACTATTTTTTACGTATTGAAAATTAGAACACAAACGATACGAGAAGGTACGCGCCATAACACCGTAACCATATATATTTAGCTTCGAAAAAAGAAGAAAAGTCTAAAGATTATAAGATGGCTGCTTCTAGATAATGGCGCCGCCAATGATTCCTTAAGAATGCGCGTGTAAGAAAGTAAATTATGATCGTTGGTCTCATGAGTGTTCCACTTTTTTGCTCTTAAAGGTTTCCTTTAATCGAGACTGCGATGCGTATCAAACGTAGACTGTACCAATCTAATCAAAACAAAAGAAAAAATAATAAGCGGAGAAAAGAAATAAGTTGAATGAAACAAAAATAAAATAAAAAAAAAAAAGGGGGAAGGGATAATTACCTCTTTTAAAGAAAACCAAGCAAGGATCCACATCGATGCTTTGGGCTACGTAAATTACCTCTTCCATTAGCGATGGTGATACAGAATCGAATTTTTAATTGAATTTCAATTGATTTTAATGAATCGGCGAGAAAGAAAATAATTGAGAAGACTTACGTATTCTTTGTTTCATGGACGATCTGTCACGTCGGTAAGTTCAGTAGATTTCACACTGCTTAGTGTTATACTACTATTTCCGTGGAGAAATAATGATTAATTAACCTCAATAATGTGATTACTATTTCTCGTAAAATATATATGTTATTAGGAATAGTACTAATATTATTGTTCTCTATAGTAAGTACTTATCACACTTATTATAGAAATATAATTGTTTCTCTATCAGATGTGTATGATCTTCCATGATATACAATAGAATCGTTTCTAAATTAGAACATTGGTATTCACAATTATTTTTTATATGTTGTTATGCCTGATGAAATTGTTTGAAATGACATTAACAATTGAATTATTGACATATATGGAAACATTTTTGAATCTTAATAAAGAATTGAGAAATGTTTCTTGTGAAAATCGATTCTCTATCTCTGAAAGTGCCCAGAAACCTTTAAAAGAAAAGGGTATATTACATCGGGGTCTGAATTCTTGCGACAACAACAAAAACGATACCAAATGTTATCGCAATAACATAAATTTTATTCTATATTAAATCTAAATGCCACCTGTCGTGCCAATGTCCAGCGTGTCTCTTTACCATTTACTAATTATAGAGTTATAACGAACATGGCAATTCGATGTTTTTCTCTAGTTATCTTGTTCTGTGTATACCTGTGCGTCTCTCTCTTTCTCTCTCTCTTTCTCTCCTCCCTGTGTGCGTACGTGAGTGCATACATGCGTTATTATGTCTGTGAGTGGTTGTTTAAATTGAACAATAACGAAGTAAACAACGTACCACTTCCCATTGGTCAAGTTTCGTTCATAAAAGTAGCATTTAACAAGATGCAAAGTCTTGAGCTAAAATTCTAAATCAAAGTTTTAAGATTATTTCAAATTTTCTGATTGTTCGATGAGGTGATATTTATTTTTAGACGTATCTGTATGTTCTTTCACCTGATACTATTTTAGGATAGCAGATACTCTTTGGTACAAATAAAATATGCGTTACAGGCTTAGATTCAGGCAACAGACTGGCAAAATTAATATGTTAATAGGTATTTAGTGATACATTAATATTGTTCTATATATTTTGTCGGTTATTACATGATACTCTATAATGACACAGAAAATATTCATATATTATGATTGTCGCAAAAAATACATATTAATTTTTTTTATGTTTTAAGAAGCGTCAGGAAGTTTCCTTTTATACGATAATCCTCAGCGACAGTGCGTGAAACATATAGATAAATCACAATAGTAAACTCTATGATATGCTAGAGATTTGTTAATTGCACTTTGACTGGACCGGTTAGTTACGTAGAAATTTACATTCATTAATTCCTGGTACTGATTTCAGCGGATGACTTTCTAGGGAAGTGTTACTCGAGTTCTCTGACTTCAGAAACTTCTTCCAGTTTGTTTCCAATGTGTTGTTGGAGTTATGGTTGACATATCAGTATCCTCCATGACTAGTGATAATAAAGACATTTCCTTAGAATAGGTGGTGTATGCTTCTAAGAACTGATTGATCTCCGTTTTCTCTTCATCGGAAACAATTTTCTTCAAAACCTTTTATGAACTGTTCCTATGTTAGTTGATACTTTGATCAATACTTTCATTAATTCAGTTATTTTGTTGTAACTAATGTCATTCCAAATGTTATTAATTGTCTGCAAACATATCCTTCTTTGTTTATTTTGTTTTCTTGTCGAACAAGTCATAGGATGCTTCTTCGCTTTCTTCACATTCTATTTATTTACGGTGTTTCATTTTAGTTGCTACGGATAGTTCTTACAGAACTTGTTTAGCAGCTTGAGATTTAAACTAGGTTCCATCTTCGCGTAACTAGTAAATTTCAGTTGTATAAGGCTAGTAAAGTCAACTTTATTTTATATCCGCTGCCACAGGCAGAAGCTGTTATACCCACAGGTGGCCTTACAACATAGTTCTTATACGTATGTAAGACTTAATACTAAAATCGAATTAGGATTGTCGCGTATAACCCAAAGTTCAGATTCCTTATTACTTTAACTGAGTATACTAAATTTCTGATTCGGTATTTGTACATTGGAACTATGTACTATGTACTATGTAATTATATTATCTATGTTGAAAATTTTATTTTATTTTAGTTTATTTATTTTGTGTAACAAGAAGTTAATGCTTAGTGTTCTTTATTAAGAACAGTGAACTGAAACGAGTCAAATTTTCTTTTTAATTTGCATAATCATTGACAGAATCAAAAAGTTTAATCTGATTGTCTATTTATTCAAAATTCATGTATATTCGTACCACCAAATTTACAAAAATTTTAACTTTTAGACTAATTCCTTTTATTGGAAGATCACAAAGTATACTAAATTGCCTAATAACTTGTTCAAAACATTGCCTCTGTTACTAGTTCTAATTGTTAGCATTACAGTAGTGTGCAGCTTAGGAAGACAGGAGATTAGGCTCTCCCTGGGTTATCGGGTTATCTTTGGGTTCTCCCTAGGCTCTCTTTATGTTCTTCCTGGGTTTTCTCTGGATTCTCCCTTGAGTACTCGCTAGGTTTCCTTTCAAATATTCTTGCCATCTACTTAAAAGTGACACTTGTGTATCAGACAATAATTGACCAATATTTGTTTCACAAATATAGATATTTTGTTGTTGTTGTACACTGAATATTATGATCAGAAACGGGTACCTCATATCGACAAATGTCGTTTTAGATTTTGTGAATGATGAATTTGACTGGATTATTAAATGTACCTTAAAACCTCACCATTCTTTTGTAATATAGATCGGCATATACGTACATACACTCAAATATGTGATGGTTTATCGATTCATTGATAATTGCTCATGTGTCTCCCTGTAGTCCAGGGGCGGATCCAAAGGGGCGTCCTTCAACAATTATAAGCTCTTACAAAAAAAAACTAATCAATATTGTAAAATAAAATTGTTTTTACTAGTATTCTAATTTTATTAGATTTTAACAATTATTGTTTTCGTTTTTATAAAATAAATTATTTAATCACACGTATTGTAAATAATTTATGTGAAGTATTGCTTAAAAATGTTAATAAATAAACTGTAAACATATTCGTGCAGAAAGAGATTCGAAAATATATTTTTACATATTTCACCCTATCAAGCGACGTTTTTGGATCCGCCCTTGTACCAATCCATCAATCTGTTTATTGACTAGTAATAGATATTTTATTTTTTACGACGATTCCGTTCTAGTAATAATTCTTCGAAAATTTGTGTAATAGTTCGCCGGTTCACGTCACGTACAATTAACGAATCTCTGTGTAAAACAAGTTTACTATTTTCTTGCAATGTATTAGTCAACCCTGATCGTATGTGATAGAAACGTTACACTTAAATTCGACTATTATTCTTTCGATAATTTTCACCATTCGGTTGTGGAAAATGTACAATATATTTTAACCCTTAGAAGTTAAAACTGCAGGGTGTTAACTAGTATTCCTGAAATGAGGGAGAGCTGATTCTGAATAAGATTTTCCTTTGTAAAAATGTGGTACGAAGTTTCCTTTTTGAATAATTGAGGAAAAATGCGGAACCAGTCAGAGCGCGAGGATTTCCCGCGCTCAGCCGGTAGGCGTGACGCTGTCGCTCTCGCATCTGCGTGCGCAGGCGGTTTCGCGCCAAGCGGCTGTGCGCGGGAAATTCACGCGCTCTGATTGGTTCTGCGTTTTTCCTTAATAATTCAAAAACGAAGCTTCGGATCGCATTTTCGCAAAGGGAAATCTCATTCAGAATCAGCTTCTCCTCATTTTAGGTTCACTATTTGTGAGATACCCTGTATTTTTCATTAACCCTTGGACAAAGACGGGTCACCGACCCGACGCACGCAGAGTTCAAATTCAATTTAAAATTCCATTTCGTTGAGAAACTGTGCCTAATTTTCGAGGGTTAAACCATTGGGAAGAAGCGTTTACAAAGCGTAAGAATGACTTTGAATGAAGGCCTTAATTGAATTCTCATTCCTTCGATTTTCTGACCCGTACGGTGTGTATGTACATAAAAATGATTAATCCTAGTATACGTACGTGTGCGTGTACGCGTGACACATCTACGTATGTGTGTATGTGTGTGCGCGTGCGTGTGTGTATGTGTGTAAGCTTGCTTTGTACGCTCGCGTGCGCCTGTATGTATGTGTATGTTTTCAACGTCAAAGGTACCTGAATGGACTGATAACCATACTGATGGAAAAAAAAGAGTGTTTATTCATTGCACAATATTTTTTTTCTGATATTCTAAAATATATCATAACGCCCTCAGACCTTTGATTTCTCTTAGGTACAAGATTAAACAAAAAGATAAAAAGTAAAAAAAAAAAACTGTTCTCCTCTGCAGACTGCCATTGAAGCAGATGACAGATCTTGCCGTAACATATACATATATATGTATATATATATAGATGTGAGATTTACCGTCTTTTCACGGGCGTTAGATTTATTTTACTGGTACGCTTCCTTGGGGAAAACGGCGATATAGCGAACGGTTTCGTTACTCCGATTTTTCCTGTACAGTAGCTTTTATGGGTAAGGGTCCTCTAGATTTATTTCCCCTAGATCTTTAGTATTCCCTAGGTTTCGGAGTACGTTCGTTGTAACTGTGGATCATTCGGTTGTGATCTTAATGACATGCGTGTGACGCGGATATTAATATTATTAATATTAAGCGCCCCTTATATTATTATTCACGATAATAATATAAGGTTTATATTTATTTATAATAATAATATAATCGTTTATATTTATTTACCAGAATGTTTACGATACTCACACAACGAACGTTTTTTTCTGCGTCGCCATTTTTCTTGGGGAAGCATGGTGGAACGACACTTATTAATTTTTGCTCAAGTTAAAAATTTCCCAACAAGTGGGCAGTTCAAAAATATTATCATAAATGATTTTTTTAATTATTATCATTTTTCATGAATTAAATTTATTTCTTCAGAAATGATTAAGAATTATCAAATTTATATTGTGGGACTAAAAACGAGTCCGCCATTTTGGAACACTTGGGCCCGACAAATAAAATAAAGATAGTTTTCGTTCCATCTAAAAGTACAAGTATCTGCAATCAAATTTGAGTCATTAAAAGTACATGTATGTATATGTATATATAAATATATATATATGTATGTGTATGTGTGTGTGTAATCAAACTATAGTCTCTTTTCCTTTCTTCTTCTGAGTCAGACTATGTATATTTGGGTTATAAAAATGAAGGGATCAAAATGGTTCTGTACATTTAGTTTAGAAAAGGAAAGGGTTAATTGTTTAAAAAAAATCAAAAGATCCGAAGGAGTGGATGTTAGAATTCCATAATATTAAACATACAAGAAATTATAATATTTAACAAATTTATTTATACACCGTGTATTTGGAACGAATCGATAAGCGTGTAGATAATATGGGATACTTATAAAAAAAAAAGAAAAAAAATGAAAAAAAAAATTTGTCAGTAGTTTGGTAAAGCCAAAGATACACGATGCTACAAAACTATAATTAATTACGTGGTCGGAGGAGAGAAAAAAAAACGAAATTATGCGTTTTATCATAGACTGAAGTTAGACAAATTTCGGTCGTAAATGTTTAGTCGTTTTAAGAAGAAAACGCTTCCATGTAACACGTTCGTAAAACGTGTTTTGTTTCATGACACAATTTTTATTTTAGTATTTTTCTTTTCGAATTTGACGTACCTAAGAATGTTCGTTTTTATCGTGTCCTGCTTTATTAATATCACTTAAACTAACAAAACAGCTACTAACAATTTCTTGAAATTAGTGTATCGAGAAACAAGGGAAACGTAGATAAGTGCTTCGTGTGTTGAGAGGTCCCTGTACTGTGTTTATTCTGAGTAGTTCAAGATTGAGAGAAAATGCATTTCTTTTAGAATCTTTTGAGGACACCATTTTTGAAATCGAATTTTGAGCTTCATACGTTTTCATTACGTTTGTTAAACGTAGAAGAGTCATTTGGCGCGAATTTTAAAAACACTGACCGCCTTATTGGCGCGAGTTGTAAAGACGCCATGTTAGTTCTGTTGGCGTGAATTTTAAAAACGCCATGTTCTATTGGCGCGAAAGTTTGAAATCAAACATTCAACTTCAAATGTTTTGAACAGATTAATTCAGACTGCTAATTCTGTAGAATATTTAATGTAATTTCTTCGAAAATTTGAACAAAGACTTGAGATTTGAGTGGTGTCCTAAAACCTGAAGACTTACGTTCAAAGAAAGGAAAAAAGAAACGAACGTTCAATTTGAATTAAAAGAATAATTTATAAAATTCGTATCCTAATGCTTGGAAAAAGCTGCCTCTGCAATTCATCGAAATTAGTTTACGCTAAGCTTTTACCCAGATATCTCAGGTTCCATAGAACCACTGAATCATAATAATGATAAGTTTAAGAATAACGATAATGCAATGATAATGATAGTAATAGTAATAATAACACTAATATTAATAACAGCAACAACAATAATAATAAATAAGAGCAGTAATAATACAATATAAACAATAGTAATAGCAACATAAATAGCCATGATAATATTTTGATCAATGACGTGTATGATAAAAGAAAAGATCAGAATATGTAATTTTTAATAAGAATAATAATTAAAGTGTAGAATTAGCGACGACAGCAACAATAATATTAACGATGGTCATTTAAGAAAGTAGTCGTACCGATAAATAAATAAATGGGAAAATAAATGATAATCGTAGTAATAGCAGTTGCAACGGTAGTAGTGGCTTTGACAATGATAGTAATAGCGGCAATATTGTGTAATTGTGATAATAGGATTAATGATGGTGTTACCACTATTATTATTACTGCTTTTGCTACTACTACAATCATCATCGGTAATTATTATGATTATTACTACTGTCGATACTGTTTTGGTATTATCGTTGCTGTTGTTTCAAAATTATTTCATATTTTTGGGGACAGGGGTTCAGGAGCGGATCTACCCTTGCTTTGGGATCGATCTTCACTTACATTTTCACGATTATAATCTTTCTTCAGTTATTTTAATACAGATACGGTATGGTAAATTGTAGCGTGAAGAGACGTAGGGTTCGTAGTCCCTTCGCGCATCTTACTCTGCGCATGCGTGCGCATCTCTCGTAATGGCGGCGCATGCGCGCGCATTTCACTCTCGATGCTGCGCGCGCCACTTTCCGCGCCTGCGACTTTCAAATCAACCTTAGAATTTCAAACTTTCCAAGCCTTTAAATCTCCGAATTGTAGAATAATTTGAAGTATTCTTATTAAATTTGATGAAATATTTTAATGGGATTCGCCACTGACGGGGCTATAATCGGTACGCTACTATTACTGCTACTATCATTACCATTACCTACTACCACTGTTACTATTACTAAAACGTACTAATTGTATTGTTGTTTATTGCTGTTCCTGCTATTCCAATCGCTACTACTACCACTATATTTATATTATTCTTGCAACCCTAATTTTTTAATTTCCATTGTTATTATTACCATTAGTTACTCGTAATAATATATTACTACTATATTTATGGGTGCAATTATTGTTACTGCTACAACTACTATTACGAATATAATTAATGTTAAACAGAAAAAAATGATAGAATATAACGCTATTGGTGCTGTTACTTGCTGCTATTGTTATTTTATCAGTATTGGCATCACTGCTTCTATTATTTCGTAAAATTCCCCTGTCATTACTGATGCTGCACAGATAATGATAGCAGTAATAGTAATAATAAATAGTAGTGGTGGAACAAACAAAAATAATGATAGTAGTAGACGGTCAGCTGCAGTAATCACAATAGTTATATAAATATATATATATACATATATATATTTAAGTGATATAGAATTAACCAATGGTAATAGTAATAAGGCTGCTAACATTAAAAAACATATGGTATAAGAGAGTATAACTTACTGTTTATATAAATATATATATATATATAAATGTATATATATATGTATATATTTAGTAATCAATAATCCGTAAACCACAATAAAAATAAGAGTGATTGTGACGAGGATAATAACGATTAATAATCGCAATTGTAATATTTTAAACGGTAGTATTAATAGTGGCAGTAATAATATTTGTCGTTGAAGAATTATTGTGGCAGCAGTGGTAGTATAATACATATATATAGTTTTAAAAAAAGCACCAGTCACATAAGGAAAATATGTAGCGATGATATTATAATTAGATTAAATAATGTTATTAATAATATGTATATATACATATATATATATATGCATACATACAATAGAGGTCTGAGGGCGTATTGAATATAGTAAATGTACCTTTTTTGCGTTCCACGAGATGGAACATAAATTTATATTGCAAGGAGAACAAAAAAAAAATTAAATTTATGCAAGCGCTGGTACTTCCAACGACAATGGATTTTTTGAACAAGTGAAATGGAAGAATCCATTGTCATTTTATCACGGGGATAAAACGGCAGCACACTCCAAGCATGATCGACATATTTGCTCGTAAAAGTTTGAGAAAAGCTAAGCTAAAGAATATACCAAGTATTTATATGTGGAACTTTTACGACACTGGGGGCTATTTTTTTTAACAATATTCCAGAATTCTTTATTTGAATCATTGAATTTTTTTTTTATATAATTTTATTCGTGAAATTTTTAACAAAATTTCGAAGGTTTTTATTGATTTTTACTGGAGTTTAAAAATTAATTTTCATCGTCGGGGAAGGTCAAGTAATTGTTTCTCCTCAGTGTCGTCATTATTTTATAAACAGAACTTCGAGTTAGAGTTAGCATGCTGTATATTTAAGATTAATTCGCAACACCTTGTACGCATGCGCAGAAGAGAAAAAGCAAACGGAATATCAAAGCACTTCTCTCTCCTCCTTCGTTCCTCTGTTCGCCATTTGACGATATGTCTGATCCGCTCGTTTATCCATTCGCAAACACGCATTGTACCTAATATTACTTTTATTGTCTGTCTTCTTTTGAAACTGCAAAGGGTTCTGTTGATCGAACTAATTCAAACAGTCAATTATTTTTATTGCCAGACCGCAATCTATTATTGTGATCGTTGACCGTTCCGATTTCTACTATACTGTTGCAATTATTTTAGGGTTGTGTGAGAATCCAAATTTTGGGAGAGGAATTATATTATCACATTTAATTCTTTATACGAATTCAATCAAATTTTTTTCTCTAAATTTTTTTATCTTGGGTGCCCCTCCTAGATACGTCCCTGACGTATCGACTACGTCCCTGTGATTATAGGGTATAGTTGGAGGATTTAGTTTATTTATATAGATCTCTGCTCAGAAGTGGGGAGACTCCGCCCATCTCTGCTTAAAAGTGGGGAGACTCCGCCCATCTCTGCTTAGAAGTGAGGAGACTCCACCCATCTCTGCTTAGAAGTGGGGAGACTCCGCCCATCTTTAGTTAATGAAAATTACAGATTATATGAATTTGTAGATAATTTCATTAGTATACAGTACGTTTCAAAATTAACACCAAAACTACGGCCCAGAAGCCACCACGGCCCAGCTATACCCAATTTTGGTCCTCGCACAGTCCTAACTCAAATCAATCACAAACGTCCTAAAAGTTTCCACAGTGCTAGTTATAAGAATTTCTTTATCAGCTACTTAATTTTAAATCGCAGTTTCTGTTTTTAAACCAGTACAAATATCCGTTATCCAAGTCGAGCATATTGTCCAGTGAAACACATCGAATTTCAAAGGCTTTAGAAAGTTCTCCATTTTGTAATTTACGTTTGGAGCGAAGTTTTAAAGGAACACAGTCAATAGGTGTTATATTCGTGAACTTGTATTATGCATACGCGCAATTCGATACGATACGAATTCAGTACGCTTACGCGCATGCGTATTCTCACCTTTTCTTCTTATTTTTTTTTTTTTTTTTTAATGCGTATTCCGTACGTATGTGTGTGTGCTTACTCTATTTTTATCGTGAATTATTGATTCAGTACGCTTATACAGGCATACATTAGTTAGTATGCGCATGCGCTCCACTGGGAGCCAATCGGATTGCTTATGCCGTGCGCATGCGTACACACGCGCCAGTAAGAAAACGTACACATACGAACCTCTCTTTCGGGATGCGTTGTCGCTATTTCTGTTCTCGACACAAAATACGTGTGCATCAGGGGCGTGTGCCATTGTTGATTTGATACGATAATTGAAAATGATAAAAAAAAAAGATTGTAACGATTAACTAGTGTAATTCTAATCACAATATGAATTTATAGTCAAGGCTCGATCATTCGAAGCGTAAGGGAATCTTTGTAGAGACCAAAAGTATCGAGTATATACTTTTTAATTTATACACGTTAGAGATATCTCTATATTTTTTCTTCTGTAGCTTTTAAATGATAATAATTGTAAATTCGATTTTTCTTCGTGTAAGTCGCCAAATTTAACGATACAAATATTTAAGTACTTTTTACAATGGCTAACGGAGAGACAATGCCGGTGACGATTAAAAAACGAAGGCATACGTAATTAGTTTTTACGTCTTAACATTTTGTTAACGAATATGTACGATAATATAACGATAGGTTTAGCGGATGGAAATTTAACAGAGTTAAATGATATTATCGTTAAAGTTGCTATTTAATTAATTTCTCTTTTCTTTCACTGATCGCATATATAGTTAAACGAAAAAGAAAAAAAAAATAATGATTATCCATGTAGTTTGATTTTTAATTGTTATACAGTATTATTTAAACAAGCCGCGAACGTGTGTGTTCAAATTTTAATGAATCACTTTTTTTTTTCTTTTTTCCTTCCTACAGTTCCTCGTATTTCAGTAAGAGATATATATACACGAAATGTGCTTAAATAATAGTAATTGTAACGCTCGATAATTAAGTTCTTATCGCTATTATTTCAAATGTTAAAATACAAAGAATAAAACTGCTTGTTGAATATTCTTTTACGTTTCTAGTATTTGTTTTTCTTTTTTTCTATGTTGCTAACGAAAGAAAACAAATGTTTCGCGAGATCACGTGAGCAAAATATTTCATGCATTTTTGAGTACTTAAAATACTCAGTTCGGTGAAAATTCGGATATTTCGTTCGGGAGCGAAAGAAAGGGGTAAAACTGATCAAAAGTTCGGTATTCGATGTTTAAAGTGCTTTACGAAAATGCAAAAATCTGTAAATATTTTTTTAATACAAGTTTTACCGACGTTTCGATAAAAATGTAACGAAGGCTGACGAATCTTTCAAAATACTTCGAAAGTAGCAAATTAAATTCGTAAATCAGTATAACATTTTTTGCCTTAAAAAAAAAAATTGATAGGTATAAATAGATTTTAAAAGAAGATTTATGAGGTACATGTCCTTGAAAGTGCAAACGATTACGAATTCAGTTCAAAATGCAATTATGTTGTTGATTTAAGAAGATTGTTAATATTGGTAACAAAAATATCCTCGATGAATTTGAAATGATCTTCGTTGAAGTCAATTTTCGTTTAGATTTTTATCGTGCGATGACTTAAGTGTATATCATAATTGCAATAAACGTACAATCTATATAGTGGATATAAAAAATGAGAAATTTCAATGAAGCTTTCACGCACACTTATCATTTAATCAAGATATCCAAGTAATATAATGAACGATTTTAAAGTAAATGTTAATTTCACAATAAGCATTGAATTCCCGTTGGAACAATTCTGTTTAATTTATTACGGGAAAAATGTAAAAATTTAGTAAATGTATACAATTACTAGTTATTGTATTAAACGTTTCACGAGTCTAAATGTGAGTTAAACTTTTAATAGTAGGGAGACTCCGCCCATCTCTGCTCAGTAGTGGGGGAGACTCCACCCACCTCTGCTCAGTAGTGGGGGAGACTCCACCCACCTCTGTTCAGTAGTGGGAAAACTCCACCCATGTCTGTTCAGTAATGGGGAGACTTCACCCACCTCTGTTCAGTAGTGAGGGAGACTCCACCCACCTCTGCTCAGTAGTGGGGGAGACTCCACCCACCTCTGTTCAGTAGTGGGGAGACTCCACCCACCTCTGCTCAGAAGTGGGGAGATTCCACCCACCTCTGTTCAGGATTGGGGAGACTCCATCTACCATACGTAGAGATGGTTGTCTTCTAACAGAAAATACATCAAAGTTACCAATCGGTATATTCGAACGCAACACAGGCCTCCTTGCCTTCTCAAAATTTAAAAATCTTCAAATTTGTTACAACCTCGATAGATAATGCTTCCACTATAACAAAAGTTCTGTTTATAAATACATTGTCATATGTATACATTGATCAATAAGTGTATACGTTTACTAAATCTATATATATATACGGGTGCTTCAAAAAGGGTGGCCAAAAATGTTTAATATAAGGAAAGTTCATATAAACATATATATGTTCATAAACATAATAATGACAAGGGAATTAAGTACCGAAAATAATCCCTATATTGTTATTATTTATCAGTTTCTCTTAAAAATGTAAATACAGCTCATTGGGTCAGAATAACCCTGATTTTAACACACAGAAGTTTTGCTCATCTCTTTTGAATCACCCTGTAGGGATTAACACTTTGACGGCCGGTACTGACCCAGGCCAGCGTTCTTTACCTCATTTCTAATCACCGAATTAATTGTAATTTAAATACCGATAAATCATAGAATCTTTCGAAGGTTGCTGAAACAATCGCATAAGATAAGCGACTGTCAAAGTGTTAAGACAGAGTGTGTGCCATGCACCGATTTTCAACGATAAGTAAATGAAGAAAATTCTAAATACAACTATGAGATATTAGTTCGTGTGTGTCATGTTGTTCATTAGATATAGAAAACGAAAAAGTGTCCCTCGTGCACACGTCTCGAAACAAACATCCCGAAAGATCAAAGAAAGGTGAATCAAGAAGAATCAAGGAGTAAAGTCCAATTTCGTCGTTTAAGCGTATTATTAACAACAATATACATACATACTTAGCTAGCAAGTACAGGGACACATTAAGGCACGCATGTACGAGCGCGCGTACACACACATACACACACACACACACACACATAACAATTCACAGAATTGCAGGTTTTCGGTATACAGTCAAACCTTGATAAATTTCTGTTAGATTGAAATTTCTGTTGCTCACATGTCCAACGCGAGTTCGGTTAGTGCAGGTCTGTACAATGCAGTGGCATTGTTTTTCTGTGCAACGCATCTCGCAATGTCAAGGAAACGGCCTTCGTTGCTAAGGGAGTTACGTGGCATGCCCTCGTTGCTAAGGGGACTACGCGACACGCCCCCGTTGCCAAAGGGATCGCACGGTAACGCCTCCGTTGCTAAGGAGATCGCACGGTAACGCCTTCGTTGCCAAGGAAACCGTGCGACCGAGTCGAATCGCGCCAAATTGAATCGCCTCAACTTTGAATCCCGTCGAATTTGAGTCGGATCGAATTGAATCGTGTGAAGTCATATCGAGTCGAATTTCAATCACGTCCAATTTGAATTGCGTCGAATTTGAATCGAGTTGAACCGATTAGCCATAGAAACTTTACACACTGAGAACGACTCTGGTCAGCGTAGGGATAGGACAGACCTGCATTAACATCGAGGAACGGTAAAATGGTTGGAGTGGGGATAGTGTGCGATTGGTTGTACGTACCGCTCCGCCTCTACAGCCCCTGGCGCAGGAAAATATCGAGGTTGTACTGCACGCACACACAGAGTCAGAGACAGACACATTGTTTATACGTATATATTGCACTCGCGCGCGCACGCATGCACACACAAACAAGTACACACTACACAGCTATGCGCGCGTACACGCGCGCGCGCGCGCGCCTACGCATATATACATTCCTATAATATTATTAATAGTATAGAAATACATGCAGTTTGATAAAGAGTAATTAGTTGGTAAGATCGATTAATTATTGTAAAAGTAAAAAAAAGTGACTATTGATTAATGCAACAAAGTGGACTAATTCGCGAGTAACCTCTATTCCTAACAAGAATGAAAGATTAATTAATTTTAAACAGATTAATAGTAACTAATAACGATGATGACGACGGGGATGCTGATTATGATGATGAATGGAATAAATAGGTATTAACAAGTAATAATAAATAATAATTGATCGTAATGTTCATTAATAAGCAACAAAAAAATAAACGCGATATATATATATATACATATATATTATATATATATAGTGCTAATAACCATATATTAAAGAAATAGAGATTGCGGTACGAAATAATGGAAAAATATATAATAGTATAGTTATTACGATTTTTGCGATTTTCATTGTCTAACGGTATTTGAGAGATATATTCACGACGTAGCTTAGTGATAATTCTAACGGACTCTTAGGCTAAGGTTTCGAATTGCAGAAAAAGAACTAAATCGCGCGTAAATGGAAAAGTAACTAGGATTCTGTGAATAACATTGTTTTTGTTTATCTTTTTTGTTTTTTCTTTTTTTTTTTACTTAAACGTTCGGGGATTTTTCACCGATGAATTTTCTCTGGCTTTTTCTTTGTCCAGTGGTACTTTTACTTGTTATCGAAATTATTGTAGCAACGAGGACTTCAAATAATTTATCTACACGGGATGTTACACATATCAGAGTTGAACAAACATCGAAAATTATTTCAATTCTATTTTGTTTATGTCTTTTATGCTACGTCACACTCAGTTAACATTCCTATAATGATATGTTTACTACCTTGTAAAAAGTAACAACGTAGACATTCATTATGTATCACACTGTAGTGTCCTCTTCCTGCAAGCATGACAATGGTCCTCCCCGCCTCTAGGGCCCCCAACGCAGGAAGATATCGAGACATCCTCGTTAATATAACGAGACTCCACTGTTATTCTTTACGATCTAATGTTAATTGATGTTGTTATCATTTTTATTCGTCCAGTAGACTCTCGTTATATTGCCGCTACTGAGTGTGGCGTAGACCACGCCCATAAAGAAAAAGAACCAGAAAAAATTCACAGTGGAAAGGTATACCAGTGTCGGGCAAATCAAATGCCCGATGAGCTCAGGGGCATTGAGAGAGAAAGAACTGAAAATTCCTTTCCCAATTTTGTCTCAGATTTATCAACATTGACCATTCGGATCGGGATACGCAGGGGCGTGGCGCCCCTCCCCCTTACATTCCCGCGGTTAAAATCTTATTTTAACTTTTAATAAGCCTGTATACTCGCGAGCGCAGCTGATTTGCCTATCACTGTTGTACAGGATGTCGCGTATATTAAGCATTCGGATTATATACGCCGCATACACACACTCACACACACATGCATTACATACACACGTACATATATATGATATATATATATCAAATTAAATCAAAGGGCGAAAAGCTTTCTTAAACTAGCAGAAAGATATTTGTTGTGATAATAAATATTGAATATATAGCTCTTCTAGGATATAAAATCATTACTTTAAACACAAAAGATTAGGATTTAAATAACGCGGCGGATTTAAGCCTGGGGAGGGAGAAGAAGAAAAAAAAAAACGAGAAAAGAAGTAAATTTTCAAGGAGGAAAGAAAAAGCCTCGACTTTTTTCTACTCGAGAAAGAAAAGGTTCGCGCATGGTATTCGCACGTCGAACCTGGTCCCATTTTCTACCTGCGTCTCTGTATGTGTGCCGATATTGTGATGAATGAGATAAGATTTAAAAAAAAAAGAGGAAACAATCTTTTCTTGGTCGAGAAAAGATAACACGCTCGTGTGGTGTTTACGTATTTAAAAAAATATATATATATATTATATATATTATATATATATTATATATATATGCTTAACGATTCAATATGTACAGGGTGTCTCATGAATTATAGTACAAGAACGCAGTTACGATTCCTGTGCTGAAAATAAGATGATTTTCCGAAATTCAATACCCTTTTTAATTTCTCAAGATTTTCCCGGTTTCAACGTTTTTTCCCTCGGACTTGACTGAAACTCGAACGAGGAGAGAGGGTGGGGGGAAGTATTGCCGAGAATTATTTCGTTTTATTGGTAGGGAATTGTACTGTACACTATAGCGCCTCCTATATTAAGCACCCTATATGTAACATGGTTATATAAATATATAAGGATAAACTCCGGTCGTCGAGAAAAAGAAAAACTATATTACGAATTTTTCGTTTTTACGTCCGCTTTTAAAGATCGTTCTAAATTCAGTCTGATTCCTTCACTGCACGCATTTTTTATATACAGGATATTTGTAACCGCTATGACGTTATACGCTTAAGCTTTGTTTCTATGACGATGCGTTTCTCCGAACGAATGCCTCTGGTTTTTTTCCCCGAGTGCGTGTGCAAAACGAATCATTTTTGGGAAGGCTAATTCTGAACCCGGGAGTCTTACATATCGCCCTTCCACTTCAATTGTACATTCTATGTCCGTATATATATATGTATATACAATGCATATATACGAATATACGTGCACCTATGTGAACCAAGTGCTCATGTATGCGTGTGTATCGGTATACATTAAACGCTCGTACGGTCGCGTTTTCGGTCTTGCTTTCCATAAAAACGGACGGATTTGAAAACGGTGGAATTCGAGCCTCGTGAGGCGGCCATATTGCTCAAGTCAAATTCTAGCGTCCCGATTGGTCGCTGACTGGTTCAGAAAATGGACGAAGGTATTGGCGCGAAATTTGAAATGAACTTACGAATATTCGTGATAAACGAATTAGATAGAATTGATTCGCGTGTAATGTATATTTAACTGATGTTTGTGTGTCCGCGTGGAATTTTCTAATTGGAAAGGTACAAATTCACCTGAGCAACATGACCACCCTACCTAGTTGAATTTCGGACCTTGTCCATAAATTCTTGCGTCCATCTCTCGATTAAGCAGAAGTGTAGGTTTTAAGTTCTTTCGAAATCAAAATTACACTACACTACATTACACTGTGTTACTGTATTACACCATTCTCTTCTTCAAATTGGTCCCTTCCGTTTACTCCTCCCATTTGCCCCGCCCATAGACTCGCCTCCTGACACGCCTACTGACTTCCCTCACCAGCTCCGCCCATAGACTCGCCTACTGACACACCTACTGACTCCCTCCCTTTGGCTCCGCCCATAGACTCACCTACTGCCACACCTACTTACTCCCTGCATTGACTCCGCCTGTTAGCCCCTCCTACTGACCCCGCTCATTGACTCCTCCCCCTATCCTGACTCCTCCCACTTATGAAAATACATACACTTCCTCTTAATCGTTTATGGACGCGACTGTACCCAATACGTATATACGTGAACGATGTATGAACACCATAAAAATAAATATGTATCCGAATTTTGTAGTCATACATATAAGTACGTAGGATGAGAAACGTGTATCATTCACGTGTGCACGTATACACGTACACATGTATACATATTAATTACTTAAACATACTTTCTACTACTACACACACAAACACACACACACAGGGTGTTTTAAAGATTGTAGTACAAGAGAAAACTGCGGCCTTTCTTAGATTATAAATGGAATATATTCTTAAACCGTGGTTTTTTCTTCAGCGAGAATGATTGCATCGTTAAAAAGAAAGAAAAAAAGAAATGTCGATAGATAGCGGATCACGGCTTAAAATTCTGGCTGCAATAACGAACAATTTTTTTAGTTGGAAATAACATGGTTTTCCGATTTTCCTGTTGTCTTTGTTTATCCGTTAGTTTTGTTCGCTTGTAGAGAGGAAAGAGTCGAACGAAAGTGTTCATTGTAAACGGTATGGTGTATTTTATTGTAATTGTATCGATGGCAACAAAAATAAACAATCGTCGAGAAATTCGTGGATTTTAACTTCATAACTTCTTCTCTCTTTTTTTTTAAGCTTTTTTTATTGTACTTTACGAGTGGCGAGTAACCGGATCATGGTAGATAGTGAGATAACTGGTTTAAATCCAGTATTTTTTATATTTTGAAACGTTTGTTGGGAAAATTTCGAAAATCGTCTTATTTTCCGCTGAAAAATTTACCAATTGTCTCTTGCACCATTATTTTTTGATCACCCTGCATTTTCTGAACGTTTTTCTTTCTCTGTAATGTTAAATGGAGACTTTCTTTTTTTAACGAACCGAATCGAGTACGCTTTTTCTCAGAATTTTTAAAATAATGAATTACGAAGGTATTAATTAACGATTGTAGAACCGTACCAATAAGCGAATTAGTTAATTCTTTATAGAAGGTATTAAAAGGCAAAAAAAAAAGATAATGTCGTCATACACCTATGAGAAGTCTGGTGAATAAGTTAACGTGGTTTTTTCTCTTCATTTTATTATTTATTTTTAATCTGAATCCGTAGGAATTATTATTGTATTAATTAATATATATGTTACATATATATACAAATGAATATATGTATGTATGTATATATGTATCGTGTCCGTGCATATACACATATATACGTATAGAATATAGAAATGCATATGTATATTAATTAATTGTATGAATTTAATATATGTTTATAATAAGATGTTTCATTTTTCCTTCTTTATTTCGGATATGTCGCTGGGTTGCTTTCTTAAAATTACTTAATTATGTAATCGTTGAGTGAGAATTAGAATAACGAGTGATTGAACGATCATGGGTGTTCTCTCATTTTCTAATAATTATGATGATAATAGAAATAAAGTTATTTAAAATCAAATTAAACCTTTTCTTTTTGTTTTCAAATTTCCCTCATACAAATTTCGTTTTATTTCATAGACTTGTACGGACTATGTCAACTTTTTTCTACTTAGAATCTTTCTCTTTACAAATTTGTAAACTTAAAAATGTACAAAATTTATAAGTGGGAGGAGTCAAGTCGAGGGGCGGGAGTGGGTGGAGCCTGTAGGCGTGGTCTAACTTCTTATTGGTGGAGTGGGAGGGGCCTGACGACGCCCCTTTCACTTGTCCTTCAATTACTCGCCAGTCTCTGGCAAGGGAGGACCACCACGTGGCCCTTCACGTGACTCTGCCTCTACAATCAGACCATGCAGTATCCGTACAAGTTTATAGTTCAGTTGTAAACATCTTTTGCTTCTCTCTTACTTTTTGCAGTTTTTTTCAGTTACAAAATAATTTATGTTACTCTAATTCAAACATTATTAAACGCGTGATACGTAAGTAAATTTTTTTAATTATTTGAACGATCAGTTTATAGAAAAATGTTTTCATGGGGATCGACAGTGACGCGTCTGAATAGGTAGGTCTCAATCAGCGATTATTTAATTTTTAAGTAAAAATTGATTTGCTTTTAATCTATTATTGCAATATTTTTAATTCAAATGTATTTTTTTGTTAACGCGTGCTGTGTTACTTGTGTGCGACTTTGAAAACCACGTTATTTTATTAGCTGTATCCTAATTTTATTATATCCATCGGTAAATAATTGCTTAAATGTTTAAAGAAAGTGCGTGCAGACAATCTTTTCGCGTTGTACTCACTATATCGAATTGATATTGATTGTCGAGTGCATGATATGTGAATTTTATTTAAAAATTTGTTGAAATTCGTCTCCCTTGAAAATAAATAATTCCAAAATTGTATGTTCCCAAATTAGAATTAAAAGGGGGCGCTATGGAGTCGATTTTAATATTCCTTTGCATACTGCTAGAATTATATTTCTCTTTTGAATTAGTGTAACATTTCACGAAAATTTTTAAACCGCTTCAAATTTGTCATTAAACTTTGTAACAAGTAACTTTGTCATTAAAAAAATTTTAACGAGGTTTTTAAATTTCTATCTGACGAAAAGTTCTCTTACTTTATGGTGGAAATGCAATATAAATAGCGGCCTAGTGATGGAATGCTATGATGTACAACGAAGAGGAAGTTTATCAAAACTTATTAAATCAGCTCAGCTTCAAATTCTATTTGTTGTTTTTAAAAATGGTAAACGCAACTTTTTAACATTTGTTTTTAAATTTATTCTAAAATTGCAAGATTTAAAATTTGAAAAATGCTATAATTATTTCTGAACTTTTTGTCAGATTTTGAAAAATCTATGAAACTATAAAATCAATTCATAACATTTTTTAATGATTTTAACAAAAAGAATAAACCTCGTAAAAATTATTTGTGCAGGACATAAAAGACGTATAACAAACCATGTTAAAACTGGACCGTTTGTTTTAACTGTCAAGTGCCAATATACCAGGGAACAATAATTAAGAGAACAAATAAACATGTTTTTCCATTTATGACTGATTAGCGTTGTACTCGTCGTACTATAAAACCTACAAATTTCTGTCATTGAATATTTTTTTATTTATTAACAAAGCGAAAATTTCTAAGTTCCGCACATTTTTTTCTCTCCAATTTTGAACCAATATTTGCAAAAGTTTTAATGAAAGAAAAATCGTACGCGCGCGCGTGCACGAACACACACACACAGATGCACAATGAAACGAATAACAATCTGAAAGCTGTGTCACGAAGCTTTGCAATATCTTTTCGATAACCCCGTCGATAAAACAAGTTCAGCCTATATAAATTTGCATGATATAAGTGTACTGTTCAGTAAATTCATTTGAGCTTCCCCGATGTTGCGTTTCAAATTTGAAATGAGAACATTGGCGTAGCTCGAGGAAGGATCTTCCTACTCTCCTCCGCTAGCTACGCCAATGGCTAGGGACACGTTAGAAATGAAATAATTCATCGAATCTTCTGTGCCTTTCGAAGAAACATTCATTTTTACCGTTACTGTGAAGTTTCTACGCTTTGCGATTTACTCATTTGTAATTTCGCAGACAGGGTTTTGTAATTTAAATATCGTTGATTGTCATTTTGAGGAAATACTTCTTTCAAAATTATGTTGGACGTAGGAATAAGAGGAGACTTAAGTTTCAGTTAAATTATATTATACTTTTATTCAAATTTTTCGATTTAAATTGGAAGTTTGTTTTTTTCAATTTGAATTTCCCGCCATTTGAATCACGTTTGAATTTCCCGCCAAACCGAGGCACAGTATGGCGTCCAGTCTCCTCTTAGTCCCATGACTGTTTCAACGATTGAACACTTTCTTTATGAATACAATAGCTGAAACGAAAACGTCTTCTGTCTACTGTCCACTTTTTTACATTAGAACTTAATGGAATTCAAAATAAGGGCATTGAATAAGCAATTCGAATTCATGATTCGTCCCTGTATTATTTAACTATTAACAAAATAGTTACACGTATACGTAAACTTTAGACACAAGCCGAACGTTTATTTATCTGGGTCAGATATGGGCAAAAAGAGCAAGATGGCGCTCTTTGCGATGAACAAAATGGCGGAGATATGACTCCGTGAAGCGAGGAACGCTTCTGTCCCAGTAACGGAGAAATCTGCTGCCCTCTACCTTACTGCTCGTGACTAATCCAGATTCTCCTCGTGCAAAATTTGGAAAATCTACAAAAACACCGATCGACGATAATTAAACTAAAATTTAGTAATTCTCGTAGATTCAGGTATTCGCTTTAATAACTAAGCGCGCATAACCTAGTAGAAAGAACATATTTACATAATATATTTTTATATTAAGTCATGTTTCTATCATTCCAAATGTGACATTACGATCAGAACTGATTCTGTCGTTCAGCTACTTAATTTCTCTTAATTTAACGACTTAACCGGGACGTTTGTTGCACGCTGACTCGTACAACGTTGTTGATCTGAGAATCAAAAGGAAACGATTAATCAAGAATCTGACTGTATACTTTTCCTAATTGTGACTTACTTTCTTGGTGAATGGTCGCCATGTTACAAAGTAAAGATAAGGGCGAATCAAGAGGTCAAGACTATGGAGTCTGGTTTATATTGAGAAAGCATTTGTAGCAAAATCTATTTACTATAATTTAACAAGTGAAGTTGGTATCGTAACACTTCTAACCTAACCTATATGACTCTTTTATTGCAGTGCTATAGTAGCTATAGTAGCTATAGGGTGTTTCACAACTAGTGTCCCTGAACTTACGCTAGTTGTGAGACATCCTGTATATGATAAGAAAAAGCTAGTATACAGGGTGTCTCACAACTAGTGTAGGTAGTTCAGGGACACTAGTTGTGAGACGCCCTGTATACTAGCTTTTTCTTATAATATACAGTGTGTCTCACAACTAGTGTCCCTGAACTACCTTGAGACACCCTGTATATGATAAGAAAAAGCTAGTATACTGGGTGTCTCACAACTAGTGCAGGTAGTTCAGGGACACTAGTTGTGAGACACACTGTATATTATAAGAAAAAGCTAGTATACAGGGCGTCTCACAACTAGTGTAGGTAGTTCAGGGACACTAGTTGTGAGACACCCTGTATATGATAAGAAAAAGCTAGTATACTGGGTGTCTCACAACTAGTGCAGGTAGTTCAGGGACACTAGTTGTGAGACACACTGTATATTATAAGAAAAAGCTAGTATACAGGGCGTCTCACAACTAGTGTAGGTAGTTCAGGGACACTAGTTGTGAGACACCCTGTATACGATAAGAAAAAGCTAGCATACAGGGTATAAAAAGCTAGTCCCTGAACTACCTACACTAGTTGTGAGACACCCTGTATACTAGCTTTCTCTTATCTCAATTGTACCTCTTTCTGTTACCACTGTATACTCCAAAGTGATCTATGATTGTAGAGTCACTGTACTTCATCAGTATTGATCATACAGGCTATGATAACTGTCTATTCTCAGCACCTATCGCTTGTTACTCAGTAAATAGATTTCCTGTAAAATTGCTCTGTCAGTGTGAGCTGGATTTAGACTTATAGTCCGATACAACGGGTTTCGTAAATGATTTACGACCTCGCTATATCCAGACTATATCCGACTACGGGTGAATACTAGAGACGACAGATTTTGGATACTCAACACCGATACATCATTCCTTCCGCCATATCATTTACTTATTTCACCGTGATAGTACTCGACTCTCCATTATGCCTCATAGTAACTTAACGAGGAAAGAAATATTTTAACGAAACAAAAGCGCGGTTCGAAGAATTTGCATGCGAGATGCAAACGAAGCAAAAAAGCGATTGAGATGAATAGCGATTAAAATGAAAATAATAATAATGAAAAAAAAAGATGAAATTTCATAAATATCTGTGATGCGTACGTGAAAGGGCCAGTGCATGTGATAATTGCTAAAGTGACGTTCGTTTTCGTAACTTGTAATTCGTAACCGTAGAAAAATGGCCCTACATTGCCAAAATCTTTAGTCCCATGGTTCGAGACGATCGTGGGCATAACAAAATAAAATACTTAAATAAGTGTTTCTTAGATTTTAGTTCTTAATAACATATCTCAAGGAGAACAAAATCGGTACTGGATCCTTTGATAATGTCTCTAATAAGTCTACACAAATCAAACATAATTTCTTAACCTCAATTATCATCGAATAATTTTTTTTTTCATATTTTTTGAACAAAGTATTGGAATAGCTTAATTCACTCGTATAATTTCGAAATAGTGATGTATTACGTGTGTAAATTAATTCGATGCTTGTATTATGGCCATCAAAGTGCCGAGGTGGATGTATCTCAACGGCAGCCATCTTGGATACCGCCATGTTACGTGGTGTGCAAAAATGGCGGAAAGTGTTGAAATTTGAAATCTAAGAGCAAGTCTGTAAGTGTAAAAGCATTGAATTAGTTTATAAATTTAATACACTGTCTTTAAAGTATATAATTACTTAAATATCACATCATTTTATCCCGAAACGAGTAAAATGGAAAGCTAATTTCAATTATAGTTGAACTGTGTGTATAGAGTCTTATAACGAGAAAGCTCGAAACATGAATCTACTAATTACTCATTCGGTATCGATATCAGATTAATCCTTGTTGCTTTATTGGTTTCCGATTTCCTTGTATCCAGAGGCATTAGCACAATCTATAACGATATTTGTGATACTAAATAACATTTATTCTTGTTATGAGCTTTTCATTTTCTCTTCGATTCCTCGCGAATAAAAGTAAAAGTAAAAAATAAAATAAAGATAAACGACAAGCTATCGTACAATCGTACAAATTTTGTTTTTTAGTTGAATCACGTGAAACAGTGACTTAACGTGCGCTAATACACATACATATAGTCGTGTGATCATGTGATGAACATACGAAGACAATTCAAACACGATGTACACTCGAGGGAAACGCACGTTTCTGTCGGTTAGGAGAGTGGTGGGGGAGGAGTGTCGAATTTGGGTATTTGGGAATTTGGAATTATGAAAGTTTAGGAATTTTGGGATTTGGGGTGGGAAGTTCAATATATAGGGATTTGGGATGTAGGGAATTTGGGATGTAGGGAATTTGGAATGTAGGGAATTTGGGATGTAGGGAATCTGGGATGTAGGGAATTTGGGATGTAGGGAATTTGGGATATAGGGAATTTGGGATGTGGGGAAATTGGGATGTGGGGAATTTGGGACGTGGGGAATTTGGGACGTGGGGAATTTGGGACATAGGGAATTTGGGACATAGGGAATTTGGGATATAGGGAATTTGGGATATAGGGAATTTGGGATATAGGGAATTTGGGATATAGGGAATTTGGGATATAGGGAATATGGGATATAGGGAATTTGAGATATAGGGAATTGGGGACGTGGGGAATTTGGAACATAAGGAATTTGGGACATAGGGAATTTGAGACATAAGGAATTTGGGACATAGGGAATTTGGATCATAGGGAATTTTGGGTAAATATGAATTTACAATTACAAGTAAAAAAAATTGAACATACAGAAATACAAAAACACAAAATTTTTAAAATCAAAAAATGTGAAAATTGTCAACTCCCCAAAATCAAGGCTGCACTCCTACCCCCTCCACATACTCCTATCAAAAAGAATCGTTGCACCCGAGTGTGCATTACACTGTAAATGTAAATTCTTAGAACGAAAAAGAGCGGAGAAGCGTTAAGTAGGAAAATCTAAAATGAAGAGACGCGACCGGGGTGAAACGACGAAAAGCGAAGATGGGAAACCAAAACAGAAAAATAGAGGAACAAAGAATTCTTAGTTTATAACGTAGAGGATCGCAGAGAGTATTTTTTCTAGGAACGTTAGTGGACCAGCCAAACTATAAAAGAAAAAATACAAAAAAAAAAAATAATGAATGGGAGAGAACGGAAGCACAAACCGTGCGAGTACGATGAATGAAATTAAACGTTAATGCCTATCCAATGGATATAAAATGAGAACTTATCTTCTATGAACTATGGATACATTTTACTTACTATATCGACCCTAATGTAAAAACAAGAAGACATCCATAATTTTGTTTTTATCGAAATTTGGACTCACACCGTTTAAAATGGCTCAATTGTGTCAGTTATGATAGTCTTCCAAAAATAAACAAGTACCACACTTGCATAGCGCTGGACGCGTGTACACATGTACAGTGTGCGTACGTGTGAACGAAAAAAAAGAGATACGTTCAGGCCCGATCGGGTCATATTACGCGTCGCCGCCTCTCTAGTACACGCGGTATCACTCAGTCGGGTCTGAGCGTGTGAACGGCTACAAATAGCTAAGCACAAAAGGAATTTTTTCATCGAAGCAAAACGGGGGGGATTGAAGGATATTTGATCGATCTGAGAAATTTACAAAACGTTAAAAAGCGATCAAAAAAAAACAACGCAGAACGATGTCTAATATTAAAAACTATCCGTATCTGTAGTTCGTAATGTGTCTTAAGTTATCCTTCCGAAGTTCGTAAGGAAGCCGAAAGAATGTACACTTCTTGAAAATGTAATATTTATGGAAGTTATATATATATATATATGATATATAATATATATATACATAGTAGAGTAATATTAAGAGCAAATGAAAATAAGCGTTAGGAAAATTGTAGGTAAGAAAAGATGCGATAATTGAAGAAGAGGGAAAAAAAATGAACGATTATATTATAAGCAACAGAAAGTGCTTTTAAGAAATACAATGTTATTTATATCATTATAACGTGCACACACGGGTGTGTGTTAAAAGGTACACCGCGTAAAACTGCAGATTCTCCATGCCAAAAGAAATCGAAAAGTCCTTTACCATTTTGTAATCAGTGGCTTTGTTTACGGCGTATAAGCGATTTCAAATTGATTGCCCGACTTCCGGGCACTTCCGGGGCAATTGGGCGAACAAATGACGCACACGACTCTGCCAATACCAAATAATTCCGTGCATCACTGATATTACGCGTTTGTGCAATAAACATTCGTTAACATTTGTTCAATTAAATTTATTTCATCAGTGTTTATTCCGAGTGCTAAATTAATGGACGTAAGAACACGTGGTTCGGACGGCGGCCATGTTGTGTAGCGCGCGAAATTTGAAATTTCGAATATTTCTTGTAATAAAATTTATTACACGAATTGTCTATGTGAGATTATAATTAATTATAATAATTATAATTAGGCAGATAATAATTATCTGCCTATCACCGTTATAAGCAGTAATAAATTTAATTGAATTAATAATGTTAAAAGAATTACAAAAAATCTCGGTGATGTTAAAATACATAAGTATGTACTTGGTATTGTAGTGCCGTGTGAATGTATGTGTGTCTACAGCTTAGAGTGTGTAAGTACAAACACACACACACGATATAAACGTGCGTGCCTGTGTGTCTATATACAATACGTATATATATATATTAATTAAGTTTATAAGATAAATCCATGTACCGCGTAATATAAAAGTACTGTATAAGCACACATATGCACGCATATACATTGTATGCATTACGTGTAGGATTTAAGGATGAATAAATAAGTGTATATGTATATGTATTTATTTGTTTATTTATATGAAATTAAATGATATGTATGTATACACGAGTGCGCACGCGTATGTACACGTATCACATATGCACGCAAGCAACACAATTAAAAAAACTCAGATTGCAACCGATATAATAATAATATTAATATTGTAATAATAATTCGTAGTATTATGTTATATATTGGTGATGTATTAAATAATAAAGGTTGTCCTATATGTGAATGAAACAATTATTTACTCAAATCCTGACCTACATATATTGAGATACTTTATAGGGATTTATTTATGGTTTAGATCCCAGTAGTGTTCACCATAGCTTCCGTCTACGTTTCCCCATTTCACCTGCAATTTTAATATATTACTCATTGGATTTTTGTAAATTTAATATTTAGATCCTTACCTTTCCTCGATGTCGATTTTCTGATAGATCTTTTTCTTCGAATCTTTGCTCCCATTGCATTGGGTTCTCGCACACGTAGCCAAATTGTAATTTATCATTCTTCTGGTGCTCCATAAAGATATCCCTAAACATTTCAAACGACATACAGCTTTTACCGCGGAAAAAGACAGCGCCGTTTTGCGGTGACCGGCGGAACTAGCTGAACATTAATACGCGCTTTTTCCAAAATTAATAATTTTAAAGAGTATATAATCAATATTAACAAATATATAATAAATGTATATTAATTAATATTAACTGATTGCATTATAAATGCAAATTAATCAATAAAATCAGTAATAATTAAATTTAAAAAAAAAATGAACTGCTAGCGCCATCTCTCCGGCGAACAGGGTGAACTACACACATTTGAAACTGCCTGTTAATTAGTTCCTACCTTCCACCGCTAGGTGGCTAAGGATTTTACTGTCCATCATTTGCAAAATGTTTAATTTTCTTTTGTAACGGTTTTAGAGCGTTATGATGGAATTGTTTCAACTCCATTGTGATCGTAGATCATTCTACACGCTCCAAAAATATATAAAAATCATTAAATTTGTTAAAAAACGCATTTTTTTGTTTTATTATTTCCGCCTGTCATCGCTAGATGGCGCTAATAGTAGTTTCCAGCGGAAGCGCGCGAAAATTTGAATTTTCAAAAGACTGAGAATACAAATTCCGTAATGCTTTCAACTTCTTCAATTATTTTGTAAAAAAACTCAATCAAATGACATCAAACGTGTCATAATACAGTTATGAAATATAAAATTGTCAGCAGTGTCGGTATTTCAGATTATCTGACATGAACGACAGTTACTTTCTACGACTTATACAAGAATATTGTATATTACTTACTGAAAAAGTTGTTTCTTCAATGAAATCACGTCAATATCATCATCTGTTGCCTTATCATTCAATTTCCGGACTGTATCTATAAATTTTCAATTATTTTATTTATACCCGAAACGTATGTCGAATAGCAATATAACAAAACTACCTGGATGAGGTTTTTGTCCCTGTTTTACAACGCCTGCTAGTATAAAAGTTATCATAAAAAGTTGTAAATAAAAAAATTTAAACATATTATATTGAATAATAAATAATGCTAAACAATAAGATAAATCACTGATTATGCTTCAATTCGAACTGTCGCAGTACTCGGTGAATGTACATCTTTTGATGCTCTACTTGTTTCGACACTTTTTACACGACGTGAAAGTTTGTGACTTTTATATCTTGCTTATCTCGTAAATGGTAAGTTGAAGTTTGTCAAATCTTAAGTATCTTTATTTGTTTATAAGGTTTACATATTTAACGTTTAATTTAACCAAAATAATTGGGAAAAGTTATATCAGCTTATTATATTGCCACGCATTATATTGCCAATTTATTTATTTACAAGAATAGGGAATTACACTTTGCGCTTGCGCGTCACTGTTACTTAACCAATCAGAGCTGATGTGCGCAAATGAATAAATTCTCGTTGTCTGATGAGTATGGTTGTCCATACAACCAGCAATAGTTTTCTGTGTTTTGTTGTTTTGGAATATTTAAAGATGAACTCTAACAATAGAATAAAATAAAGCACTACTATTAATGTATAAGTATGTATTAAATTACAATTTATGATTAGAGAATATTTCTCTAAGAGATAAATCAAGCAAGTAGTGTATAAATTTTGTATTATATTGTTCTCCATTCATAATAAGTATTAACAATGTTTATTGATAAAGTTTTGTATATTATGAGACAAAATGTTGCCATTAAAGTTGTTAGAGAATCAAATAAACTTTTATTACGTGGCAATACTAACAATTTACAATACTCAGTTCAAAGAAATTTTAGAAACGTCTCTTACGAGCAGAAATTGAAGAGAAATCGTATTTTATTACTGTTTCTCGTCCCTTGTTTTGTTACAAGTTTGATCGGCTGGAAGAGGTACTCTACTGACTTTAAATAAATTTTGTAGTTAATGAGAAATTTAAAATTGACTCAAACTAAAATGTAAAAAATCAATTTCAGTATAAAGGGAACCTATTTCCCTTTAGTTGGCGCAGCGGAGAGGATCACTGAGAATGAATCTGATGAAGAAAATAATGCTATGGAAGAAGAACAAAACAAAGAAAAGAAAAAGAAGAAGGAAAAGATTGGTTTCCGAGATAGAAAGGTAAACATTATAACTGTGTTTAGATATTTTAATCAGAGAAGAAACCAGAGTCTTAGGTAATTTTGACAATGAAACAAGGCTTTGCTTGAACATGGGATATTACTCAAATTAGGAGAATCTTTGAGTTATTTTGATAGACTGTAAGCATCCAAAAAGATAAGACAAAAAAATATAGGCTTCTCTAAATAGTTATCATCAGTGAACAACAAATTAAAAACTCTAATCAGGATAATTATAGATGAGTCAATCCTTCTGCAGTGATCAAGAGAGTTAATTTTCATATGAATGGAATCATTTATTTTTAAATTGGTTGCAGATTATAGAATATGAAAATCGATTGAGGGCATATTCAACCCCAGATAAGATTTTTCGTTATTTTGCAACTGTACAAGTAACACATCTAGACAATACTGAAGTTTACATGACGCCTGATGACTTCTTGAGATCAATTACTCCTGGCATGAGACAACCAGATGGTATTATTGTTTAATTCTTTCTCCCTACATTATTTTTGAGATTTAACTCAAATTTAAGTTTTTGCATCTTTATTAACCTGCTCTAAGTATCCAAGATAGAATTATATTAACACAGAATACTTAACATATTATTGAAATTGTACATAACTTCCAAACTGCTTGTTCTATTTTATAAGTTTTACTTTTTTATAATTTCTCATAGTACTTTCCTTTTTATTTCCTTGTTTGTAATTTTGGGGAAACTGAAATAGCCAGAGGGTTCTGTATTTTGGAAAGGTATTCAAAAATTCTTTTAAAGAATTCAATAACTACAAGAGCAAGGTAAGGCTCTATTAGTCCTTAGAAACAGCTGAATCTTTCACTTCAGAAACAAACGAATTAATCACTATAAAAGAACAATTACATATTAGCCCAAGCAGCACTTGTATTATGTATCAGGTAACAGTAGGCAGTGTTAAGCAATTGAGTTGGGAATTCATAACTTTGTACCCTAGTAGTAATCATTCACAATATGCTACTGGGCTTTAATTAAATGAACGAATAATTGTTTGCAATACAGATAATAGAGTATGAAAATCGTATGAGACACTATTCTACTCCGGACAAGGTATTTCGGTATTTTGCGACACTACAAGTGGTCAACAACGACATCCATGAGATCTTCATGACACCCGATGACTTCTTAAGATCTATAACGCCTGGTCTTAAACAACCAGACGGTAATTAATGAAATGTTAAGATATTGTATGTAAATGTATGTAAACTCTACCTAGATTGTCTGCTGCTAAATTCATTCATAGTTCAATAACTCATAATATATACATTACTTTTTAAATCATAGTGTCCCATTTACTTTGTTATACATACATGTTTCAATATTTAGTGTACACTCATCCAGCATTAATAATGATTTGCAATTTTTGTAGGATAGATTTTTAGATACAAATAATTTTTTATTGGGTTAATGTCTGAAGATCATGGAAATGTATTTAAAAACATATTATTTTAATTTCTTTGTAGTGCGCTTAGAATCATTGCCTCATTGAAATCATTTTCACTTATCTTGCCACTTGCCTTTAATTTATTTAGCAAGTATTAGCAATCAAAGATAATTTTAGAGAAGCCTACTGTACATGCAAGTGTGTTTATGTGATGCTTTATATTAATGTGTTTATGGATTTACATGTATATCAAATGCATGTGATATCACATCTTTTAACTGAGAATGTAGTAATGAATTAATAATAAGATTCTAAAATGATATAATTATTTTTAGGACTCGGCCTAGACAAGTATAAACGCTATGATCCAAAGGTGAGAATAATCATAATTTCATACATTATGAATTTTGTTTTAAATACGCATTTACATATTTTTGTAGAATATTCATACGAAATTGGAGTTGGCTCTGGACGAGGATAGCATCTTTTTTAAACTTGGAAGTGCAGGATTAATCACTTTTTCTGATTACATATTTCTGCTTACAGTATTGTCCAGTAAGTCAGAAGAAGTACATAGTCAAATTTTAGGTTGTCCAATTGTAAATCAATATATCTTTTCAGCTTCTAGAAGACATTTTGAAATTGCCTTCAGAATGTTTGACTTTAATGGTGATGGTGATGTAGACTCTGAAGAATTTGGTAAAGTTGCTACTTTAATTCGACAACAGACTAGTATTGGTAGTCGTCATCGTGATCACGTCACGACTGGTAACATGTTTAAGGTATCGTATACTGTCAGTCATTTATGTTTATACATAGTTTATAGACACAAAATTTACATACGATGTACATTTATTAAGGGCGTTAATTCAGCATTGACTACATACTTCTTTGGATCAAACATGAAAGGAAAATTGACAATCGAGAAGTTTCTCGAGTTTCAACAACAATTGCAGCAGGAAATACTTAGCTTAGAGGTAAATTTTATAAACATTTTATACTTTATATTAACTGATTAGTAGTCAATGATTAATAGAAACTAATTATTGCAGTTTGAACGAAGAAATCCTGATGAAAATGGTAGAATAAGTGAAGTAGATTTCACAGAATTATTACTTGCTTATGCTGGCTATCCTGACAAGAAAAAAGCGAAGATTATAAAAACTGTAAAAAAACGGTGAGTACATTGCAAATAAATAATACATTTTTTAAATAATGTATAAAATATAAATTTTAAATATTGCAGCTTCAAAGAGGAATCTAAAGGAATCGATAAAGACGAGTACCTGAAATTCTTTCACTTTTTAAATAATATTAATGACGTGGATACAGCACTGACATTTTATCATATTGCAGGAGCATCTATAGATCAAGGTTCTTAAAAAATGATTTTATTTATTAAGAACTCAATTCTGAACATATCATTTTTATAAACTCATATTAGAATAATTATTTACAATTTATAGCTACCTTAAAACACGTGGCAAAAACAGTGGCACATGTTGATTTGAGTGATCATGTTATACAAGTGGTTTACACAATTTTTGATGAGAACAGTAAGTCCATGATAAATAAAAATACAACAAAAAATATTTTCCTGTCTGAATAACTATAATTTTTTCTTGCAACTTTCTAGTGGATGGTCAATTAAGTAACAAAGAATTTGTTGCTGTCATGAAAAATAGGGTATTAAGAGGATTGGAAAAACCGAAAGATACTGGATTTGTAAAATTGATTGAATCAATAGCAAAGTGCTTAAAAATTACCTACAGCATGCATTTCGAAAATTAAAATAAAATTGCAGTTATAGCTTAATTTTTTTCTTTATAATAAAAACGAATTTCGAAATGAAATTATCTAACAATTTATCTCATTGAAATTATATGGATACTGTGTAATCTAAAAAAGAAATAAACGTGTGCGAATAAAAATATGTTGTCAATGTATTTTTATAAAAACCACAGTAAATGCAACAACTACAACATTGTTTTGTTAATGGTGAGGTTAGTTCTAGGAATTGATGAAGATAATAATAGCTTTAACTTTTATACTTATATCACATTTTCAACTGTACAAACATAAATAACATCTATATACAAATTAAACCGTAAGTTCCGGAAATAGGTTTATCAAAATGTGGTCTAGAAGTACATACGCAAGATGCTTATTGAGAGCTGCATTTTGTAACGAATCTAAAATAGAATCCATTAACTCAGTCCAAGGTTTATAAAACCCAATCAACCAGCAGGGTAACAAACCGTATAAGCCCTTCTTTGCACTTTCGTAGTAATTTCGACGATTTCCTCGAGAACTCGTGTCTTTTGTGCTATCTTTATCTTCCATCACTTTTGCATGTAGAAGCTTTACAACGGTGGCTGCGCGTCCTCCACTTAGGAGTTTGGCCAAAGTATTATATAGTAAAACGTTAATGTATGGATCCATCTTTGCACGTGACGATGAGGCAAACATCCAGAAGGTTCGTGAAATAATTGGTGGTACATTCAATAATCGATCAACTAAAATGATAATCGATAGTATCGAGTCGCCTAATTGTCATACATGAAACAAGTGCAAAAAGTAATACACCCACCTGCATCTGCGGTACAAAATGATGCACCCTTCACATGAGAACGTTCCAAGGATGGAGAAGGGAGATTCCGATCATTCAAATACAAATTAAGATTATCTCCAAATACTCCTAACAGAAGATCACGTCCCTTTATCTTTCTGATTTCGTTCATACCAGCTTCACCCAAAGGTTCAACCCCAATATCTGTATACTCATTTTTACTATTAGTGGACGCCAAAAAGACTGTCATAAATTTGTCCAAATTTTGACCTTTTTCTTTCCTCAATTTGTTCGCCATACTGTGATATAATATTCCAATATCTGGTGTGCTATAGTTTGTGAAGTAAGGCTTCAAATTTGGCACTGTCAAAAAGTTATACAGAAGTTCACTGCTTCTCAATACTGGCTTTGAAAGTAACTTCTCCAGGAAGTCTTCGTATCTTTGTCTGTTCACGGTGTAAGAGGAAAGGGGGTTTTTCCGTGAAGGCAATGGTGAGTCGCTTAATTCTTTATCGCCATGGAATTCCGCTAATCGGGTTCGTAAAATGTAGAAGTCTTGGTCTCGACGCAAGACTGTCCATGATTTTCCTTCGGCTACGTTGTGTACGGTAATCACGTATAAAGCTTGATTATCTCCGGTTTCGATGTGAGGAATACTCACTCGCCATGTTGTCAGGTCTCTGTGCTGAGTATCATCGGCACCTTTGATTTCATTATACGAACGAGAAGAATAATCGATTTCTTCGCCTTGATAAATATCTTGGAATGTCATCCCGTCTACCGCCGATGTGCGTAAAACTCCATCCATCTTAGGAAAATGATTCCCGAGTTTTGAGGAACTACTATGAGATCCACTACTAACGCTACGAACAGAAACACTGAAATGACGTATTTTATGGCATAAAATGTCTGATTGATTTAGCAATATGTTAATAAGTTGGCTTACCTCACTCGAGATTGTTTAACACGATTAGGAGCCGGTTGTCCACATAACAAATCATAAAGCTGTAAAATAAAAAATAAATATAAAATACAGGATAAAGAACATTTAAACTTGCTTACCTGATAACTGTGATGAAAAGATGGCAGGCAAGTGGATTCCAATAGTGCATGAGCTTCTTGGTGTGCTTGATAGAATGGTCGTGACGTTCTTAACTCTTGAATTCTCTTCGAGCTTCTTTCAAGAACTAGAAACATGATTAGCGTCATGAGTTATGTAAACAACTCCAGTACTTTAAAGAGGAATAAGTGTTTGAACTTACTTCGTCGTATACCCATAGATATATCTTCAGGTAAATGTAAGTACTCTGGACCATCTGGGTCTAGGTACATTAAATACATATTTTGGATATCAGTGTATAAATTATTTTCGGCATTGAGACTCATCTCGGGATTTAACATACGCTTGCTGAGATCATCTACAAATGTTAACTATAGCAATCATAACAATAGAGGAAATGAAATCATGAAATGTATTTGAATAAATTCTTACCAATATCTAAACAGAATTGAAACAGATTCATAGGGCCAGTTTCTTTGATATGCTGCATGAACATGTACAACAATTGTGGATTGTTCAAAACCTCATCCAATGAAGGTTTTAAATGATTTTGTATAACTTTTGGCATTGGTGGAACAGTCACCCAATATTGTAACATTGGTACACTAACTGCATCTACATTATTAGTAACAGTACCATCTCGATGAGTTGACAACATTACTAGTGCATTTATATTCTCTGGATCAGCAATTGCATCCACTGCTGGTAGAAGGATCCAATTTGCTAAGATTTCACGGAGTATGACCTACAAGTAAAAGATTTTATTACAGCACAATAAAAACTAAATAGGTTGAATATACATTACCTTGTTGTTAGTAGACACATGTATAGCAGGTAGTAAATGTGGTATAAGTGCAGTGACTATTCCTCTAAGATAATTTAATTCAGCTTTACGTGTATAACTAGCTGGATGTATTTCACGACCAAAATAATTAATTAGGCAATCCCCAAAATTAGATGTGTCAGAAGTATCTTCCATTTTGGCTTTTAAATTCTTCCAGTCTTGGGCATGTTGCAAAATCAGTGGTACCAATCGACACAGAATAACATTAACTATATCTGTGCGAAGTAATCGAACTGCTATGTTTTTGGTTGCTGTAGCTGTAGCCAAACGTAGCTGTTGTATGAATGCTTCATCTGCAGAAAAGTCTGAATACCATGCACAAACATATTTCTGAAGTAAATCTTCAAGAAGCTATAAAAGAAAAATTGCACTATTAACTTTAGAATAAGCAAAAATTGTTAAAATTTATAACAGGGAAAAAATAAATGCATTACCTGTTCCAAAGCATGATCACAATCCTTTGGTATCTTTACTTTAGCTGAATGTGGTAACTGTTTGTGTCTTTTACAACTGTTATTACTACAAACGCTACATGGATCTTTAACTTCAAATGTTGGATTAAATGTATCACTTATGGCATTTAAATTAACTAGTGCTAAGTTGATATACTGCAATATAACCAGTCCATAAAAGACATTCGTTAAGTACAGGCAACATATAATGAGTGCCCAAACAATACTGAAACATTACAGTAAAAAGTAAATCAAGTAACTGAACTGAGATTATGACAAACGTCAAGAAACTTACCTATCAAATACGATTAAAATAAATAAAACTAACATAAATACAATCAGTGGAATTATGATATTACATAAATAAAAATCTTGTACTTTATCTTTTGATGAAAGTGCCATAGTTTCTTAAAGCATTCTTTTCTTATCACATTATCGCATTATATTGTTTTATTTTACACATCATACTTCTACTGGATTAGGTTAAAATAAACTTTTTATCATTTGAATGTCGCATACTGCTATATCGATCGAAATTTTTTATTTCAGTGGTTCCATCGTTCGCTGTTAAATGACACTACTGATACCATTCTAAAAATGCGCGTAATATGAAATTAAAAAATTCATGTAAAAAATTAAGCCTTGTGCAATATTTTCAGATTATTAAATTCACTGCTTTCAAATAGCATAATATCTCAAATTCAGTAATTATAGAACAAATTATAACGCAAAATTAGTTTATTGAGAAACCATACAAGAAGTCCCAATACCATTTGTTAATATCCCGTACTCTCCAAATTATTCTAAACAGATAACATATGTTTTAAAGATTAATTCCTAAAATAAACAAATTTTAGAATTACAGCTAAAAATATTTATGATGTAAAATTTTTACGGACACCTAGTGGAAAAAATTATTTATATACCTACCATATGCACTTTAATTCCTATCGCAGCTGAATGTCAGTTTATGTATCTACTCTTTTTTATAAGCTTTTAATTTATATAACAGTTTACAAGCAACATGATAAATTACATTTTTTAAAAATTAGAATGATTTAAGTATCGACGAAGGAAAACGCTTTCAGTAAACAAAGATATTTAACCGAATAAAAGTAAATTAAAACTGACATCAGTAGAACGAACGATTTGAGGTTATGTATTAACGTGAAAAGGAATGAAAAGAAACAATGAATATCGATGAAAATTGGCAAAATTTTAGTGAAAAAAAATGTATCAGATTCAAGTCTGCCAAACAGTCTGATAACCAAAGTAATAAAATTCAAGATGTGAAAAATCAGTTCAATTTTGGGAAACGTCGGCAAAAAGGACAAGGTAATTGATTTTTAATTGTTTATTCGATTAATTAACTTATTGTACATAAAATTATTGATTACTGACATATTTAAATGCATTGATGTTTAAAAATTTTATATACATAATGAATTCTAATAATAAAACTAGTTTTTATTATTATTAAATTATTTGAATATGTTTTGTAATTTTTACCAAATTTTGTACATGTAATGTACCTAGATGCATTGGTAGTATCTACTATTTATTTAAAATTACAGGCATGTCCCTTACACAGTTTTTACGAACGGAATTAACGAGAGGCTACCAATTGGAAAATGATGAAGAAAGATTTTCTGCAAGAAGGGAGAAAATTTATTCTTTCATGAAAATTCCAAGGGAAGTTGAAAAGTTCATGGCTTATGGTTTCTTGCAGGTGCAACTAATTGTTTTAATGTGTTATTTCATTGAAATAGGATCAAATTTATTCGTATTTTAAGCAAAATGTAAAAGAACTGTTTTCTGTTTTCAGTGTGCAGACTCATTTCTGTTTGTATACACATTTTTACCTTTAAGATTCATGATGGCATTATGGACAGTAATTACTAGACCCCTTTGGTACTGTTTCGGGTAAGTCTATTATAATTGCACATTGTGAAGCCTTGTGTATATAAGCTTTGCAATTTTTATAAATAAAATAACAACACAAGAAGATCATAAAATTGATTTTCAATTTAGAAAAGAGAAAAATAATTTGAAAGTTGGTGAAAGACATTTAAGACCAGCAGAGATCTGCGACCTTTTAAAGGGAATCGTAGTGATCAGTTGTTGGGCAGCTACTTGGAAAGTTGATACATCTATGATGTATCATTTGGTGAAAAGTCAGTCTGTAATAAAATTGTACATATTTTATAATATGCTGGAGGTTGGAGATAGATTATTCAGTGCTTTTGGTCAAGATACAATTGATGCCTTGCTATGGACTGCTACAGAGCCTAGGTCAAAGACACAAACAGGATCTCAGCATTTAGGCACGCTACCACATCTGCTGTTTGCTGTTACTTATGTTTGTATCCTTTATATAATGTTTGAGCTGATCTGGCACCACTATTTGTAGATTAATCACATGAGAATTTGTGTGCATAGTTTTAAACTTTTAACACCAAATATATTTTCCTATGCAAAATTTATCTTTAAAGTATTGCACAGTATATTGGTACTATTCCAAGCAACCACACTAAATGTAGCAATAAACAGCAGTAACAAAGCCTTGCTAACTATAATGATGTCTAATAATGTAAGTTTAATTATTATTCATTATAGTACTATTGACTCCCATAAACACACTATATATATGTATCTATGTACACTTCAGTATAATGTAGGCTTTCCTTAGTTAAAAGTATAAGAGCAGGATAATTATTTTAAAGTAACTGTGGTGTTGGGAGATACCAGGGAGTTTAACTTTCTTCCCTTTAACTGAGGGAAGCCTAAGTTTCGTGAAGTTTCTTGCAACTTATAGATAACAGTGATGATATGAACTTCTGTTTCAGTTTGTAGAATTGAAAGGTTCTGTTTTTAAGAAATTTGACAAGAATAACCTCTTTCAACTATCTTGCGCAGACGTAAGGGAGCGTTTTCATTTAATGATGCTGCTTCTTGCTGTAAATCTACAAACAATGAAGGAATATGCGTGGAAAGCAGAACGTCTTACGGTGCTTTTACCAGATTGCATAATGTTGTTGTTAGCAGAGGTCCTTGTAGATTGGGTACATAACCAAACATTAATTTTTGTATATGGACAACTTGTCAGCAGTTGATCTGCAACAAAAGACTCTGCTTGTGTACTATCAATTCACTTGTTTCAGGTAAAACACGCCTTTATAACTCGCTTCAACGAACTTCGTTCCACAGTGTATAGGGGTTACACTATAAGTTTAGCTTATGACATGGCTCAAACGCGTCAAGAAACTGCTTTTTCTGATCCTTCGGATCTGGTAGCTCGTAGGATGGGTTTCATTCCTCTTCCTCTTGGGGTCGCAATAGGAAGAGTATTGTGCACAACTATCACACCAGCTGCCAAACCAGCCAACATAATTCTTCTGCTCCTAGCATACCTAATTCTAATAGCATTAAGAATTCTTATCAGCTTGGTGATTCTTGGTAAAGCATGTGATTTGATCGCGTCTCACTCAAAAGAATCAGAGGGTGCAACAGTGTCCATAAAACACTCGGCAACCGGTGCGGATATAAAAAATCCAAATTTAGCTACAGCAATGTTTTCCAATAGTGCAATTAGTTTAAATAATGTTTGTTTAAATGAAGCTATCTTAAAAGAGGAATTAGACAATGAAAAGATTAGTAAAGAAGTTATAGAATAAAATATATCTTTTTTACTAAGAGCTAGACACAATATACACTATATAAAAATTCTGGTAACCTTGTATTAGAAAATTCTTGAAAACAAAATGAAGCAGTTTTATAAATTTATTCTTAAACAAGGCCTGTATAAAAATCTTGCTGTACAGAAACTGTGATAATAAATATTTAATGATTACTGGGAGTTTTTACAACAGGTATACCTCTATTGTAAAGATTGCTGTTCAAACGTCAAAAATAAATTAATATTAACTGTATAATAATATATAAATTTAGTATATAGATAATTTATTGCTTCAGTATTCGAATATTGGTAATACTTTAAACTACTCTCAACTTTTTGCAAAGAATTTCTATTTTGTTACTACATCATTACTGAAACGAATAAATGGTACAAAACATAATAGTCTGAATCACAGTAAACTATGATTTCTGGGTTAAACTAACACGTTTATTTGGTGCTGTCTACAGGGTTTACAATGAACATATTGGTTGTATAAGTAGCTATTATATTAGATTTTTGTGCCTATCAGTGTATAAAGCGTTTTGTTATATTTTTGAACAGGTAGAAATCAATGTAAATAATATATGTATTTATACGTAGCGTATCAAATGTATATTTTTTTCTATTTGTTGGTACAAAGTATTTTTAATAAATCTTGGTGCAATCATTTTGTTATAAGAAAAAGAAACTTTTGTTATAAGAAAACTTCAAATACAATAGTTTTAAGCGTTCTTATAACTTAATTAATACTTTTGTAATTTCATTTTTGCATAATAAATCAAACAAAATTTATTAGTTAATTATTTAATTATTATTTCCACCGCATGTACTGCTGATTTTAGTTAATTTCTTTCTTTTTGGCGTAGGCAACTTCTTAAGTACTACTCTATACTCATTTTTTTCGTTTTCCGGAAATCGAATGGTATATACTGGTAGTTTGTATGTGTGGTCGTAGCTCTTTTTAACCGGCATTCGTAGAATATGCAAATAATTATTAAGATAGAGAAATGTCTTGAGTGCTGCAGCCTAACATATAGTAGGTATTAATGAAAATTAATTCTGACTAGGTTTAACAAATTTGTAAAAGCTTGTAACTTACTCTGCCACAATACTCCAAATGTATTAACTGATTTTTCAAGTCGTACATCCATGTTTCTACCTGTTTCTCTGTTTCTCTTATATATATATTTTCCTTCGAATTATCAATGTCGAGCATTTTCTTCAAATAATTATCTACATGAAATTGCATACCATTCTCTAAATTTGTCATATTGTCCTTAATTATTGCAAGCAATTCTGAAAAATCTGACATGGCTACACGAAAATCCGATTGTGAGATTGGGAAATTCATTTTCCTCAATTTCTAATACTTCACTTTTCAAATACAAAAGACAATGTATGTTTTATAATATTTAAATAACCATCCTTGCATACAAATTTTTTCCTAAATTATCCATTTACATACAGACACTAAATTATAAATTATAATTTTACAAAGGTTACTATTCCCTGTATCATTTGTTTTTCTACATAATGTGTAATACACTTCTATCAAACAAAATGTCAAATAAAAGCTTTACAGAGATTAACTTTACCGAGGTCCTTATGTCTCGAAAATATTTTTCGACAATCGTTACGAAACGGCATGTTTATTATTACGTTGGCATATAGATAAATTAATCTCCGAAATAAATATTTATTAATGTAAAAACATAAAAAAGATACGTATGTTCGTCGTATGTTCGAATCACGTTATATTTGTTGGTAAAAAAAGTTGTAATCAAATCATTGCTTTATATAGAATAAGTTAAAGAAATTCACATGAATTACCTAGCTTTCTCAAAATTTTTTCAGATATAAAGTTCTGTTGCTATTCAGTGGACGAACCATTCTGTTGCAGGGGTCCCCACCGAATTTTTATCAAATTCTTCTTAGACGTTCTTCTTAATTTTTATTGGGGGTTTCGACGTGTTCCACAAATGATTTTAGCGGTTTTTTTTTGCTCCATTGCATTTTTACAAGTATGCTTGGACCTCAGTAGATTTTTCAGGGGTTCTCATAGCATTTCCCACGGATTCCCATCGAATTTCTAGCGGATTTTTCCTAGACGTTCTTTTAAACTTTTATTAGGTGTTTCAACGTGTTCCATACATAGTTTTCGGCGTCTTATCAGTTCCATTGGGTTTTCAGAAGTATGCGTAAGATCTCAGTAGATTTTTCAGAGATTCTCATCGAATTTCCCATCAATTTGAGTAGCTACCATAACCCATGGCGTCCATATTGGAACGGGCATGAAGGCACCATAAGTCCCTGGGCCATAAAATTAGCATTTTTCACATTTTTTAAATTAAAAGGCCATCAAATTGTAATGATATCATTTAGCTACTGCCACAACATTATTAACACATGTTAATATCAACATATGCTTTATATCTAATTTTCCTAAATATTTGTAATTCTTTGCCACTCAGATAGTAAACTAGTTTTTTTGAGTAGACAGACATTTTTTATGGCATTCAAATGTCACCTCTAGCGCTACCGATCCTATAAACGCCTGCTCCTTAATCGCTCATCACCCACACAATTTGGTTATCGATACTGACAAACCAATTGCTATGTATATATCGTTATCAACGTATTCGGTAATAATTTTTTATGACCCAATTTTCCATATATGAAATATAGTCATGAGAGTGAAATTATGTGGTCCTAATTCGATAGCCAGAGGCTGTACACTACGATACTCTCCAATTGTCCACTTGTCCTGAATTCGTTCACATTTTTTTGTCCACGTTTTGAACACTTATTTTAGTTAACTGTCCACGATATTATGGTGTATTGTTCCCTTTGATAATCCACACTCCGCTCATCCGATATCGTTCCATTGAACTGTACTTAACACTCCAATACAAGTTACAATATTACGAACATCACTTCTAATTTCCCACAATATCCCCATGATGTACACGTTGTTCGCTTTTCGTTAGTAGAAACCTACTGCACTCCCGTGGAATGATCGTTCGCTTTTTCTAGCAACTGCCCACGGTATTCCCGCGGAGAGTCTTCTGCAATACTTACTTTTCATTGCAACAGCTTCTCTCGATTCGTCCGCTCTTGATTCCATATAAGATTTTCAGCACCAGCACTTATATGGTCATTAATTATACTAACTTAGGAATTTTTATTGTAGGCTTCATTCAGGGTTGAACTTTTTGGAGACTTTTTGGTACCAATTTTTTTTTATTTTTAATTTGTAAATTATTTTACAAAAGACCTGCAATATTAAAATAAAGAAATATCAATTTTCTAGAAATTGTATAGGAATAGAAAGCAATTCTATTTAAGTTCTAATAAATAGTAAAAGTAGAATTACATTAAATTTTTGAAAAATAATGCAGAAATACGTGGTCTTAATTTTGTTATTACGTCCATGACTTCCAGAGCTTTGTATTTGTATTTTTTACACAAAAAATGTGAACTTTCGCTGGAAAATTTTGTTGCGATACGAAAAAGCACGAACCAAGTTATCTCCGCAGGGACGTCACTACAGTTAACGGCACCCTACGCAAAAGTGGAAAAAATATAATTAATTACGTTCATAACAAATTTTAGTATCCTCGTTAAATTAGCTTAACAAGTCAGAAAAATATAAATTTATATAATTAATTATTTAAAACATTTCCCTCCTCCACTAAATTTCTTACATTATTAATACAATTTTTAATAAACACTTGTGAACAATTGTACTACTGTAAAACTCTACAGTTTTTAAACTGTAAACAGTTTTCTGTAATACCTAAAAAGTACATATTAAATTGCAAATATTTTTTCATTATTACGATAGCTAAAAGTATTTAGGTGATGAAAGAGTAAAGGGGTTGAAGAGATCTCCCCGTTTTAATAAAACTCCGTAAATTTAAGAGACAGCGAGATAAAAGTGCGTAGTGCAAACACACGATTATATAAAGTTGTCTTAATTACATTTCAGAAATGTTTTCATTGTTTATCAATGCAACCGATAAAGAGTACGAAATTTTCCCTTGAAACAAAAGTTCAAGATATTGACCTTTCGTACAATGCTTATCGATTGAGTAGCTAATGAAAATTGTAATTTATGTACGAATTTATTTGATCGTTTATAATTTTTCTCACTTCTTCGAGAAAGATGTACACGTTAGAATAGTTAAGTAATAATTTAGATAAGTTTTTATCTTGACGTTTGTAAAACATTTTCTTTTTTTATGTTTGTCAAAGTTCTTTCAACGCTTTGTTTCAAATTTACTTGTTATTTATAAATGGTGGTGCAACGCACTTTCTGTTATTAACAACCTCTTTTCATTGTTACCTACATTTATTTGTTATTTATAAGTGTCAGAGACGCAACGCAACTCCGTTGTCAAGGAAACGGCGTAACATGATCCCCGTTGTCACGGAAACGGAGTAACGTGATCTCCGTTGTCAAGGAAACAGCGTAACGTTATCTCTGTTGCCAAGGAAACGACGCAATCTGATCTCCGTTGCCAAGGAAACGATACACTATGATTTTCGTTGTTGAGAACGTTACAGAACGTTACAGAAAATTTGTTATATTTTTAAAACACGCTGTGATGCATGTACATATGAATTTCTTAAATTTTTTAAGGGTAAATAATGATGAAAAGAATAAATAAAGAGTGCAATATTAGAACGTGTGATTTCTTGTTTTTTCTTCTTAAAGTTGTTTGAAGTCGCTTTCTAAATATTCGACATATGTTGTGCTATTCGCCCCCTGCCAGCTTCTTATCCGTTCACTTTGAAGACGTGGTTCAACGTGGGGTTAAATGTCTCGCTGATTGCGCGTCTCCTGTAACATTTCACTCTCGTAAATTGCTAATCGGGTATTGTTTACTTAACTCTTTCGTGATCGGTAATTTATTTGGTTTTCAACATCTGGAAAGCAGGGACAAAATATTTAAATCCATAGCTGATACGATTTGTTATTCTAGCATGACAAAAGAAAATTTATTTGTAACAGATAGCTATGAGATCGAGAACTTTCGTCCAACTTAACAGTAATATAAAATCAACAATCTTTTTCTAACTACAAATTGAAAAAAAACATAAATAATATTGAACTTAAGAAAGTCACTATCAAAATTGCTTATATGTTGCTTTACCTTTTATAAATAACATTTTAAATTTTACAAATTTTATAAAAAATGTATGAACAAATATAATGGAATAAATATACATGATTTTATGTAATGAATGAAGTTGTTTAATTTGTAAAATAACAAATGAGAAATGAATACTAAATAAAGAGATACAAAAGAGAATTAAAGTTTAAATATAACCTAACCTAACTGCAACCTAATTTAACCTGAACCTAACCTGACTGCAACCTAATTTAAACTGAACCCAACCTAAATTTAAACTAACCTAACCTTAACTCATTAAAATGACCAAACCTAACCATTTATCTAAATCAAATTTCAAGCAGACCTTTCACATTCTACATGACTAAGTTAATACACTATAGCGTTTGTTATTCTACTTATAATAGGAAGGAGGAGATATACCAACCCACGTGTACGAGAATAATAAGATGAGATTTGTTTAACATATTTAGCGTTGCCATAATGGAATCGTTTTCTATCGTGCAAGAATTTTCCATGCAAACAACTCGCATTTCTCTGAACAGATCTATGATGCTTGCGAAACTCTGGAAAGCAGAAATTAATTTATTGATTAATTTATTGATTAATTAGACATTCTGAAATACGGAGACATTGTTTGTCGTGGAATATTCTTATCAAGGGCCACTGAAAAATATGTTTTGTTTTCAATTTTTTTTTCCGATGCTGCAAAAATAATTTTCAATAATATAAAAATTTTAGTGCAATCTTTTTCATATTCAAGTATTTTTAAATTTTTTAAACTGATTAATATTAATGCAGTAGAGTACTGATGCATTTCAAGATTTTCATTAACTTATCTAAACGTGAGGTCACTTTATTTTAAAAATATTTTTGCAAAAATATAATTGTGAAGAATTATTTCAGATGCAAACTGTAATTTTATATAAAAATACAAACGTAGCTTCAAATAGAAGGCCGATAAAATTGATTATACCTCATGTAAGACTATTAGCAACTCCTAAATTTAGCAATCGTCCATAACTAAGTTTCCACAAGAAATGTTTAAGTTTTTTAAAAAAAAGGTCATCAAGTAAACAAACTTTTAAAGCCCCAAACTTTTGCAGCCAGAAAGCGAGTTATCTCACCACAGAAGAGACGTAAGGATATCAATTTTTTCCTTTTCTCATCGACAAATCGAACCGTGTTTCGACAGATCCGACCATTAATAATCAAACGTACAAATATACACGTATTGATGACACACCGTATCTTGGTAATACGATATGGGTCAGAGGTTCAGCGTGATTATCCTATTCTGAATAAGTATAAAAGCACGGATGCACAAGAGCCCGGTACCATTGAATTGTGTCGAGGGTAACCAGAAATTTTGTTCCTAGAATCTTTTGTATACAAAGGAAGATGTTGAAGGTAGCGTTCCTGCTAGCGCTCGGCACGCTATGCGTTGCCCAAAGCGCGAAATACACCGGAAGCCGCACCGCGGACATGGACTTCCTACACAAGCAGAAGAAGGTCTACGATCTGCTGCTGTACGTTAAACAGAACGACCTGATCGACGCGGAATGGTACGACATCGGCAGGAACTACAACCTGGAGAGCAACATGGACATGTACAAAGACAAGGTGATTGATGGACTATTTTAGACTTTGCGTTTGGATGGTGCATTTTGATGATTTGGTTTGGAAGATTTAGAATTTAGAGATATAAACGTATCATATGAAACATATCAACTGAGCGATATGAACTTGTCGAACCACATAAATCTGAATCAATCTGATCCCAACACCATTCAGTTTAACCAGAATTCAATATCCTTGTTATAGAATGTCGTCCAAAAGTTCCTCTGGTGGTACAAACAAGGAATGTTCCTTGCCCGCAACGCTATCTTCACCCCGTACAACGAGGAGCAACGGTACGAGATGAGGATGCTGTTCGATCTGTTCTATAGCGCCAAGGACTTCCAGACCTTCTATAAGACTGCTTGTTTTGCCCGTCTGAATATGCAAGATGGCATGTTCACCACGGCCTTCACTGCTGCAGTATTCGCCAGAAACGACTGCAAATACATTAGACTGCCTGCAATATATGAAATCTACCCCAACCTCTTCTTCGACTCGACCGTTATTGAAGAGGCTCAGAACATTAAGATGTCTCGTGGTGATTATTTTTTTTGTTTGAGAAAATGGCCCTTGATTCGTTCTGTAATATTAGCTCGTATTTGTTTGATGATATATTTGCAAGCTTGTATGTTACCAAGTCCATATATTCTCAAGTTCACATATTTCCAAGTCCACATATTTCCAAATCCAGATATTCTCTAGTCCACATACTCCCAAGTCCACATATTCCCAAGTCTACATATGTCCAGGTGAATATACTGGTAATCTCCACATCAGCTTCAAAAGTTCTCATCATCCTAGGTCTCCACATTTGGGATCCTCATACTCATAAGCAGATCCACATTCACAAGCCATTCTCCAATTCTCATATCCTAAAACAGCCACATTACAAGTCATTTTCAAGCATATCCCTAAATATACAGATGTCAACATCCTTACACCCAAATCTCCATACCCAAATCTCTTCAAAAAGTCCAAGTACTCAAAAGCATTCTTTTCAGGTTCCTCAAGCACCACAAACGTAGGCAACATAGAAACTTACATGATTGCCGCAAACTACTCCAGCAGATACCTGCCAATGTTTGAGGACCGTGAATACAAAATGGACTACTTCATGGAAGACGTCAGCTTGAACGCCTACTACTATTATTTCCGCTCGATGTTCCCCTTCTGGATGAACAGCAACAAATACAACATCCCCAAAGAAGTACGCGGAGAGCTCTACTACTTCATCCACAAGCAACTCCTTGCCAGGTACAACCTCGAACGCTTGTCCAACGACCTTGGCAAAGTAGAAGACTTCGACTGGTTCAAACCCATCTTCCCTGGTTACTACTCGACCCTGATGTACCGCAACGGAATCGCCATCCCTCAGAGAAACAGATACTCCTCCGTGCCCTACTACAAATACAAGTATCTTAAGGTAAAGATCCTCTAAACGACCATTTTAATTTTTAAGTTGGATCAACAGCATAATTTTTGACTTTTTAGGACATCACCGCGTTGGAGATGCGCATAATGGACGCCATCGACTCTGGCTACCTCGTCGACGAACAAGGAAAGAACATAGACATCTACACCCCAGAGGGTCTGTACATGTTGGCCAACGTGATCGAAGGAAACGTAGACTCCTGCAACAGACGGTTCTACGGAATGTACGACGCCCTCGCTCGCGACATCCTCGGCTTCAGCTTCGAGCAACCCAACAAGAACAAGGTCATCCCCAGTGCTCTGCAATGCGACTGCACCAGCATGAGAGACCCGGCCTTCTACATGCTCTACAGAAGAATCATGTCCTTCTTCTTCAGGTATTTTTCAAATTCAAAAAACTTCCACAGTGAAAGATGAGATGTGAATACATTCTCCTGTTCACAGATACAAGAAGAACCTGCCCCAATATTCTCAGAGCGACCTCCAAATGCCCGGAGTGAAATTCGAGTCCGTCAACGTTGACAAACTGTACACCTTCTTCGACAACTGCGACACCCTCATCAACAACGCTGTAGCTGCAGACAATTTCAAGAACGGAATGTCTCTGCGTATCAAGACGCGTCGTCCTTGCCTGAACTACCAGCCATTCACCTACAAGTTCAACATCAACTCCGACCGCGAGATGAAGGCTGTTCTCACCATCTTCCTTGGACCCGCTTTCAAGGACGTGAAGGAAGACATGGTCTACCTGCAACAATTCTACAACTACTTCGTGGAGATGGACAAATTCGTCGTGACACGTTAGTGTTTTTGATAAATGGGGATTTGTTTAGGACGTTAATTCGTGGGGAACGATGTTTCTTTTCGTTGTTGTTGGGTCGTTTGGGAATTGGGGCCTGAGGAATGATGCGGGACCTGTGCGCATGCGTGGTAGCGTTTGCGCATGCGCGGTAGCTGCTAGCGTCTACGCATGCGCAGAGGGCTGCTAATGAGAAATAAGTCCTATGATGCACTCATTTGGGAATTTGGGGTGTGAATATTGGGGGAAATAAGAATTTTAGAACATGAGAAGTTGGGAGTATAGTAAATTGGGGGTATAGATATTTAAATAGATGGGAATTTGGGGATGTAAGAATTTGATATGTGAGAATCTGAGAGGGTGAAAGTTTTGGGGTCTGAAAATTTGGGAAAATAGAAATTTTGGGATGTGAGAATTTGGGAACGTAGTAAATTAAAAATAGGAATCTGGGATATGGGAAATACTCTCTTTCTCCATTTCCAGCTGCACCCTAACTCAAAAGCTCAACAATTGCACACAGACCTAAACAATTTTGTTTAAATTTGCAGTGCGCCCTGGCAGCAACTCCATCGAACGCCACAGTTCCGAGTCTCCCTTCACCACTTCCGACATGATGCCGGGTGACGCGTTCTACGACAAACTGACCAGAGCCATCAGCGGCGGAGAACCCTTCATGTACTCCGAGAAATTCTTCGACTTTTCTGAACGTCTTACCTTACCAAGGGGTAAACGCGCCGGTATGATGTACAAGATGTTCTTCTTCCTGAGTCCACTCGAGGAGGGTAGCATGAAGACATACGAGTTCCCGATGTTCGGTAAATTCATGTTCCAAGACAAACCCCTAGGATTCCCTCTGGACAGACCTATGTGGGCCTGGAACTTCACCATCCCCAACATGTACTTCAAGGACGTGTACATATACAACCGTCAGAACGAGAAAGGCATGATGAACTACTGAGGAGTAGTAAACTTTTCTGTTAGGGAAAATGTATACTACCGTTTGTCGACCATTACTTAACCGCAGGATAAGATTCTTTCAATAAAGAAGTCTGAATCAAATTTATGTTTGTGACCTTTTTTGTACCCTTTTTTGATCCATGTGGAGTTTGGAGATTTGGGGAGTTGGGGAGTTAGAGTTTGGGGATTTGGGGATTTGGGAGTTTAGGGCTTCATTAGAGATTAGGAGATTCAGGGATTTACAGTGTCGAGAGTTAGGAAATTTAGAGTTTGGGATTTGAGAATTTGAGGATTTGTGAATTTAGGGATTTGAGAATTTGGGGATCTGAAAATTTGGGGATCTTAGAATTTGGGGATCTGAAAATTTGGGGATCTTAGAATTTGGGGATTTGTGAATTTGAGGCTTTGAAAATTTGGGGATTTGAGAATTTGGAGGTTTGATCATTTGGGGATTTGAGAATTTGGAGATTTGACCATTTAGGGATTTGAGAATTTAGGGACATGACAAATTGGGGATTTGAGGATTTGGGGACTTAACCACTTGGAAATTTGAGAATTTAGTAACCTGAGAATTTGGAGATATAAGTACCTGGGGATTTAAATATTTAAGAATGTGGGAATTTGAGAATCTAGAGATCTAAGCACTAGATTTTTAGGAAATTTAAAATATCAACAGATCTAAATTTTGAAAATGTAACCCAACTTAACTGAACCTAACCAAACATCATACTTATTCTACACTTCTTATTAACTGCAACCGCAACACGCGACCAAACACTATATGTATGTTGCAGACTTTAATTACTATATCAAGAAAAGAATACTCCGCAAGATAACTATTATCAATATTCTATTACACGCTGATTTGTTCGACTAAATTTGCTCGTCGCCAGCATACTCAAAGTCCGGTGAATGATACGTTATAGACAGATAGCCGGTAATTTTAGGGGTAAATTAAAAATCCTACGAGTGAATGAACTTTCTGTGTGCCGAGTGTGAATGAACTTATTATGTGCTAAGGAAAGACTGACGGATAGAAATTCCGTTTAAAACGATTCTACAAATTGACTGAAATACTGTCTGATAATATTTGATGGAGATAATATTTATTTACTGAAGCTTCTCTATATTACAATTTTTGTATTTATATATCCTTATATTTACAGATTGTTATATTCCTAAATCCATATTTATGCAATTCTTATATTCCTAAATCCTCACACTAGACATCCCACGACATTGCATTAATAACTAGACATCCCTAGACATCCAATTAATAACTAGACATCCCTAGACATCCCATTAGTAACTAGACATCCCTAGACATCCCATTAGTAACTAGACATCCCTAGACATCCCACTAGTAACTATACATCCCCCTAGACATCCAATTAATAACTAGATATCCCTAGACATCCCATTAGTAACTAGACATTCCTCTGAAGAACTTTACGTGTCTAAGATCCATGACCTTCATGCAACCGTATATTATCTCTAGATAATCCCAATTATCCAAATGTCCCTAGGAAGAGTCACACGACGTCAGTTGTAGTAAATATTGTTTCGAAAAAATAATATCGCTGCACGTTCAAGATCTGCACATATTAAAAACAGTGTTTATTACTTTCACGATTATATCTGACAAGAGTGAGGTCATGCAGTTGAATGTATACATTTGTTACACAATATGGTAATCATTGATATGCTTCTATGTGACAGAACTCGAATGAATCGAGTTTTATTGTGGGAAAAAAAATATGAACTGATAAGAATATATCATTGATAAGATTGTAATTATGCAGGTAATAAAAGTTATACATTTTTCATGAACAATTTATATGTTCATTAAATGAAATAAAGAGTCGTGTATACTATTGTGAATATTATTTTTTATAATGATAGCTTTATTTGTAAAATGTTCTTTTTGGTACACGTGATCGATGCCTGGAGAGTTCCAAATAAAGACGTTGATATTAAGTTTGTTTTTATTTTATTAAGTTTAATCGATAATTTAATTTTGTATGGAATTATTCATTTAAAATTTCGGAGTTAAAATAATTTTTTAAATGAACGGTGATTTATAATATTTCGTAGATTTAATAACAATTCGTTAATTAAGAATGTTAATAAAAACTTAGTTTACATAAAATAAAGATAACGCAACGGATCTTCGGGTTAAAGGTAGAGCAAGTTGTAGCCATGTTATTGATTAATGCAAATTGAAAATTTATCAACATCGGTACACCTCGTGCGTGACCAATAATATGCACGTATTTCATACTGATTTTGTGTCGAATGTTATAAACTACTTATTATAAATATTAAAAAATTGCATAGCAATAAAAAATTTATGAAAATCATACATGTGTGAATTTTTTTTATTATATAAATATTTATTATTTGTTTGAACAAATTTCAGCTAATATTTATTTATTATTTACTACTTATTTATTACTTATTACTTTCTGTTAATATTTGTTTATTACTTATTACTTATTATTTTCTGTTAATATTTATTATTTATTACTTATTATTTTCTGTTAACATTTATATTTATAATCTTACTAATTAATTTATTCTTTTTGTTATTTTTTACTGTTAAAAAAAATTAAACTATAGTTATTCATAGTAATTGCTTTTCTTCACAACTTTTAATTAATACCCTAAAAGTAAGGTTACCAAAGAGTGATTTAAAAAAATCATATCAATTTTACAAACAAGTGGCTAAAGCGATAAAACGTCAGTTTTGATAAATGATTTGACGATGCATTGTTATATTGCAAATTTAACGAATACAATTATGTAAGAGTGAAATAATTAATATGCAATTTATCGTTGTCAATAATATACGTAAATAGTGATTTGTCATATTTCATCAGGGGAGAATTTATCGAAACGTTTCATTGATAACGCGCTATACAACTTTCAAATAAACAATAATCAGCTTTATTTACTGCCTTCGTTAATCCACTGACGTTTCGATAATGAAATCGTATGTACGTAACATTTTCTGCTGGCAATTAATTGTGTATAATAATATGGAAATATTTTATGATATTTGAAAGATTGGGAATTATAATATATATATTGTCAATTGAGAATTTGAGAATTTAAGTATTTGGAGATTTGAGTATTTTGAGATTTGAGTATGTGTTAATTTGAGGATTTGAACAATTAGAAAGTAGAGAACCTGACAATTTGGGGACTTGGAGATTTGGAAGTTTTGAAGTTTAAAAATTTGAAGATTTATGCATTTGAGGTTTGAGAATTTGAGCCTTTAGAAAGTTGCAGGTCCTAGAATTTGAGGCTTTGTGAATCTTACAATTTGAAACTTCATGAATTTAGATTTCAAGTATCTGTAAATATAAAATTATTGGATGTCAAAATTTAAAAATGTCGAATTTCAAGAATACACAAATTTTTAAAACTAGAAATTACAAATTGCAGTTAGTACTACCCCTGCCACACGTTAATCTCAATACTCCTATTTATCAACTACTATTTATTCACCAATTCAAATTTCAAGAATTTAAATTAATCCAAAACAACTTTCAACGACGTGATCCATACCGACTTTTGTACCCCACAAACCAAAGATTCTCCTGCCTTGCTAGCTAACGATCAAATCAATCGAACCGAATACTATCGGCATACTTGCGACACGCGCCAGATAAGACGATTACTTTCACCACCCTTGCGACCTTACCCTAAATCGACCCCGATATCAACGTGTTTATCGAAGTCCAGCTTTTGGACCTGGTATATAAACCGAGGACCAACTTGATTTCGATTGACTATACTGTTCAATGGTCGGCATTATGAAGTCTGTTTTCTGCATTTTGGCAGCCTGTTGCCTGCTCGCCCAGGCGGTGCACCGTCAAACCCATACGGCTGACAAAAGCTTCTTAACTAAACAAAAGAACATCTACGAATTGTTCTGGCATGTTGATCAGCCGACCGTATACCATCCGGAACTCTACCAGAAGGCTAGGACCTTCAGCATCGTCGAGAACCTTGAGAACTATGGCGACCAGGTACTTTTCAAAATTTAATAGTTTAACATTTAACTTACCTCTGTAAAATGTGGACTTGTCAATCACATTCATAAATAGTTCATTCTAACAGCCACATTCATCTCTAATAGCAACTCCAGCCATAATTGAAATCCTTATATCCTTATGTCATCCGCCATCTTGTCATAGTGTAGTAGTACCTATTTCACAGAAAAAATCCATTAGAAAATACATGCAAGTTTACGTATGAGGACATAATGTTGCACAGCAGAGTAATAGCTTCACTTGGCACTCCACTATGCACATTTAAAAAAAAATATACCCTTAGAAACTATCTTTGCTATCTACCTGAACTACTGTGCTACCTAATCTGCCTACCTCAGCTAAACCATATGAAACCTAGCTTAAATGTATCCTAATCCAAAAGTAGCTTAAACTGACTACCTAGCTTAAGAAGTATAACCTAACCTAAACTGACTACCTAGTTTAACAAGTATCACCTCGCCTAAATCTCAACCTAACTTAAGAAACGTAATCCAACCTAAACTAACTCAGCCTAGCTTAACATAATCCTGCTAAAACTAAACTTGATTACAGGAAGCCGTGAACGAGTTTCTGGAGCTCCTGAAGCATGGAATGCTCCCACGTGGTCATGTGTTCACCCTGAACAACCCACAATTATATCATCAGACCGTGGTCCTGTTCCGAGTCCTCTACAGCGCTAAGACTTTTGATGTGTTCTACAACACCGCTGTGTGGGCCAGATTCCATGTGAACGAATACATGTACACTTACGTGTTGAGCGTGGCTGTTCTTCAGCGACCTGACACCAGGTACATCAAGCTGCCGCCCTTGTACGAAGTGCTCCCACACTTCTTCTTCAACGAGGATGTCATGCAGAAGGCGTACAACATTGCCATGGGTGACGTTGGTTAGTAATTTTAGGTCAAGCTTTCCGAGAATTAAGAAAGATCCGAGATCCTGGAAATAGTATTTTTATTATAGAAATTGGTTTATGCAAGGAACATCGTGGTTGAATTATGAATGTTAATTGTTAGATATAGAGATGCGACCATTAAGAGTGCACCACATTTTAGTTCTTTTTTTGGTGGTACATTCTTTAATTAGTCAGGGAAGACCTGGGTTTTGTACAAGTTAGGCTACCTTCAAAATTCTCTTAGGATAATCTTCTCCTAATAATTTTCCTAAAGAGATAGAACTTAGGTATAGAATAGCCCTAGAATAGCCTAGCTAGGCTATCCCACTCACCTCTAATTTATTGCAAATGTTATGCAACAAAGCCATCAATCCCTGTCTACCAAGTTAAACTAAAAATTGTTCATGTAATAAAACAGTTGGTGTGAAGAAATCCGTGACCGGCGGAGAATACTACATGGTCCCAGCTAACTACACAGGATGGTACATGACCAGACAAAACACACCGGAGCAGAAAATGACTTACTTCACCGAAGATGTCGGCCTAAACTACTTCTACTTCCTCATCAGTCATCAGGATCCTCCTTTCATGAACTCCACACCGTCCACCGTTCAATCGCAAGTGCGTGGTGAACACTACTTCTACGTCCACAAACAACTGTTGAACAGGTATGGTTCATAGTTCACAAATATTCACTCACTATTTCATAAACTTGGGTCTACTCTTTAAAGACCCACTTCTTGAATCTGACTTTGAAGTCCGTAAGACCACACATGGTAACTCAAGCTAACTAATTAAAACACTGTTCTAGATACTACCTTGAAAGACTTTCTAACGATCTGGGTGAAATTACTCCAGTGAGCGTGGACAAACCCGTAACCCCCGGATTCTACCCCACAATGAGCCATCGTAACGGACTTCCATTCCCTCAGCGTGAACACGGTGCCGTCATCCCGGTCACCATGCACCAACATGTCCAGGTATATATTCAAACTTAATCCTTTCGAAACAGAATTTAATCGATCAATCTTCACAGAGGATAAAGGACCTCCACGCCAGAATCTCGACAGCCATCGACCTGGGCTTCGTAGTCGACTCCACAGGCAAACACATTAACATTTACACACAGAACGGCTTGAACTTGTTGGGTAACGTAGTCCAAGGTAACTCGGACAGCGTCAACAAACAATTCTACGGATACATAGACGCCCTCGCAAGGAAAGTGTTCGGATTCGGTTTGGACACGAACGTGAAATACCACACGGTGCCATCTGCTCTGGAAATTTTCTGCACCAGCATGAGGGACCCTGTCTTCTACGGTATCTACAAGAACATTCTGTCTTACTACCACAGGTTTGTTCTACTTTTATAACAGATTTCTTTGTTCAAAATCTTTAACATGAGTTTTATGATTGAAACTGAATTTTGTTATGAGCTTACATTGCTTCAATAACCTTTCAGATACAAGCAAAACTTACCAAAATACATGCAAGAAGAATTATCCTTCCCAGGCGTCAAAGTTGAATCCGTAAATGTCGACAAACTCACCACCTACTTCGACTACTTCGAATCTATGCTGAGCAACGGAGTGTCGGTCCGTAGCCACAAAGAAGCTAGGAACACCATGATCAAGGCTCGTCAATACCGTCTGAACCATAAGCCATTCACTTATCACATCACCGTCAACAGCGACAAGGTTACCAAGGGTATGGTCCGCGTCTTCTTGGGACCGAAATTCGATGTCTATGGACATGAAGTTGATCTCGAACACAACTACATGAACTTCTTACAATTGGACGAATGGATCGTTGATCGTAAGTATTTAGCAAACCTTGCAAATTTAGCTTAATGCAAATTCAACTCCAAGTTACTGTAATTATCTAACTAGACATCCACCCAAATCCATCCATCCAGATCCATCCACATTTTAAGATCCACATCCATTCATTCTGAAAGCATATGCAGCGTTAAGCAACAGTAACATAAGTACTTTCAAAAATGATCTAATAAACGTCACCTCTTTCCAGTGAAAACCGGAACCAACACTATCGAAAGAAGCAGCCACGAATCCGTCTTCGTGGTACCCGACGAAGTCCCCAGCGACGTATTCTACAAGAGACTGGAAACCAGCATCGACACCCCAGAAACGTTCACATACTCCACCCAACCGTTCGGATTCCCCGACAGACTTATCCTGCCCAAGGGTAAAAAGGGAGGCATGACCTTCAAGCTGTTCGTCATTGTTTCGCCAGTAGAGGAATCGAAAGTGATGACTGTCGAGTCTCCGATCTGGGGTCAATTGATGACTGATCAACGCGCTATGGGCTTCCCGATGGACAGGCCCGTCGATCCTCTCCACTTCGTCCTACCTAACATGCAATTCAAGGACGTCGTCGTTTATCACAAAGAGATGGAGGAATTGAACGTTGTTGTTTAAGCTTTATATTTTGTATTAGTGAGGGAATGCTTCCTGATGTAGAAAGAGACGTGAAAGAGAAATAAAGTTTGTCAAAGTTATACCTTTTTTATTTGATTATCCTATGAATGTTGGAGTTTATGAAGTTTATATGAAGGAAGTTAGAGTATATTGAAGACATATGTTGAAACTGAGATATGGTGAGGATGCTGAGATATGGTGAGGATGCTGAGATATGGGAGTATGCTGAGATATGCTGCATATGGCTGGGGTACATGGCTACATTATAAGACTACCTGTTGCTTCACATTCTATGATCACATTATGCCACGCATATAGCCATAAAAAATATTGTAACATCTTCTATGAATTACTGTATCTGTCCTGTACAATAAAATAGAACATCATATACATTTTTGTGAATTCTTCCTGTAAGTCTTAAACTTGAAAACACTTTAACTTAAAATCTTGAATACATTCTTATGAACTTATCAGTAGTACTAGACATTCTTCTTGAGATACGTTGCATGTAATTTTATTCCCAGCACCTTCGGTCTTATTTGTGGTTTTGAAAACAGAGCTAGGCAGATTAAGAGGCATGTACGCATGAAGGTATACATTCAGAAGTTCAAGAACATAATTTGGAAATTTTAGAATGTACCTATATAAAAATATCAAAGACGTTGTATACAAAAATTGTAGACATTGTAGACAAAAAATTACAAATTCACAAGTTTAGAAAGCTGAAGATTTAAAAATACAGAGAAGCTTAAAATTTACTTAAACTTTAAAAACTTGATAATTACGAATTATGAAAGTCTTTCGCAGTTCATTTGATATGTAATTTAATGCATATGTTTAATTCCATTCTAAGTCAATGACAATAGGAAAGTTAAATGAACAAGATTTGGTTGTCTATGCGAGACGATCAGTAAACCTCCTAGCTGGCAAAACAGCAGCTGTTCAGACAAGGCGCTTTCATTTCCGGCATAAATCACAGATAATCATTATCCAGACAATAGTATCTTCATGAATTATTGACAAAATATGAACTAAGAAGGATAAGAAAACTATGATCCCGAGAGCAAGTGTTTCATGCGATACGAAATATCACTGATAACGCGTTTTTATACGTTTAAATATCTTCGAAGCGTAATGAAATGCGATTAAACAACGTATACAAACACTTAATCTAGATACAGCAAGTGTGATACAAAATGCATTTCAACCTGTTACCTTTGAAGATTCGAGTTTCTGTATCGAAACTCTGTTAAAATTTTTCAGTGTTTTCATTGTTAATCTTCGAAATAAAAATACTCTCTCGAATAAAAATTTAAAATTCCAAAAATCGCCATTTTCGACAAAATGTTCGTAACGCTTCCCTCGAGAAAGATTTATATAAATTAATTTAATTGCACGCATTGCGTTATTAGCGAAATCGGAAATCTTAATTCGCTCATCTCGATGTCAAAGTGTCACACAGATTACGAGTCCAGGCCTGATATCTCGTCTTATTTACGTGTTTTTAATTTTCTACGTTTAAACAAGTGAAAGTAGTGATAAACAGAGTCATTTTTTTTAACACAATAAGCCGATATCTTCGATCGAACTTTAATTACACGAGCGATAACGAATACAATTATTAGTCGATTTACGCACTTTTTACAATTGTAATAGCTTTGGGTATTCTTTAAAAACCATCCTTTTTAATATTCGGAATGATATTTAGAAATAATTGGAAATATTTTATATCTCAGGATATCTAAGGACATCCAGAACTATCTAGAACTGTGTCTAGGGATATAAAGACTTAATGATGCAAGGATACAGGGACCTAAGATTATAAAAATGTAGATTTGTAGACATCTAGAAATATAAGAACCTGGGAATATAAAAATTGAGAGATACAGGGTCCCAAGTTTGAAAATATACGCCTCATTTTATCAAAAACACAAACTAAAAAAAATCACAAATGTCTCAGTACCGATATTTAAATTATTAGCGCAGAACCTGAAATATTGCACATTAAGAAATAAATCAAAATTGCCTCGATCAAAACCGATCTAATAAATCAAAATTGCAAATATTCAGACTACCTAAGATCTGCAATTTCTATAAATAAAATGATGGTAAAAGACCCACGCCAAATTATCGAATACCTAATACTTGTTGACAGCGAAAGATTGAATAAAATGGAGGGGATTACAGGGTATAAAAGTGGCCGCGAGCTCAGCATCCACGCTTTGGGACGCTAGAGTTTTGAACTTTGGGAAAAGATGCTGACACGGATCTGGGTGTTAGGGTTGCTGACCTGCAGTTTGGTCAGCGCCGAATATTATACCTCGAGAACGGCTGACAAGGACTTCCTGGTGAAGCAAAAGAAGATCTACAACCTGCTTTATCACATCCCTCAACCGAACGTGGTGAACGTGCAGCTGTACAATGAAGGACAAGCATGGAACATCGAGAGCAACATCAACTCGTACAAGAACGTGGTCGGTAATTTAACAGCGATCGAAACTTATTAATCGATAAACTTATTAATCGAAAAATATTCATGATCACTTTTCAGGACGTCGTGAAAGAGTTCCTGTACATGTACAAGAATGGAATGCTTCCACGGGGTGAACTGTTTTCGGTTTACTATCCTAAGATGCTGAAGGAGATGGACGCGCTGTTCAGACTCTTCTATTACGCGAACGATTTTGACACTTTCTATAACACTGCGTTGTGGGCAAGGATTTACGTCAACGAGGGTCAGTTCTTCTTCGCCCTTTACAACGCGGTGTTTAGAAGACCGGACACCATGTACATTCAGCTGCCACCGCCGTACGAGATTTATCCCTATGCGTTCTTCAATTCCGAGGCTCTAGAAAAAGCTCACTATGCAAAAGTTTATGGCAAATTAGGTAAACTTATTACTTCCTATACTTAATGGCTTTAACCGATAACGTCTTTCTTTAATTAATCGCTTTTCTTAAAATAATGTTTATTTTTAACCGAGAGACTTTTAAATAGACTTTATTGAAGCACAATATCGAAGTAATTATGAGGTTAAAAATATTTGTGTATACAAGAAAACGAAGATAAGAGTGAACAAGGGGTAGATAAAATTATTCATGATTTGAAATTACTCTTGTATCAATGTAGATCACTGGGTTAGAAATTCATATTTGGTAACTAAATGGATCACGATATCGCGTGCTAGACGTTTTTAGGATTTACCTTATTTGATTTCAGACGCACAAAAGAGTGGGCCATATGAAACATACATAATCCCTGCCAACTATTCTGGCTGGTATCTTAACCGTGAATACAACTTTGAGAACAAATTGAACTACTTTACTGAGGACATTGGTCTCAATGCATACTACTTCTTCTTCCGTCAAGAATGCCCATTCTGGCTGAAGTCAGATGAATTTGATTTCTTACGTTATCGAGGAGAAGAATACCTTTATGGACACAAACAGCTGTTGAACAGATATTATCTTGAAAGACTTTCCAATGATATGCCGAAGATCGAAGACTTCGATTGGCAGAAGCCATTCTTTGCTGGTTACTATCCAACTATGACATACCACAATGGATTGCCATATCCCCAGAGACCAGAATGGAACAACTTCCCCAGCTATAAATACAAATATATCCAAGTAAGTGTATAATAAAAACAGGTATACCTGACATTTAGTGCTGATTCTAATGTAATTTTATTTATTAAAGGATATCATGGATATGGAATCAAGAATAACTGCAGCAATTGATTCTGGTTATATACTACGTAATGACAGCAAGTGGTATGACATTTACAAAAATGAAGATGGTTTGAACATACTTGGAAACTTGATTGAGGGTAATGCAGACTCCTACAACCGTGACTTCTATGGTAGCATTGATCTATTGGCCAGGAAGATCCTTGGTTATAACTTAGAACCAGCAAGTCCCTATCAAATTCTTCCTAGTGCCTTGGAAACATTCAGCAGTTCCATGAGGGACCCTGCATTCTATAGACTTTACAAGAGAATATACCGTTACTATTACAGGTAATTACTTTTATATTAGTTTTACTTTCTATATAGAACAACATTTTAATAGTATTTAATATGTACTTACAGATACAAGATGCATCAAAAACCATATGCCAGAGAGGAAATTGTTTACCCAGAGCTGAAGATTGAATCTTTTGCTGTTGACAAGTTAATTACATACTTTGATCAATTTGACACATCTATCAGCAATGGTTTATTAGTGAAAGATCAAAGAGAAGCTGAATCATTATTAATCAAGATTAGACAGTATCGTCTGAATCATAAACCATTTAATTTCCACATTACAATTAATTCTGAGAAACCAATGAAGGCTGCACTGAGACTTTTCCTTGGACCAAAATATGATGCACACCACAAAGTAATGGAAGTTCCAGACAGTCTCAAATATTTCTATGAAATTGATAACTGGATGGTTGATTGTAAGTATTTGTTCTGTTACTTGTTAATACATTATTTGTAATTGAACTATATTATTTCATGTAATTATATTTAATATAATCTTTATAAATTGTCAACAGTGAATGCCGGTTTGAACAAAGTTGTACGCAACAGTCAAGACTGCTTCTTCTTAATGCCTGATCAAGAATCAAGTGAAATGTTCTATAAGAAACTTCTGAAGTCTATTGATGGAGGTGAATCATTCAGTTATAATGAAAGAGTCTATGGATTCCCAGACAGACTGTTATTACCAAAGGGTAAAAAGGAAGGAATGCCATTCCAATTCTTCTTATATGTCAGCCCAGTGTCTTCAGAGACACAGTACAGCTCCAGAATATTTGGCAATTACAAATTCGACAATAGACCATTTGGTTTCCCTCTAGACAAGCCTCTTTATGACTTCACATACAATGCACCCAATATGATGTTCAAAAACATTCTCATTTATCACAAGGACGAATTCGATATGAATATGACTTTCTAAATACTTTTCTCTATCATTTATATCTTGCGCATTTACTTCTATGATATCATAATTTTATAATAAATGCTACTATCTCTATCTCCCAATATGATTTATATTATTACTCACTCATACATCTTCTCAAATCTTCTTTACTTCCTGCTCTCCTTAAATATTTAAACCCATTGTCCTATCAAAAACAGTATAATAGTACAGAGTTGTTTATACATAATTATTATAATTAAGTCAGTTTAAGATTAGGCTGTATAAAATCCACTCACATTAGGCTAGGTTAAGTTAGGTTAATAATTACAACCGCCGCATCTTCAGTTAGAGAAACTGGAAAATATTCAACAGATCTCGGCACATATTCGGCACAGTGGAATCTTTTCATCCATAATCACCAATAGCTTTTATTGTATTATACATAAGTAGTACATTACTTATAAAAATCAAATTATTTAGTAGTTTCAAAAACATGTCAATGGACTGAAGTCGTCTGCTGGCGGACGAAAAGATTTTTGTAGCTTACTTCATTTCGAAGTACCGATAGTTAAAAAATGGCGACTATCGCTAATTACGCTTTTTCTCCTGATGGAAAATATTTTGCTTATTGTGGAAATGATGGAAAATTAAAAGTTTGGGACACAGGAACTGGTCGTTTAAAGCAAGAATATGTTTCAAACTTTCATCTTTCTTCTCCGTGTTGCGTTTTGGCGTGGCTTTATGTTAATTCCCGGTCAACAAATACATCGGTGAGCCATGTGCTCTTTTATTTTATGCTTAAATAAATCTTCCGCTTTATGATAGCATAAATATATTTAATATGTTGCATTAAAGTGAACATCAGTTTTAATATAAAGAAAATTTTCATGTCTTTAATTATGTACTTTTTTATTATTTTTGTAATAAAAATTTCAAGGTTATATTTCCCGGGATTTTGAATTCTGTAAAAATTTCAAATAGAAATAATTTTTATATTTGAACATTTAGAAGATTACTTTAAGGATTCAATTTATTTTTAATGTTCTTCCGTTTAATTTTTCAAGATAATAGTTGTTTAGAAAGTGTGTAAGTTTAATCAAATTTTATTTGAGGTTATATTTCTTGTATATTAGTAAATTTTTTTCATTTTAATTGTATATAAGAAGTTAAATTATGAAATGATATAATTTGTGTTAAAATAGTCTTATAAATATTTTTCATAATTTTTCAGCCTTCACCATGGAAAAAACGCAGGAGGAAATCAGTTACAGAAGAACCCATTCAGAAGGGTGTTGTTGCAATGGGTTCAACAAATGGAAAAGTCACACTTTATGATACAACAACATCTTCAGTTTCATCTCAGTTAGATGGTCATGCTAGTACAGTTACTGCAGTAACTTGGTCTGAGAATGTTGGTTTATTTACTGCAGCAGATGACCATCATATTATTCATTGGAATCTTCAAGAAAATGGGGTAAAATGTAAATGGAAGTCAGGGAAAGGAAAAACCACATCATTAATAGTCACAGAAGATGGAAAAAGTTTATTGTCGGGGGAGAGGGTTGTTAAATGGTGGGATTTGAATACTAAACAGCTGATCAGGACATTCACAGGTCATGCTAATCAAGTTACGTGTCTTTGTGCTGTTAAGATGCCACTTGGACACAATTATGTTATTAGTGGAGCTTATGGTGATGGTTGTCTTAGTGTTTGGGCTTTGGATGAAGTAAGATATTTTTCACATGTGTTTATTAATATTTATTAAGTGTCAAAAATTAAGAAATTTGAAAAGATATATCTACTTTAATATATGGTGACACAGTAATGATAAATGTAATAAATGATTATACTCATCAACCATTTAAATATTTCCAGCAAAGAAGTGATAAAGCTGCTGTAGCAAGTTTAGCTCTACAAGATGATGCTATAAGTGTATCTGTAAATATCTCTGAAAATTCACAAGTTATTGTATTGGTAGTAACTAGGTCTGGACAAGCACACTTGTTTCAATACCAGCCAAATGGTCGAACGAAACCTTTGAAGCCTAGTTTAAATATTGCAGTTGCTTCTGATATTAGTCAAAAAGACAGTATTCAACAAATTTCCATCTTAGATGCAAAATTGATGGAAGATCAGAAACTGCTACTGGCATATGGAACGTATATCACTCCTATATTTGAAAAGGTTACTCCAGATTTTTCTAACAAAGTACAATGTTTAGTACGCTCAGATAGTAAGAGAAGTAAAGATAGGAAGGAAGAAATTACTAAAGTAAAGTCTACAGTAATAGAAGACAATGTGGAGTACCTTGCACCTGGTATGTATCATTTAATACTTCTTTTTAATTAATGCTATTTTCATTTCTTTCAATTGATTTATATTTAATTCATGTAGTTGAAGCCACAACAAAAAGGACTAAAAGTGGTTCTGGATCACAATTACTATTAAAAGACAGACTAGAAAATTTGAGCCTAGGCACTGAGAGTAGCCCTACTGGAAAAATTACAACCACAGGTAGCAATCGAGCACAGCTTCTGTTACAAGGCTTAAATAGTAAAGACAAAACTATATTAAACAATATTTTTCTCACCAAGAATGAGTCTATTATTAGGAATACCATTACTAAATTACCAATTCAGGCAATTGGTCCACTACTTAAAGAACTGACTATCCTACTTCAGGGTAAAACTTACACGTAAGAATCATAGTTTGTAAGCATTTAAAATGCAATATTAGAAAATATAAATGATACTTCGTTTATTACAATTTTCTTTTTAATTACAGGAGCAAAATTGCAGTACGATGGTTAGAGGCATTGCTAATGGTACATGCAAGTCATTTTTTGTCACAAGCAGACCTTGTGGAATTATTTGGACCAATTTTAAATTTAATAGATGCCAAATTAGCTCTTTTAACAGAGCTTTCGAAACTTAAGGGACGTGTTTCTCTTGTTACTGGCCAAATTGCTCAAACAATGGAGGAACATGATAAGGATATTACTGAAAATTGTTTAATTTATCAAGATTCAGGTTTGTCTTCAAAATTGTTATTAATACACCACATATAATTTGTTTCTAAAATGAACGTATATAAATAGATACATCAGACGAAGATGATGGAGTCGAAGATGAGGATTTAGAAAGCGAATCTGATGAAAATTGGGAAGAAATGTCGAATCGAGAAGATCAAGAAGATCAAGAGGATCAAGAGAATCAAGATGATCAAGAAGAACAAAATGACGAAGATGCCAGAAGCACGAATTCTGACACAGAAGAAGAGAAATCTATATCCAGTTAAATATTAATTTAGGTGAGAAAAACTAAGAATTTTTAACTGTAACAAATTTATATCAATAGTTTAAAATAAATATAACAAATCCTAATAAAGCATTAGATTCGTTATTATATTCTGTTCCAGTAAACGTTCGAGTTCCTGAATATAACAGTCGTGGAAAGAAAAAAAATATCGAAAATGTTAATAAATAACATTTTTCTACATAAACAATTTATTTTTATTGTTATTAAAAATGTATATCAACTATTGTAACTATAAAGAAAGTTTTATACTTCCAATTTTAATTTAAGTCTCTTCTGATTATATTCAAAAATATTTAATTTTATGTAAAGGTCCAAATTTATATAAAACTTTTAATACCAAAACTAAGTAACAAATATTTGGGAATAAACAAATATATTAAAGAAAAGATAGAACAAACATTTAAGTTTTAATTGCGCGAAAAATTGTTTTTGGCTTGCAGTCTTCTTATACTTTCTTCTCCTTTCAAATACTCGCGCCTTTTAATCTTTGAGAGAAGAAATGATAACTTTGTGCGATACGATTTGGAGGTTAAGGCATATGATGGGGTGTATGCTGTGTAAATTTTCTATCAGAAGGATAGTACACGCAAATAGTTTTGTAATTTTGTCTAAATGAATGTATTTTAATAAAATTTAGTAACCGTTTTACTGTTTCTTAAACATTTTTATAACATGGTAAGCAAAAAAAATAATATGATATAAAAAACTTAGCAGAGGTTAATAATTATTCTCTAAAAATTTACTTTTTATCAGCCAATGTCAAAACATGATATTGAAGTTCCAACTTCGATTCCTGACTTGCTATTGGAAAAACATGCAAATTTCCTACTTTCCTATGGCACTGATAAGGATGAATATGTAAGTATAATACATGACATTTTAACATTATGAAAAGTAAAGATAAATATAGCAAAATTAAAAAATTTTAGATATATTGTATGACAGAACATATGAGAATGTCCGGCATGTACTGGGGTCTAACTGCATTAGATCTTATGGGAAAGTTGGAACAAACTAATCGAAATGAGGTGCTCGAATTTATAGCTCAGTGTCAAACAGAAAGTGGAGGTATAGCTGCAAGCTTACAACATGATCCACACATTCTATATACTTTAAGTGCAATACAAATACTTTGTATCTATGATGCTCTGGATATCATTGATGTAGAAAAAGTTGTAAAATATGTAAAAGAAAGACAACAATCAGATGGAAGTTTCACTGGCGATATTTGGGGAGAAGTTGATATGAGATTTTCTTTTTGTGCTGTGGCAACTTTATCTCTTCTAGTAAGTTAATATTGCATAAATACAAACATAGGTAACAAAATAAAATGTGATTCTATTTTAGCATCGATTGGATGCAATAAATGTGGATAAAGCAGTTGAATTTGTAATGAAGTGTATGAATTTTGATGGTGGTTTTGGATCAAAACCTGGGGCTGAAAGTCATGCTGGTATGATTTACTGTTCCATAGGACTTCTGTCAATAACTGGTAATTTTTATAAATCTATCATTTTGTACAATATAGAGTATTTATTGTTATACAGTATTTATAAATGTTACAAAATAAATTAATGTTTCTAGGTAATCTTCATTTAGTAGATGCAGATCAATTAAGCTGGTGGCTTTGTGAAAGACAGCTTCCATCTGGAGGATTAAATGGCAGACCAGAAAAATTACCTGATGTATGTTATTCTTGGTGGGTGCTTTCTGCACTCACCATTCTTGGACGACTTCATTGGGTTAATAAAGATCAGTTGGTATGCATTTTTAAACAATGATATTTGTATAATCTTGTTATGCATTCAATTTTCAGACATATTTAAAATACAAATAAATGTAGATTTGCATCAACCAAAACATCTGAACAAATTTTTTGCAGGTAAAATTTGTACTGGCATGTCAGGATACAGAATCAGGAGGGTTTAGTGATCGTCCAGGAGATGTTGCTGATCCTTTTCACACTCTCTTTGGTTTAACTGCACTGTCCCTCTTAAATACTGACTATCCTCTGAAAAAGATTAATCCAACATATTGCATGCCAGAATACATAATTCAGAGGCTACAACTGAAACCATCGAGGCTTGACCAAAGCAATTGACGTTTAATTAAAAAATCTAATCTTTATTCAAATTGAATATTTATGAACTAATATAAAATAAGAAAATATAGTGTATATCTTTTATATTAATTGTTTCACTGATTATTTTTCATTTTACTAGCCGTCGAAGTTGTACATATATGTTTGATGCAAACAAGACATATGCATTATTAAGAAATTTAAAAATATGATTATTTCTTATGATTCGTAAAAAACTCTTTTGGGCACTTTAATATTACTTTGCATTATTAGAATAATGTGTACAATTTCATGCACAAAAGTCTAAAGGAAATCCATCAAGTATATACAAATTTAATACTACAAAAATTATTCTTAGAATCACCAGCTTTGCTTAAAAATTGCTATACAATACAGAGACTGTCCAAAATAAACGAATATATACGTTCAAAGTGCAAATAAGTTAATACTTTAACAATTGCATGTTGCATCATTTGTAAATGGCTTTTGTAACTATAAATTATACTTGTTAGGGATATGACTTTTTTAGAGGGTACATGTTTTATAATACAGCACAATAACTTACACAAAATCAAAGAATATAAAAATCTACGTGCGCTCAAGAATAAATAAAATGTAATAAAATAAAGTTGTCTCTTAACTGGCTCATCCTTTTGCAAAGAAAAGATAATAACAAAACACGCTTACCAATAATATGATACAATTTTTTATAAAAAAATATTTGTTAAATATATATACAATAGTGTTATATTTATAAATATAAAAATTGAAATAAAATTATGAATAGCATAAATATGTAATATATTATCTTAGAGCTTGTAAAAATAGAAATTTTACATTTTTTGCACGTGATTATTCTTGCTAATGACAATTACATTAATAGAAAATTATTATCATCTTTCCTGACAAATTTTTAATATCTTAATAGGTAAACTTGTGAATTGCATGTGTACTGTTCTCTTTGATATGCTGCATTCTTCAAAAGAAAGTTTATGAAACTCTGTATGAGAAAAAAGAAAATAATAGTTATCACATATTAATTAAAAAATATGATTTTTAATAAATTTAAGAAAATACCTAGTTGATGAAGAAATTGTGAAAAAGTGTCCATGTTACGAATTGTTGCTGCAATAATAGCATATGTATTATTACGAGATAAAAACATTTTTAATCCCACTAGTAATGCATGAAATGAGTCTATGTCATATAAAATATCAGCTCCCATTATTATATCTGGCATAACCCACTCTTCATTAATATATTTGTCAATATCTTCCCATTTTAATTCCATTACTTTAATATTTGTACAATTATATTTTGCTTCCAATTTTAATCTATCAATTTTTGACTGCATTATTTTTTCACCAGGTAATAAGTTAAGCTTAATATTTTCTAAAAGCATTTCAAAGATTTTTTTATGACAATCTGTAAAAATATATTGCTTTGGAAAACATTTTTTAATAGTGCATAATCCTGTAAATCCAACTCCACAACCAAGTTCTAAAATGATTTTTCCAGAAAGTTCATTTTTGTTTTCAATGCACCAGTTAGCTAAGTCAATGGCACCCTATAAATTATTGGTAATAGCACTATGATAAATCACATTATATTGACAATTACATATAATAACTGTATCAAATATACCTGCCAACTACATAATCCTGTAGTCCCTTCTGATATAATATTAGTACTTTCAAATACAGTAATGCAATCTAATTTTTCATCATCTACTATAAAATGACGATAGTGACTAGATTCATCAGGTGATGAAGATATCAAATTGCAATATGTAACATAAATGCTGTCATGAATAACACCACCTTTTTCTTCAATCTAAATTTCAAAGTAGTGTTAATAATGTAAAAGGCGGTACTAATAACACAAATAATTTTACAAATTAACTTTTTATACCTTATTCATGAGCCACTTTAAAAATGCTTTTTGATAAGATGGCTTTATAGGATATTTTTTAATTAAATTACTGTTTACTGTATTTTCCACAATTTCTTGCTGTCTTTCAAGATTAAGAAGATAATCAATATTTTGTTCACAAATCTGAAATTAACATATAATCGTATGGAGCTATTTACAATATTATTTAAAAATTTGATATAAAACTTACATACAAGCAAATTCATTGTATTGATTGGTGTACAACAAAGAAAATATTTCATTAAACAGTTGATATTAAAAGAATAATCCATTTTATTCTATTATAAACATGTACAACCACATCTATGCCTATTTTTGTATTTAATCAATATTATTTCATAACTATTTTAATAGAATTAATTCTCCTGTTCCATAATAAATTATTTACAAAGTTATTCTATTCTATATAAATAAACAAATTCTAAATAACAATATTTCATTAACAAAACATTTTATTCACAGTGTATCATCATTAGCTCTAATAATTTCAATGAAGATAAAAGCCAGAGTGCGTGCCACGCAATTTACCGAATTCAATTACACTAAATTGAATCATGTAGAGTTCAATTACAATGAATTAATTTACATCAAATTGAAATACATGAAGTTGAATTAGGTCAAATTGAAATACGTCAAATTGAATCACATTGAATTAAAACACGTTGAATTGATACGCCTGTGAAGAAGAATAAGCGTACGCTCGCTTATTCTAAACACACCCTAAGGTATATAATGAGTTCGTTTTCTGAAAACGAGAAAAGCCTCAACAAAGTTTGACAGCATTTGACAGTTAACAGTCTTCCTCTGTGGGGAACGGTTTGGTATTGTTTGATTAAAAATTTTAGTAATGTGCACGAATGTATCGTAAATAATTCAATTAAAAGAAACATGATATAAGATGTAATTTATTTATATAAAATAACTAAAATGAAATTAATACAATAATTAAAAACCGACATCGTTGGTCATGGATGACAGTCTTATTCACGTTTTTAAAATACTTGAAAGTTACTGATTCGATAAGGTAAGGTTAAATAACATAAAGCTGTAAAGTTTGCAATAACATTTTAAGTATTTTATAATTATAGCTCACTCAGTGTTTGAGACACATTAATAATTCTATAATAGTTACACAATGGCTTCTGCCATGGAGCAACAACAACAACAGCAGCAACAGCAGCAGCAGCAACAGCAACAACAGCAGCAACAGCAACAGCAAACTACTTTAGAATTTTATCAAGCAATGGCTGATTTTAAAAATATGTTTCCACAAATGGATGATGATGTGATCGAGGTAAAATTATTGAATGAAAATTTTGTGTTATATAATATAAATATATAAAACATTTTGTATAAACTATATATTCTGCATGACATGTAATATCATTCAATTCAATGTATGTTGATGTTGAAACAAATGTTTTAGGCTGTATTAAGATCTAATCAAGGAGCTGTTGATACGACAATTGATCAGTTACTAACTATGAGTACCGACAATGAAAATGAAAAAATTAGAAGCGAATTAGAACAAAGTGAAAAGTCACCGAGTACCTCAAAATTGCCACCAATAGATTCAAATATATCAATAAAAAGTATACGTAAATGGCAACCTGCTATGTTAGGACCATTACCAGATACATTCCTTAGACTTTCTCAACAAGTTCCAGAAGATAGTTTGGATTCATCATATTTACAAGATAATTCTATGTTAGAAGATGAAAGAATTGCTATGTTTCTTCAGAATGAAGAATTTATGGCTGAACTACGTTGGAATGAAGATTTTCTGTCAACCTTAGAAAATGGTTAGTAATTTGTTATTACAATCCATTCAACTTAAGAAATATGTGTATTGAAAGAAATTATAATTATTACAGACACAAAAATACAAGGAACAAACCTTGAAAAGTGCAGTGGTCAAGTTGGCCACGATGATGAAGATCTTTTTAAAGAAAGACTAAAGAATATGGGAAAAGGTATATAAATGTATACATTTTATGATAATTCTATTATAAAATTCATAATTATGTTTGTGCTTACATTTTAGTGTCCCGACGTAAGTTTGCACAACTTACTAAAGTGTTCACACGCAGTAAAAAACGTGGAGGTAGACAATTATTACCTCCAACAGCTTCTTGCGATGATTTATTGGATCCTGAGGAATCATCTAGATCTCAACCTTAGACATTTGATCAATTTCCTTATTTTATTCACAAAAAACTTCAGTAATTGATACTTATAATGATGTGTCGTCCAAAAGTAAGAAAAGCATATCCACATTAATAACTAAATGGAAATTTACGAAAAAAATTTAGATGGAAATAGTTTTACCTATACAGATTGTTTAACAATAAGCTAAAAGTAGCAAAGTTTATGTCCTGAACAATGATTAATACATCAGTACTTACTGGGTTGTTTAAATAACTCTACTCAAAAGCTTAGAAAGATCAAAAAGCAGCATATGTGAATAATACTACTAGATATTATTTTAAAAAAAAAGAAAAAAATATAAAACTATAAAATATTTCGTATTTTAATAATATATTATAAATAAGAACACATTCTATAAAGCAGCAGTACAATAATTGCTACTGTCATATTGTTAAAATTGGTATATGTGAAATCTTGATGATAAAATTGTCTTTTAATCATAAGAACATACATTTTATTTAAATTTTTATGAATGGTATATTACTGTTAATTTATATTATTTATACATAGTGAAATGTTGATTTTACTTTACGAAATTTATAACTGTTTTTCGACAGAAGCTTTTCACAACTTATTTTTATTTAAAACATGACATTTGTAATTCATAGTAAATGTTGTTAAAGTATAAAATAAACAATACTTACGAGTACTGCATTAATTATACAATGATAGATACAATGAAACTATTAAAATCAAAAAATACATTGAGGAAATTATGATATGTTTAATTTAAAAATGATTCTATAATTCAGAATTGATTGGTATAAAAGTAGACTTTGTTTTATATTGGGAAATCTAACATTATTGTTATAGCAATAATAATATTTTCGAATTTATAAATACATTTCCCAAAAATACCTATTTAGAGGTATAAGTGTAATGAATTCTAGTCTGTTTATCTAGCCATGACTTATTTAATAATAAATATCAAGCGTTGCATTATAACGTTGGCGTAGAAGTTATGTGAACGAACATAATTAAATATGACGATATATCCTACAAATATGAGAATGAATTAAAAAATACTAAACTCAAATATACTGATGTAAAAATAAACCATATAGTTTTTAGTGTCTGATAAATCAAACTTTGTTCAACGTATTAATGTATATTTTTATTTTCTCATTATTGTAATATATAATACAAGTTATGAAAGGTTTACGAAAATAAAATAAAATTTATAGTATATGAAATATTACAAAACTATTTTTTATAAAACATACAATAGTATCATACATTATACAGCAGTAACTAAAAGTATGAAACAAAAATATTTAACAATCTTAACAAACTTAAAATCGACAAACAATTTAACATTGCATTTTATTATATTTTTTATTCTGAAGTGTTACGTATCGGACTGTTTAAAAAATACTCTAGCTCCTGATAAGCTATAATACAATAATTGAAATTCAGCACTTCTTTCTGCTAAACGTTTCAAAGTTAATGCCCTGGTTTGTTGTAATTTTTCATCCCCGTGATCAGTTTTATTTTCTGCAGCCTGTTTTTCAGCATTTATATGCTGTTCAACTGTTTTGAACCAATGCAGACTATCCAATTCTGATGACTGATTTAAAAGGGCATTTATATATGCAATTCCCATTGCAAAACCATCGTCAGTAAAAGCTGCACCTGTTTGGTTTTTCTTAAACATTTTTTCTTTATTTGATATTGAGTTATCTACGAAACTTAACGTTAATGGAGGTATAATAGCATAAAATTGTTGTAGATGGTGGGATTCTGTACTTCGAAAAGCAGAAGCAAATACATCAACAAGAAGTTTGAAATACTGTATACCCTCTGTAAAATTGCGAACCAAATTTGCAATATCATTTTCTAAACATTTTGCTGCAGCTTGAGTGGTTGTACTATACTTTAAATTTTTACACATCAATTCAAATGGTACAGATGAGTTAATATCTGGCAAGAATGAAATGGCATTGGAACTTGCATGTAATCCACCAGACCTAATTAATCGTACATATCCTAATGCATTTCCAATTTGAGTTACCAACTGTCGAAACTGGTCCAAATAACTTAAACCATCAGGCATCATACCCAATTTTCTGATTCCTTTTTGAAATTTTTCTGCTCTTTCATATGTATAAGGTGTTGCTCCATTTTCTCTCTGAATTTTAATAAATCTAATGTCCCTCATTAATCGCGATTTAATGTGTTCATCAAAAAGAAATTGTGAAAATGTATGTAGCTTTATGCGAAGAAATTGATATACAAAGTTAACTGTTGTACTCATAATACCAGTTCCATGTGTTCTAATAGAATTTGCTATGTGTCTAATTCCAATGGTATTTAAATGTTTATTATTACTTGTATGTTCAATGAAAGTTTGTGTGTTTAAATTATATAGGTACTTTGAAACAAATACGTGAATATTCCTCATAATTTCTAAAGCATCTAAGCCTTGTTCCAAAGTTTGTGTAGGTAAATGATTTTGTACAGTATCAAGATTTAGTTTATAATAGGCAAGGGCATGCATCATTCTATATGTTTTCCAGTCGTGTAATGCTACTGTTGTAAGATTATAAAACATGTCATCAAGGTAATGTTCAACAAATCGTTTGGCATATATCATACTGCTAGCCAGAGGTAATGGCAATGATCGTACTATTCTCCCACCATCTTTTGCTCCAATATTAAATGGATTAGTAGAATCCAACTTTAAATGTGCATGAACATGAAGTCTTAAATTCGTTTCAATTTCATGACAAACAGGTTCTAATATATTTTTAGTTAACATTTCTTTTAATTGTATGATTCTTTTCTTCTTTAAATCTAATCCTTCTTGTTCACTGATAGTACTGTTAAATGCATTAAACAAATGAACGATATGATTTATGCTTAAATTACTGTCTGTAACAGAAGAAAAATAAGCCGGAATTATGTTTTGATGATGCATTAATATAGAATAATCACAGAATTCAGAAATAATATTATGCAATTCGGCGATAGTATCATAACTATCTAATAAAAATCTTAATTTAATCATATCTTCTTCTTTAAAAGTATCTGTTAATTGACTAGCACATGCTAGAGCACATCTGATTATTAATCTTCTATCTGCACTGGCTGGTCCATTCAATAATCTCATACTTAAACCTACCAATGATAATGCATCTAATTTTTCTTTACTGTAGCCTTTATCTTTTTGAGTTAAACTTCTTCTTGCAGTTTCTAATATAGTTAAAATATAATAACTCAAATACTGTACTACTTGGCTTTGTGATTGCACTATTACTGGTCCCAACATGTAAAATATAGTTTGCAAAGATTTTTGTACTTCTATTAGTCTACATATTAACTGGACAGTATTACGATTCATAGGTTTAATAAGAGTTGCATGCATATTCATTATAAAAGATATGATTTCTTTAATTTGAGATAGCAGATTAACTAAATCTAAAAGTAAGGACTGTTTTTGACCAATCAACAAATCTGAAACCTGAGGACCAGTCTTTATAAGAAGATTTTGCATTTCAATGCACCATGTTACTGCTCTATGAATCAAATTGTTCACAGTCTGAGATAGTTTTTGTGTCCTTACAGACAATATCTTTTCACCCACTTGTGAACTAATCACATTTCCAATTTCCTTTGGTAAGAAATCACTTAAAAATTTGCTTGGAATCCACATAACATTTCCAATCAAAGTTACAGCATAAAACTTTTTATTATTCTCAAGCACTCGTTTAATTAATCTTTTATCACACGTGCCAAATAATTTTATTACTACAACAATGCCAATGTTTACCCTAATCCAATTTTTGTTCAATGCCATGTTATCATTAGATTTATTTTCTATATCTGACATTAAGTTTTTCAAATAGCTAGTAATTTGTTCGCTCATCACAGGTCCTTTGCTTACATCCATTAAATGTTCAACTGTTTTAATAAATAAAACTTTCTTCAATAACTGTTCTTGTAAATCTTTTAGCAACTTATCAAATGTATGAAGCTTTGATTCACTGATGCCAAATTGCAATGGATTATGCATAACAGAACGTACTTGTATTCTATACTTTTTCCATTGCTCCAATAATGATGGTTGAGATTCAACAATTTCATCTAATGTTAAAACAATTACAAACAGATTGATGAAATGTTCTATTAATACAGGTAAATAAACATCATTAGTATCGCTTGATAGACTAGATAATTGTTCAGTAGTTAAACGTGCCACTGTCCATATTCTGTTTACAAAGACAAATAGATCTTGCAAATCAGACAGAAGAGATGTAATATTATACTGATTATCCTCAATGTCTCTTTCACCATGAGTAAATAACTTTTTATAAAAAGTTTTAGCTTCCATTTCTAGAAGTCTAATTTCTCTGCATGTCCCAGCAACAGCAGCAAGCAATTTTGATAGAAATTTATTTTCCATTTCTATTAAACACATAAGACTAATATCTTCAATGGGTTTATATATAAGTCGAAGAGGACCTTCCATAAAATATTCCAATGTGGAATCCTTTTTCCATGTCTTTTCTGCTAAGTTATCCAAAAATTCTCCATACTTTCGTAAATGTATTGCACCAGCTGCTTTGTATATGGTTTCATCCTTTCTTGAGTTCCACGCAGAAGATTCTATCATTGTTAGGCCGTTTATTTGTGTAACATTAATCAGACTATATCTCAAAATGCTGATTTCATTAGCGAATGAAATAATATACAAAATATAATTACTAAATTCGTATCATGTTCCTTAATACTTGTTTAATAGTACCTTCAATGAGTAATATCTGTAATATTTTAAGTCAAATTATTGTGCTACTTCCAGCATATTGATAAATGCACAATATTAGAAATTGGATTTACAAATAGTTGATAAATAATCTTATTTTAAAATTAATATATTAACACCTTTTTTAATGTATTTGAATTTTTCCAAAAATACAAAATTAACCAAAGTTTAAATAATACTTATATAAATAAAGTTCATAACAAATCTGTCAGTATGATACATGTTTCCAAATTTCTAGGGAATTTTATAAATCGTTGTTACTGCACTTTCTCGATAAATTTCAATTACTTTCAATTCACTCTTGAAACCATCGTTCAATGACTACGTTTCCATCGAGGGTTCAAATCGGGTCAGAGTCGGGTTAGAGTCGGGTTTGAGTAGCGGGTTGGAGTTGCGGCAGGGTTGAACATTACCAACTGCACAAAGTCAACTACCATATTCTGACATGTAAAGCTGAGCAATATTAATTTTACAATATCAAAATAACATACAAAAATTATTTCTCAGATTACAAGATCACCGACAAAAAGTAATAATAACCTCTTCTACACCGATTAATACAACACGTGATACACAATGCAATTTGGATTTGTTATGTTGGCAACACGAACTCGACTCTTGTCGTTTCCACCGAACCCAATTGAACGCTACCCTAAAATTTTGTAGGGTAGAGTTCAACTAAACCTTTGGTGTTTCCACCGTAAAAGCGTTCACCCCAACCCGACTCTAACCCGACTCTGACCCGATTTGAACCCTCGATGATTAGACAGACTACTATTAAAAATAATAATCTAAATATAATACTAATATATGTATAATATCTTATTTCTCAAAATCAAAGATAAATGTTGGGTGATTTCTTCCCCTATATAATACTTGTCAAAAGAAAGCTTATACGATGCATATGAATGTGCTTACACTCTGTGATCTTCTATTTAATATATCTTTCCATATCATTACTTTCTTTATTTGTCCATATATTTTTGTTCACCATAAATATGACCGATAGAATAACAACGAATCATGGAGAGGCAGCACAAGATGGTGGGGAAACTTTCAGAGCTCATTTGAGCTTCACAAACGCTAAATATTTTTGTGAATTTATAGTTTGTACAGTTTTTAATGTTCATTACTTCTTTTGTTTAGAATTACTGTTGGGATAATACATACTAGAAAATAGTATATAATGTGCATAAAGTAGCCAAAAACAAGTTAATATGCATACTGTATTAACTGATGGAATTTATTAATAATAGACACATATAAATAAGTCTGAAAAAGAAACACTAACTGCAATTACATACAAAATGCATGTAAGGTTTTTAAACTAACAATAAAAGTGTTTTATTACACTTGTTATTGAAAATCTAAAGAATATATAAAATCTTTGCATTGTAACTTTATTGATTTTGTTAAAATTGACTGAAGTTGTATATGTATAGCGACAAGACAATGATGTTGCATAAAACAAACATAAAATTATGTCGTCTTTGTGGCAAAGAAAAACAACAAGGCACAGATTTATTTGCCGACAAAGTTAAAGGAACTGTATTAATGTCAATTATAAATAAGTACTTCTCTAAGGAGGTATAAATTTCAGTGAATTGCAAAATTCATATCTTTCCAGCAATATTTATAATATTCTCTTATTCCAGGTAATAAATATTTCTAATTCCGATGCATTTTCTAAATATGTTTGTCTAGATTGCGAACAAAAAATTTATATATTTGATGAGTTCTACTTGATGGTAGCAAATGTGCAAAAACAGCTGACTGCTCCATCTTTAGAAATTGATTTTGCAGAAGTATGATATACCTTCTAACTGTTTATACCTATTTCATTTTGAATGACATATTAAGCATATTCAGTCTAAGTAAATTTCAAAATAATTTACTTTTTAGGATATGTTATGTCAGTTGAAAGTAAATGATACAATACCAAAAAATACTTTAAGCAAAGAAGGAATAAGAAAAAATATATGTCCAATATGCGCTAAAAGCTTTAGATGCCAGGCTCATTTAATCAGGCATAAACGTATTCATACTGGACAACGACCTTTCGTTTGCAATGTTGGTAGCACAATTATTATTATTGTTGTACAATAATTATTAGTTTAGATTACAATAAGAAACTATATTGGCTTTAATACATAACATTTTTAGATCTGTAAAATGTCATTCAATCAACAAGAAATATTAATGAAACATAAAGAGAGACATGAAGGTAAAAAGCAATTTCGATGCGCCAATTGTCATCAGTCATTCCGTTATAAAGTGTCATTAAAATCTCACATGATAAGTTTTCACATGGATATGGAACAATCTGTTAACAATCAAAATTTACAAGCAGCAGACAATTCATTTGTTTGTTCAGAATGTGGTAAACAATTTGTGACAAAATATAAGTTACAGAGGCATTCACGATGTCATACAGGAGAAAGACCTTATCACTGTACATTTTGTTTAAAAACATTTTCACAAACAGGAAATTTAAAAGTACATCAGGTAAAATATCATCAAATATCTAGCTCATTAACAGAGATAAGAAGACAGACCCAGTTTGATAATCAGATTGTTGGCTGTGATGTACCTACTGAATTAAATAATTTTCATACAATAAATATGTCCGAAATTGAGTTACAAAACACAATAAATGAAACGATAAATTCTACAGAACAAAGTAGTTCGTATGCTACAAAAATGTATGAGAATTCTTTGTATATTGATGAAGAAATTGAGACAATACTGGATCGTGATCTTGGCCATTTAGAACAAAATAAATATCCTACAAATTTACAAGATAAATTATCTCTTTGTTTGAAACAACCAGAAACTCCTGAACTACTAAATAGTTTGTTATATGATGATGGATAATTTCCTGAACCCAATTAAGTATTATTAACTGCTTATTTCTAATAATGTTATTTTTCTCTAATACTTACAAACGAATAATCCACATATTTATAATCATAAAGTTCTATGATCTCTATATTGGTAAGTTACTAAATACTATGTATATATACTCTTTTCAATATTTTATTAAAATATATAAAATCTTGTAAAGATATAAAATAGAACTTATACAATGTTAAGTACACATTAACAATAACATGCAATCATTTTCAAGTAATTTAATTGTTTAAATTATACATAATAATGAAATATTATAAATTTATTGATTTCACATATGTTTTTTTACAAATTTATGAAAGTTTAAAATTATTTATATGAAGCAATAATGTTTTTATATCTTTTTATTGATAGTACGTAACAAACTTTTTTTTCTTACATACTTTTATTTAATAAAACAATTATGCTAATCCACAGGAGTCAATGTTTATTTTAGTATCATAATATCATAAATACATTAATAAAGAATATTTAATTGTCCAGTGCTTGTGGCATAAACTAATCCTTGTCCAGGTTGCGGCGCCCATCTGGTGCAATTTATAGCTTTATAAACTCTCATTTCATGATCATTGTGTAATAATTCCCTATCAATTACCATAGTACCGTTCTTTCTTAAATGTTTAATGTGTAAATCAGTCATAATTAAATCTCTGGGATGCCAAAGAATACTGTATGTTTTCCAATCATTTTGAAATTCTTCATTTACAAGTCTATAGATCTGAATACTTCCTGGCAAACCAACTAAAAGGTGTTGTTGTGTTGGTGAAATTGATACAGAAAGCGAGGGCTTGCATCTTTTTGTCGAATACATTCTTTTTCCCAATGTTTCCCATTCTAAACTGTATATTCCTAAAAAATCTACGAATTAACAGAGTAAACTGACATGTTTATATGCATATTATTTTTAAATTATTTACCTAACATAGTATTGAAATTTGTTGCTAATAATTTTCCATCCGAAGAAATGTCTATACTACCATCATTAAAAATGTGACATTCAGGGACAACAATATTTTTTTCGGCTACAATATACAAGCACTTTATTAACAAGTTATAAAATAATTATATGAAGAGAATAAATATAAAGTATTTACAATTTGTAATGTCAGGCATTTCGCCAGTAGAAAAATCCCATGCTTGTACACGGTAACTCGCATGATTTGAGATTGTTCCTAGAAAATAAAATGTTTTACCTTACTGGCGATACTCCCTCATTATCATAGCATACCTTTCTGTATCATATTTAATTCATTATTTCCATGTATACCTCTAATCCCGAATTTGGAAGTATTATTACATCCAAACCAACGAGAGTGTAGAATTCCCATCCTTGATTCAGAGGTTTCAGAATTGGAATCTAAGCAAGAACAGGACGAATTTGTTGAATTAGAAAATAAACCATTATTATGATTTACTATTTGTTTGATCCTGGGTTGAATAATATTTTTTACTTGCATATAAGGATCAAGTCTGGGACAGAAATCTTAGAAAAATGGGTTGTGAAAAATTTCTTCTAAATATTTTACTTCTTGACTTCAGGATCTTGGCAAAGAGAAATCGCATTTTACACATTTTTGGAAACCAAATATCTATTGTATTTGTTTCTCCTGTCCAAAACAACATAAGACAAACAAGGACTTGAAGTATTCGGTCCCCAGACTTGACTCTTAATATTTGAGATGTTCTTGGTGTGGAATTACCAGATATGTTATCGATGAAGTTAGAAATATTAGGTAAGCATGGTTCAACTCTACCCACTGTACTAGTAGAAAAAGTTAAGTTTGTATCAGTTTTATTATTATCTGATAATGTGGAATGAGCATTCCTGCTTCCAGTGAACTGCTGCACTTTTTTCACTAAAATGTCGCATAAACTATCACATGATTGTAATGAATTATTTGTTTGCAAATGAGGTACACATTTCACGTTTTCTTTGGTTTCGCTACCATTAGTAACGACTGATTTCGTACAATTTCCATTACAATTATTTTTAAAACCTGTAAATCCTTTTGAAGTAGATGGTTGACATTGAGTGTCAATTTTTTGATCAATATTACTGTCTTCTTTTTTGTAAGTTCCTAAAAGTTGTTCATAGTTTCTAACTGTTTCATTTTGAGAATTTGAAGGAATATTTGAAATAGATTTTAATGAGGTATCACTATCATTAACATTTAGTTCTATAGCTTTTTCGTCATTAATCTTTTTGTCTGTAGAAATAAATGCATTTAATGGCCTAATCTGACGGAAGCTTTCCCGGGTCCTAAAATAATAAAAATAAGACATATCACTTGAAAACCGTAATTTTTAATAGTCTAAATCATAACTTACCACAAAGCAATATCAATGTAACGATGAAGTAATTCGATTTGCTGATGAACTTTTAAAATTTCTTTAGATTCTGAACTTTGAAGAGGTAATAATTGTGGTCTTACATTCTCCTCTTCGCTTTTTCTTTCTAATTGTTCTAAGCTACTGCTATTTACAATAGACATTTCAGTATTATGAAGATAACTTTCGTCAGATTTTTTATTGTCTAGTAATTTATTGTTTATAGTTTCATTATTAATATTATACTTCAAAACAGTATTATTAGTTTCTGCATTTGAATTAGAATTTGTTTTATCTACATTTTCGCAATTACTTTTTGAATTACTAATTTGTACAAAATCTTTATTATGATTCTCTACAGTGACAGTATTAAGTAGATTATTTGTTGATGGATTAGTTTGTACAGGCTCGGTGGCATTGGTTCTAGAGGATTCACTTTTATGATTACTCGAATTTCGATGATAATTACTTTGGCCACTACCTAAAAATGCACGTAGGCTATGTCGTATTCGGGACCTTGAAACACTTGCAGATCTAAAATTTTGTCATTCATATTACAATGTAGCAGAAAACGTGTAATGAGTTAAATGATTATTATATGTACCTTCCTACATTGCTGCCCTGTTCTTGGCTGTTTTCCTGGTATTGAATGTTTTTAATACCTGTTATTAATTTTTCCCCTAAACTGTCAAAAGCCACATATCTGAAACATATTGCAAAATATTATTACAAATTAGTTAAAAATATATAAAACTTTTAAGTAAATTGTCAAAATTTACCTTACACTTTCCCTTTCCGTTTTGGTAGTTACTACTGCAAATGGTTTTGATTGATTCCAATCCCAAAAATGTATTTCATTACATAATGCTATAACAAGTATCTCTGCAGTTGGATGAAAGGCAAGGGATGATATGCAGCTCATATTTTTTGAATTCCATACTTTATTACCACCCTATGTAAGGAAGATATAAGTTACAATTACATTGAAAAATGCCATTTAAAAATTAATTGTTATTCATGTAAATACTGACATTTAAATTCCAAACACGAACTTGACCACCAAGGCAGCCAGAAGCTAGTATTTGACTAGAAGAGGGATGAAATGCTATGCACCATGGAGTACGTGGATGACCAGAAAGAATTTCAATATTTTTCCCAGTTGCAATTTCAGAAATATAGACATTATGATTACCATGTATCGATGCCATTTTAGTTCTAAAATTTATAATCTTTTATGTCTAACAGATTCAACTTTTAATGGCAATATTCAACATGATATCTATTTTAATTTTTACCCATCAGGACTAAAAGCCATCATAAAGGTTGATCTGGGGATTCCAGGCAAATCACATTGCTATAAGAAAATAAATTTAATAATTCTAATTATTTTACTTTGATTTATAACTATTCTGTATTTACCAATTCCTTGTGATCCTTTAAAATTAGATGCCTTTCAGCTATTAATTCTAATTCACGCGTGCCAGTTTTATGTGATATATGAAATCCAAAATCTCTGAACATTAAGTTATGAATTATGTTCTTTGATTTACTGGGTTGAAGCAATTCTGGTCTCTTGTTGACTTTCTCCATTTAGTATGATTATTTTATCTACAATATAAATAAATTTTTATCATAATAAAATATTCACCTGAATTTGAAACACTGAACAAATTTTAAAATCCAATAAACTTAACTAATGAAGAAAACAACTTGCACTGTTGTATCACCACATTAATTTAAACTTTACATCTTAAATGATTTCCACTATTACCTTTTAATTTGTCAAACATTCTTCACAAAGTTCATTATACATTTTTAATTATTATTCATCATAAAATATATTATTGTATACAATTCAGATGACACATACAAAAATTATATAAATATCAATAATAAACAGAATTTTTGGAAATGAAAATATATAAAATGTAATAAATCAAATGAAAGAATGTGGATGCACAATTTATCATACAATATATTTATTTGTTTAAAACTATTATTTAATATACATATAACAATACATGGGAAGCTGATTATTATTTTATAGTATATCTATTGTTACCTGAAGATATTTGTAAATTAAAGTTAGTTTTTAATTGTTCAAAGATTAAGTCTTTCTTATCTTTGATTAAAAATTATTAATTACAATTGTATTTCAAAACACTTCTTTCAGCTGAACAATGGAAAATACGTTTTCTGACCTGTAGTATCGAATAACACGGTTGGTTCCATAAAAAATCGTTTTCACAAAACTAGGGAACGCACTTTATAAAATATATCTGTTAATGCATTACTCAGGCATACTGAAAAATTTCTTTTTTACCTTTTTATTCTCATAGACGTGTTTATATACAATAAATTGAGAACAATTCATATGCTATGACGTACATATTTAGGGTCGCATCACTTTCACGCAGCTTGACTAACATAAGCTCAAAAGATTCCCCACCCACTGACGAGATATTGATTGTGTTTTTTCGCGCATGTGCCGCGATTTTAACCTCAGTAAAGTGCAAGTTTCAGTAAAATGGGGTACCTTAATCGCTCTACATAATTTTTCAAAGATTTTTATAATTTAGATGTGAAATATAAATGTATAGGTTGAGTTAAAACCTTATCAGTTTTGTCCTGGTGCCTTGTTTCGTAACGGCTGCTTTTTCGCTGCTTTCCCGCCAAAAACACTACGCTCCATAGTGGCGCAGCTAAATAGATACGATCCTTTTCCCGCAATGTGTTAGTCCACTATCACTTCATATACATGGTGCACAATTAATATACCGATACAATTTTTGTAACAGGATTGTATTTATTATAATCCCATGTAAACAAATTGGAAAAACTAATAATACAGGGAAAATTTTAGTAAATTTATTAACATTATAGTTTATTTGTACATAGTGTAATAAAAGCAAAACTTATATAGAGAATAAACGAAATACATTAGATTAGATTGAGGTAAGATTAGGCGGGATTAAGTTCGGCCAGTATGTGGTTACTCGGAATTAGGTTAAGTTATGGTTATGCTAAAGCGTAGCCAGACTAGTAAAATAAGTTTGAATAGAATCTAAATATACAATTCGTTATTATTATTATCAGAATAACATTTACTTTCAATGTATAGATTAAAATTTGTACATACTTTGTTTGGAAATTTATTTAATATTTAATTTTAAACGAATGTACAATATAGGCATTATTTCTTTTAAGCGCAACAATAAATTCTTTTTGTGATATATAATTTCAATGGTCTAAGATACGTAGGTTACCAGAAACAATTTTATTCTCTAAAATTGTTCCTGATGGAAGATCAATGCGTTCTCCATGATGGGCAATTATGATAACTGTTCCTTTAAGGGTTACACTTTTACCAAAAGTAACATCACCAGATACTGTTAAATGATCTAACTCCAAGAGATCTGGTATAGCTGGAAATCTGGTAAGGAATTCTTTAACCTGCGTAAACAATTTAAAATTAATAGCAGTTGGTATTTGAATAAATGAGAATTAAAATAATAACCTTAGAAAAGTGATTATCGCCCAATTTTATAAGGGGTGTTGTAGGGAACATTCGTTGTGGACTCATCACTAATGAACCATTACGGAGAGTATATAAATTGCTCATAACAAGCATCAAGTCTGAGGTCTTTTTCACTGGTAAAAATCTACTACGTGGTACATTTATACCTGAAACATAAATTATTTTATTAAAATAATTATTTAAAGTAAAAATTTATTAAAAATTTGAAGTATATCACTCACCAATACTTCCTTCAAATGATTTCATTGCAGCTCCAACAGCTGTTTCTAGTTGAATTATGTTCAAACCATTTGAAAAAGTCTTATTATTGACAATAATCTCCATGTTCAGAGAATTATGTTCAAGCACTCTTTCAATTGCTACAAATACAAATGATAAATATAATAATTATTAATAGTTAAATTAAAGAAAAGAAATATATACCGCTGAGTTTTATCCACAAATTATTGGTATTGAAAAACTTGAATGTTTTCACAGACTTAAAATCATCTACATGATCTTTTGGAACTTGTGCAATTTCAAGAAGGCGAAGCTTATCTTCATATTTAATTAATGTTCCACCCTACAAATATAAAAGATTATTTATTTTGACCAATTATAAACATTTTATTTTACAAAAGAAAGCTTTATTACCTTCACATCAGCTCGAGTTTTGTCAGTAACTTCCATAAGGAATTCATGAGGTGCTGCTTCACTTTTATCTAGTAGTAATTTTAAAATCTTAAAATCTACAGTAGCACCCAAATTATCAATGTTCGAAATAAAACAGTATTCACGACCCTGTAGAAGTAGGATATATATTATAAACAAGCAACGTTTAAAACATCACCTTTTTATAACATACATTGATATAATTAACAATACCTCTTTCAAAAACTTTTTCAGTAAACCAGAATTTCGGAAACTTTCATAAAAATCTCCATGGCCAGGTGGATACCATCTATTAATAATATTTATAAATATTTATACATGCAACTTTTAATTAACATGCATAATTATTTATTAATAATCTTACGCTTCTATATCATCAGCAATATCACAGTGTTTTGCAATTGGAAGTAATGAATCTCTGTTGATACGTGGATAACAACTTTGATTAAATGTATAGATATCAACATCTATTCCTTTATATTTCCTGATAATTTTTTGCGTATCATCATCAGTGTTGAAGGAATCCATTAGAATTAAAGGGACATTTGCATTGTAAGTTTTGTTCAAGTACTATACATATATAAAAATATGGTTAATTCTTTGTTTCTACAACTGTGTAATTTTCAGTATATTACCTCAATTTGCTGCACGGTAAGATCAAGAAATGTAAGTCCATTGCGTACTGCTATTACAGACTTTGGTCCGTGGCATCCCATACTGGTTCCAAGTCCTCCATTCAATTTGATAACAATTAATTTATTTAACAGGGCTTTCACTTCTTCTCCTTCTGGTAGTGGCAAAGAGTTGTAATCTCTTATCTAAAAATAACAATTTTATTTTAACTATCTTTCTTTCTTTTATTTACACTTTCTCTGGAATAAGATACAAATTTCTTCTTACAGCATCGTCGGGGAGCTTTTGTATACGGTCCCATTCTAACGAGGGTCCTTCTTCTTGTAGAAACCGCTTGAAAAGATGGATGAAGCCTTCGAATTGCCGGTGGATCTCCTCTTTAACTTCCCCTGTAGCGGTTCCCTCAAGCTTGTCTAATTCTCGATGAAGTTCAATCAGGGCATCCCTCTTGGTTCTTTCACGGAATGCCTGTGTATCTGAGGGAGTGCGTTGATGACCGCGTGCCTACGGATTTATTGAGCAAAATAGAAGAAGCATAACAATAAATACCTCTTCCCTTCATAAGTAGTTCGCTTCCGCTGCCATCCAATTTTGCAAGATCGTGCATGACTGATTTCTTTCTATTTTATTTAATTGTTAATACACACCCGATAACGGAAAATGTTCGGTCAAAAACAAGGAGGAAAAAACAAGTCTTTTTTATAAATTTTTGTGGAATGTCCTTCTTATTGGAAGCGTATCGGTTAGAATTAATCGAGTTTCTACGGTTTGAAAATTTGTTATTGATTGAAAATTATCAACGATCGGAATTGTTTTTTTATAATCAAATGTTATTTCTCTTTTTTGTTTGTTCATTCGCTCGTTGCGACATTCTGTGAAGAGGAAAGGGAGAGGGGAAGGGTTGAAATAAAATCGGAAACCTAAATTTCTGAATTTGAGAATTTGTAAATTGTCAAGATTAAGCGTCATGGATTCCCTGAATCGCGGTATTCGGTACAAGTGACAATACTGTGCAAGATGGAAATTTACTAAGAAATATCTATGTGGAAGTTATGCTAGTAATAATTACGCAACAAACGAATCGTCTGTGCAAATATCAGTGTTGATAATACGTAAAGCAGGATTTATCTATATATATTTAAAATAGAGCAGTTGTCTGTAATTGTACATTTAAATTCTCTGGGACCAATCATGTACAGTTGCTCTCTATGACCTTATGGAAAATTGTATAGACCACTATAAAATCTCCACATTCTATCTCTTTTCTTTGAGGATAATTTAAATTTAGTGCAGTGTTGCATAATTTATCATTATATAACAATTAATGAGTCAAGTAATTTTACTTGTAGGTTTTGACCCTGCCTTTCTTCTTCTCCCATTTTATGTTAGCTAAAGATCTGAAGAAATCCTTTTTGTTCATTCAATTGATTTCTAATAATGTGGACAGTCTTTCTAATTTTTTTTATAAAAAATATTGTTAATAAAATTATTGAACTATTATACAATGAATGAGCAAAGAATCTCCTATTCATAGCTGGTGAGTGATCAGAAATTGTTTACTAAGATCATATTACCATCATGTAACATGATGCATAAATAATAGAAACAATATTTCTAATTTTATAATAATGAAATTACATTCTAACAGATTAATTTCTATTTCTTGTAAAAATTAATGGAGACATTATCTCCTGCAGATTCATTTTAATTAATTTCAATTTAAATAACAAATTAATTTGCGAAAAAAAAAGTTAGAAACATGAAGAGATAAAAAATGATATTTTTAAAAGTGTAAGTTATAATGAAAGCAGTATGCAAATGAACAGACAGAAATAGTAAGTCAGCTTTATAACGGTATAACGTATAGATAAGAAATATGAATTAACAAAGACGCTCTTTAAAATTCTATACTTATTCAGAGAAGTGACAGCATAAAGTCAAAAATTAGAATTGCAAAAAATTGAAACTAAATACTTTGTTCGTCGTTAAAAAGTTACATAAGAAAAGAAACTAAACTGTCGTCGCATAGCGCACCATATAATGACTATGACAAGCAAGTTTTCCCCGGTTTCTTTTGAATAACGTTAATTCAACAAAACACACGATATAAATCATCGCCGATGATGTAACCTAATGTATTTAATTCTCCATACAGTCTTGACAATTAAGACACGAGCGTACGACAGATGTTTACTTCGTAACCACTTGGCAATTCAATTTTCTTGTCGACATTTTATATGTCCTAATCAGATCAAACAATATGACATTAACATTGGTTTTGATCATGGTTCGTGACATTCAAGGATGTCAAAGATGAACAAGACTATTCTTGAAGAATTTCACATCTAACCGTGTAAATATTACACGTTTTAAAAAGAATTCGATTTATTTGAAAATTTGTATATCTGATCTATTTTTATCTTATCAAGTTTCAAATAACGTAAAGTGATTTTGTTTACATATAAAATGGTACCTGAAATAGTACATATTTACAGTGGTATTTAAACGATAGAACGGTATTTAAGTGAAAAATGGTACCTAAGTAAACACTTCATAATTCATTAATGGATAAACGTCATGTCGTTAAGTATGAAGTTAACAAATGTCAATACGAAAACTTTAAAATTTATTATTCCTCATTTACCCGCTAAATTTCAATATTAGATTAAGCTCAAATTGACATTCAAATACGAATCTCCGATCTTCATTCGTCATATTTACATCAGTCAGGTTAGGTTAGCTGCATGATTCAGGCATTTATTCTTGTTCAAACTTTAAAAATAATTTATCTAATTTCAAATAAAAATAATGAAATTAATTGATAAAATTATGTGTCACGTGCGTCAATTATTCGTCTCAATGATATTACCGATGTCTCGAATTATCGATAGCATTTGATCCCATCGATATTTATCGATAACAGGAACTCTAATATGACAGCGGCACAGACAAATTACCGTTGAAATGACGAAGGTACACAGATAATATGAATACATAATTGAATTACAAATAAACGATTTCCTGAAGATACGAAAGAAGTTAACGTTCTATTTATCAAGTCTCATACTGAATGGGTTATTAAATTATTTATAAATGCGCATAACTTCGAGCTAGAGGAACCTTAACAAAATTTTAATTACGTCAACAAGCGTAAACACTGTGAGTATGTTAATACAACTACTTAATTATATATTTTGCACGACAATTTAAATTTAAATGCTTCTGAATGAGAATAGGATACACAATCATCAACTTATCAAAAGTATTCAGCACTGAAAGGGTTAACGAGACGCGCGAAATGGAATCATGTGACAAGGGTCACACGAAATATAGTCACGTGTTATCGTAAAGTCGACACACGGTTCAGCGAACGATACATTCCGTTAAATTCGAGCCTTAATTAAGAGAAAATCATTCAACCAGAATAATTCCGATCTGCCTCTCCCAATTGGACCTCCACTACGCCACTATCTTTCTGCTCCACGAACACTTACATTCAACAGGTAATTTTGTCGATAGATCGAAAAGTTTACGCTTTGTCACTACGCGAACGAACGACAACGAGGTCTTCGACTCTTGAACGATAACCAACTAAACGCGACCGCGAGCTCGTAAGTCAGCGTTACCACTGAGAAACATGCGATGTAAATCAGCGGTACAATTCAGTAGCACACTGGTCATTGGTGCAATTCTAACGAATGAATCGCCTTAGATAACCGTTTACGAAGATCAGCGGAGGAAACGAAAAGAGAGAAAGAGAGAGAAGTGACGTTTTCACATTATCAGCATGACCTTCGGATGAAACGTTTATCACAATGCACCTGGACGACGTGACATCGCCACATCGAACTCTAATGTTTCTTCATCACTTAATGATAGTCCGTGTGGTTACAGACTCATTTAACAACGCTACATTTGCAGTTGGATGATTTTCACTTTCCATTTCATGTCGTTGATTACGTGCTTCAAGTATATAATTCATTGCAGGGATATAAAGGCCTAAAATCTAAGAACTAAGATTTACGCGGTTCTTACGCCAGTGCATGTACCGAAGTTATAAACGTACGACATCTACGATCAAAGTATTATGATCTAGGGAAGCAGAAGATTTAACATGTGTACCGAAGGCACGCGGTAAGTCGGCCGAAAGAAATGTTGAAGTGGTTATCAAACAAACAAAACGTCAATCAACAGAATGACAATTGATTACACCATATCTTTCGAGTTTGATGTGAAAAATGACATTTCAAGATCATGATGTAAAACATATGATATATTACGACACTCTCAGAGATAATGTTTTTGTTGATATGATTAAACCTTTCGATTATTGTGATATTGTAGAATAACTGCTGAATGTCAACATTTTAAAGTAGAATTCGTATACTAACGTGAACGTTTTAAATTCATATGCAGATACATTTATTAATAAGTTGTAATTGTGATTGAATATTTTATTGACGGTTAATCACTCATGCAGATACAATCAAGGAATACTACTTTAAAACTTGATTTGTTAATAATACTTGCGGTCGAGGGTTTAATCGGTAAGAAACGTTACACGATAGCCATCTTTTTATTATCTGTTATTACCATACCTTAACTTTGAAATTAAATCCAAATACTTTCTTTTGTAACTCTTTGTAACATAAAATTACATACCGATTCGTATCATCATTTTTGTCTATTGGTTTAAACATATCTCGAGGAAGATGTGTTTAAACCACTTGTTAGAGTTTTGTTGTAATCAGTGAACAATAACTACGGAAAGAAACGTGTGCGACGTGCATTATCGATAAAATAATTAATGAAGGGAAACAGACATTTAAGGTTATCGTTCCGGGCATTCGATGAGATAAATCTTGACTTGTAAATCTCCTAGCGGTAAGAATGTTGTTTCCGAAAAGAATATTGTAGATCAATCCTATTAAACAAATTATAAAATCGACGTATTAAGTCGAGAAGACTAAACGATACGAGACACTATCTATCGCGATCAATAGCGAAATTAATTTAATAACATATATTTGCGAATAAGGTTATCTAGAGGTCAACTTGTTAGCTCCTTATTTCCACGACGTAATATCAAATAACGATAATACGAAAATCTTTGAAATACGTACATTTTTCTATTGTGGCGTATGATAAATAATTAATTATTATTCACGACAATCATATTTAAATCAAGCTTCGTTTATTGTGTCTACAATTAAAACGTTTCCACTTGCGTGCTGATAACAATAACGAATGACGTTCAAAACAATTGAAACAAATGCAATATCATTTCAAGACTTAACAGAATTTAGCATGTCATGTGGAATAGAAATTAAACGTTATATTCGAAGTAAATGTATGAGACTCTGGACAGAAATACATGTACTCTTATAAAATGTAACCACAGCTCACCCACATAATCTTGCGTAATGTGTTATGGAATTGAAATATTATTTTATCAACTGTTTGTAATTGAGCAATTTAGTCTGTAAAACGCGAAGTATTTTCAAATCATGTCATATATAGAATGTCGAAAATTTATTAATAATTAAGAACGAATGATTTTTTTCCTGAAGCAAATTTAAATATTTTTTGTTTACCGCCGTGAACTTTAGATTTAGATTAGTTTTAGATTTTGTAACTTTAATTTATTAACTGTATTTGTAAGGAGGAAAAACTTGTTTACGTTTGCGAAAAATTAAGCAACGCAATAGAATATCGTTAAATAATACGATAATCAAATGTTCTAAAGACATGACAGTTAACGAGTTATATTTCGATATATCGTTCGACTTTGATAATACGTGTACAAACTGATAATATAAAATTAGAAGTAACAAGCATTTAAAGATAATGTGTGTCACATTAAATCAGTTAATTACTGGTTTAATTTTAGTAAATAACGTAATATCAGTGATTACGTGCACATCTGATGGGAACTGACAGATTTGATCTTAATTGCCGAATTTATATCAAGGGTACATATTCAAACTTAATTTCAAATTTAGAATTTGTGAAGTATATTCATGACAGTTACAAATAACCTTCTATTCTGGGAATAATATGTATATCTACACTTATACGTAATGTCTATAATTCGATTTTCATATTTGTAATACTTATAACGGTATTTGTAATAGTGATACAACTATTTCAATATATTTGTCTGTATAAACCAATACAGAAAAAAAATAATATTTAAGATTAAAAAAGGTATTAATAAATAAACAATATATTTGAAAAAGAGGAATAATATTGTTCAGATTTCATATGTGTAAACAAATGATGAAAAAGTCATATCGGACAAAGAAACAAATTTTTAATTTGTTATAAAAAATACATAACCTCAAAGCGTACCAAAAATTATTTTCGGTATTATAAATAATACATTAACTGTTATATCCAACTTGACAGCATTTAATACACAATAAAGAAGCAAAGAAAACAGAAATTGAAAATGAATTACGACAAAAATTTCGATATAAAAAAGTAAGATCCTTTAACGTTTTTGTTTATTTTTAAGGATTACGAATGGGTAAAAAATTAATGGGAGATTTACCTTTCTGTCATCTACTTGTAGCATTGTTATGAACTTCTTGATCCACACAGTAATTGCTTTCTAATGTACGCCTTTTGTAGTGTTGCAAAGGTTACCAAATGATACAACCTTCTTGGATCCTAGCCACAGTGTTTGAATTCTGTATGTATGTATAATGCAACAGTTGTACTCAATCAGTGGATCCTGTAGGTTCCAGGTATACATATATACATATATTACTGATAACTGAAATTCTCACATGTTAAAAGTATATGCAAATATCAATGATTATGTATTCATTAAAATGATAACAGTAATATTACACAAAATTTTAATTTTCAGTCTTCTTTTTACATAACCTCTGAAATAACGGTTGTCCTAACGACAACTTGTTAGACGCAAATAGTGACAGAGTAAATAAAAAGTAATGTAATTTGCTGAAAGGAAAGATAAGTAAACATTTGACGATATTTTTTCCTGCCAAGCAACTTTCACTCTAATTATTGTTTATAAAAGGACGCTATCAACAATGGCAGAGATAGTTACTGATAACAATGTGGATGATTGTCCCCTATTGAAAAAAGCTAAAATAGACAATAATGATGTGTCTGAAAAAATAAAAAATATACATGAAAATGAGGTTTCTTTACCTGTTTTCAATTTAAACAAAGTATTACAAACTAATTGTGTGAGAAAACAAATATGCGTTGAAGGTAGTTTTGAAGGTTATGACGGTTCAGCTGTTATGATATTGGAAAAACAAAATTTTGCAGATGATCAGAAAGCTTTGAAAGAATTTTTTAGTAAAGATACAGTTTTCCAAAAATTGTATAGTAATACGATTTACGGAAATTATGAATGTTTTCCAGCAAAGAAATACAGTGGTATGTCATAATGCATTTAACCTGTTTTATATTTTTTTTTATTTATTTATAACAAAATTTTTATTATTAAAGGTATAAATGCAATGGTCATACATCCTGCAACACAGAAACACATAGAAAAGTTTACAAAAAAAGAACTTTATATGATAGATGAAACATATGAACTTTATCAAAAAGTTACTGTCCCATATATAGAATCAAGCAGCTTTTCTACAGATGTATGTATGATAAATAGTTTTACAATTACATGATAACACACAAAATTATACAATTATATTTTAATATGTTTAGTGGATACATAATATTTTGGAACACAAAGCAGAACAAGATAAAATTGTTTATGAGGATAGAAGTGAAAAAACTGGATTTGTTTTGGTGAATGATTTAAAATGGGATGGTCAATTAAACACGTTAAAATTGATAGCACTCCCATTACAAAAGATCAAATCAATAAGGGAATTAAATGCATCACACCTTCCACTATTAAAAAATATAAGAGATGCTGGAATAGCAGCAATTGCTAAAAAATTTAATTTATCCGCTTCTCAGCTTAGGATATATTTACATTATCAACCATCATATTATTACTTACATGTTCATTTTGCATACCTTATGTACGAAGCACCAGGTAAATTTAATACATTAATAATTATGTTTAAAAATATTTTTTATACTTATTATCATATACATTTTGAAACATGTATTGCAAGTTGTTTCTAAGTATTCTAATATTTAAATATTTCACTTTTATAGGAATATTTGTAGAAAAGGCACATCTTTTATCTGTGGTTATAAGTAATCTTGAGTTAATGTCAGATTACTATAAGAAAACTGTACTCTCATATGTAGTTGCAGAAGGTGATCCTCTGTATATTAAATTTAAGGAAGAAGGAGTTTTAGCTGAAGTGAAATCTAAAACCAATGAAGTTGAAAAACAGTGCATTTAATATGGGAACAAAAATGTACAAATTGAAAAATAGAAGAGAATTAACATTATTATATGGAATTGTAATTCAGTGATAGTAAACCATTACAGCTACATAATGCATAATTTTAATATAAAAAACTAAAGAAATTTTTCATCGACGGATGTAAATATTTAGACGGATTTTTCTTGTAATATATCACCATGAACTAAGAAAATCGTATAACGTAAAGTATTTATGTTTATTCATCATATAAATAAATAGGAAATATATGTACATGTATATATGCGCATATATTTTGTAAACTACAGTATCAATATTGTTTAAACGAAAGAGGTACAAATAGAAAATACTTTCTTTATGTTGTTAACCCATTGTGTTTGGCATTGAATTTATTATTTATACCAGTATGTATTTCTTCCATTTATAGAAATATCTAATAAATGGGGAAAAATTTATTTAGCGGTATTTAACTGAAAACAATAACAATGTGCATTTCACAACATAATATTTAATCAGCCCAAATAGATTAAAATTTTGTTTTGATTTCATAATATAAATTAATGGGTAAGGTAGAAAGTCGGCGAAGAATGAACGAATGACGATTATATGTACACGTGACAATTTAATTATATTAATTGTAATATATAAATTATACACGTGTCATTTTACAATATTTATTTTAATAAATATTTCTATCGTATAAATGGTGGTACATAGTACACAATGAAGAGTCATTAAGTACTAATACCGAAGAAGTACCTAGTTCCTTTCCTTTCGTTTAAAATTTTACAGCGTAAAAGGAAAGTATAGAATTATTTACAAAAAATGTAACAAGATTGGGATATTAGCTTTTTTTTATACATACTAAAATATCATATTTTATTATGTGTGAAAATATTATGAAACATTTAAGTTTTTATATACGCACGATTATTCAAAATCGTAATTCACTGTGCTGCAATTAAAAGGGTATAAATTACGTTCAAACTTCCAGCTTCATGCAGTAAAAACAGGAAGAGGTATCATAATGATAAATTAAGAGAAAACTGAATAGAATCGTACAAAATCAAACAGATTGGAAGAATAGATGAACTACCAATACAAAAACGATTCTTCCATTGTGGCAAACGTTTTTTATGAAATGATAGTTAAAAGTTATGCATTTTGTTACTCAGAATAAAATCTGTATTCTATTCTGGTCGTATATATACGTCCTTTACCATTGTTATATTATTAGAGAGTACTCTTCAGGATGTATATATACGTATTTCAAAATGAAAGGGTAACAACGTTAATTGATACTCATGTATATACGTCCTTTATCACTGATAACCAATTTTTGTTACGCATACTTACAAATAATTTTCAGGACGTATATATACGTATTTTAAAGCAGAAAGATTACAACCTCACTCGATGTATAAAAAACTTAATTTGTTTAGGACCTAGTGTCAATTAAGTAATTACAGAAACGTTACGAACAATATAAGTACATTTCAAAATATTAAGCATACTCAATCTGGCGGATATAGTACGATCGTAATACAACGCTTGGCGATATAATTCGTGGTGATATAACAGGCTTTAAGTTACAACTGCACTACATCTTTCAGATTGAGTATACAAATTTAACACTCTGACGGCAGAGGATCATTTAGATGGTTTATTAATATTTAAGAACTAATTAAGAAAACATGTCATGTAACTTTCATACTTTCTTTTCTTTTTAACAGATCCTTGCAAACCGTCAAAGTGTTAATCTTAAACAAAAAGAAAATTTGTATTAATTGAGCAGTCGACAAAAACTCGTAGAAGTACCTTTTGTAGTATGTCTCGTATACTTTTGGGATTCGTCGTGATTATGACAATTGTGACAATTATGGAAAAATGGACATTCATGTGTGTTGTTACATGCACACGTATTAAGAATGTGTTCATCGTCTGTATGAAATTTGTTCTTTCATAGTTTCATAAAAGTTTGCTTAAATAAATAGCAAAAGTTCGATTGTTCTTAATAAGCTATGCACATTTACAGGGACTAGACGAATTTCGGTAATATCGAGTAACTTCACTCGAACTAAAGGAATTGAATAGTTGATGAATGAATAATGTAACATTAAAAAAGGAAAAAGAATGAGATTTTTAATAGCACTTATATGTAAGCAGAGAAGGGCATTTGCGTGCATTGTCAGTACATTATGAGATGACAAATACAGTTTTGTGTAATTGCTCGAAGATTCATTCAGAATTTTACAGAACAAATGTTGTATAAGAACAGAATATAAGAAATATTCTTGGTTAAAGACAATTTGTCACTGTTCACAAAAAATATTTTAATCCAAATTTCTGTTCACCTTATTGCAAGTTTTCATTTATTTCAGTAAGAATTTTATACTCTTTCATTGTAACAATTTCTTAAACGTGTTTAAATTTTGGAACATAATAAAAGAACATTACAACAATATATAAACAAAATTGTTATGCAGCAATAAATAACACAAGCATTCACCAGTATCAAAATGATCCAATGAAAGCATACGTTTGTTCAAATAATTTTTGCTCGAAACCACTTTATGATAAAACATATTTCGCCTTAATAAAGGTAAACAACCGACAGATCATTTCATTAATTGTTTTACTATCTTAATGTTTTGTGAAAAAAAGTATGTACAGTATTACATATACATTCCTGGGATATGGTTATAAAAATACAATAAACATCTTGCTTCGTTACGCTTGTTCATTGTTTCATTGTCAGCTTGTTACATTGTTCTGTATGAATTTTATTATCAATGAATGTACAGAAATATATTAACAAGAATGATTATGTGCATCAATATGTGATCAAAGAGCGTTACAATTCATAACATTGTTAACTACAATGTAATATTATAAAGTAATTTTCAATTTTATGTTTGAAAAGAAGTTTCTATTCGTAACAAACTTTTAATATCCATTTAATCTTTTAACAAAAGTACATTGTACAACAAAAAGCAATAGTTATTGTCATTAAAATATGCTTCCTGGTATAATCGAAATAGTTAATGACAAGCTCACTGTAAAATATAATTCCTTGCTGATTGTAAAACGTAGTTGTTACTCAATCACGTTAAGCGTAAGAAGCGCCTTTTCATCAAGTTTACATTCTATCGTGAAACGTAAATGACTAATTGTTCTTACAAGCAATTAAATGTACGCGTATATGCTACAACAGTTAGGTGAACATATACAACATGAATATAAATGTATGTGTGATAACGCAATGTGCAAATGTGTGTGTGTGTAATGTATGCCTATGATATATCACATTAACTCAATATAAACAATATTAATTAATTAAATAGCAAGAGTATATTTGTTCATGAAACCAGCCTTATAACGGAATCAAATCCATAATAAGTATATTAGCCGCGAACACTACAGCATTTCCTGATCAGGTACTTAACGTATATATATTTTAATGTGATGTATTAAAAAAAAAAAAATTTTTTTTGAAACAATTCCATTTTGAATAACCTTTCTGTACGTCTCTTGTTAAATTAACTCATTTATGTTTTACATGTCAAGTATTAGACAATGCTTTCTGATTATGATATATTAGATAGTTTAATTTATTTCGTATAGTATTTTGTTCTTATTATAATACTGTTTTTATACCACTGTTATGTAGAAGTAGTGATTTTTATTTTGTTCTTCTTTGTCCTTGATATTATTCTCATTTTATAAATTTAATAAACATAAATTTATAAAACTATGAAGAACAGTGCAATCATAAATGAGTTAAAGAAGCAAGATTTGCTCTTAAATAAATTAATTTAATGATACATGTATAATGTTTTGACTATGCTACGCAAGTGCCCAAACAATTTTAATAGTAATTATTTGCATTTGATCTATTTTAAGTAGTTATTTACACTGCTTCCTTATGTTAAAAGGGCTTATGCACATAATGATTCAAGTTGATATAGACACAAATTTAATTGATCTTAACTAAAACAAAATTAATTTTAAAAATGAAACTAATTTTTATACCAGTCAAGCAGTAATCAATAAGGAAACTAAATAGTACATACAATGAAATAAACTATCTTGTTTCTTTTCTAAAAATGATGTAAAAACACAATAACATATCGACGTAAGCACATTATTCCTCAATAGTTTAATTGCTAACATCAGTGAATTATTAAATTAAAAAAAAATGTATCAGTATTGTTTACATTATAGAACGGAAAACAAAGTAGAAATTTTCTCAAAATTACACGAGTTTGTATCGATATGCTTTTCGCTTAGGAAGCAAAAGTACTATTTTTTAGTCATCATTTGCCTATCATTTAAAAATAACTTAAAGTAGAAAAAAAATTTGTAACCAAACGTTAATTCAGTCAATTTGTAGCCCTTAATGTAATTGTATAAAACAATTGTTCCAAATACAATTATCGTGTAAATTGAAAAATATTCTTAAAATATTTATTGTGCATCAATATTTTGCAATTACACTTAATACGTGGATCATCCATGAAACATGAAATTAATTGGTAAATTAACAATTTAATAAATATCAAAATGACTTTTGAAAAACAATAAATGAACGAAAGTAATAGTTGTTATTGCTTTTTTTATGTAATGGTAGAAATATCAAATGAATATTAGATATCTAATAAATATTTGTGCTTATAGAAATTCATTTGACTAGTTGGTCATGATCCACTATGCTATGAATAAACTGTCATGACAGTGCCTTATATATACAATCATGGAAGAATGATTCTTACGATATCAACCAGTCGTTAATTGTTCATTGAAGCAAGCAGGTACTGGCTTTCTTGCGGATCAAAAGCATACGTAAAAATTATCTGTCATCGAGATCTTTTATGCATAATGCCATTTTCTCTTCAAATTTTTTTTTAATTATTTCTGCATAAAATTAATTTTACGATTTCTTATAAAAAAACAACATGGTCATATATACTACAGAATTAACATTAACTTTCCAAAACTTTTGAAATCAGAAAAATGAATTCCGATACTTTTCAAACAAATCTTTCATCACTAAACTCAAATAAGAATTAATTAAACATTAACTGAAAATTAATCCTTATTATATGTACATATCTCAGTATTAAATACATCTTAAATTTTACTTTAATTTTAAAATTTATAAAAAAAGAAAATCAATTCAGAGCTAGAAACTAAAAAATAGTATAGCATACAAAAAAAAATAGTATCAAAGTAATATGAGAAACAATACATACAAGCACTATATACTATGTACCTTTGATCATAGTTTTAGTAAATTATTATCATCACTGATAGATACAATGAAAAGTATCATATTTTAAAAGGAACATGTATTAAATTCAAGATGTTCATTAAACGTGTAAAAGGAAGACGTTTATAGGTAAATTTTTAGAAAGATACAATTTCTATTTCCTCTAGCATGTTCAACGAAATATTACGTAATTTGATTACTAATAACACAATCAACAATTCATCAAACTCTTAAATTTAAATTTTGTAACTTAAAAGGAAAATGTTTTAAATACTTGAACTCATTCGACGAACTATTCCATAAGTGCATAAAATTAATATTATATTATTTCGCGCCTTGACACTCATTTTACGAGTCGAAATCTTTAGTGTAAAATAGATATATCCTTTTCCTTTTTACCAATTAATACATCTAACTTAAAATTTCTAAAATTTTCTATCTATAGTATTAAACACTGTACATATTTCAAAACCTAGTACGAAATATTAACATTTATTTTATACCGTTCGAAAGCCAATACACAATTGTACTACTAAACTAAATCATTAAAGACATTTAAAAATATAAAAAACGTATAGAAACGAGAGTATTGATGCAACGATGAACATTTAAAATGAATTTGGCGTCTTGACATTCATATCAATCATTTCGAATGATGAACGGCAGGTTTATCAATGTATATTAATGGCTGGTTTTGGATGATCACATGACTTAAATTGGCTTCATTTGCCAAAGACATTAAATACAGTTTGTATGCTGGACTAGCTTCGGATCACGACTTGAGTAAGGTTTTCTGTCCATAGCAAGTCGTCATAGATTTAGGCGTATGCTGTAGGAGGATCAAGCACAGATTAAAATTTTTGATTTTTAATTTTTCTAATTAATAATAGATATGCCGCTACTCACTTATTGTTCCAATGTACATTATTTCACTTTTGGTATGTGTAAAGATTGTGTTGTGAAAATTGTTGTACATCGAACACTATAAAAAATTAGTAAAATATATAATTTCAGTTAGTTACACGTTTTCCTTCTTTCTCTTTTTTTATAAATCACACGTAGTGATATCGAATGTCATTTTATCACATACAATCTATATAGAAATATTAAATTTAATTTAAAATTTTATTATTTATAACAAGTATATTATGTACGTCATTGTTACTTCAGTTTGTTAATGTCCTAATATTTTAATGAAAATGCCAACGCGTTAAAGAAGATATCTGTTAGATCAACCTACAGCATGTTTAATGGAACGTAACTAACTACGAAATATTCTTAAACTCAGTGTTAATCACGTCCCAGGGTTATACGTAGTTAATAACGTTGTTTTACTTCACGTGACAATACAATGTAAAACATGTTTCTAGAAGCCTCTCATGGAAGACCTTACAAAGGATCTTTGTTGTTAAACTTAATAAACTTATAATATGAGCTACATTAAAAAAGCCAATATACATAAATACTAGAAATGAATCTTTAAGTATTAAATACCTTGTAAGTTTTAAGCATTTTAATTGCAAACATTTTTATCGTAAAAAAGTAAAACCAGTTTTTCCACTTCCATTGAGAAACAAACTGAAACATGTTCATGTTATATATATCCAATTTTTGTAAAGCCTTAACGTGGCCAAAATTGTAGTTTTTTCAAGCTTCAGTAGACGCTATTAAGGAATTCTTAGGTGTATATGCTGTCGCATTTGGATCCAAGTTCGATACTGTACACCCTGGACAGGGACTTTCATTTGAACGTATTTTTGTACCTGCAACTCGTACTTCATTATTTAACCGAAGCTTAGATGTCGCACAGGTTGGCGCAGGTCCAAATGTATCTTGTGGCATCACAGCTAAATCTTGGGCTATTTTTGTTTTTAGCATTTCAATTTCTTTTTCTTGAGATCTAATTAAACCTAATTTAATAAAAAATGTATGAAATATAATATGCTTTATATTTTGCTATACTAATAGTTAAGCAATATATTTTTAGTGTAATATCTAATTATTCTATAAATATAATATAATCTAAAAGATATTAACGATAGCAAAATATTACAAATCCAACTGTACTTACTTTCTCTAATTTCTAATTGTCGCTTAGCTTCACCAAGTGCAGAAAATAAATCAAGTTTTATTCGCGTTTCTGCACTTAAACTGTCTTCTAAATGAGCAGTTTTATCTTGTAACACATTAAGTGCACCAAGTAAAATTTCAGATTCTTTATGATTTTCTTTACAACGAGTTACATCTTTTTCTAGCGCGATACACCTAGTTTCAAAAAATAACGAGCAATGATAATAGATTAAAAGTTTTTAAAGTATCGCACATTACCGCACATTATCAGATATTTTAAAATATATTAATATATAAAGCTCTCACCTTTCTTCTTTTGTTTTAAGTTCTCGTCGCAAATTCTTGAGATCTTGTTCCATTTGTGACCTCCGTGTTTTACACGTATCTGTACATTCTTGTCTAATTAGGGGCGGGGGAGGAGGCGGAATTGCAGATCGTGCCTCTTCCGCTGCTCGCCGCGCTCGTCTTTCAGAAACTAAAGACGCTTCACAAGCAGTACGCTGTTTCCGTTCTTCCGCAATTCGTTTTTCTAACGAAGACATTGTTTGCTTATCTAATTGACGAGCTGTTACCAATCCATGTAATCTATTTTCAAACAAGTATAAGGAAACTTATGTAATTATGAAAGTATATTCGCGTACTTACAAGTATATCAAAATGACATTGTATACGTACTTGCTTTGTAATTGATCATTATCATGTTGAAGCTGTTGTATATCACCCTTAGCTTGACGTTCTCCATTTTGTAAAGTATTTATCTGAGAACGAAGCTCTTGTTCTAATTGTCGACTGGATTGCAGATCCGACTTTAAACGTTTTATGTCAGCCTCGAGCCTGCGACACATCAGTAACCTATTTAAACGATATTACATTACACCAAAGAAAAATTTTATTATACGATAACTGCATTTTTCAATTTGATGAAATCGTACTAATACTATAACTTTTAAAAAGTTATCACGAAAAGAAATTAAATAACATATAGATTTAAAACATTTGAACTTCAAATAAAAATATAAATGAATATCTATATATTCATGAACGCTTATAATAATATGTTTCTTGTTTTACCAATATAAATTAAGTACCTTTGACAATAATCATCTTGTTGCTTTTGTTGTTCAGTTATGTTATCAACTGTAGATTTGACTTGCCGAGTTTTACGTTCTCGTTGTGTATTAACAGTTGATGATGGTTCTCGATTTTCCTTTATATTGTTCCACTTTCCTGTTACTGAACCATTAGTTTGCGATTTCATTGTAGCATGCCCACAACTTCCACTCTTGATGAATTTGTCTTTTTCTACTTCATTTGCATCAAAATCATTTACAGATCTGCATTTTACAGTTGGAATATTAGTTAATATCTTAATGTATCAACATAGAGATGCATATATCCATACACAGATCTGGGCACTTTCGAAACAATGTTATTTAAAATATTATTTCAAATGACATTACTTTATTTTAAAATTATAACTATAAGGATAACCATTATGCTTTTAAAATAATTAAAAAATATAAAAGGCAATGAAATTAATATTTCTAAAAATTAAATGGTTATTTTTGCACTGTAGTGATTGAAATTATTACATTTCATTCAATTTACTTGACATAGGTACGCTAACAGAAATTTACATAATTAAAAATAATTAAGAAAAACAGACAAACAATATCACTTTTAAAAATGTTTCTGCTGTAAATGGCACAGTGTGAATTTGTTCACATCGTACATAATATCTACATGAGAGATTAAAATATTATTTAAGATCATTATTTTTTATTTTAAATTCAAATAAAATTTGCCTATTTTTAATGTGTATATGTAAGTAAGTCTTACTCACCCAATTCTTTCAATGAATTGTATATCACTCTGAGCAATTGTGTTTCCATTTGTATGTATAAACCTTTTATCATTTTTGTCAGACTGAGATACATTTGTTATATTATGCTTATTATGTTGTTCCTCTTGCTTTTCACCTTTATCTAAGGACTTTCTGTGATTATTTTTTGTTGTAACATTTTGGTTTTGTGGTGTAATTTGTGAACCTATATGTATATTACCATTTTGTACACCTGTTTCCACAGAATTATTATTGTTTCCTACAATATATTTGTTTGTTAAATAACAAAATAGTTTTCTTGTATTATTGTGCATAGATAAATTAATAATAATGAAAGTTGAAAATAAGTACAAACTACCTCTACTTTTTTCAGGGCTTGGATTGCACTGTGAATTTAATTTATTAGATTGTGTTTTAACATGTTGTTCTAACGATGTAATAATATGTGTTTGTGATTGAACTTGCTGAATTGGTTGCATCGTAGTAGAGGTTTGTTGCTCTAAAGGCAGTGCTTGCTGCAACAATTGTAGATAGAATTCGTTTTCTTTTGCTACATCTTTCTGTTTTCTCTGGCAAAATAAAATCTTGCATATATAAAAACTCTTAAAAATTCTTTAAAATATACATTTTACATTTATTGCACATTTACCTGTCTCATTCTGTAGCCAATGTAGCTTTTAAAACCAAAACCTAACGTAACTACAGGGTAGCCAATGCTGAAAGAAAACGCTATATTTATTTGTCTGTTATTATTATCACTCTTTGTTAATTTCCTATGATTTTTTATAAAGGCAAAAATAAAAAAGGGATATATACCAATGCGCTGCAAATGGCCGACAGAGATCCAAATGAAAAGGCATATGTCGTAAATCTCTTAATCGAACTGCTGCTTCTATATATAGAAATAGTAACCATAGCATCACAGTTGGTAGGCATACACCTTTATCTGTTAATGTATACATTAATTTGGATTAATTATATTATTCATAATTGTAATTTATAAAAAGAATTTTAAATAACTAGTTTGTACTTACCTGTATGCCAAACATATTGTACCCAAACATAAGTGCTGGCAGCAAAGAACAACCAATGTACTGGTATGAAAAAGAAGCAAATCATATCTGATGTGAGCGCGATACAAATAAAAAATACAGAGAAGGCCTGAAAATACGATAATTAATTTTATTTTGAAAGTAAATGCAACCTTGTTTGCAAGAAAATATTTCTTAAAACTGCCATCCTATACTTACCAAGCCTTGATATTTAAAAGAATCGTAAACGCTTCTTAGAAGTAGCCAAAATGGCCACAAAAATTCAAAACGGAATTCTAAAATGAAGTCTGCCAAAATTACCATGGCCCATAGCAGAAGAAATTTTAGATAAAGTAAAGTACTGAAATAAAACATTTATTCTTCATTATTTTATTCTAATATTAAAAGTATATATATCGTTTACCTTAACAATTATTACAAATTAATGTGCATACATTTGTAAACTAGCATGTTTTACATAAAATTTAAATTGAACAGCATATTACACTATTTCATATTGTTTTGTCATAATGAAATTATATAACTTATGTTTACTGAATCGTAATCAAAATTTTGAATGAAAAAGTTGCACTAAAATGTTTTTAAAACAAAGTGTTCAAAACAAAATCAAAATCTTAACTACAATCTGTATATTTTTCAAATGTTACGTATACAATTAGATATGTGAAGTGGTAGTAACTAAAAATAGTAAATAAATGTAAATTTTCAAAAACTGAACATATTTTGTAGCGGTTACATGTTGTAGCTATATAAATATAACATTATGCATCAAATACACAGGCATAATTACAAATTATAAGGCATCTATGAAAAGTGAATTTCATAAATGTTTTTGTAAAAACAGACACACATGGTCAAGGTTTTGGCAAATGTCAAGTTATATCACACAGTTTCTGGAAAACGGTCAATCGTGTACCGATACGTCGCATCGTGAATGCTTTATACATTCCTCAAATCAGAAAACATACGAATATTTGATCGATGAATTAGAAACGTATAAGAGGAAGATCCGTGAAATTTTTGGTTATTTTTAAAATTAATCATTCGAAATGAGAAGACATATGGCGGCCAAAATTTACCTTCCGTAGATTCCCTCGGTGAGCTTGTTGCGTTTCAAGGGCCTCCGAAGCTTACCGCACTCGACATTTCTTCTCTTCATATTCCTTGACACTTTCACCACGACCAATTAAACGTTATCCGCGGCAAGTAACAGAACCGAAAAAACTGCAATTCTTCGGTGAAGTCGTGAAAAAATCCACTGTCTCGCGCGCGACTTCTATCAGTCTCTTTTGTTGTCATTCGTCTGTGGACAGATTCGAGGTTTTACGGCGGTTTACCAAGCAGCTGATTGGTCCATTGTGGGACATGGCGGTAATCAGTAAGAAAAATCACCTGCTGGAATCTTTATTCCTTGATACTCCTTGAAATAGAACACACACGTTCATTTGTAATTTTCAGAACGTAAACCCGTCATTCCAAACTGCTTGTGAATTTTTCTACGATACGTATATGCAGGCTTTATCGATCGTGTATGCTTTCCATTATACGTACCCGTAGGTCAATCGACTTGTTCGTTTACGTTAACAGCGCTCTGAACCAGCGGCGTGTCAATTTTTTTCTTTCGTTCCTTTTACTTTCTTGTCTCTTCGTTTCGATTCTTATTCTGTATTTCATTTCATTTTTCTACTGCCTGAGTAGGTTTTTCAGAATAAAATACTCCATACTCGCAAGTATACATATACTTTTGTTTGCTATAGATTCTTCAAGTTATGCTAAACGCTAAATATTCTTCCTCAAAAAGATGTACTAATTTATTATGCTATATTATTAGATTTAGAAACTTATTATGCTATATTTTTCTATTATGTAAAATATTTTGTTGGATAAATAGTTACAGTAGAACCTAATGCATGTATATAATATATACTCAGGCTAGGTTAAAATTAGTTAGGTCTGTTTTCATTAGGTTAAGTTAGGTTTAGTCATGTTAAGGTTAAGTTAGATTAGTCATGTTAAGTTAAAATTGAGTTACGATTACTATTACGACAAACAGTGTTATGTTGTATGTGTTTTTTGAATTTTTAATCGTTATTGAAGTTATATCGCACAGATAAATATTTTTTTAGAGTACGAGTTTTAAAATACGAGTTTTCGTTCGTTCTGCGCAAGTTGAATGTGATTGGTTTGTAAACAGGAGTAACGCGCATACGCTGCAGAGTTGCACAGCGCGTTAAACGTGTATATCTAGTGATCAAAAAGTTTTATTGCATTCAATATTATACTTCTACTTCCCAATACTTTTCGAAACCCTTGCTGGATCGTTTACTGTGTAAGTATAGCAATTTTGTTAACAAAGAAACTTATTTTCTATATTTTTTAATATTTTGAGCTTCATACAGTTCCAAAGTACAAGATATAAAATTTTTTTAAACGTCCTATTTTTGCTAAAAGCTGAAGAAACTTATGCTTAATCTGATATTTAAATTATACTAATTTTTAAGAAGATGGGTTTACCAGTTAAAGTATAAGTGAGAAGCAAATGTTATATTCATATACTTATTAAATACTACGATTTATCCACCATGTATATAACCTTAGAATATGAACACGAATCAAAAGTAGGGGAAACGAGAGTGGTGAGGGACCTTTTTAGCGAAGTTGAGATGCGCGAAATAAATTTTTTTGTTGAACAACAAATATATACAACACACCTACTATGAACAATTGGACATTGTTGGATATTTATTTACATTTAAAATATGTGTTGTAAGTCTGTGAAATATATTGTGTATATATATCATATTTGAAATATTTATTTAACTTATCAATATTAAGTTCAGTATGTATTATATGGCTAACAAAATAAGGTTACTTCTGTTAACCACCAGTTGCATAGGTGTTTTATCAGTACTGTATGTGCAAATCACAAATGCTAATGATCTTACTTCTATACAAGAATTATTTTTTGTCATATTATTTTTCATTCCAATACTTATTATTATAAACGTTTTACTAAAATATTGTGTATGCATGAACATACATACAGATACTTATAACGCAAATCTTAAACACAATGTATTAGTATTCATTTTTAAGGTTGAATTAATAATCTTCATAATATCGACTGCTGCTAATTATGCAAATCTATATAATACCATATCAAAATTTGAAACACTATCATGTATAATTGGCATGTTGATTTCATGGACATTAGAACAAATGATCAGTTTAAATGATCAAAATAAGGAAAGTGTCTTGAACATTGATTCACTGCGTGGCTTAGATTATGGAACTGCTATGGCATACAGTTATTTTTATGGATACTTGAAGATTATACTTCCTACAACAGGTTCTCTTAACAAGGGAATAATTGAGAAGTTAGAGAACGTAGAAGATAATCATAACATACATATAGCCACACATAAATTGTTAATTTTAATTCCTGCATCATCGTATATTCCACCAGACCTTAAGGAAGTTTCATTTCAATGGATTGAAAGTGCAATTGAACTTGAGCCTGAAATACGTGATCGGGCAGGAGTTAAAAGACGGTCATATCATAATAACATATACAAAATTTATCCAAATGGTGATAGATCGAATTCTATACCTGTATACGTTGTAGCAGAAGGTGCTACACCTTTATTAACGTATTTTGAAGTTCAAAAACATACTCATCCAGAGACAAATACTTATTGGAAATATAGAAGAGATGTTATAAGAAATTTTTATAACAAGTTAAATGAGTTGATAAGTAATGATCCAGAATGTATGGATCTTTGTGAACTGATTTATTACAATGACTATGATAGTAATGGAAGAAAAGTTAATGTTGCTGAAGTTATTCTTGATAGATTAAACAAAAATCAAGAAAATATGCATAATACAAACAGGAGTTTGTAAGTTATGTGTTAAGATTTTATATAGTTTATTCTATTTTGTAAATTATTTTTTTCTAAATAAAAGTATTAAGAAGTTATTTCTCAAAACATTATTTATTGATAGTAGTATAAATTTGTATAAAGATACAAAATAATGTTGTAAGCAGTTTTGATTTCAATTTATTGTCAGAAATTTCTGATCGTCTTTATTAAAAATTAAAGTAAGAATGTAATGAATTGAATACACTAATTACATTCAATCATTTTTGAATGAAGTATGAAGACTTACTATACAAGGCCCCTGATCATACGTTTATGTAAAAAGACATGTTATCGATAACTTTCTGTCAATTAAATCAGTTAATGATATCTGTATAAAGGCTGGCACAACGTGAACACAATAATCACAATTTGTTTACATGTCCATTTCAAACTGTTCTGCAGATTCCTCGATTATTGGAGTATCTGTAACACGAATAAAAAAAATTATATAAAAAATATTTCATTACTTTTTGTCCATGATATGTTCATATATAAAATAGAATCAAACAAATATAAATAAAAACTGAACATGTTAAATGTTATCATATGTTGATCTTAAATTTAAGAGTTGTAAAATTACTAGAATATTATATTCACCTTTGTTAGTTGGGGATTTTGCAGATGTTACAAGATTTGGTGAAGCATTCCTTAATAATTCCACTGGTATAGATGGCATATTTCTTGGTGGTGTTTGTGATATAGGTGAATTTCGTAGATTCATCAAAAAATCACGTTCATACACTATACGGGTACCTATATCATTTGTATAGGTTATGTTGATAATTATTACAAATTTCCAGATATTATAATTGCATACTTTAAGATAAAACAAACTATATATACATGAAATTAAAAAAATATTTTTAAAAAATTTATTTAAATATGACTTCAACTTTACACTGCAAATTCTACTATTACTTGTTTAAATAAAAATTATATTTATATAATAAAAAATATTTGAAATTTGAAATATTTGATAAATAATTTCGAAATCAAGGATGTTTACTAACTCTAGGCATAAGATATAATAATATGCACAGACAGCATGTTATATCTATCATATCAGAAGATGCAAAACAAAGATTACCTAATCATATATTGACCTAAAATCATATACACCAATTGTAGTTATCAATAAATTTATATCATTCGACTAATAAGTTAATCTATTAATAATCTATATTATATTATAATATAGTCAATGTATTATACGAAATTTCCGTTAATTATATTTCAAATAAATTAGTTTTTAAAAACGAAAAGAACTGACCTCCAGGTGTAGTTGAAAAAAGCGTCCCACCAGGAGTGGAGGAATAATCAGTAGGCAATTGACTAGAATCATTGATTACGATCCGTTTCGAAGGTATATTTTGGCTTTGGGTAGCTTGTTTTGCTGTCGGTGACGAAGACATGCTTGATCTATTGATTTCTTTGAAAATAAAAAGAATTCCCATTCAACATAATTAGTTAACACGAAAGATAACTATAAGATTTAAACGTGATCGTTCGTTATAGTTGACAACAAACTTTACTGCGTAATTTATAAAAAACGATAACATGTTGTACGTTAAATGTTTACAGATTTAAATACAAATATGTACATCTGTTAAAGCAATAAAAGAAAATAAACGCAAATGTGTTTTTCCTAGAGTTTCGTATAAATTTTATGTTCACAATTTGATTTAATTAAAATGATACACGTTCTCGAATAGAATTATGATAAATGTAAAGAACATATAACATACGTGTAACCTAACAAATCAAACCACAACCAACCACAGCAATTCACAAAGTCACACCGTGTAATAAGTAATTGTTTTATATAAGTTCCAAGTTGTCCCCCCCACTTTTGAAATACTACAGAAATGCTTTTCAAAGCGTTACAAGTCATTGGCGCCGAACTACCGGGTTAATTATTAATTTAAACGTAATTCTACTTAAAATATTTTTGAGATAATATTCGCATATTTATGCATATATAGGTAAAACCTGTCATACATTTCAATTATATATTATCAACTATGTACTTTATAATAATATAATAAAATATATTTACATGGTAACTAGCTTGACCATGGTCTAATAACCGTGACTTAACCTAACCTCAATTTGACATAATTTAACATAACCTAATACCAAAATAACCCAATTGTGACACAATCTACCACCAATTTAACTTCGCATCGAGCTAATGTATTCCTTCGTAATTTTACTGCAATTGAACCCAATTTTAACTTAATATAACTAATATCGAACTCAACCTAACCCAACCTAACACCTAACCTTAACGAAATATGATCTAACCTAACTTTAACGTTATAGCACGCATGTTCATTTAAATCATAACAATACAAACAAACACTAATGAGTTTATTCAACGTATTCCAATTTTTCCTATATTTTATATGTAGTTTGATTTGAAATATAATTCAATATATATTTAATATTTTTCAGTGATTAAGATAATATTTATATGTATGTACATCTTAAATATTATTTATATTTGTAATATATACATTCTTTACTAATAAAAAGTATAAAATACTTTTGTACGTACATTAACATTCTACATATTTTCCTGTTAAATGCACGACCCTTTTAAAAAGTCCATTGGACTATTCACAATTATTAAACAACAATATTTTAGGATCCTTGAAGAGAAATTATTTAATCATTTAAATTTGTATTTTAAATTAGATTATTAACTAATTGTTAACTATATTTTTTAATTTAATTGTATAAATAAAAATGGAAGAGTTAACATATTGAACCTTGTAAAGAAAATGTTCAAAATTATATGAAATATCACTTTGTGAGTTTATTTTATTTTTCAAATATATTTATTTCTTCAAATTTGAAATACTAACCAATGCTTCTAGACTGCTTTGAAGTATCATTTCAGTTTTATTAGCATTTCAACATATACACTCTGCATGTATACTTGTTTACTATGTAAACGTTTTGAAGCCACAAACAAGAAGCACTCTTTACTAACAGAGGTTTATGCCTTGACCATGAACTGTTTATTTTTATTGCTTAAATTTTTTATACGTTTAATAGTAAGCAGATATAGCATAAACGCCAAATTGAAAAAAGTTAAGACAGTTTTCTATGGATTTTGGAAGCGGATGCGTTGAACGAAGGAACTTCGCATTATTGTCGAAGTTAAATCCACTAGAGAACATTATAATACACCCCTCTTCTTTCAGAAAAAAAGCGTAATGATAATGAATGAAATAAAAAGAACCTGAATACTTTAAATCGGTACGCATTTAATTAGTAACCCCTCAACAACCAACGTAGATCACTCCAAAGTTTAGAAGGAATTTCATCTATCAGTTTAGATTTTTAGTATCTGATTCATTGATGCTTCGACAGAAATCAATCCTCAATCATTTTAATATTAATTACGGCAGTGTATTACACAATTATATCACTTACTATTACATTAGATATACATTATATATTCATTAGTTTTTCTTTTTTAAATAAACATGTTAAAAGTGATGTAGTTCCCATGACGTCTAAATTGCTTAAGCAACTTAAATAATTTTCTTGCAAAAAATACAAAACTATGGTCATCAGGAACCCATCGCAATATTAACAACAAATTCAATTCGCAGTACTTAACGTAAAATAAATGAGTATTTAAAATAAATATAGACAAGTAAACTAGTGATGCAGTGACTAAATGCAAACGATATTCACATTTATTGCGTTGACTGTAAAGAGTACTCGTAATTGTTGATATAACGTATAAATACAATAAAACTCGCAAAAAATAGTTCATTGTTTCAAAAATCATTTGCATTATTTACAGAATTCGATAATGAAACAGTTTTCGGAAATTCGAGAAGTTTCTAAATCATTTCACAATGTTTCAGGTAAAAGAAATAAACTGACTCGAAGTAACAAGAAATTACTCCAACTTTCGAAAACTATTACTGGCGCTACTATAAATGGACACGCGACTAAGCTGAAATAATGAGTTATTATTTTTAATACATTTTCACTAACGTATAAAAGTTCTCACAATATACGAAAAACATCAAAATTTGATTCTCAACAAAGCATATAAATACACGGCTAATGCAATGAAAAAGTACTTTCATAGTTTTCTTTTTTATTGACAAGATATAAAATGATCGTGTAAAAATTTGACTCCTATAATCATTAAAAATAAATAATGAAAGCGTATAAATAAGTTGATTATTCATATTATTGTTAATGCCCTGTGAAGGGCAGGAAATTAGAGTGGTAATCGATTTACAAAACTTCTATACTGAATCACGAAATTTGGTCTTTATTTCCAAAAATATCTCCCTCATTTCTGGACCGCTTAAAATTGCCTGCAAATACAAATAAAAAACTGTGAGAACTTTTTCAATAATGTACAGAATTGATAGGACTTGTTCCCGATATAATCTGGTGATGATAATTCATGGCGATCTCACCATATGGCTCTCATTTATATAGTCTTTTCATCGACTTCCCCTCTATATGGACTTGTATGTACATTAAATTTCGAATTTACAAATTTTTTTTGTAATGAATTTACAAAACTTTGGAAATCAGACGTTGTATGCAAGGAGTTTGCTTGTTATATAGCCTTCCCTAAAATTTTGTCTGCCCTCACAGTCCCGCGTCCAAAGGTCATATAGTGAGACTCCGCCAAATTAGTTTACACACTTTTTTTAGCATTATAGATTCCTTGAAGGTTTTCGTTATAAAATTAAAATTGTTTCTGATATTGAGCATAATAATGAATGTAATAACAAAAACCACAATTAAAAGGTCAAACACTTTATTTCTTAATGAAGGTATGTACTTGGGAATTTGGGACATACAAAAATTCGTATCATCTAAGCCTGAATGTACATCTCCTTCGGCAACGCTTATGATTAAAATATCCCTTCCAATACCCAACTAAACCTCTGCCTAGACAAACACGCTGTAATCGTGGCGGTAGAAGCATCGAAGAGGGGCCGCGGAACATGGAATGAATCCAGTTGGAAAAATCGTGTAGAAAAGACGACGAAATAAGATGATTCAAGATAAAAGGTTTGAAGCTCATAATAAAATGTCGATTCAGGTAAGACTGTGGGTGCATTTAGGCAATGTAAAGTATTTCTCCGAGTTAGGACAACAAATAAATAAAAAAAAAAAAGAACCAAATTGATTGAATGCCTCTCCCTTCTTGTTTTTTTTATCGTTTTATGCCAGTAGCAGTCACAATGATCGTATTATCGATGCAATATTAACTCTATTAAACTTGATATTTTTAGTGACAAGAGATATTAGTAGTAGTTATACGACAGGAATAGTAGCAGGAAAAACAGTAATAAATATTGAACGAGAAGAGAAAAGTGTAAGAGTATATACCAGTTATAGTAATAATAAGAGCAATAGTGGTAGGAATAGTATAGTAATATTCGTAATGATAACTGTAATAATAATAATGTACGTAGTACTAATTTTTCTTTTCCTAGTTTAACGGATAACTATCTTTTGTAATCTACAATTATAAAATGAAATTGAGATGAGAACGTTGGAATATTTCGGTAGATCGCGTTTACATAAGCGATTATAGTTCACCAACTCACTCTACATATACTCACACACCATGAGAAATCAGCTGAGAGCTCCGTATTTCACTTACTTTTATTATTTTTTTTTTAATTATAATGAATTGTAGCCAATAATCAGATTTAAATTAAATCTGCGACATTCATTGGCATTTCATCAATACGAGTGTTATAGAATTGTTCAATATCTTTCAAGGTTCGTTTGTCTTCCTCCGTTACGAAGTTAATAGCCACACCCTTACGACCAAAACGACCACCTCGACCGATTCTGTAATAGAATTTAATGATAAGTATTTGAACTTACATAATATTATAAAAGTGATTTTTTAAATTGCAATTAGCAAGAATTAGAAAAATCTCTAAACCAAAAGATTTTACTCCACGATTACTGTAAAAGATGGACATACAATTCTTTATATCGTTACCATACATTTATAACGAGATAGATGTATCGCTTACCTATGAATATAATTTTCACGATTGGAGGGTAAATCATAATTGATGACAAGCGAAACCTGTTGAACATCAATACCACGGGCTAAAAGGTCAGTAGTTATGAGAACACGGGATGATCCAGTTCTAAATTGTTTCATAATAAGGTCTCGTTCTTTTTGTTCCATATCTCCATGCATTGCAGAGACTGTGAAGTCACGGCCACGCATACTATCCGTTAACCAATCTACTTTACGTCGTGTATTGCAGAAGATTACTGCCTGAGTGATACTCAATGTATCGTATAAATCACAAAGGGTTTCAAACTTCCATTCTTCACGTTCCACGAATATAAAGAACTGTTTAATACCCTCCAACGTGAGTTCTTCTCTTTTAACCAAAATGCGAATTGGATTTCGCATAAAACATTTAGATACATCCAAAACATCTGATGGCATGGTAGCGGATAGTAATATAACCTGAAAAATTGATATATTTTTAACAATTATGTTCAACAAAATTTTAACAATCAGCATTAAAAATTTCGCTATTATTTCCACGTACCTGTACTTCATGAGGTAATAATTTGAATACATCGTGAATCTGGTCTTTAAAACCACGAGAAAGCATTTCATCAGCTTCGTCTAGGACGAACAGTTTGATGCTATTTGCTCGTAATGCCCGTCGACTAATCATATCATAAACTCTACCAGGTGTACCAACTACTATGTGGACACCTTGATCTAACTTTCGCATATCTTCACGTACATTGGTACCTCCAATGCATGCATGGCATTCTGCGTGCATAAAATCTCCCAAAGCAATAACAACTTTCTGAATCTACAATAAAAGACGTTTGAATAAAGATTTATTTACTTTATAATTGTAGGTACTACCAGTTTCAAAAATGTTGGCACATACCTGTTGAGCAAGCTCACGGGTTGGGGCTAAGATTAAGGCTTGACATTCTTTAAGATTAGTATCGATTTGTTGTAGAATAGAAATTGAAAATGTAGCAGTCTTGCCAGTTCCTGTTAAACATAACATAAATTAATAAATGAGGTTTATTATTTTTTATAATACAATTTAATTCTTTCTTTTTACCTGATTGTGCCTGCGCAATGACATCGTGTCCTCTTATACACGGCAGAATGGCACGTTGTTGAATTGCAGATGGTTTCTCAAAGCCATAAGCGTAAATACCACGTAGTAACTCTTCCTTTAAGTTCATTTCATCAAAGTTGTCCACGACCTGTTTATCATAAGATTGGTAATGATATAATATTTGAAACAAGTTTTTAATTAACTGAAATTGTATTTTATGATTATAAGCTTCTGAGTAATTAACTTACAACATCCCAGTTGGATTCGATGATTCCATCGGGATCCATGCCTGGAGGGCCATTGTACGTTTGCTGCTCACTTTCACTAGGACCATTTTTGGAATCTCCTGCCCATTGATCATCGTTTCTAAAATATAAATAAAGCAGTAAAGTATATTTGTCATAGTAGTGAATACCAAAGTATTACTAAATCTACGAAATAATTTTTGTGACTATTATGATATTGTTAAATATATTCAATTGTCTGTGCTATTATTTATATTTCAATATAATAAGTTATTATTTATTATAAGATGATGAAATTAAAATGGATTTCCAATTCTAATGACCTTGAAGAAAATACACTTAAATTAACAGTATTTCATAATAAATTCAGAAGTACTATAATTTATTAATGTAACTAATTCTGATTACAAAATATTTAATTTTATGAATAACTAACAATATACTACTTAAGAAAGATCACCAAATATATATGGTAAAGAATTTATCGATGACTTGATAGATGCACTGACAGTGACTCACGCGAGAGCATGTCAGAACGTCTAGGCAAACCATCGTTGCAAAGAGTATGAACGTTTGTAATTTCACGCAATATCTTTACTACTAAACAATTCGGTTTACATTTTCGTCGGATTAGAGAAAAAATTCATTTTTTATTACGTAATTTCAAATACAATGTAAAACGTGTGTTTGCACGTCCGAGTGGCATGGAGGTTTTCCGATTAGAATCAAAAATATATTCACAGAGTCTGGATATTCGATACAAGCACAAAATCATAAGAATGTTAGATCACGATAACACTAAGGTTACACGAGTCAATGATGGTAAAAGATTACTATTAATTTTGTGAGCAATGTGACAAAAACGAATGCACGCCATGTTGTCAGTCTCGTGTTCTCACGCATTCCCCGATTGCGGTACTATTTTTTAAAGGATACTCCGTTAACCGTCGACGTCCAAGTCTTCGTGACGCAACGTTAACAGAAGCATACGTGAACTAAGAATTTCCGAAATGCAAGAAAGAAAGTATCTTTTCCGATTACGTACGAAAAACATAACTTACCTTCGCTCAGACGTATGCGACATGTTCCACTCACGGTAGGTCGACGGAAAGGACGAGTTCCTATTGCGTCACAAGAAATATTCTTATGAATGCCGCACAATGGCGCTGCGAACGGTCTTCAAAATTTCACTCAACTTTTTAGATTGAATTAAAATTTTCTACATATATTCAAAACAGTTAAAAGTCATTCTGATTAAACCTTCTTTATGCGTGTAACCATTTTCAGATAATTCGTTATTTTTTCACGATATTTCTTTTGTAAATGTCCATTGCGCATAAGGGAAGTACGTCAGTTACCCATAATCCTTTGTCAGGGCCGACGCGAGGCAGGTTCAAAGCGTTCCCTGAAACCGGTCCTGTGATCCGTAAAAGGTTCATTTTAAACTTTGAGAGGCTTTATGCATAATATCATATGTGTATCCTATCCAAGATTTAAATCGTGATGTGTTGTACAACTACACATTATATTGTCTCGCGTTGTATGACCGCGTATTGTATGACCAACATGTTACATCGCCACGCCTTAAATCATTACGCGTTATATTGCTATGCGCTGTATTGTCACGCACTGTATCGCCACCCGTTGTACGAATACTTAAAAATCTGATACAATAAATACAGATAAATATATATGTTTTTTCTGCTCTTGCACGATTTTAGGATCGTTCCGCATTGTTTGCGCAGCTTTGTTCTTTGTGACTCATTAGTGGGATGTACGAGGGTAATGCGAATGTATTATCGATAACGTATCTCCTAACTTTAAATTTTCTTGTAAACACATATTAAATTTTCAGTTCATTAAAAATTGACTGATATTTATTTTTACATTTTAATATTAATGCTAATGTGTTATTTAAACTTAAGTGCTTAATAGTAACTTGTATACATATATTTAATTTTAAGGCAGGACATTAAAACAAATAAAATTTGTGATAAGAAAACTATTTATACATTATTTATCTTAAATATGTAGTTAACAATATATATACAATATGTACATAACAAGTGTGAACTTTATGCTAATAATATAATAATGAATTACATAAAGGCACAAGCAAGAATAAAGAATAATACTGCAATGGGAAAGATTATATACACTTCCATACGAGGATGACAAACCGATAAAAGTAAACTAATATCATCTATTTCATATTCAGTGTTATCTTTAGTTGGTATTTCAACAATCACTCTATCAGAAGACAACAAGTTTATTGCAAAGGAACATTTTGTTTGATTTATACAAGACTTTGTTGCATTTTCATAATGAAAAACGGGTTTATAAATATCAAACAATGCATATATATCATTTGATACAATATCATTGTCACTGTAAAAGATATAGTAATAATAACCATTTTCTATAATATTATGAATTGCTTGCATATGTTTACCATTAAGTAAATAGCTGACATTAGTACATTGTTCAGAAGGTGCAAATTCTTGAGCAATTAATATTGAACCTCCATAGCATTTGAATAATTCATTTTCAAAACTGGATACAGAAGATTCATCATTATCGTTTGTTATATTTTTAACAGCATTTCCACCATGTTTGACACCTTGATCAAGTAAAAGTGGCTTAACAAGATCTTGAGTCCTTTTAATTCTTTTATTCAATATTTTGTCTTCTTCAACATTAGATATATTTTCAGTATTACTTCCTGATCTTTTTTTGTCATGTAATATATTCTTTCCTTCTTTCTTTATTTGCATTTTATACTGCCTTTTCTTAGCATGTCTTAATTTTCTAGTATTACGTACCATTGGTTCTTTTGAAGATTTCATATGTTGTTGTATATACATTTTTGTATTCCACAGTAGTTCCTTTAATTCGTCATCATCATTTTGTTCGTGAGATGTAACATTCCTTTTTATGTGTGGATAATGATTTGAAACACCTGTACCTGTATTATTTTCTTCCATTTTTGAAGTCATATTTGATGTATTGTTGTAAGCAACATCTGTAATATTATTATTAGAAACAGATTCTACTGTATCTGATTTAAATGTTACTTTAACTTGCTGCTTTGCTTCTGGCAAGAATATATTTTTTGCAATTTGTTCATTATTCTTGTGTTCTAACATTCCACATGTTCGTAAATTACGTTCCCCTTTAACCACCAGTATAGATGCACCTTGAAATCTAAATAAATAGTAATAAGAATGGTGATGAATAATATGAATTTTCATATTAATATAAAAAAGTATAAATATTACCTTGAACAGACAGAAAGGGCTACGGTTGATCCTTCTAAGAGATAAAATCCCCAGTATTCTAATGTATCATCTGGTAAAGTCATATTCTTTTTAAGGCGTATATGCTTTTTATATGAAGTTACCTCTGGCTTATGTGCCATTTGGAAGGCATTAAATGTTCTATTCATTTGTAGAATATGTCCCTGTATAGACAAATATTATTAGTAATGTTAATTTATGCTATATAATTCTCATATATATTATATGTATTATAGAATAAAGTACTCTTACCGAACAAAATACTGTAGAAATTCCATCAGTAATTTCTAAGATATCAGAATCTGTTACAGCATATGCTACATTAGCATAAAAATTATGACGTAAATATAGAGGTGTGATAAGAAGCAGAATTGGTAAAACTGTTGTTAAAGTACAGAAAACTACTATTCTTTTAATTCCATGCATATTTTAAGAATCTAAAAAAAATTACATACTTATAAACACTTTTATTTGTGTTTAAACTTATATATCTGTTGTATTACAAGAAGTAATTATTTAAATAATTAAATTATTCCTACAAAAATTTAGATATAAATATAATATATAATTTAAATTTCAAATATGTAAACAAAATAATTAAAAATTGTATACTATAATAACCATATTATTACTGATAATAATGTTTTGTATGAGTACTTGAGAAGTGTTCATCTTATTGATAATAAATGTATAAATACACAATCAATTTTCGACTTTAAAAGAATAGCAAATTTTATTTAAATACTAGGTATCGAACTTTTAACGTTACAGAAATTACGTATAACGTAATAGAGGTTAGAGATTTTGAAACGATAAGAAAAAACCGTAAACTTAAGTTTCATACATGTCAAACTGATAAAAAAATATCATATGATTCTGATTCGTCTATTATTTTGACGTGTAGAAGATTTTTAATACGCATTACGCATGCGTTCTCGATCTAAACTTGACATTTATAAAGCTCCTATAAAAATAAAAATTAAAAAATATATGAAACAATATGATTTAAATGTGTGATTAAAACATCTATTACATATATAAAACTATATTAGGTTAAATAATAAAGCTTATGAAATTGAAAAAAATATTTTATTCGAATATGGATGAATGTCATCTCCAATGTCTAAAACTTCAGCCACTGATTTATAAATATAAAAACAACCTAGGTTGAATATATTTTTACTTCGTCTTATAAATAATTTAACTAAATTAATAATAATTATCAATAATTTCGATAATATTATTAAAATATTCAATGAAACACATATTAACTGGTTTCTGAACTAACTTATTTCTTTACCTCAAATCATTTATGTTCAAACACTTCGTTTTATTTTAGTATTGTACAAAATAATATCATTCAGTAATCCACAAACATTAATCCAAACTAATTTTTGCAGTTGCTTGATAATATCCATTACTACTAATCGTATGACGTTGTGATAAATGAATCTCTTTTAATGTAATTTCTCCAAAGAATGTATTTTCATGAGCCTACAAGTTTTAAATTTTTATTTTATAATATTGTTATACTATTATATTATTTAAATGATTAATAAATATAATTACTTTCATTATTTCTGTTGCATCAAATGTATTTAAAGTTATCTTTTGTTTCTGTTCTATTTGTTCATCATCTAGCATAAATTTTGTGTTCATAAGAGTTACATGGAGTTTAACTTTGCGTTTTGTTTTTGCAAGTAACCCTGTAGGATAATTATTATTAATGTATACTCTATATTATTAAAAATAGCTTTTTACCTATACTATGATAATGGTCTGTGATTTTGTCTGCAATTTCTTGCAGAGCTTCATCTGTATCAATTATTTTTGCATATAAAACATTTGTTTCACTAGGATCATCATTTAATATGTCAGTTCCTTGTAAACATATATGAATTTGTTGATGCTTCTCCATTATAGGTCTGCAATTTATCATAAAAAATATTCCTATAATATTCTTTAACTAGACAATGAATATATATTAATATTGTGAGAATTATCATACTTCACAATATGATCTTTACAATAATTTAAAGCCTCAATAGCTTGCTTTTTCTCTGTCTCATCAAGCAATGTTAGTACTGCTATAGTAAGATGCAACTTGCTTGGTGTTTGAAATATCATTTTATCCAAGCCTCTGGATGTTTTTTCAAACTTTGTAAGTACATCATTTTTGAACATATTAAAGTTCATTATTATACGACCTTCATTTAAAGGTACTGATAAAAAATGTGTACACTGGAGCCTTTTTCTTGTTGCTTCTGTTAATAAGTTAATTCTATGACGGGCTGTCATTATTCCTTTGTGATCGGAACCAATTATTACTGTAAATGTAAATATTATTGTTATATAAGAATATAAGTAATAACTCAAATTTTGCTTAGAACAATACAAAATATGCACCAATATCTCCATCCTGACCCATCTTTGGAATCTGTATAGTTGTTTTTGTTTCAGTTTCCAATTTTTTACGAACTGCATTTTTAGATCCAATAATAAATGGGAAAAATGATCTAAAATATTATGATTATTAATACTATTATAACACTAAGTTATTGTATCCAAGTAAATAATATTTTTTACTTTGGCACATAAAATGTATGTTTAAATTTTGATGCTCCATGTGGTACAATTTCTATATCGGAATCATAATGTTCTTCTTCGTAATCATTGCAATTTAACTGACAATTGTCTTCAACATAAGGAGAAAGATTACGAGCATTTGACCACTCTGTATTTGCTAATAACCTGTAACATCTACCATCTACCCAAATTAATTCTGGTTTTAGAACATTCATTGTATTAAGAGTAATCTATTTTTTTCTCAGTGAATGTTCAATTTAGTAAAATTTCCTATTTATATATAATAACAATATTTTTAAATAAGACACTTTCACACAGCAAAGATGCAATTATCATTTATCTTCATTTTAACTGAAGTGTGTGAAGTGTCAATTTTAGAATGAAGTAAAACGTTATAGACAGAGATAATAAACTAATTGAAATCTCTATCCTTTTTTAGCTGAATAATCTGTATACCGGTTTTGATTGGTTCAACTACGTTTTGTAACCAAGAGCAATACGCATGCTTACATAAAGCATTTGTTATGCGAAGTGTATACCCAGTGATCTATTAATTTGTATAATTCTTACATAAAAGTAAGTTCTTTTCTCTTATCTTATTGTAATGTACGATAAGAAGCCACGAGGCGCATTGAACACAATATACATATGCGCAGAAGACTATTTTATGTAATTAAATATAGTATAACGCGCAAACGATGCGCAGAAGTCCTTAGCGCAGCAGTATCACCGCTGCGCTTATAAAAGCGGGCGTGGAGGCCGATCGTTTAGTAGTTGGGGCAGAGCGTGTAATACGTGATTTGTATGATTATGTGACCCATTCTTTTGATCTTCCATGTAAGCGAAGACTGGATCAAAAAATAGCTGCGTATAAGAAGTATTATACTTGAAAAAGCCACTGAATATGCACAATAGATCATAAGGTCACATGCGCATTACCTTTGATTATACAGAATGTATTAAACTAATCATACTCGCATGCGCAGGACGAATGAAAACTTCTCATTCGCCATTATTATTTTTTCGAAAGTTTTAGTATAAAAACATTTAACGAGTAATCATAGATTTCTTTTTGTTATAAATTTTATAATTTATTCTTATTTGAGAAGTACGTTCCAGAATAAATATCTGGGCCGTATAGAATAAATTTTAAGAATTATAAAAGTTAAGTTTATAAATGCAAAATTTATTATTTTCAGTTTCATTTACCTTTATACACGTATTAAGGAAATAGTAATTGCAATGTACTTTTATGAAATAGTTAAAAATTTTTATAATATATATTATTTACAATATTTAAGATTTTAATATTGACATTTAACAACAAAATATAGATTTTAATGTCCTTTTTGAAACCGATATAAAAGATAGGTCAATACATAACTGTGTAAGATATACATTGTAGCAGGACATAAAATGCAATATTTTTAAAATATATAACAGACATATTGTTCTATACCAAATTAAATATTAAGTTTACACATTAAATGTATGAAGTTAGAAATTTACTAATTTTTGTTTAATAGCTAAATTACGAGAATGTTTATGAAGCATGTACAAATTTACCTATGTTACAATAATAATAATTACAAATGTATCTACATACAGGCGTTTTGTAGGTGTATTTCTAATAAGTATATTACAATATTGAAATTAAAGAATTCGTATAATAAATAACAATTTTTGACGTTATAAATTATATAATTAATCTTCGTCTGTACCTTTTTGGTAAACTGCACCGAATTTACTCATATACTTACGTACAAAATCTTTAGCTTTATGTTTAACATTTTCATTACACTGCAATTCATCAACGCTTTTACAGTGTTTCAATTCTTTTGCAAGTACAAAATGTGTAAGCTAAAACAAAAAATAATCATCGAATTAAATTTACTCTCAACATTACAAGTTTCGATTCAAGCAAACATACCTTTCTAGCAAGATGTTTAAAATCTTCCGTATTAGTTATTCTACCCTGTTTACAATCATTTTTTCTATACGGATTCAAAAAGTGTACCATCACATTTGCCATATTTATTCTAAAGGTATCTTTTATCTTTCTCTCTGACATTGTAGATACATCTGTTGAAGGGGACTGTAATTTATTTAAACTATGACGTGAATGTGATTTAGATTTGTTGTTACGTCGATGTCTTCGCATTTTGTCAACGTGTTCTTTAAATTTCGCTCTTTCTTTTTGACGACGTAATTTTTCCTTTATTCCTTTGTGCGTTTTGTGATCCATGCGATCCTCTTCGCGTCGTGGCTATAATATAAATACAATAATAATAATGTCCAATTATTATTATGCCAACTACTCGCAACAATAAAAAGAAAATAATACTACGTACACTAATAATTCTTTCTTGAACTAAACCTTCTCTTCTTTTCTTGCCCTCTGGGAAAAATCCAGAACTTCCAGTTAAGTGAACAGCGCTTTTCTTACAGGTATTATGTTTAGAACCATTTAATGATTTTTCTATCAAAGTATTATTTAAAGTTAACTCTTCGGTTTTCGAATCTTCGTTGTTATCTTCGTCAATCTCTTCGTCCTCCTCGTTCGAGGAACTAGATTCCTCACTAGATTCCGAAGTTGACGATGAATCTGGTTGAACTCCAATGTGATCCGGCGGAGGAGGTAACCACTGTGATATTCGTTCTTTCACATGGTAGTAATATGTTCTGCCTCTGGCATCGGTTGCGCTTTTCCATTTAGGCGGCAAATCTATGGGGGGTACTTCTGGTTGCGGTGGTCTAATCGCAGGGAATTGTTGATCCGTTTGCTTTTCAATATGTTCATACAGAGGTTGAGTTTGAATTGTAACGGGTGTTCCACTATGTACTAAATTATTAGACAGGGACAATTGACCTTCAGGATATTGTTGATGACAGTGGGACATCAAAGAGTAAGCTGTTGTAGTTTGATTGAACACAGGTGTTTGGCTTAACGTATATATTACTGGAGGTACACCTGAAGGTATATTGCTTGGGATGCCAGATGGTATCTCAGAAGAAATTGTTGGCTGCAATACATGCGAGTTTTGAGATACTATTCCGGACTGTGAATGACCAGCTACCGCTTGCGGTGCACCCACGTATATAGGGGTGCATTGTTGACTTATTTCGCTATCTACGACAAAATTTCATATGAACTAGGATAAAAACATAACAATAATTTTTAAAGTACAACATATGCGAATCAAGACCTTGTGTAGGATATTGTTGCCACTGCCCAATTGATGGATTATAAAAAACGGGATATCCTGTTTGTGGATCCACCATAGCAGTAGTATGAGGATCTATGCTTAATGCTAGACATCTAGTTTCATGATCTTGCCATGATTCCTGTTGCTGACGACGTTGCCGCTCTTCTTCCTCTTTAGCAACTTTCATGGCAAACAATTGTCTACGCTCATATTTTGTCATTCGTGGAATTGGAACTAAACTACTTCTTTCTTCTAATCTTTTGTCTTTTGTACGAATATGATCAGACTCTGGAGATTCTCGTCCTCGTCTTCTATCCCCACGTTTTTCTGATTCACTTCTTCCGTATCTATCAGATCTATGTCTATTCAATGGTATAAAATATACAAAACATTGTTATAAATATACAAAAATAAATCGTTAGATATATTCTAGTTAAATTAAACACTTTTTAATTATTCATCATAAACTCTTTATCAATTACAAATGCATACCTGTCATATGATGTTCCTCTTTTTTCCTCCTTTTCTAGTTCTTCTCTGTATCCACGATCTTAATGAAAAATATACATCAATTATTACTTCATATATAGTTTTACTTTACATCAATAAATAATTCAATATCATTACCTGCTTCTCTTTCATGTTCCTTCATTTGTTCAATCCTTTCTTTTTTTGGTATACGAAAAACTTCCTTTAAATTTGACCATTCAGCTAAAAGACTAGTCGCTAATTCAGGAATAAGATTTCGATCTGCGTTGTCTAATTTTATTTCATTACTTTCTAAGTTATTTTCATTTTTCTCTACGTCAGTTACTTGATAGGACGTTCTTTTTTCGATGTCATAACTAATTTGTAATTCTTCGCTATTTGATTTTGACTTTTCTTGATCATCCTCTGGAGAATCTCCACTAGGAGAAAAATATAATCTTCTTGACCACTTTTCAACTACATTATAGATTTTGCTATCCATCAACATAGTTTTATTAGGAATTGGAAGCGTATTTAGAGTTTTCAAAACTTCCAGTCGAAATTGTTGCGCTTCATCGGAATCATTTGTAGAAATATCCATGACATAACTCCAAATTAAACGTAAACCGTGATAATCCAAAAATAATCGTCTACATGGCTGTTCTCCGCTTTGTATAAGACGCAGAAGGCGCGTCCTATGTTCTAATTCTCTACTACGAACCATCAAACGACTTAATGTTAATGTGTGAGCTCTATTCTTCAAGCCTCCTAAGCATAACTTATCTATTTCTTCTTCCAACTAAAATAACACCAAGTAAAATACATTAAGATGTAAATTTAATATTTATAAATCATTAAATATTTATAGAACTTACATCTTCATCTTCCATATAATCAGCTTGCTTCTTTTCACCCTTCTTCTTCCTCATATCTTTATCACGTTTTTCCTTTTTCTCAATCTTTTCTTTCTCTTCTTCAGGTGTTTCACCAATCCAACCACGACAATTAGCAGCTTCACAGAAACATTTCTGCGCCTCTTTACTAACGTTACAATAAAATTTATAGTATACGTAATATTTTTACAAAGTATATTAATACTGTATCATTGTACATACCCATAACGTTGGAAATGATAGTCAAATGTAATTTCCTCACCAGCAGCAATGAATTTTTTATTAAAGAAACCTATTCTCAGTTCACCATTCACTGTCCACTGTACAAATATTAGAAACGTAAAAATCATTCAATTATGTTAAGTAGTTTGTTTATAGTAATTATACTTACTTTTTGTGTTTCAGAATTGGGATCACAACTGTGATTTATAAATCGAGAAACATTTCCTTTCATAGTAGCATCAATAATCTGATCAGATTTTAATGCCATAAAGTAGTAATGTCTATTTTTATCTTTCGAATATTCCTTTGCCCTACGTCGGAAATCTTTAGGATCTACTACTTCACCTACATATTCCATTATAAATTCCCCTCTAATAATTAGAGATTAAATTCGTTAACAAATAAACTATCATACATAACTTTGCATAGTTAAAAATACTTACGCTAACATATCTGCCATAGCTCGTAATCCAAATCCTTTTTTTTCTGTTCTAAATACTTCACATTTAGCATATTCACAATTTTGAAATCTTTTATTTGTACAACGATCACCTACTACACACCGAGGACCACTAAAATTTATGTAATATATTATACAAATTATTTTTGTACTATTTCATGTTAATAAAGAGAGGTATGTTCATACAATAGAAAATACATACCATTCTATCATTAGTAATCTATTGAGACAATCCTCCCCACAACCTAATTCTCCTCTTTCAATTTCTTCTTCTGTTAAAAAACAGTCACATACCATTCGTTTTGTTTCTTTGTTTGTATACCTAAAGGAATTATTTAAAAGAAATTACTACTGTGCACAACATACTTTTATAATTAAACTTATTTGAACTATATACCTTTCTGTGAGATATAAATTTTCACTCAAATATTCAAATTGACTCAGTCTTTCTTCCATTTCTCTATCTTTTATTTCAGGAACCATAGGTAACAAAATTTTTGCACCAACAGTTTTTGGAATTTGTACAATATTAGTAGGATTAGCTGGTAATATTTCTTTTATTTGTTCTGTATCTATTTTAGATAGAGTGTTTGCAATTATTGCTGCAGAAGCAAATCCAGTATCTGAAGAACTAACATCTGTTGTAGGTCCAGTTGTAAATTTAAATGTTGAAGATGAGCTTGCTTCAGATACATTTGTAGTCGTGGTTGTCATTAAGGATCCAGTTAATGCTGATGCAACTACTGTAGTTGATCCACCCATTTCAAGTTCACTTGATCTTCGCCAACGAGATTTTACTTTAACAGGTTTAGACGAATCTGAATCATAGCCTGTAGTACTACAGGCTGTTGCTAACGAGGCGAGAGAGTCAAGTGTATTTGTTGTTTTATTAATGTTATTTTCTTTATCTGATTGCGGTTCAATTGTATTATCAACTTTTACTTCATTAGTAATTGAAAAATTATTGTTAACTATTTTCTCCCGGTCTTGTTGAACACTAGATTTTGAAATATCTATATTAGGTTTCGTAACTAAACCGCGTCCGCGAGACCTATATATTAATTAAAGAACAAAAAATGTAGTGAATGAAAAACATTGGTTATTTTTTAAATATACACTTAGTTGCTTAACATATTTACCTTTGTTTCATTAAACCAATCGACCTAATTCTACTACTTCTTCTTACACCAGAACTATTAGATCCACTTTCTGAACCTGTTGTATCTGTACTACCACTTCTGCTTCTAAATTCAGTTCTTTTATCAATATCATTCGAACTATTATTACATTTTGTGTCAAGTTCTGTCAGTTTACAGTTATTCATAGATAACAATGTGTCATTACTATTTTCACTACTACTAGACAATTTCGTGTCTTCCCCATCAAGTTTACTATCTGCTTCACTATCACCATATAATTCTTCGCTAACCTGCTGTGAACTAATAGGTTTCCTTTGATTTCCATTCTTTTTATCTTGTAAAACTTTCAATTTTAATAAATTCTGATCTGTACATTCCGTTTTATCATTATAAGATTCAGATTTATTTGATTCTATTGTATTTTTATCTACATTATCAAGTACAGAAGCAGAATTATTTGTCTGATGTAACTGTTCCATTTTATCTAATATTGAACAACTGCTTTCATCATCAATGGACATTGGTATTACTTTTTCTATGTTGTCTGTAATTTGAAGTGGAGACATTATGTTTTCTATGTTAGATAAATCATTAACCAATTTTTGTATTTCTTTGGAAGATTCATTAATTTGCATTTCTGCTAATTTGTTATCTATTTTATAAAATGAATCATCTTTAGATAAATTTTCATGTGATTTTTTCATGTGTGTGTTTTTATTTACGTGTAATTCCTCTTGATTGTTAAGTATATTTTTATTATTATGAATATATGATTTTTGCAAACTGAATAACTCACTATTTTTATCAATAGAAGCAATTGGCACCTCTGTACATACATCTGATATGGAATTGTCCGTTTTGTTTCTATGTAAACTGCATATACTGTTTTGCACAGCACAGCAACATTCATTACTAGAAGTGTTTTTTGAATCACATTCTATTAACATGGATGCCATTCTACTCTCATTTTGTATCACAGTATATTCGATAAAATTTTTTTTTTCTAATGAAGGTGTATCCGCTAGTAATACCTCTTTTATCATCATGTTATCATCTTGTTTTGAATCGTAATCATTATTTTTAATATCATCTTTAACTTCCATTTCTTCGCAAATTATTGTTTCTTCTATCACATCTTCGGGCCATATTTCAATTTCAGTAGACTCAGGTTCAGTTACAATTTCCTTACTTGGATTACCAACAACTACTTGTTGAACATCTTCCGGGCTAAGTTCCTCAGGCTGACCAATTATGTCTACTCCATCTTGACTATCGCTTTCACTGGAGTCCTTTTTATATTGTGACGTTGTTGAATATGAATATTCTTCGTTAATTGCAAGTACGTTACTATTAGAACCATTTTTGTGCTTATATTTTCTCGAAGAATTTTGATTCTTTTTTGACAATACTTGGTTTGTGTATTCTGTAGCACTTCTACAATCTTCTGAATTGTTTAAGTAAGATATTTGCAAAACATCACCATTAACCTTTTTCTCTTCCGATTGCTTTTTTGCTATTTGTCTACTAGATTTTCTAACAGGTACATATTTAAGAGATGACTTCACGGATGATTTCATTTCAGTTTTACGTCTACGTGCCATTTTGATTCCATGTATTCCTCTAATCTGAAAGAGTTATTAAAAATAAAGTCAAAAGTGACAAAGAAGCACAAACATAATATTCACAATTATGTTATATTAATCTATACTATAAATAACAATGATACCTCTACATAGTAACAACATCATTTAAGTTTTATATTGCCACCAAAAACATAAAATTATTTAGTTACACTATTACTTTTTTTATTAAAGAAAAAACATTAAAATTGAAAGTGAACATATCAATAGCAAGAAACGTTACCATTTGTTTTACCACAGTCTTTTATTATATAAAAAATTATTTTATTACATAACAATGACATGAATAATTCTGTGGATATCAATGCTATTTTAACGTTGATTTTATTATTTTATTATTACAACTATCATTTTCATCATAAGTTATAAATCATAAAATAATTATTATTATTTTATATGTATAACACATTCTTTTTTACACACCACTATCTTTGTTCATTTAAAATAAGTTAAAAAATGATGATAAATGTGAAACTTTTCATTTTTATGTAGATATTTAATTTCATCCTTAAATAACATAGCCTCCATTGTGCCTAGTTCTAAAATATACTACTTGTAGGTTTCATGAAAACTGTGAAATTCTTATTTATAATTACTGTTAATTTAATGCTTCCCAAAACAATGATTCGTATCATATATATACGTTAATTTTCCAGTACTATCTGTTAAATGTTATATCTTTGTAATTATTAATAAAATAGATCACTTATACCAGATTGATAAACATTGTTGCCTTAGAGTACATACTTTACTCTGTCATATTTAAATTAAAGTTTAAAGAAAATAAAGCTAACAAATACTTACCATGTACCCCTAAAATTACGTTTCGTAATTTCATCATTATCGTTATTTAAGATATTTTATATACATTTTTGAATAAACACATTTTCGCATTCATTGGATTTCCTGAGGAAACACAAATGCAGTCGACATAGTATAAATCATTACGATGTGAATTGTGTTAATTGATCGTTAACAAATATGAATGTTATTACAAAGTTTGGATGTTCAATAATACACAATCATTAGCTACACATTGACAGAAGTTTTAGGCAATATAGTTATCTTTCCCTTGTCTTGATTGTTTCACTTGGTATTCATCACCTCCGATACAAATGTAACGAAAACTCTATCGCGGCTAATACTTCTGAAATCAATTTATGATTTGTTTAGACAAACACTAATCACCTGAATGAACTCATCACGAAGAACTGTAAAGGATGTGTGATACTCGATTCATAAGGTATATATCTCAAACGTATACGTAGTTGCCACTGGATATTACTTGTTTGTAACAATACCGACTGCAGAGCATATAAGGCTGACGCTTTAGTAATTTCACTAGCCAGTTTCTTGCTGAAAAAATAACATTCCCCAGATAAATATATATATGACAACAAAGACGTGAAAGCAAATGTATAATTTATTATTTGCAATAACAGTAGAAACCTCCAGATAGTAAGTGTATCCAACTTTTTAATTCCTACAATAATAAATAAAAATGAACAAAAATTGTATGAAAAACTGTATTTTGTCTACCCAGAGAAAATAACTAACTAGATTATAGTTTGCGTTGCTGGATGACTTAGGGAAATTTCTAACCACGTGAATGATACTCTTCTTTCTGTCTGTTTTTGCTTTTGCGGCCATATACATAGTAGATAAAAATAAACGACCAATGAAAGCTGGTGAAGTAAATATATAAAATAAATATTGTGTGTATGTAATATTCAATTTTTTGTATACATTCACAAAATATACAAGCATAGAAAGAAAATATATTTCTTGTTTAATCAATGAAACACCTATGCTATAGTCAACAAGAAGTCATGAAATTTTTTGACCTCTGGGTACATATTTTTAATATTACGATCATCATAAGAGCGCATGTGTAATGCCACAGATTACAGAGTGGAACTGGAGCCAAAGGAGTCGGAATTCCTTGTGTAACAGAGTATAGTGATTTTTATGTTTGAATCGGAAAACTACACCAGCGCTGTAAGTTATAAAATCATTGAATATGATGTTTCGTTGATTGGTCAACTAAAGAATGGCCGTTCCTATTAATTTAAATTTGAGTTGAAGGATCTGTGTTTATTTGAATTTGAAGAAGATATAATCTTGTTTAAATAAAATATGTCCATTAATGTTACTGTCAATGGAAATCATTTGAATATACGTCGAGGAAGAATGGTATTGTCTGATTTAGATCAAATTAAGAAAAATGAACGTGACAGACGTCGGAGGTTACGCTTGGAACAGGTATCCGTACATATCAATTACTTTCAAATCGAGATATAAATGAAAAAAAAGAAAGTAGACAATAATGATCAAATATAAAAGCTAATATAATAAATTTGAAAAAAGGATAACTCCTTTATTGACAAAATTGAAAGTAAATAATTAATGGAAATATAATTTAACAAATATTCATAGGTACGGCAGCAGTCAAAAGTAATATCAGATAAAATATTGGAACGTGCTAAAAACATAGCTAAGGAGGAATTAAAAAAACTTGAAAATAACGATAAATTAAATTTGAAGCAAATACATAATGGGAAAATCATGGAAGTTCAACAAAAATATCAAGAGGATATGGCAGATATTGGTCAAGCGCATATATCTGCAACATTAGAGCCTGATTATAATGCAATAATTCAGGAGAAAGATAAAAGGAATAAATTAGCAGCATTAAAAAGAGGAAAAGATGCTATAAAACAAGTTAAAAATGCACAACAAGTAAGATTCTTAATTGTTACTCATTATATTATGTTAAAAGAAAAGTTACAAACATTAACATGTTACATTAGAATTTAATTTATAAAAGATTAAGTAAAATCTGTGTAGAAGGAAACCGTTCAACATCAACATGAAGAACGCCTTCGTCAAGTTAGAGACATAGAAAATCTTAGGTCTTCAATGATAGCTAAACTTCAGCAAACATTACCTGAAACTGATAAAGTATATACTCCTGCGCAAAAGGAAAGTGATCAAGAGACTAAAGAGCACAAATCTACTAAGAAAAAGCAGAAGAAAGTTATTTCCAAAAAATCACCTGGAAAAATTACAAAATCTTATGTAAAAGTATAATATTTATACATAATTAGAGCAGTATATTTATAACTGCAGATTTATACATTTTTGAAATATTTGTTACAGGTTATAAGAAGTGATTTAAAAACTCATTCACCACAGTTAAAATCTAAAACAAAAGTTTCAGAAATAAAAGATGATTCTGGCAACATGGACCAACAATCTAAAACTAGTTCAGATGTAACACCATTGGTAGTACAAACTATATGTACAACTGAGTCTGAAACCAACAATACAGAACATGGTACAGAGGAAGTTTCAAATGTTCTGATAAAAAATAATAAAACAAGGTATATAATATAAAATTGATTTTAGTAAAACAATTTCTAATACATTTATTGAATGTTTAAAGGTATAATCCAGAAGACTATGTACAAATGACTTCAAATTCAACTAATAGTGACAGTGTTAGTTCATTTAGTGATGATTCATCATACTTTTCTGACAACAATGAACAGCATGCTAAGTTAAAAACGCCGATTTATGTCAAGTGCCCAGCAACTGATAAAGTAAAATTATATGATCATAGTAAGCGTCAAAGTAATGTATATGATAAACCAATTGGAGTAGTTGAAAAAATACATACATGGAATGAGGTTTGTAATGACCAGTAGAAAATAATTACAATAATAATTATAATTATAATATATGTATATATGTGCATAATATATCATATTTATGCTTTCAGCCAAGTGCCACAGATTTAGCACAAGAAATTGAACAAGCGGAAACTGCTGAAACACATTTGTCAAAAAGTCGTAAACATAATGCGCAAAAACGTGGTGAAGATGCTGCATTAAGAGAAAAAGTTCGCCGCGATTATCAAATACTCATGCAAAATCTGAATTTTCTCGCAAGTGAGGAGCGCAAATTAAAAGCATGTCAAATAGAGCGTTATCCGGTATATATGCTGATTTAATTTTTTTACTTCCTACATAAGTTCCTAAGGCATTATATTGTTTTATTTTTTTAATTAGAAAGGTACATATACACCAGAACGCAGAAGAGTACTAAGAGATCAACATAAAAAGAAATTAAATTATGCATTAAAAACCTTATTGAATGAAGAACCTATTGATCATTCATATCCAATGAAAACACAAGTTACTCTTCAACCAAGAGAAACTGATAAACGTGTTGAAGTACACGGTTCCTGGGAAGACCCATGTTGCAGTAAGCGCGAAGATACTGAAACAGTTTCACAAACTAAATGTAAAAATGACGAGGAGTCGCGTGAAGAACAGATATTAGATATGTTAAAAAAAGTTGAAAGACAAAAGCGATTATTATTACAAGAATTTGGAGTAGATTTACCAAATAATATTTTCAATGCATCTATAAAACCCTTATTTGAAAAGGAAAAGTCAGTTCAAACTGAAAGTGAAGACACACATGTACCAACTCCTTTATCACCGGAAATTAGAGTAATAAGTGTACCAGATGATCAGTCTGATAAAAAAAGTAGAACAGAAGAAAAAAATGATGCACTTGTCAAAAAAGTAGAAATTGCTGTGCAAACTACAGCAGGGGATAAACATAACGTAGTTGAAGATAAAGGCACACAAGTGGAATTAATTCAGGAAGAAAAAAATAAATTAAAGCCTGGTGATGATGAAACTGAAACGGTTATCAAACATTATCCACTCGAACCAAAAATTACAGTTATTACACACGAAACGGATAATGACTCCTCAAGTTCTGCAATTACAAATGCAGTTAACGATGTTGATAAACAAAGTTCAAAAACAACTCATAAAAAGACGAAACGCACTGTAAAAACATTGAAACGAGCCCCATCAAAAATGTATCAGAAGTCAAGTCCAATGCGAGTAAGTAAACCTTCTATAAAAAAATCTTCAAAATCTTTGCCCAAGTCACCACAGTCATGTTCAAAAAAGACGGACACAGAAGATATAATTAGTAAAAAAATCAAAACGTATGACGACGATACTGAATTTAATATAAGAGTACAACCGACAAAAGTTAGAGAAGTAGCTGTAGACGTAAGTACACAAAGCTCCCAATTATATTCACCAAGAACTCAAGAACAGGCGACAAGTAAACCACATTGGATTCAATCTAAATCAAGAATTAAAATAAAAGATGTCTCAGATACGTCAACATCTTTTGCTAGTCTACCGCCAATAAAGCCTAGAGACGTACTTGAAGTTTTAAGTAACAACATTTCTATTCTGGAAATGTTAGATTCTTCGGTAAATGAGAGTATGAAACTTTTAAGAAGAGATATCAGTCCCGTATCGACGCCAGAAACTCCTTCACCGCGTACTATGAGGTTACCTTCAAACATACCTCATCCTGATAAAATTTCTAAATTGCTGAAATCTGCGGGTCTTCAGACACTTGATAGTAATTCGTTATCATCTATTAGAAATAGTTCAACATCTACAGATTTGTCTGATTATCAGCAAAGTGAGCAGCCACAATTGAATCACAAAACTACGATTCCAAAACTACCAGTTGCTTTGGAATTTTGTTTATGCAATAATCCGAACTGTAATCAGATGCATGCCAAGTTTGATGAAATTCGTAATTACGCACTGAAAAATTGTCCTCAGATATTACAGAAATACGAAGATCTTCAAACTACGTGTGCTGAAAGAATAATTTCTTTAACAAATCTCATTGAAAAAGTTCGGAATGAGCAAAAAGGTATACAATTTTATTGGTTAATATAAATAATTTATACTTTATTTAATATAAATACAAATAAAATATAATTGCACAATTTGTTCTACAGGTATGGAATTTTCTATAATGACAGGTGATGAAACTAGTTTCATGCAGTTACCTTCACCAAAATTAGTAACTAATGATCTACAAAGTGTTCGTCAGCTTGTGGAAAACATAGAGGCGATTCATAATCAGCTTGCAAAAACATTGTTAGAATCTCAAAGGATTATTAAAAATAAATCGGTTATCGAAAAAGAAATTAACGAAACTAAAGAAATGGAGGTAGTAACTGTGGACAATGGTAATTTATCTAAAAAAGTAACTCGTTCCGTTGAGACAAAAGGTGTATTGAAGTCTAAGGCAAAGCCAAAGATCATTCGTGAAGAAAAAGTTAACATACAACTTGATAGATTCAATTTTCAACATGAACCTCAAAAATTGATGATGTCCACCCCAAAACACGATGCTCGACTTATTCCAAAGTATAGTGAAGAAGAAATGATAGAGAAATTATCGAAAGAAATTTTGGAGCAAAGCAAAAGTTTTAATAATAATGTAATAGCAATGAAAGAAGCTGAAAGCCCAAAAGAAAAGCATTCTATTGAAACTTCAACAGATGTTACCGATACAAAGGATGGAGCAATGAATAAAAAAAACGATGCAGTCACAACAAAATATCCTACTAAAGAGGTAATTTAAATAGTTAATAATTATAATACAAGTATATATATTTCTTTATTTAATTGTATGTTAATGTTGCTATTTTAGCAAAAAAAAAACAAAGATTTTATTCCAATACTAACTGATATCCCAAAAGTAACAAGAACAATAGATGCTGTTAGCTCTACCAATGGTAGAAGCAAACCACCTGTGAGCTTACTTAGTGGTCCATACAGGTAAACAAAACATTTGTATTTTATTGTTTGATTATAGTACATTACGTTTCTGAGACTATTTTTAACAAAATTGTTTTCCAGAACTGAACTTGAATCATCAGGTCATGAATTATCAACAATAATTGAATTTGATACACCAGATACTATAAATAAAAGTCAAAATAATATTAGAAGTCCACCATCGGTAAAAAAAATTGCTGAAATACAAACAGCTAAATGTGATAATGCAATCAAACCACCAGAAGATGTTCTTTTATTCAATTTACGTAATCAGCATTTAGATGAAATGTGTAATCCTTCGACTACACAGTCCTCAATGATCACTGCGCAGAAAGTACAAAAATCTGAAATGTTTTTTGATTCCATAAAAATGTCTCAGAGTGATAAAGGCAAAAATATGGAAAATGGTATTCAAGAGATAAATATTAAAAAATTACAGTATAACATAGCTAATCAAGAATCGTTGCAAATGGAAGAATCTACGGGTACTGACCTACCAGTTAAACAGTATACGAATAAAGATAAAATAACATCTACCAGTTCAAATAGTTTTTCTGAATTATCCGGAATTTCACAAATAGCAAGTACACCATCGTCTACTATATTAAAATATGCATCATCCCCAGAAGAAATGGAAACAGCTCTTAAAAAACTTGGTCTTGGTTGGGCAATAACAACATTAAAGAAAACCCGCGAAGCCAGTGCTTTAAGCTCGTCATCGAATTCTGATGTAACACCAATAAATACTGCAAAAAGAATATCACCGGTTAAAAAACAATTTGATAATAAATATGGTTTACCAGATATTAGCGATGTATCTTCAATATCTATTAAGGAAGCTAGCAAAAGTACAGAGCAAGCGGTTCTTTTAAAAGGCAGAACTTCTACACCAAAATTGCAAAATTCTAACTCTAATAGTATAGGAACCAATTCCAGTAATACAAATATATCGGAAAATTTTCAAGAAATTAATAATGGGTTGACAATTCCTAATATATCTCTTACTAAAACCAAATCTAACATTAAACCGTCAGAAAATCTATAATATATTTCTATTTAAGAATTTTTATTATCAATATTTTAGATTATATGCAATAAACTAGCGAAAAACTTATTTTAAATAACTATGTTCCTTACAATTTATACTCTATATTTACTAAATATAAACAATGTTAATATTCTTATATTTTATTTTTAATATGCAACTACACATATACGTTTTAAAAACATTTTAAGAATAAATTGATAAATACTATTATTTTTTAAGAAAGTAAAGTTGACATGTAGAATGTGTATAAAAATATTCTTCCATCTATTTTTGCTATTGTTCTCAATCACATTTTACTGTAAAGTCATATAAAATTGTAAATATTGTATATTTTTTTACTAAAATAAATTATTTGTTTTGCGAAGATTTGTTATTATTTAACTGATGCTTTGTAAAAGCATACCTCTTTGGTTTCTTTACTATTTTATCATATTGTAAAATATTGAATATTATTAACAATTTTTAAAGTTATTATAACCTGCAATGTTTATTGTTTTATTTGCACAACACGTCTAGTATAATAATTGAAAAAAATTTTACTTCTAAAAAGATGTTAATATACATATTACTTTAACGACAAAAGATAATGGTCAGTCTTTATAGTATAATAGTTAGTTTACTTTTTTCTATAATTTTTTTATTTATTGAACTTATTTTTCCATAATATGCATTTAAAAGGCACTAGTACCTGATGTGAATCATTAATACTGTTAGTAAAATCATGAAACTTGATCCACTCCAGATAAAAATTCTAATTAAGCCAATGGTAATGGGGATACTTTGATCACAAATGCTTATATCAAATTTCAAGTCGTTTTAAAAATATGAAGTTTATATATTTTTTTGTATATGAATTTCTAAGATAAATATATAATAAAAATCCTGTGTTTTATGAAACTAGTTGCATAAAACATTGTTACTTTATATAAAACATTTTTAATTTAGCTAATTCATGTCATACATGTATCAAATGTTTTGTAGTACTGTACAGGTATTAAGTATATTTGTCAAATACAAAACTATTCTTTAAACTCATTATTGCACTATGTATTAACTCCCATAAAAACTTGTAGAAGAAAATCAATTGAAACAGGAGAAAAAATATGTTTTTATACAAATTCGTTAACTACTTACATATAGTACAATTAGTGTCTGTATGATTTTTCTAACATATGTATCTATCAATTAACATTTTAAATGATTACATGCACATCGTACAATAGTACGAAACTTCTCAATTACCTTTTCATAAAGGCATACTGTAAGAAGTTTTACAGAAATTCAACTTATAAATATTCATTAAATTAAAATTATCATTCAACTCCATACGTCACTCGAATAACGCTTCTGCGAGTCCATTTTCTTGATATAATCTGCAGCATCTAATTCTTTCATATTTCCTTTCTCCATTACAACTTTCAGTAAAATATTGTGTACATCACGAGCCATATTTTTAGCATCACTATTGGAAAAAAGAATCAATATAATCAATTGTATATTGTAGATTTCATCATTATTAATTAATATCATTAAAATAATTATGTACTAACCCACAGACATAAATATGTCCATTTTGTTCACCGATCACTCTCCATAATTCGTCTTTATTTTTTTCTAATAAATGTGTAACATACACTTTCTGAGACTGCTCTCTGCTAAATGCAGTATGTAATATTAAAGTACCATTCTTTACATATTCTTCAAGTTCTTCTCTGTAAAGAAAATCTTCTTCCTTCTTCCTACATCCGAAGTATAAAATTGTATCTCCTACTTCTTTTCCTAAAAAAAAAAAAACAAAAAAAAAATTCATTGGAACTTACAAATAGTACAATGTGTAGTGATACCAAATATAACGTACTATATAATACAAAACAATCTTTGCTTCAATTTTAATAAATACCTTCTTTCTTTGCAAGATCTCGTTCTTGTATGAATGCTCTAAATGGTGCTATGCCAGTACCTGGCCCAACTAGAATAATAGGAGTTGATGTTCGAGTTGGTAAACGAAATTGAGATTTTCGTACAAAGATAGGAACATAACACGGCGGATCTGATGGATGTTTCTCTTTCAACCAGCTGGTCGTCACGCCTCTGTTAATTCTACCCGTAGGTGTTTTATATTCAACTACAACTGCAGTAATATGAATCGATGTCGGATGTAACTAAATGAAAAATATTTAGTAAAGAACAAATTATGAACAATCTTAATCAAATAACCTTATAACTTAACACATTATTTTAATACTTTACCTTTGGTGAAGAAGAAATTGAATAATAACGACACTGTAATCTTGGTAAAAGCTCACACAAGTGATCTAGAGCTGGTTTTAACGAAGGAATATCTTCTAAAATGTGTACAATGTTTCTATTTTCTTGCACTACCCATTGTTGATATGCAGCTTTGCCTTCAGCAGTGGTTGATGCCATCAATTTTAATTTTTCTTTATCTTCTGCATCACTACAATATTCTGCTAATTCTTTGAGGACATGAGTACGTGGATTGCTAGTAATATCTAAATAATGTGTCAAAGCAGTTCTATAAGAACATGGACAAGGGAATGGATGCTTTTTGGTAGATTCCTCATCTGTATTTGTTAAAGTGAACACAGTGTCTAAATCTACACCGCATTTCTTGCCAATCTTATTTACTAATTCTGCATTATTCACTGGATATACTGCTAAATGATCTCCAGCTTCATAACGCATTTTTGATCCATCTATATCAAATTCTATATGCATACATGATCTTTCTGAAGTTGGACCATGGAGTTCACGATTGACTTTCACAGGAGCTAAATAAGGATTCTTTGCATCAAATGGTCTGCAAGAAAAATGTAATTTTATACAAATATATTCAAAATTACTGCCTCCTTGTCTGTATATTTACAAGATATCAAAAGAAACATACGCTCTTTGAGTTTTGAAGGAATGAAGACGAGCTATTTCACCAGTATAAATACGTTCAATTGGTAAATCAGCATGTTCAGTAAGTTTGTATTGCCGAATACTAACATCTTCGCCTGCACCTTCAATTCCAAAGAATTCACACACTGTTGGCCAAAATTTATCTTTCCAGGTGATAAAATCATCTTCTATGCTACAAACGTTAGTATTTTATAAGTACACATGTATGTATATTATTTATAGATATATTTTGTAAACAACTAGGTATATAAGAATTTAGAAATACATTAATCTTAATCGTAATATTAATTTACAATACACTAGCAATCGTATTAACTTACTTAGCATCATCATCCCCCAATCCTAATTCAAAAACACGTGTTGCACCAAGTTGCTCTAATCTGTGATCAACATATATTGCCACTTCATTATAATGTTCATAAGTTTTATTTCCAAGTCCAAATACCTAAAAAATGAAAAAAAAATTTGTATTAATTTTATGTACACAACTTTAATAAAGTTACAAGTACCTCGAATGTTGGCGGTAAAGATAATGTTATAAAACGCCGCTGGATAGCGCTATTGTAGTTGTAACACTTCAGTGTTACACGTAGAAATTTTGAGAAACTTTTCATGATTATCGTTAATTGTTTATTATATTTTTAAATGCCTAATATAAAACTGAATTACGACACATAACATTATCATAAAATTAATTAATCATCGTACTAACTTATATTTTTGAAAAATAACATGATTACGACAAACTATAGACTATAGCAACGTTGCAGAATCGTACACGTGTCTGTTATGAATTGCTTACGTAACCTTCAGCGTTTACGCGATTGTGGTTAAATCCACATAGTACAAAGGATCAAAAGAATGAAATCAGTTATGCACTATTTATTAATGATTAGCACATTAATAGATTAACAATGTCAGCTTAAAAATATGTTAATTTTTTATGATGAACAAAGATTAACTATTTTACCATTGACCTATTAATGAAATATTTCTTTTTAAGGTATGTAAAAAGAATACCTATAAGATACTAACTATTGTTAAATATATGTTAATAGACGATAATATGACATTAGATATGTTATTTAAAAATTAGCATATAATTTTCAGAGATCACTTGTAACATAAAAGTTTTTGGAATGAAACCTTTGACATATCCAATCAAATCAAAATTATGTATTTCTTGCAAAGCTTTGCAGTCAATTAAAAACCCAAAATAATGTTGTTTAACGTCATTACTGGATGTTGCAACTTTTAAGTTAAGATAAAAGCAATCAATATAGTAGAAACCAGTATATATAATATTAATTAATATTAATTTATTTCATCATATAACGTTGTGATTCACTTACAATCTTAAGCAAAACAAAAATATGAATTTCTGGAATACATTTTATATTCATTCAACTCTTATACATGTATAATTATAAGACAGACATAATACTTACAGCATAGTTTAGTCCATTCAAGTCAGCATCACCATTTTTCAGCCAATCAACAAATTCCATAGCATTGTCTGTAGGGTCACCCTCTCCATACGTAGCTAAACAAAATACTGCCAAACTATTTGGAATTGTTTTCAGATGTATTAATTCCTCCTGTTATAATAAATTATAATCATTTTAAACTATCATGCATAAAACAATTAAACAAAATATTTAAAAATCTTTCACTGTTTAGCTTATTGATCAATACACAAATTTCAATTTTGTCAGTTGACCTATCTTTATACTTAAAAGTTTTTTGTTTAATCAGTTTAGAGAAGCAGCTTTAACAAAACTAACAGTTAGATTAAATAAATAAATAAATTAAATAACTTTATCAAAATAAATTTATACCATATCACATTCTTCAGGATCAGCCACCATACCCTTCATTTTGTACCGAATACCCTCTTTAGCCAGCCTGCCAGCAAATTCTTCAGCAGTTCCTGTTTGACTACCATAGAATACTACTAAACTTCTTCCAGAAGTTTTCAGCTTTTTTATGAATGAATTCTCTGATGGCTGCACCGTAGGGAACATTGTTGGCCTTTAACAAATATTTTTCCAATAGTTTCATACAAACATTATTTATAATCATAATAAGCATTTTTGTTTCAAATATGACAATTACTGAATGGAGTAGGATTTTGTAACTGGCGTATAAGTTTCTTGTTTGTTTCTGCGCATTAACCACCATAGTGCAGCCAGTAAAAGGGCACTGAGGAGAACAATATCTAAAGTACTAAAGAGTGGTTCATCAAGAACTTCAACCTTATCTTCGTTCTCCAGCACTGGAGAACCTGCCATTCTTATTGCTTGAGGTTGTGAAGCGCCTGCAGTCTGTAACAAAACAACAAATGATGCATTGATATAGCGAGACTGTTGTATATCAATACCGTCAGCGCTATTACGATTTATTTTAATTAAGAACAAAAAATGAAAAGATAAGATTGTACGATCTGTAAGCATTAGTATATAGATTCTATTAATAAAAACAATGATTTTATTAATACAAATGATAAAAGAAGTATATAATCTTCAAACGTATATCAGCTAATTTTTGTACGCGTTAATAAGACAATCGGAACGCAACAAACAATCGAGATTAATTGATAATATATTACAAGGTCAATGAGTTAAATTCAACTAGAATGACACAATTATCTTATTTGTCATTTTTTTTTACAGGAACAAAGCCCGTTCTTATCAATAATTGTAAACTGATTAGTCTTACTTAGTAATAAATTAAGTCGCGTTTGGTAGATATTATTTATATAAGTAATACTTGAACAGTGAAAAGAGTGTAATAGGAATATTGCAGAGAAAGGTGGAAATTTTTTGTAAATTAGAAAGTGAAACGATCTATTTGTAAATTGTAAATTTATTTCCGTAAGAAAATTGATTCGGTTCTTTTATAAAACTTTCTTTTTGCAATTCCAATCACAGCTTCAAGCTGCAAAATTTTTTAAATGATTTGGAACTATCATTTTCTAATTATCTAACTATTACCTAAAGCATTACTTAACTATTATGCAACAGAAAGCTACATAATCTATTAGACACCCGTTTATAAATCATTATTTAGAAACATGTTTGGCGTTCAATAAAACGCAGTAAATGATACGTGATAAGAACAATCAATGAAAGTCATCGTGTATTGGCAGAAACTGCTAACTACTGATTAGACATTCGTTCCTTGTAATGAAATAGAATTCATCGCATTTGATTTTGTCAACGTAATTCCATTAGAATAGAAAATTTAAAAATTAATATTTAATTGCGCGCGAAAATTTCCGTCAGCGATTTTATCACAAGTTGTTTCATCATTTATTTATATTTTTCAATATTAACCAATGTAGTTTATTATTTATCAATTTTACAGATAATACAAACCATATAAATTCATACCACACCGATACTTGTATAATGTATTCAAAAAAATAAGATATCGTATAATTGGCATTAAACAAAGTATAAAAATATACATTTCTAAACATCTCTTAGCTGCTTCTTAAAAACGAATAAACGAAGATTTATATATGTAATATTATTTCTGAATTATATTTTGAAAACGTTTTTATATATTTGCGTTTTTTATCGCCGTATTCAAATTTTTAATTTTCAAATTTTTGGTAGCAAATTGTTGGTAACAGTGCTTGGATAATCTAACGCTACATGGAAACACTTTAGTTTAAATTAACTTTAACGGTTTTTCATTATTTTGGAAGAAGCTTCTGTAGGTAATTTTTAAAATATATTTTATAACTGTGCAAAATTGATTTATATGTCATTGTATGTATTTCAGGATGTGCACCGGAACAAGATGAATGATAATAATCGTTTTGAGACAGCAAGAACACTTTATCATTTGAATCGTATTAAGTACTATTACATTGAAGGTTACCGGGTTGATCATAAACGTTTATTGACATTCAGACGTCATGGAAACTAGGTAGACTTTCAAATTTCCGCAATAAATATTTAATATTTTCAGGTTAAGATTATAATGTATGAACTAAAATTAGTTATTGATTTTATCTCTGTTCTATTTCTATGTCAAAGAACTATTATTGGTTATATAAACTAATAACAATTGAAAATGTTTATTGAAAATTACTTATAGTTATTTACAAATTGGTTTGGAAAGTGGTTTTCATTCTATCATTGAAAATAATTCTGACAGTATTTGAACCACGTGTTTTTAACAAAACAGTTTCTTCTCCTCTTCAGAAACCAGTTTATGATTCATCTACAAATCATGACGATTTTAATGAGTTCATTATGTGCACGAGTTCAAGTGGAACATGATATAAAAAAACAAAACTATTTACATTTTTTTAGAACATTCGATAGTTTTCTTTCTTACCGGTAATTCCATTGTTAGTTTCAGGAAATTTGTGAACTAGTGCAATTCTTTGTGTCAGGATACGATCACTACGAATTCTGGAAAATACACGTTCACAAGACAATGATCACTGGTGGCAGGTTCGTGATGTTATGCTGAAGAATCGACGCTGCACGTCCTCGTCACGTGGAGAACCGAGAAGTGGCAAGTCATTACCGAACGACCCTGTGTATCTGTGCATACGTGACATTATCGAATGGCACGTAGAAGCATACACTATACACATAATACCCACACGCACGCATAAGCAACACCGCTGTCATCTTAGTGACGTTTATTCGTTCATCTGTTCAGTTGATGGCTCGCTTACTTTCGTCACGACAGTAGGATTGTATTTAATTTTTCCAACACGGAAATTGACGCAATCTGTTTGAAATCACTTACATAATAAAGACGGTTTTGTTTCGATTACAATATATTTTTTCAAAACATTTTGTAACACAGAACTGCAATTCCAGTTATTTAGGAAAACAAAGAATTGGCAATGAATCTTTTTCCGTGTTCAGCTGTAATTGGATCATTGAACACGAGATAACAACAGGTCATGATAAGGTCTAAAGTTTTGAGAACAGATTTTAGCTCATGATTTAAAAAGATCTATAAGTTGATTATACTAGTAAAAATTATTCCTGTAATATATATTATATTTTGACGAAATTTCTTTAAAATTAATTGGATTTAAAAATTAAATTATTTTTAGACTAACATTTTGTAGAATCAGTTTGCAAATAGTCTTGAAAGATAATTTTAAAATAACATTTCTAAAAAAAATTTATATTAAACTTGAACTTCAGTCTCTGAACGACTTAAAACATTTTTGTCGAATCTTATTTCAGATACGATAAATTAATTCGACGGAGAGATAGACAACTATTTTTGAAATCAATGTAATATTAAGGACAAGGTCTATACCGGCGTTCGAAAATGAACAATCCAACGTTGCGTATTATGGAAAGCTAGAAAGCTGGATTATCGTTCTTCCGTGAAAGTATCAATGCGGAGAAAATGCAACGGTGCAAACAGGAATTACATGTACAAATTTATCTGCACGGAGAAAGCGAAAGGCAAAAAGAAAAAATGAATCACCAAGAGATTTCGTCTGAACTTTATCGTGTTGTTTCGCACAATTACACAAGCATCAAAGACAAATGAATTAACCCGTTTATTCCACTTTTCAAGATAAATACGCAAACATAGATAACAAGTGTAACAAGTATTTTTGTACAAAAACTTGATATGTAAATAACTCTTTGTGTAGTTACATAAAAAGGGTTGTACACTTCTTTTATAGAGTCATAACTAAAATTAATTTTAGTTGCATCTATTAGACTGTTATATTGTCATGAATGGAATTACAGTAGTAAAATTATTGAAATTCATAGTATGTTGAGTTAGTTAAAACGTACATGCTTTGTGGGAGCGCCACTAGCGCGTGTGAATATCTTTGGCAATAAACGAGAGTCTACTGTAGTTCTAACTGAGTCAATGAAACCACAAAGTATACGCAACGAGGAAATTCTGCAACCGTTACATTATCATTTACCAAGAAACAGTACATATAAACAATTTTTTATAGCATACTGAATATGCAATGAGGTTATTACATTTGTGTTAAATAATGGTAGATCAATTTGCATTTGTATAATGAAAGAACAGTAAAAGAAATAATGTTTTTTTAAGTTTTATTTTTATACTTCAGTCTGATGTCAAAATAAATTCGGTAATCTTTCATTATATACCAAATTTATAATCAAATATTATATAAAAATAGAATATATCAAATGGTATTGATTTCGAAATATATAAAATCCAACACAATTTCATGACGTAAAAACGCCCCAAATAGTACTAATGCAAATGAGTTGAACACTTAAAATAAAAATTTAGCACAAATAACAGGATTATCGTGACAATAATTACAATATTATCTATCTTATCGTGAAAATAACGTCTAAACTTGGTGGTTTTTCAAATAAAAATATTCATGGTTACATTTTCTTATCTGCACGTTCTTTCAAATTTGTTAATAAGTATATTATCAAGTTCTAAGTAAGACAGTTACTAATTACAACTTTGAAACATTGCAAACATTTTTATGTAAAAGGAAAATGTATACGTTATGATGCAATACACGACGCACGGTGCTTTCGACTTAAATCGTTTTTTAAAAATATACTTGTTTCACGAGCACAAGATATTTATTATATCAAATATAAAAATTGAAATCTTTAAAATTTTATTAAACTAGTTATATTTTATTAGGGCCTCGATTGGCCCTTAATGTATTATACTATAGTATTCCTATATCTATACTATGTTTTTTCCTTTGCACAAAACCTTACTTCTATATTTAGTAATTATTACAACAATTACAGTTAGATTCTAAGCCATGTATAAATACTTTTAAAAACAAAGCGATAATTTTAATTATCATATTCGTTCATGAATGATGGATAAGTGCTTAATATAACGTATAATAGAACTGATTCATAACAGATACTGATAAACAGATTTTGACGTCGCAATTTCCACAGGTGAAAATTTGTAATTATTTCTTTTTTGCGGTATAACAATTTCTAATGTCAGTATTAATTTAACAATGTTCCGAATATTAATATTAGGTATGAAAACAAAAAAGATTTCCTTTATGTAAAGTAAATTACTATTCCTCCCGTAACCGTATTATTACATTTTGCTTATGTCATATTTACGTCATTGCCATGCAAAACACTTGCAAATCATTTTAAAAAATTGATTGCCATTTGATCTTTCAGAAATCTTCCATTCAAATTTACAAATAATTATGACAATTTGTTGAATAACGATATCGTATAAAAATGCATCTAATGATTTTGATTCGATAGTAATTAGTCAGCAATTATAACGGCACTTCTAAATTATTCAAATTTTATTTATTATTCTATACTTTCATCGTATTATAATTTTTTCGGGAACGAATGGTTTCGAGCGTCAAACCGAGATTTTCAATCGTGATCTTTGATCTTGTATGTATTATTCCAATTTGGTTTTACAATATTACGTTAGTACACATGTGCATTGGTAGTACGCATTGTTGTAAATTTTCACAGAAATCCTATTGCTGTTTGATCAAATAATCGACTATATTTTTATTTTATATAAAAATTTGCAAAAATATCGAGGTTATTGCCTTTTCATAAATACTTTTTCTTTAGAGAATCATGTACAGTACATTAATGGTAACATATATTCATGATTAAATAATTTATATGTACATGAAGATAAGATTATATTTATCTATTCATTTTGAGAATTAGTTTGTGAAGATCAAATAAAATATCACTTCTCAAACTAAATTTTAAATGTTACACAATATTGATCAAATTATGAACTTCAATGTGATAAATAAATATTTAAATTTTTAATATATAAACATACATTTAAGAGTGTAATTATATAAAATAAATATGCATGTTTAAACAAATCGTTAAATTTATATGGTGATGAATATTTCTACATTATTGTCCACTATAATACAGTTATCATACGCAAAATTATTATACCAAATATAGGAAATCAAATCCTAAAATATTTGCCCCATATGAAATTACAACAATTTTAACAAAAATGCACCAAATAATTGTTTAGATAAAAAATACATATTTAATTAAATGAATCATTCAAGAACAATAGTGACTCACAGCAATAAATTAGTTAAATAAACTTATCAAAAATATTACACGTTCATATATATCTGTATGTAATAATTATGATATATCATGGAAGGAATTGATAAGATTAATCTATGCATTATGTACATAACATGTCAACTATATGAAAAAAGTGTGTATAAATGTGTATAAGAACAATTATCACGTGGTCGCTAATTTAACATTCAATAAATTTGAAACAGTATTAGAAAACTGTCATTCTTGTTACTATACATTATTTCTTCATTACAGATTTATCTTAATCGATAATCTTCTATGTACGCACTAGCTGTTCTATGTAAAGTATTCCTAGCACTACCACTATACATACTATTAACACCTGTTGGAATGTATTGGTACACTTACCTAAGGAATCGTCTTCGGATGAATCAAATTTTGATTACGAATTAATCTATTCTTTTTCTAGAAGAAAATCCAAGGCAAGCAATAACCACGTGACAACACTAGTTCTTATTTCAATTTTTGTCTCGGTACGTTGAACTCACTTGAAAAAAACGTTGGTATCACTATAGTGAAAATCGACGTACCTAATAGAGTATGCGTATTAGACACGTCGACATCGAACACAAGAAATGATTTCTTCTAATCCGATCGTGTAGCCGACTACCTCCCGAACTGTCAGCAGAACGTATCTTTTCCGGTTGCGTGAAGTATCTGAGCTAATCTGAGTTCAAAAGAGGATAGAATAACGCGAAGAACGAAGAAGAATCATCGGATGAGTCCACTCACCCATACCCAGCCGGAAGATTATTTTGTGCGCGGTCTATTTAAATTATACTACTATAATAAAACGTTACTGAAATAGAAACTAAAATTCAAGTTCATGTTTTTGATTTTACACTTACACTTCGGCTATCGTTGCGCATAACCATTAATGTTATTTTATATATTCGTGCAATTAATGCATTTGTTTCTTCTCTTCCTCTGAATTTTTTCCTTTTGAGGATTTAATTCTAAAAGAAATACATTTAATAATTACATAGTATACATGACCATAAAATATAATCATAAATTTATTATTGTTAGAAATATTAGAATAATATTATAGAAACATTTTATATTAATAAAACAGTGTTTGATAATATGACATACTTATCAGGTCTGAGCCAATGCTAATTGATTCTGGTTTCATATTTTGCAATTCATGAAGAACCATACTGTGAAAAGATAGTACTGCAACTCTTGTAAATAATTCTGAAACCCCGTCACCTGTTCTTGCAGAAACGACCCAAAACTCGGCTTTCATTTTTCGCGCTATTTCTGCCGCTCGTTTTTCAATTACCTCGTATACCTGATTCGACTGAAAAATTATATTTTTATTCAATATTGTCCAATTGTGTGAACAAAATAATTTACCAGTAAGTCACGTTTGGTGCCTATTAAAAACACATGATATGGTTCCCTGTTACATTGAGCAGCTTCACTGAACCATTGTTGACAATGTCCTAAAGATAGCAAGTTGGCCAGATCAAACACAACCATGATCACTAAAAAATATGTATTGATTATTTCTATAAACCACTTTTACATTTTATGCTTATAAACATAAAATTTGTTATACCGTTTGCCCCTCTATAATAAGCTGCAGCTATAGACTTAAATCTTTCTTGGCCAGCTGTGTCCCATCTATATAAAAAATAAACAATTATTTTTTTATTTAAAAAACTGAAATAATAAAATATATTTTAACTTACATTTGTAAGTGAAATGGTATGCCCAGAATATCAAACCTTTCTACCTCAAAATCCACACCAATTGTTGCTTTGTAGTTATTGTCAAATACTTTGTGACAAAATCTGCAATATAAAAATCATTAATTAAAAAAAATATGAAATAATTTTTCATGCTGTTATTTATAATTTTATTTTTATTACCGATTTATTAGGCATGATTTTCCAACTGAAACATCTCCTATTACTATTGCCTTAGAAATTTTCAAAGTTATACACTTTCTCATGCACGATTGTCTAACAATTGTATCGAAATTTCTTTCGTTGTATAATGTAATATCCGAAGAAAATGGTGGTGGCCAGTTATCAATCTATATAATATAAATTAATAAAAATAAATAGTATAATATTCTGCAACTATGAAGTAATCAAATGGTAGAACCATAATGTGTAAAATAATTTCATATTAATTTATATGTCATACCTGTCGCTCTTTGCGCGCCACTTCTAACATTTTATAAACAGCTGAACGTGTTTCCAACATAATTTATACTTTACACTGTGCAGTTATATTTAACATTACTTTTACTTAATCGTACGATATTAAATACGTATTTTGTAGTTTAGGAAAGTACTTATACTACCCCTAACACTGGTAGCAAGTAATTTTAAACTAAGTAAAAACATTGGTTGCTACGGCAGGTGTACAACCATTGACTTATAAGAATAACGCGTAGCTGTTATTTATATTCTATACCAAATTGTCAAAAAATAATTTGTAATGTGTGTAAACGTCTAATTTTTATCACATAAAATTAATATAATACTCTAATATATTATTTATGTTTATATTATTTTAATGTATATATTAATTGCAAAATTTAAGATTAGTTGGTACATTAAATTAATTAAGTATTTCAAAATTATAAGTAAATTATAAACCCAAATAGTTATTCGAATTTGTCATTTTTTAATGTTGAATTTATACATCAACGATTAACGTAGTTGAATGAATCTTTACATGGTTGGTTCCGGTTGTAGTTTTCGTTCTTTTTAGCAAAATGGCTCCGAAACCGAAGCCCACGGATAAAGCAGGTATATTTGCACATTATTGATGAAACTTTGTTTTTGTTTGAAAATATCTAAAAATGTTGTCTATATCTATCACAATGTATTGGAAAAAATATATTCAAGAATAATGTACCGCTTCATTTGAAAAAACACGTGTTAAATGTTGACCATGTGGTGTGTCGTTTATGTTGTATCTATGTTTAAAACAAATATTAACATTCACGTAGTTATGCTACCAATTTACATTTTTAAGATATTCGATAAATATACTTAAGTAATAAACATGAAAGGTGTTATTTGATAGAAGCATTTTTGTTTATGAGTTGTATGTTGTTTTCTAACCTAAATAGCACAGTGTTGAAATTGTCATGTTACGAAATTTTATGTTTTTCTTTTTGTATAATTGTAGCAAGCAAATCGTCTGAGAAGAAGACGACAGAGAAAAAGGCGGAGAAGAAACCAGCAACAGCTGCTTCGACGTCAAAAGTAACAAAACCAGCTGCAAAACCAGCTAGTGCCGCAAAGAAAGCAGCGCCTGCTAAAGCAGCAAGCGCCACAAAGCCTGCAGCAAAACCAGCAGCAAAGTCTGCACCTAAAGTTGCAGCAAAACCAGTGGCCACTAAACCTAAGAAACCTACTCAACCTGCAAAGAAAACACCCAAAGGTGGAAAAGCGGCTGCGCCACTTCAGAAAGCACTTAAAGCTCAGAAAAAGGTAAGTTCATATGGCAGTGAAAATTTTCATGTTTCTTTGATATATTTTATTACTTAAAAGCATTAATCTTTGTAATTTTTCTCTAGATATTGAAAGGTGTCCATGGATCAAGAGTAAGGAAAATAAGGACATCTGTCCATTTCTATCGCCCAAAAACTTTCAGGCCACCAAGGAATCCAAAATATCCACGAAAATGTGTCCCAAACAGAAATCGGTAGGTTTTAGATATTCATGGTTTTGTTTATATTTTAACTTCATTAGAATTGAATGTATATTGGTCATGTAACATTGTTTATCTTATTTTTTAGTATGGATGCATTCAACATCATTAAATTTCCATTGACTACTGAAGCTGCTATGAAAAAGATTGAGGACAACAACACATTAGTTTTTATTGTACATACTCGTGCTAATAAATACCACATTAAGTCTTCGATTAAGAAGCTATATGATGTTGATGTGGCTAAAGTTAACACTCTAATTGGACCCGATGGTAAAAAGAAGGCATATGTGCGATTAACTCGTGATTATGATGCTCTTGATGTTGCTAATAAGATTGGTATAATATAAACAACTGGTACAAAGAATATCTGTACTAATAAAAAATATTGATACAAAAAATTATTCTATTTTTTTATTCATTTTTACATCACTTACATGTATTACAATGTTATAAATTCTACATCTTGAACGTCGCGTCACAAAAGATAATAAAAATAATAAAAATTTTTTAACTTTATATTTAGTGCACAAATGACGTTTTTCAATTTAATAATTTTAATCTTAATTACAGCACAAAAAGTACTAAAAACCTGAATCATACTGTTCATATTTTATTTACAAACTTTTAAACTATATACAATTATAACCCTAATCTACCTGGGGTTTTACGATAGGGAGCAGGTGTTCCTGGTTCTCTGATACCCGGCGTCAGTATTTCTTGTCTGTAAATCAAATAAATGTCATCAATAAATCGGCTAAAAAAATCACTAATATGAACTTACTTTCTGATAGAAGCTTGTTCCCGTTCAAGTTGTTCTTGTGCTCTTGCTTTCATTTCTTCTTCAGCTTCTTTCATTTGTCCTTCCATCTCGTGTAAATGTTGCATTGCTTGACGTCTTTTTGCACGTCCACTTCTTCCCGTTTCTTTCACGCTGAAGAACATTGGACCCAATTCGGCCAGCCAGTGTCCATCAACGGCAGTGACACATTGCATATATTCTTTGGCGGTCATTACGAGCTCATGATACACTACGTAGTCTGGTGTGAATCCCATACCAAACAATGCTGAAGTTGGATGAAGATGACACGGCATTCCGGTACGGCAATTCACATATTCACCAATTCCTTTTAAACGAGCTGCCTGATGGAAATATGCGGAGCAAATACATTTCCGTACAATATCCCAATCCGTGCCACAGCTAACAACTTCCATTTTTTGCTGTTTTAAAATTTCCTCCAACTGCTGTCGAACCTCTCTTACTTTGCGCATAGCCTTTGCATGTATGAAGTGATCATTGCACCATGAACTAGAATAACCATTCGCTTTCCATTGACTATATACATTTAAATATGTTAAATGATCAGATTCCGGTACTTGAAATTTCTCTCTTGCCGAATCGGAATCTTCTTCGCGACCTTTCGGCCGATAAAATATTGAAGGCACTGATAACATAGAAACTGGAATAATACGTTGATTTATTAATATTGTTTAAAACTGAAATTATAATGTAACGACATTAGATATTTCATAAGCATACCTATGATGAGTATGTCTGCTGTGCAACCGAGTTGAGAAGCAACTATAAGCATTTGACACTGAGGTGGGTCCAAAGGAAATTCTGCCATTTGACGTCCCAAAGGCGTTAAACGTCCTGTGTGATCTAATGCGCCCAAGATCCATAGTTGATATAAAGAATTCAGTATGTTATCTTGAGGTGGAGGATCCATGAAATGGAAGGCTAACAAATCTTGAACACCCAACGATTTTAGTAATAATACAGTATTCGCTAAATTGGTACGCTGTATTTCTGGAACACCAGTTAATAGTAATTCATCAAGATATTGTCTTCGTGTGTATAATCTGTAACAAGTGCCAGGACCAGTACGTCCTGCTCTGCCCGCTCTTTGGTCAGCGTTGGCTCTGGATACTGGATACACTTGTAAGGCATCCATACCAATTCGTGGATTATAAACCTTCAGTTTACAATATCCTGAATCTACAACGAACACAATTCCATCTACAGTCAATGAAGTTTCGGCTATGTTCGTTGCTACTACGCATTTTCGTAAGCCCCCTTCTGAACGTTGAAAAATTTTAGCCTGTAAATCTGAAGGCAACTGCGAGTAAATGGGTAAAATTGAAAGCGGAGGTGCTGATTCAATTTCCGCTAAACGTTCCTTGAGAGCCTCACATGTGACTTCAATATCTTCTTGACCAGGCATGAAAACTAACACATCACCGGAACGTGGTTGCAAATGAATTTGTAGAACTTGCTTCACTGCAGCGTCCACGTAATCTTCTACTGGATTCTTTGCATGTAACACTTCAACTGGAAAAGTACGACCAGGAATCTGAAAGGTTGCAGCGTTTCCAAAAAACGTTGAAAATTTACTGGAATCCATTGTAGCTGATGTTACAATCAACTTCAAGTCATGTCTTCGTGCCACAACCTATATTGTTTAAAAGTTAATTAGTATTAGTTTATTTGTATATTATTATTAAAGCTAAATAATTATAATTATTCTTTACCTCTCTAAGTAAACCAAATAAAACATCAGTAGACAAAGATCTTTCATGAGCTTCATCCATAATAATGACACTGTACCGATCTAAATCGCCCTCTCTTAAGCTTTCTCTTAGCAAAATACCGTCAGTCATATATTTAATAACAGTCTACAAGAAGTTGAAAAATGAGTTGCTGAAATTCATTAAAATTATGTGCATTAAGTTTAAAAATATAATACATACATCTTTTGAAGTACAATCTTCAAAACGAATAGCATATCCTACTTTGTCTCCTAAAGTAGTAGCCATCTCATCTGAAACTCGTTTAGCTACAGACATAGCTGCAACTCGCCGAGGTTGCGTACAGCCGATTATTCCATAACGACTATAACCATCTTCATGAAGATATTGTGTTAATTGTGTAGTTTTTCCACTACCAGTTTCACCAACTATAACTACAACGCTATTTTCTCTTATAACGTTTAATAATTCTTGACGCACGGCAAATACCGGAAGACTCCTTCGTTGGTGTTGAATTGATCTGTATTTAGCTTCTCCAGTAACTTCATCACCTTTTATATGACGAGCGTACTTCTGACCCGCTTTGAAGTCAGTTTCTTGTCCTGGATCTTCTCTGTCATCTTTATGTCTATCACGCACACCCATAATATTACCAATATGAGTACCAGCTAATTCCCAATGTTTCTTCTGTGCTCTTTTTCGTTCCTTTTGTTCGCGATATGCGCGCACCAAAGCTGATCCTTTTCTTGCTACAAGAGCCATGTCAGAAGTAGGATCACGCACAGGTACAACAGGTTCTGGTTGTTTGGTGAATACAATTCGACCTAATCATTTAAAATTATTATTATATTATAATATCATAAAATTTGTTATTACTGTAAATACACACTGTATAGATTTAAAAAATATTTTACCATCCAGAAATGGAGGAACTACATTATGAACCAAAAGATGCACTCTAGTCTCTCCTTCATCATCAGGATCATCATCATGATCTAAAGAACTTACAACACCGGATGTTAACATTCTATTACGTTCCCATAATTCATTGTCCTTATTTATTTGTCGTTGCTGTGCAGATAGACGTTTCTGTCTTTTTGCTTCAAGTTCCATTTCCTTTTTGCGTGTGTATTCTTCAGATACATCAGCAAATGCATGATTTTCCCCATCATCCAAGGCATACCATTCTCTATCCAATCTGAAAACAAGTATCTACTTTATAAACATCAAAATAGTGAAATTGCACTATAATATACATACCTTTGTTGCTCTTCTTCCCATAATTCTTTCTCTTCTCCATCTATGATTGGGGTAGCACCACTAGCTTTCCGATCTTTATTCCAAGAATTATATTTATAGGAAGGTGTGAATTCGCTTCTGATACTTTCTCTACCATCTTTGCTGGTATACAGATTTGGTGTTGGATGGTCCCAACTTGATTTTCTTGGTTCTTCATCTTCATCATCGTCCCAATTACTTTTAGATGTTGGATCCTAAAAGTTAAATAAAATAACATTTATATTATAATCTCCTAACACTATATGCTACTTATACAAAATCTCTGAACTTACTTTTGTTTTAAATAATGGAGTTTGTGGTTCATCTTTGAATCTTAAGGGTGTTTGCCTGATGCTATCCCTGCTTCTACTTCTTTCTCTGTCTCTATCTCTTTCCCTATTTCTATCTCTATCTCTATCCTTATAACTGTGCCTGTGTTGTTTGTCTTGGGCACTTAGTCTCTGATGTTTCAATCGTGATTCCAATCTTTTCTGTGCCTCATAATTTACTCCACCAGTATGCGTTGGAGTTTCTTCTGCATAAGAACGATATTTTCTTTCTCTACTCTCTGACTTTGGCGAATTTGATTCTGATTTTGATTTAGTTTCCTGCGAATTTTCTTGCCTTTTCCGCTTTGCAAGTTTATCAAGACCTAAAACGGACACTTGGGGCTTTTTAAACGTATGATCAGAGGGTTTTTTTCGAATAATTAACCCTCCTGTTTGATTTTTGTCCGTTCCTTCTAACCTATACAAAGGTGATTCATTTGACGTATCCATTTCTCACAATGAACAATATTTGTTAATAAAAATGTGGCGCCTCAGTCCAATATCTCATTACTGAGTGGAAACGACAAAAGTCGAGTTCATGTTGCCAACATAACAAATCCAAATTGCATTGTGTATCAGCATTGTGTTGTATTAATTGGTGTAGACAAGGTTATAATAATTAAAATAACATACAAAAATTATTTTTGTATGTTATTTTGATATTGTAAAATTAATATTGCTCTCCGACCCATTTTAATAATATAACCTTTACATGTCAAAATATGGTAGTTGACTTTGTGCAGTTGGTAATGTTCAACCCTGCCGCAACTCCAACGTAACTTTGATCTGATGGAAACAGGCAAGGCAACCGAACTCTAACCCGACTGCTAACTCGACTCTAACCCGACTCTAACCCGATTTGAACCCGATTTGAACCCTCGGTGGAAACTTAGTCATTTATATTATGAATATTGTATTATGAAAACACAATTTAAGAAAATTGTATAGAAAATTTAGTTCCTGACTGGCAATCTTTATTTTAATATTTGAGAAATATTATATTACATGCTTTTTATTTAATTTTTGGTTCAACTATTTGTTATACAAAAGTAAATATAAAAAAAATATAACATAAAAAATATATAATTTGCTTACTAATGTATGAAGTATTTTAATCGTAATAGGAAAAACACTTTTGCGTTGTAAGTTTGCAAGTAACGATAAAATGTGCAGTTTTTTATCAATAGACGGATATCACGAATCGTGCTTCGTAACGCGTTTGCGCAAATACACGTAAACGTGTACTTCGTAACGTTCAGAAGACCGTTAAAGTTGTACACCTGCCAGTGCTGTCTCCTTTTCTTCAGAAGCCTTATAATCAATATGGCACAGACGGTGATCCTTTGATAATGCAAATAATAATCGAGGAATATGGCTGCTGATACTTCAGTTTTGTAGGGCTCGTTTTATATTGACACTGCAACTATGTAACTCTACTCCTGTAAAATGATATAAAATATATCTTCAATACACACAATTCTTGATTTTTTAATAGCAAAATTTTGTTTAAAAAATATTTGATATTCTAAATATTGTTTTACTTATTATTGTTTAATAAACTATTTAAAAAAAGATATTTAAAAGCTTAGTAATAATATACACATGTAATCGCGCATACAAAACCAATTATTTACAAACTGCGTTTGATATATGTTCCTAACATCTATTATACGAATAGCATCATTCTACGTGTATTCACGGAAATCGATTTCATAACTAGTTATCTATATTCAACAAAAGTGATTATTTTTCCATGTAAGAGAAAAACAGAATGTCGTTAATTTAACATAAAAATGACAGTGTTATTAAATTCTAAGTATACAGTAATGCAATTATAAAATAACTATAAATTAATTTAAAAAGTTTAAATAAAAATTTCAATGAACAAACTCAAATCGTTAAAAAGAAGTATATACTTTTATTTCTTTGCAAAAGAAAACATATTTGTCCTTGCTGAATTCTTTGTAAATATTTTATAGCAGCCAAGACGAGTTGGATTAGTAACTTGGGCATGTTAGTTCAAGCAAATTCAGATCGATCACAGCTTGAATAATACAGACAAGTATAAATGATCAGAGTTGGATATTATTCAAATATCTTCAACTACAAATTTCAAATAAAGCGAAGATATTCGAAAATGATGAATATATTAATGATATATTATTCTAAAAGTAATTAATAATTTTTCATTTAAATACTTATTCTTATTATTGTTTCGTATTTATTCTTTATGTTTACTAAAAAAATCTTCGAATGTATTTCTATTTAAGTACAAAAAGCAGCTGCTCTCAAATATCTTCCTTTGATTCGAAATTTTTATTTGGAGGTTATTCGAATGAGACCCAATTCGCTCCACGTGCATGAGTAATCTGTGTACGATATAAATTCATTTTAAAAACTGATACAGTACGAGGAAAAGTGACGCGACAAATATGCATACACGTGTAATAGGGTATTGAACGGATGTGGCATGATTGTACGAGACTGTACTGGAAGTTTCTACACAGCTCGCGAACTCTACTGCAACGCTTGCCGTCATCGATTACATGCACTACGCTTTGCCGCATAGGCAACGCCCTCATAGAATAAATATTTTTTCTTAAATTCAACGAGTCTAGACGTTTCTGGCAAATAAAACGACTAAACATAAACTGCTTTTATCTTGATACGTGTTTTATCAAACGGCTATTTAAAATCAGATAATACATGTTCGTACCTTCCTTTCAATACTACGTATCATAAACAAATTAAATAAACGCGTTATTTCATTATAGTTTTACATTTCTTATAGTTATTTTATATGTTATATACCATATGATACACGTGCCCATGGCAAATTCATGATATTGCACAGATAATACATGTACATACATATTTCACAACATACAAGATAAGCATATAAAATATAAAACTAGACTGAGATAATTTAACTATTTGAAGACTTGAAATCTAAATATTCGAGAATTCGAAGATTTGGAATCCGAAGATTTGAGTATCCGAAAATTTTTTAATCAAATCTTTCTGTATTCAAAGATTTTTAATTTAAAAAATTGAACAATGGAAGATACGGAATTTAAATATTGAGTGTCCATAAATTTGAAATGTTACTATTTGAGTATATTAATGCAGTACCTTCTATTACTTCATTAATTAATTTGTAAATTTATATACATTTTTTATGCGGTACTATTAGATTCATGGTATTTTATATGCAAAAAGACAACAACCATGCGAGTTACGGGTTAATTCGCGATATTTTCAAGTTATTTGATGAACGAACAGTTTATATACACGTTTTGTGCGTCACAATTGCTGAACGATATACATATACATACATGTGTACGTGTACACACACACCATGCCCAACACCATGCGAATTTCAAGGAACGTATATAAATGAAAATCTTGAAGTTTTTATTTTGATACCTACTTTATAATACCACTCTGATGTCTGCAATAAAATACTTTGTTTCAGTTTGGCAATGAAGAAATACTGCAATAGCGAATAAAGATTGAATACATAGTCATATGTATTCTGTATACATACGTACATATCTAAATCTAACCTTTGTATCATGCGATGTTAGTTACCGTATAATAATGAAGTTCAAGTTCATAGCTGTTAGCTTACACTGTTTTAGAATGAAACTGAAAATTAAATCAAATTCAACTAATTTCGTTCAAAGTTTTCATTAACTTTTTTTTTATAGAAGATGAATATACTATACTGATATATGAAACTAAAGAAATTATAAAAATACTTGTTTTGTAAAATCCTACAGTTTTACAGTTGCATTAGCAATTATTCTATCGTATTAGTAACGATATAGCATTATCATTGTATGTAATTGTTCCTCCAGTATGATTATTTCATACACGTTTGATACCGAATCAATGTATTGTTCTTGACATCATTATTTTTGTCGAAATAATTACCTTCCCCATGTTAAAAGCTACAAACTGGAAAAATGGACTTTTAATCCATAAAAGTTAAAAGAATTATGAGACCTTGAAAAATATATGACCTATAACCATGCATGGCTGTAAACTACACGTTTCCTTGTATGAGTGGTCGCTCACCTTCTAGAATTAGCTACTAGATATTTCTCAAACTTTCGTCGCACCCTACTTCCGTATTATGGGCCATTCCAGCAGGAAATCATTTTTTAAGATGACTTTGATCAAGCATTCGTTATTTCGGCTATATTCCTAAAAATGCGAAGCAATTTTTACTGGGTCAAAAGAGTAAAATTTAAAAATGTTTCCTATATAATGGCCAGAATTGCAGCGATCGATAACCGTTGCAAAATTTCGTCGTTGACGCACGTAGTTGGTGTCACGTGACCAATGAGCGTGAGGATTGTCCGAAGCTGCAATCTGATTGGCTGATATAAAGTGCCTGAGCGGGAAGAACATTCCAGAAGCGTCCTCTAGGAATGTAATATATACGGGGCCGGGAGTGCGGGCTCTTCACTAACGTTGCGAATCGTCAAACGAAGAACTTCTTCACTATCCTTGAAAGCGAATTTTTACGAGCGAACAAAGAAAGGTGTGTGATCCATTATTTACGTCAGCTCCAGTCATATTCGCTGCATCATCAATCGTGATACATCCGAGCTGAGTTATTATTCTAGAAAATTTATAACCGTTTGTATTTTTACAGAAAAGCAAAGATGGCCAAAGCACCCGCAGTTGGTATTGATCTCGGCACCACCTATTCCTGCGTTGGAGTATTCCAGCATGGAAAAGTGGAAATCATCGCCAATGATCAAGGAAACCGTACTACACCTAGCTACGTTGCATTTACAGACACCGAACGGTTAATCGGCGATGCTGCCAAGAACCAAGTCGCCATGAACCCCAACAACACCATTTTCGGTAAATATCTTTATTCCAAATAATTCTAGAATTTTTTTTGTGTTAGAGTACTCTTTTATTTCTGACAAATCAGATTGCGTTGAATCATTAATCTAAAGATTTTTATATAATTGTATACATTTGTTATTGCTTAAAGTACCCAACAATTAAATTCTTTTTATAGTAAAAATTAGTTCCAATGTTAAGATGAACAACTATAAGTACAGAAGTTTTTAAGTTATAACGAAATGTAATGAAAATTGTAATTAAAATTTGTAAATATTCCGAAATTTTATAAAGACACGTGGAACATTTTTAAACGTGATAGACTGCAGGAAGGTCAATACAATTACCGCGCTATATATATATATAGAGGCGAGCACGCGCGCTGTTAGGTTAAGGTCATATCCACTAGAGAACGCCTTTTTATTACTTTATCCGGTTGCTATCCCGCGATATGAAACTGGAAATTAGGTTATAATTTTTATGCAACTATTATCATTTTTGATTATATTAAAATTATATAGTATTACAACTCTATTTTAAGTATGTTGGATACTGGTTCTTACTATAATTGTATATATGGATCATTTTTTTTTGCAATCAGAAATTAAAAATTATTTTAATGCTATAAAAGCAAATACAAGTTAAAACAATTTTTTTTGACTGTTGATTATAATTTTAATTGTTCAATTTTTCAGATGCCAAGCGCCTTATTGGACGTCGGTTCGAAGACCCTACAGTTCAGGCTGATATGAAACATTGGCCATTCACCGTTATAAACGATGGTGGAAAACCCAAGATCCAAGTACACTACAAAGGAGAGACGAAGACTTTCTTCCCTGAAGAAGTGAGTTCAATGGTCCTGGTGAAGATGAAGGAAACTGCTGAGGCATACCTCGGGAAGACCGTCACTAATGCTGTGATCACTGTACCTGCTTACTTCAACGACTCGCAGCGTCAGGCAACCAAGGACGCTGGTACCATCTCGGGCTTGAACGTTTTACGTATCATCAATGAGCCCACCGCTGCTGCCATTGCTTATGGTTTAGATAAGAAAACCACCAATGAGCGCAACGTCCTAATCTTTGATCTTGGTGGTGGCACCTTCGATGTGTCTATTTTGACTATTGAAGATGGCATTTTCGAGGTCAAGTCTACAGCAGGAGACACTCATCTTGGCGGCGAAGACTTCGATAACCGAATGGTCAATCATTTCGTCCTGGAATTCAAACGTAAATACAAGAAGGACCTCGTCTCGAATAAGCGTGCCCTTCGTCGTCTAAGAACGGCTTGTGAGCGTGCGAAACGCACGTTATCTTCGTCCACTCAAGCTAGCATCGAAATCGATTCGCTCTATGAGGGAATTGATTTCTACACTTCGATCACCAGGGCTCGTTTCGAAGAGCTCTGCGCTGATCTATTCAGAGGAACACTAGAGCCAGTGGAGAAATCGCTGCGCGATGCTAAAATGGATAAAGCTCAAATTCACGATATCGTTTTGGTTGGTGGATCAACACGTATTCCTAAGATTCAGAAACTCTTACAAGATTTCTTCAACGGAAAGGAACTGAACAAATCCATTAACCCTGACGAGGCTGTGGCTTATGGAGCTGCCGTACAAGCTGCAATTCTGCACGGTGATAAGTCTGAAGAAGTACAAGACCTGTTGCTTCTCGATGTTACACCTTTGTCTCTTGGTATCGAAACTGCTGGTGGTGTGATGACCGCTCTCATCAAGAGAAATACAACCATTCCAACAAAGCAAACGCAAACCTTCACCACGTACGCTGATAACCAACCAGGTGTATTGATCCAAGTCTACGAAGGAGAGCGTGCAATGACGAAAGACAACAATCTGTTAGGTAAATTTGAGCTCAGTGGTATTCCACCAGCTCCCCGAGGAGTTCCTCAAATCGAAGTCACCTTTGACATCGACGCCAACGGTATCCTGAACGTCTCGGCAGTGGACAAATCTACTGGTAAAGAAAATAAAATCACCATCACCAATGACAAGGGCCGTCTCAGTAAAGAAGATATCGAAAGGATGGTCAACGAAGCTGAGAAATATCGTAGTGAAGATGAAAAGCAAAAGGAAACTATCGCTGCTAAGAATAGTCTCGAGTCTTACTGCTTCAACATGAAGAGTACAGTGGAAGATGAAAAGCTGAAGGATAAGATCAGCGCCAGTGACAAGCAGGTTGTACTTGACAAATGCAACGACATCATCAAGTGGTTGGATGCCAATCAGCTGGCTGATAAGGAAGAATATGAACACAAGCAGAAAGAGTTGGAGTCTATCTGCAACCCTATTGTCACGAAATTGTATCAAGGAACTGGCGGTATGCCCGGTGGAATGCCTAGTGGCTTCCCAGGTGCAGGTGGTGCTGCTCCAGGTGGCGGTGCTCCTGGTGGCGGCTCATCAGGACCTACCATTGAAGAAGTCGACTAAAGCGTTTATACTCGCGTGCCTGCCCTTCTCCATGATCTCTGTCTCGTGGCAAGGATCGAGGATTGAACATAGAATTATTACAGCTACGGTCGTTCGTTCCTCAGTATAATTTAACTTATGTTTTTTAGATTTCCTTTTTTATGTTAATATGAAACTTATCGGTTTATTTATTTTATTTCCTTGTAAAAACTAGGAAAATAATCTGTATTGTTAAATTATTTTCTACTCAACGAGATATGTGAGAAATATAACTTTTAATTGTACTTATGTGATTCAGTTAAGGTACAAGATCCGCTGTTGATTTTCTATGTTCGAGAACTTCGAAAAAATAGAACAAACCCTTGGAGCATAAAACTGTGTAATTTATTTCTCTCCTTTAATTACAAATTGAATATTTCTTTGGATAAATTAAAATAACTTTAGAAGAAATTCTATTAACTTTAACGTTCTATTATTATCTTTAAGTTTAAATTTACACCTCGCCAAGTTTTGCACTAAAAGTTTAAAATTATTTAAATTTCATTTTAAATACATTTAGTTTGATTAAAAAATATCGTCAGTCTATAGTATAATTACCATTGCTATCTATACGTTTTAATATTATGTATACGAAGTTACTATTCAATAAAAGATCTAAAAGGGAAAAATTATTCGCAGGACGTTTTATACAATGGTTTTATACAACGTAATATTTTCGCATTAGGTAGTGTACATGAAAATAATAGATTTTTCATGAAATTAAATTTTATTTGCAAGCACAACATGCCCGAATGCTACAGAAAATAATTATCGAGTAATTCGTAATACAATGATAAAAATTCGATAGCTTCATAAGATACCATTATATATTACGATTTGTACTAGGACTTGACAAATTTTCTAACATATATCTGAAATAAAGTAAAATGTAATATGTGATAAACAACTGAATTGCGCGAAACTCGGAAATAAGAACATAAAGTGCAAGCCTTATTAGGAAAAAAAAATTAAGACGTATGCGACATAGTATTTGCAAATAATACGGTTGTTTTTCCTTTCTTCTTCTTCTTCTTCCCACCTCCTCCATTCTTTGCTTCTAAAAGAAACAGAATAGGATACTAAGTATATGTTTTGTTAACGTAAGATTTTCAAACTTAGTAGTGTAATTTGCCTTACCCAGTTTTGTTTGTTCCAAAGCAGCTGCTAAAGCATCACCAAAACTTCGACTGTACGACGGTGCCGAAATGTAATCTTCGTCCTCGATGTCTCTTGAGCACGACTGAACAACCGTATTTGAATTTGATTTCCCGCGTGAAGAGTTAACTGATGGCCATACAGTATGCGACTTTGTACGTGTTCCGGTATTTCGTAACATCTCTGCAAACGATGGTCCCTGTTCGTGACTGGTATTATTAGTTTGTTTGGATGAAACAATTTCGTCGAACGTGCTTGAAGATGGACTACTAGCAACGCTCGAAACTGTTGTAGATTCTGGTGGCGTTGGAACACCTTCCCTGCAAACAAAAATGTTTTTAATACTTAATATTTAAGTGGTCTTGAATAGACTACATTATGTATTGCACTATTTGAAATACTATTAATACATTGTTTAATATACTGCAAAGAGGATGCACATACTCTGAGAACAATAATTCCGGTTGCCACTGAGGAAAATGTCGCTGAGAATCAATGCGCACGATGGGTGTTGGGTATTTTCCCATCCGTTTATTTTCTTCTTCGGTGATTTTTCTTTCCCTCTTTCTTTCCTCGCGTTCTCGTTGTTGTCTGCGTTTATGTCTTAATGCTAATTGATCTATAAAATTTATTTATATATAATGAATAATATTTCAATACACAAACTGAGATAACTATTTGTTTCTTCACAAAAGTGATTACCTTGAAATGAAGCTAGAACTTGTTCTGACACAACCGGTGGTTTCAATTCAATTTCAGCTACTTCAAACTGGCAAGTTATTGGCAGATGACATAAATATCTCAGTCTGCGTCTTAGATCTTCCGTTAGACTTCCCGCTTCTTTTTCTAAAAGTTTGCCCGTTATTACGTGAGGAGAATTCTCCAGACTTCCGTATTGCATTTCTAGCATCTTTACGTTCATCGCGTGTAAGTATAAGTGTTGCCCATCCTCCGCTAAAATCGAATATTTTTAATAAATATAATGAAATTTGAAAGTAAATCTGGTATTATTAATTACATACCTTGATAGAAATAAAAGAACTTTTGTATCCCGGACGTAGATTGAACACTGTTCAGACTCTCTGCAATTTTTGGTGTTTCTTCAACTGCAGTTGTCACATCTTTTGTTGTCGAATTATTCGTTTCATCAGAACTGGGTGATTTCAATTGACACATCTGTGGTTTTTCAATATCATTGCCCTCTGTTTGCTCAGTTATACTTATATCCGTGGAAACAACCTCCGGTTCCAGTTTCACCTATAAAGAGCGTTTTTGTCTAAAAAAAATTCAATCTACAAAACAGATCATACCTGTAACATTTCGAGATAAAAATTAAAATATTATGCTTTAATTAGCGTTACCCTTTGCAGTAATTCTTCTTCTCTTTTTGAGAGTTCTTCAAGGGCTTGTTCGATATAACAATTCTCCGGCGAATCAGGATAATTAAGCAGCTCGATTTTCAATTGAGCGCGTTCACATTCGATGATGTTCATAACCTAAACAATTATAATTATAAAGTAACTATCGATGATTTGGAATCGTTGAACTTTAGTATATTAAAATTTCGAACACCTACATCTTCACTGTTTGCAATAAGTAGTTTGGAGTACACCTGACTGCTAATAGCTTCTGAAAGTGGGAAAAAATTTGTTGGACTTTGAGTTACTGATCCAACGGGCACTGCGAGCAATGAACCTTTTTCGCGGCGCATCAATCGTAAAGTAACAGTATCGCCTAAATTTAATGTACTTTGAGCGACTTCCGTGACACTATGTTCAAAAAATAAACTATCAACCTCCGATAAAAATGCAGAATTTAATTTCAGGCTATTGAAATCAATTACCTTTTTAAATCAGATTTTTGAATAGACTCGTAACAAATTGGACATTTACGCCAGGATTTATCAGAAAGCGATAAATAATGAAGAATACAAGACCAACAATAAACATGACCGCAACGCGTCATTTTTCCTGCGACCGGTGCGTACAAACATATTGGGCATGATAAGTTCTCAGGACTATGAATTTTCTGAAACATAAAATATTTTTATTATAAACAAAAAACATCTTAAAAACATCTTACATTACATTTGTAACTTACAATTTGTTCAACTAGTTTCCAGTCAACTAGTATGTCAGGATCGGTTAAGTATAATGAGTAATTCCCATTTGCAGTTACAACAAACTGGCAGCTAAAAAATTAATAATTAATAAGAAAATTAATAATAAAACGAAGTAGCAGTTATAAAAAAAAGATTATTGACAACAGTGACATTGGCAACATATTTCAAGGTCATCAAAATCCTAGTGAAATGTATTCAGTTCTGAATAATTAATAATTTTACAAACCTGGCTTGTAAAAATTGTTCTTTATTGTATTTATGTCGCTGTACTGGTGGAAGCCATCTGTTACTGTTGCGAGAGTAACCCTTCACTGATTTTCCATGACTCCATCCACCTGAACCACTTTGCATCTCACGTGTCTCATAATGAAAATTCAGCAGATAATTCAAGTTCTGCTTTTTACTTCCTTGGACCACTACTGAGCCTGGCTCAGCCAAATACGTTTCAACTACCTATAACAAATTTTAATGTTCAAGTATTGAAATTGTTTCTATAAATTTTGAAACAAAATTGTACATATTCAATTTAAAACATCCAAGATTATATTGATTACAGAATTAAAATAGTTGTTTATAAACATTAACCTTGGTATCCTCCTTTGAACCGCCATGATATTGTCCTTTAGGTTTTGGTCTCTTATCAAAACTTTTTCCTTTCTGTACATTGCACTTCTTTGGTTGTTCAAATTTCGAGTAACTGCTACCACCAGTTGGTTCACGTCGTCGCGAGGTCCTTGGAAAAAGTTTGTTGTTTGTAACATCTGCATAAAGAATAACAATTTTCTTTTATTTTCTATATTACTAACACTTTGTGGATTAATCCTACAATTATATTTTCTATTTTCGAAAGCATACTAGTTTCTTCATGAAGAATGACCTCGTGCCAAAGTAAAACATACGTATTATTATCGTTTGTCTCATATCTATACAATCCTATTCGAGGGTTTAATGGGACAATTAAAATTAGGATATACTAAATCTTGAAAGAGAAATGAAAAATCAAGATATTAACATGACGCTATAAGGAATGAAATTATTTTTTTGCAAAAGGTGCGCAGATAAGACGTCAGCGAAATGATGACGTCGTATCGAGACGATCAACATTGAAGAAACAACGCACCTTGAGTTTTCTTAGCATCAGCAGGACCCCCCTTCGAGGAGGACTGCTGAAATTTCGCGTTTTTTTCCATTTCTGGCACGAATACGCTCGTGCTGATTTCCAGAGTGGTTGAGGCTACGGTTTCCTCCGTATGGAGAAACAATGAATTTCTGCAGGCCCTTCATCTTCTTCAATAAGCCATGTTTCGTTATCGTCAAAGATCGAAAAAAAGATCCTCGAACTGTCGATGATCTACGGCCGATGTTACAGTAGAACGTTGACCACGGATATTTCTGCAGCAGAGCAAAAGCTCTGGCTCCCTTTTCGCCGTAAACGACGATTACCCTCGGTTCCTGGCTCTGCGGCCAAAGCGGTCGCGATCTCGTCGCTATAATGGCGACGAACTAATGACTTGCGCAAGCGGAAGTAACACACAGCACGTCAACTACTCTAGTAACTTGTATGCTTGCAAATGATAAACCGGTATCTTTAACGCTGCTTTCAAGTGTCTTCTACTGATATAGATACACAATAAAAATAATAGAAATTTATATAACGAAATAATATATAATGGCGTGTTTTTATGAAAAACAGTTAAGTAATCGAAATACGTCAGCTCTATCCTTCGAAATGCATTGCATTTATTAATAGAGTTAATAATAGGTACTTTATGTCATTTTAACTAATTTAATCAACAAGTAAATGTAATTTAACGTATATCTCAAAAGTGTCAGTAACTTTGAAACGTTTGTTGAAAGATGTCGCTATATGTGACATGTCCGCTTGATAAAAGTAAGATAAAGAAATTTTAAAATCTACGTTTGTTCTTTTTAATTTAATTTTGCTTAAATTGTAAATTGTATATTTCAAATGTACAGTAGTATACATAGTATTTTACAGAACTATGTATATGCATTACGTATGTGACATTTTTAGGTTACCTTTTCGGAATGTAGCTACATTCATAGATCGATATAATTTCAAGTTAAAGGAAAATATTTTTTAGTATCAGCACTAGTTTTTTGTTTGCGAGAATAAGAAACGGAGGAATATAATCAACGTTAATTAAAAGGTACATGGTTATAAAAGGTAATACAACGAGGAATTTATATTAACAAAGAATTTAAAAAATATAAACATAAATAAATTACAGTCACTCCGTTTTAATTACAGATTCATCAGTTAATACGTTAAATTTGTTTTCAAAATAATTTGCTTGAAATTTAAAACAGCGATGCGCGCGCCTTTTTGGCGATCCTGTGTCATGCGCATGCGCAGAGGTCAGGTGATCACAGCTCGTATATACGACCCGCCACCGGCAAAGTTCCTCACTCATTCTTTCGAACCTTTGCGACGCGGTTCCGTTTTCGAATTTATACACCGATTTTCTGATGATATTCCATCGTGATTGATGTGCAATTGGTACCGAGATCGGTCTGCAGAGGGACCGACCGTTCGCTTTTGCGACGGCAGTTCTCGCAGACTGTTTCGCGAGTAAACGAAAAAGCGCGAGTAAACGAAAAAGCGCGCGTAAATAACACGATTTAACGATTCCCTTCGAGAACGGTATTCTCGTTCGAATAATCCTGGGATAATTTTCGACAAGAAAAAATTCGTCGACGGCCAGTGACGCGGGAATGGGTTTAACGGATACCAGTTTCGAGTTACTTTTAACCCTGTGGCGGGTTCTCGTCGTAGGAGTCGTGTGGACCGAAGAGATCCACGATCAGTGTCGTGGTGTCTTGCCGAGCCACAGCATCGCCGGTCTCGTTTGTTAATTGTTTTGGCCACGTTCTTTGGTAAGTATTTCCTTTATTGTTTTACCATTACTCATTTATTTTGGAAGTGGTATAAATCCATTTTTAAAAAAGAAGAGTTAAAATTTACGACGAATTCTTTCGATTATCGTCTATTTTAGTACTTTGACAAGGTTTTATGTTTTACATAAAATATGCATATACAAATTTTACTGTTAAACAGTGCAAGGTTATTTTAGAAATAGTGTAAGTTTACATGCAAACTGTCTGTAGATATATTGTGGTTGGTCTATTATTACAAAATGTTTTGTAAATTTATTTTAGGCGAAAATGCAGGATTTCCAGCTTTGGATTTGTCATCAGAAAAGGAAGATCATATTTACAGATAGAAAGGAATAGAAAAATTTGAAGCAGATTAAAATAGTCACAGCAATTAATCACAGTCATTAAATGTTTAATTATGAATGAGTATGAATTGACTATCAATTGAATGAGTATCAATTAACATAAGATAACTTTCAAAATGATTTAGTTAATAATTTGACAGTTTAAGTAATTTTCATTATTGCATTTGAAATATTTAACTGTTGATGTTAAAGCACTTACAAAATGCAAAGTTGATACAAATGAACAATTTGATGTGAGAAATAATTAATAAAAAGGTCATTGATTTTTTATATTAAAAATTGAAGATGTTTGGTAAAAATTAGAAATAGTAATTTTTGCAAAATTGAAACAAAAGTAATATGGTAATAATTTCTTATAAATGCTTTTAATTTAGTTTTTAAAGAAATGTCTGAACTGAAGGCTATAAATTGAGGAGTATCTACAGGTGTTTATGTAACTGAATCCAAAGATCTAATATCACTAAATTTTTTTCGTAAAATATTTTTTATAATCATTAATTTTTGGAAGAACTAGAATTTTATAGAATTCAAATTTTCTCTCCTAAAGAAATTAGTTCAAATTTCAAATAGTAGGATTTCAAATTTTCAATAAAAAAGTTGAAAATAAACGTCGGAATTGTTCATTTATAATATATTCACAAGTGCTTCGATTTCTTAGAGCCGTTTGCGGTCGATTAATCTATCTCGTGTTTCAGCATCTAATTCATTTTTAACGCGTGTCTTTCAAACAATCCGCCGTAGATTCTCGGAAAATGTAATTCGATTACAAGTAATAATTCTACGAAATAATGATTTTTCCTTGATAGGAAATACCGTATGATCGAAAAAGCATCAATTATCAATTAGTAGGTATTGTTAGAGATCCATGGATTATTGAACATTGCATAGCTGGAGTAAATATCATTTTCAAAACGTATTATTAAAAGGCTGAACGGATCTTGAGAATCAATTATTAGACATATAGGAAAAGAATTCAATTGAAAGAGGTATTGCTGTCTGACATTCAGATTAGCATTTAAGAAACTCATTGAAGATGTTTATATGAATGATAGTTATATGATTGTGAATATAGTTAATTAAATTTGTAAGTTGGGATCATGAATTAGAACTGTAGCTCAGGATTATGAATTATGATTGTAACTCAAGATCATGAATTATAATTGTAACTCAAGATCTTAAATTATAATTGCAACTTAAGTTCATAAATTAAAATTGTAGTTCAAGATCTTAAATTGAAATTGTAATTCAAGATCTTAAATTGAAATTGTATTTCAAAATTATATATTATAATTGTAACTCATGATCATGAATTATAATTGTAACTCAAGATCATGAATTATAATTGTAACTCAAGATCATGAATTATAATTGTATCTCAAGATCATAAATTAGAATTGTAAGATAGAACCATAAATTGGGATCATCAATTACAATCATGACTCAGATCTATAAATTAGGGACAGTTAGGATCATAAGTGAGGATTATAAATGAAAATCGTAAATTAGAATTATAAAATCTGATTGCTTGTTAGGATCATAATGTTTATAAATCAGAATCATGAGGTTCGATGATGAATCAGAACTATAAATTATAACTTTTAATTAAAATCATGAGATAGATTCATAAGTTGACAGTTGTGAACAAGGTCTATGAATTGTTATCTTTTATTATAATTACGAGCAAAGATAGATAAATTAGAGTTGAGCTAGAGTTATGAATCAAGACATGTTAAAATTACAAATTAGAATTGTAAATAAGAACTGTAATGTTTCATAAATTATGATTATGAGTTATGGTTATAAACTAAAGTTTTGAGATTGAACTATAAATTAGGTTTGTGAATTAGGACCATAAGTTAGAATTGTGAAGTAAAACTATAAAACAAAATTGAGAGTCAAATCCATAAATTAGACTTCTGTGTTGGAACCATAAAATAAAATTCAAAGTCAAATTCATAAATTAGGCTTGTCAGTTAAAACTTTAAATTAGAATTATGAGATAGCACTATAAAATAAAATTGATAGTCAAATAATTTAGCCTTGTGAGTTAGATCCATAAATTAGACCTGTGAATTATAAGCATAAATTAAATTTATGAGTCAAACTTGTGACTAAAGACTGCAAGTTAGTCTCACAAGTAAAAATTGTGTCTCAAAACACTATACTAAAATAAAATTAGGGTTACAAGAAAGAATTTACAGTGAAAGTTCAACAAACAGTTAAATTCACCAAAAATGAATCAAAATTAAATTAAGAAACAGATATCACAAATACAAGAATGCTAATAAGGAACGAATCATAGCCAATTAAAGGTGAATTATTTATTACTCAAGATCTTGTTTGTTTCCTTGAACAAGAAATCCCCTTCTTCGTCTTCTTCTTCCTCGAATTTGCACATTTTTTATGCAACTTCTATCCCCCGTTTATTTCATCCTCGAGCACTGTTATAATCGGTCGTGTCACAGTTGCGATCCTGAAGAACGATTTTCCTCGCCGAACAAGGCTCTCCTTCGGATCTTGAAGCGATCGTGGCCAGGGTATGTGTTCAGAGTTGCATCTGGGATGGTTTTCTATTTCGTAATGCTTGTTCACGCGTTCGTGATTAATCTAATTGCACTCGAGTTTAGTTTTTACCACGTTGTAACGTTCCTCGTGCGACAAGGTATGATACAAATACCAGGAGACGTTGATGCAATGCTTCTTTCAACACTTTTCTTTTGTTAAAATCAAGTTTTAGTGTGTTTGTGTTAGTGCACTTATACTTCGTTATTTTTGAGATATAACAAGTGTTGTTGTCTTTTAAGAAGTGTTGTTTTTTGGTAAAAATTAGTATTTTCTTTGCGAACGTGCATCTTTTAAAAAATAACAAGGAATTATTAATAATAAAGTATTGGAGTGGTTGTACGTTTTTGTGTACAGTGTTGAAAATTATGCAATTGTGGAGAACTATAAAAGTAATTTTGCTAAATTAAAGTTTGTAGTTTCATAAAATAAAGACGAGTTTTAGCACTGACTTATAGTGAAAATTTAGAAATTTGAAGATTTGTAAAATTAAAGAGACGAGTTAAAAATATGTAGACTTTCAGACTTAGAGATTCATAGATCCATAAATTTACAAGTTTACAGTCAATAATTAATGTTACTTTGTTTCCCAATTACAATAGTTATCCCAGTTTCCAAATAGTAATTATATTTCATTCAAAACAGTGCTCCTATTCCATTTTAGGCTCCTTTCGACTACCATCTTGCGGAGGGATGTCGTATCAAATCCGAAAACCACAAATGGTATCTTGTCTTGACTACTCTACATTCTACAATTATAATTTTACAATTTTTCGATGTAAATATTATACACTCATAGCAATAAGATTCAACAAAACGAAAAACAAAGTGACCAGTACATTTTTTATATTCTTCTCTTGACACATTTTTCAGTAATTTTTGACAAATAATTACTTTTTCGTTCTCAACTGATCGATTTTCCATATTAGTAATAGAGTAACGTTCAAAGTTGCATAATTACCTTCACATAAATAAAAAAATAACGTAGAAAAGTAGATTTGTCACTGACATCGTAGACGCCATTTTATAGGGGCCACAGAAATCAAACAAAATGGTGGAAACAGACTTCTTCCGTCGCATTGAGAAGTTAACTATGCACTTTAAAGAAAATAAAAGCGGCACAGAATAAAGTAGCTAGTTCTATTAAATTATATAGTTATAAGTAACTTTAAGTTTAACAGAGTGTATTAAGGTTTGCCATTCATAAAAAGCTAAGCACATGGTGGACCAATTTTAAACTAACCTCAAATAAACTGCATAATTACTTTCACACCAATAGGATCAAAAGATATGAGTATCTTTGATATTCTAGATAATTTTGTATTCATTGTGAGAACAAAATGGTAGAAACAGAGTTTCTTCGTCTCATCGAGAAAAATCTCACTCTAATAAAAATAATATAGAAAGTAGATTTTTGGGGTCTTGTGGATGCAAGGACAAAGTGGTGGAAACACAGTTTCTTCGTCTCATCGAAAAAAAACCTTACTCTAATAAAAATAATATAGAAAGTAGATATTTGGTGTCTTGTAGCTGCAAGAACAAAATGGTGGCAACAGAGTTTCTTCGTCTCATCAAGAAAAACCTTACCCTAATAAAAAATAATATAAAAAGTAGATTCGTCTTTGGTATCCTGTAGTTGCAAAATGTTGTCATCAGAGTTTCTTCCTGTCATAAAAAAAATCTTGCCTCAATCAGAAAAAATACCGAAAGTAAACTTGTCTTTGGTATCCCAGAGACGATCTCGTAATGGGTACAGATTAGTAAAACGAAATGTTGGATTTTTTCGTCGCACCTGTTTCGCAAAGTTCCATCGTTCGGCAATAACCGCCGAATATCAATTAATCGGGTCGATCCATAGACAAGCGTGGATCAGTGCATGTGACAGAAAACCCCTCGGTCGAGAGTCCCCTCGAAGCCGGTGCCGCGGTCGCCTTTGAAATATACGCTGTTTGTCCGGAACCCGTCACCAGGGCACAATGAGCCTCGGCTCTGGGGGTTAAGCGTTGTCACTTGAAGGGCTATCGATAACTTGTCGTCGCCAAATTACACGCGACCGCGCCCGCACGCGCCTCGAAAACCACCCCTTCTCTACGTTTGTCCGGTTTACGGAATATTAGGTCTATCGGAAAGTTCTCTCGTTTTTATTACCGTTCTTCTCTTTCTTTCTCCAAAGACTATTACTATTCTATATCCTATTTAATATTTTCATCCACTGCTGTTATTATAAATAAGGGACATGCACGATTTTCATATAATATCAATCATCAAGGTTCAAACATCACGATTTTCATCTACGTTCATCTTATCTAATATGTTCATTCTCTGCTATTAAATATACAAACAGCACGATTTTCATCTATGTTCATCCTATCTAATATGTTCATTCTCTGCTATCAAATTATACATATAGAGCAACACACGATTTTTCATCCCCTTACAGCTGTTTGATAAAAAGAAGTTTATAGTCACAGGGTGGATCAGTAAAAAATTTACTCAAACACGAGTTCGTTTTCATGGCGAAGTCACCTTCGGAGAATGTGAAGATGAATTCAAAATATTACATGATGTTTTTAGTAACGTTATTAGATTTACAGAAGAGGATATGTGGAGCGTTAGCTTCTTGTCATATTTAATTTTGACAGTGTAAAAAATAACAAGAGATTAAGGGAGAGTATAAGAAAAAGGCAATTTAGTTAAATATTTTATTCTGTGACAAAATAACATGTTATTGGTATGTTAATAAATATAAACTACTCTATATTGTATACTATTGCTGTGGTATACTATTACTACTATTATTACTACTACTGCATCATGCAATATTACTCTAACTAACATTACTTCAAAATAATTCAGAACCTTAGAAAAAAATCAAAGTGACCACAAAGTGCAAATAAGGTATTTTTATTAAAGCAAGATAATTCTATTAAAAATGTTAAATATTGTGATTTATGGATTCAGTAAAGATTTAGTGATTTTTTAGGCATGATCTATTATACAGTGATGTATTTAGGGAAAAAATCCGCTTGGAACAGAGGACCCATTACGCTTGTCAGTTCCGCTGTCGGTTCGATGGATCTCGATCTGTTGTACCTGAAGTACCTCCTCCGCTTTTCAGGGTGAATGGCGTCAGAAATTTAATAAAATCGAATAATTAACTCATTGGAAGCGTGATCTTATTATAATACTGGCCCACGCTTGCTTCTACTTAACATATTTATTTTATTAACTATGTGTTAATACTGTACGTTCACATACTGACAATTGTAAAAATGATTTAAGTCAAATTTTAGAAACATACTTTTCAATCATTATCGTTTTTATTTTATTATGTGTTAATACTGTATGTTCACATATGTAGCAATAATTGTAAAAATAATCTAACATAAGTCAAATTTTAAAAACATACTTTTCAATTATTATTGTTTCATTGTTAAAGTCAGTAATTTTAAACATAATGTTTAACTTCATTTTTAATATTTTTGAAAATTTCTTTCGTAGTATAATAAGAGTACTACAAAGGAATGAAAAGTTGAATTATTTTAGAATTTTCACTTAGACCACATATATTTATTAGACTATAATTAAATCTATTAGAATATAAAAATATAGAACGGAAACATTTTGTCAATACACAAATTGAAAGATTAAACATCATTATGAACTTATTTCTCCACTTCATTATTCTTCATGCATATTGTACTGAATTACAAAGTGTTATTTAAAAGGTATTATTTAACAACTACAAATTATAATATGTAAAGTGTTACAAATATAAATGATAATCTTGAAACTAAAATTATACAAGTAGACATTGTTAAAAAGTAACGCCTACAATTAATTTTGAGAAGTCAGGACATTGAAAGGTCAGGATTGTCCTGTTGCAGGAAAACGAGACATGTCGTCGAGAGTGGTGAAAAATCCTCCAAAATTGAACGGAAGCGTGGACGGCAGAGAGACTTGGTCTGGCAAGGTTGACTTCCTCTTGTCAGTCATCGGATTTGCAGTTGATCTTGCCAACGTCTGGAGATTTCCCTACCTGTGTTACAAAAATGGCGGTGGTGAGTACTCTACAAACTCACAGACAAACTTTAAAACTTCCTTTGCATGTAAATTATACAAAAATATCACTATGTCAATTATAACATTATAATGTACATCAATTATACAAAATATACGTTTTCTATTTTAAAAATTGTAATAACTAAATTTTCGTACATGATGTATGATGTAAATAATTGAGAGCTACAATCTTGATGTAAATCGCGAGAGTATGAATTTTTTATTTATACTCTCAGCTCGTAACTTAACGATCTCCGAATTGATTAGTTCTGTCATTCCTACGCTTCTTATAACGCTTAAATTCCGAGAGGATAACAACACATTAACAGAACTCCGTAATCGATAACATTTGTCACGGCTAATTTAAAATTGCCGAGAAAATAATCCGAGGGAGTAAACAGATTTTGCAACGCGAAACTCGTTTAGTCTTTCATCCGAGAAAAAATGTCTACAAGAATTAAATTGCTACGTTAATTTTTTCGTTTAGAGATTAATGAACTTCGCAGTGCAAAGTAATTGAGATTTTATTGGAACATTTAAGGTGTCATTAAAAAATAGTTAATACGTGATTCTTTTTCTTAAGTGATTGAGAATTGACATAAGTGATTGAGAATATTTTAATTTTAAATTACGTATGCAATTTTAGTTATTCAAGAAACGTTAAGAATGAAAATTTGTTTTCTATCAGTTTTGTTCCTGCATTTCGTCACGTTCTGTAACGTTGTCAAGCGTTATTTCGCTGCAACAGGGGATGCATCAAGTAATGCACTCCAGCAAGCGAAGCAATACCGCGTTAACCGGTCGACTAATTGGCATTTACCTCGTGGAAAATGACCCCGGGATTTAGATTTCACTCGAAGCTTCTTATCCAGCGAAAGTGTCAGCACTCGAAATTGGCTGAAATTAAAACGAAAGGGCAATTTAAGTCACCAACTTGGGAAGATTGCGTCCGGGTCCAATTCCTACAGAATTACCTCCATTTCGATTAAGTTGTTTGCTTAAACTACAGATTTTATTAGCAATTTCAGACAGTTATGAAGATTAGTTATCAAATTGTGTCAGAAGTCCTACATTTTATGTGGGACAATTTAGTAAATAAAACACTGGACAACGGACACTAAACAAAAATAGAATAAAATTTATACACAGTCATTTTCATTAAATTTTGAATTTTATTAAAACACCATATCATTGAGAGAATTAATTTCGAACTAAAATTTGTGAAAATTAAAATTAACTCACACTAAAATTAATACGAAAGGAAGTATTTTATTGAAAAACATTTCTGAAAAGATTTGCAATATCGAACGATAAGATATCGTGATAAAATCCCTTGGAATCGCGTAATCTGTAAAGCGCATTTGCGACACGTTTCAGATTTTCCCGCGCTAAAATCGGATGACACCGCGGGCACATAACATCGCTCCCTTTCGCAAAGTTTCTAACAACAAGTCCAGCAAGCAACACGCAACGACTTGTAAGACTGTTCCCGGTCTACTAGGATGCTATTAGCCTCGTTCTATCGAGTCTCCCGTAGGAATACGATTAGGGCCAGCTATCAGCGATACGGGGCTCCTCAAAAGCGGCTGCTAACTCAATTAAGAGGAGAGTAGGGCGCGCCATTAGTACCGGCAAGATCGGTCGCTAATTTCCAATTACCTTAATTAATTATAATTTCCCATTCGGGCCGGCCTTTGATCATGAACGTCCGCGACGCCTCTACCTGCTGCTATATCACCATACGCGATCCATTATGCCGCGTGATTTCCTCCTGCGTTTCGCGCTTCTTCTTTGCGGAAATTTGCCAATTTCGCACGTCGTTTGATGCCGTCTTGTACACAAGGATCCGAGTCTCTAACGGTGGCTTAAATGATTACTCGTGTAATTAACTGTGCAATAGAAATCGGTTCGCCAATATGTTTTCTTTCTTTGAGAAACTCTATGCAATAATTCGGTTCGCTGTGTCTTGTTATTTTTTATAGAGATATTCGAAACTTTATGTAACAAACTCGTATTATACGTATTTACTTTTAATATAAGAGAAATTATTCTTGATCAAAATCTTCGTGACTGAAAATTTTACAAACCGAAACTGACTTTTACAATCTTAAGTCTTTTTCGAATTTTTGTTTTTAGCTTGACAATGATATAATATATTCAGTCTTTGTATCTTCTATTTTTGAGCATTTGTAACTCTATTATACTTAACATTGTTTTTTAATAAGATAGGAGAGCAATCAAGTTTAAATTTGGCGCCAGAAGTATGTTGCATTTTGGTATCATATTAGTTATAAGTTTTTATTTTGACAATGATATAATATATTATTGTCATAATCAGTATTTTCCATTTTTAAGCATTTGTAATTATGTTATACTTAACACTGTTTTCTATTAAGAGAGGACAGTAGCAAGTTCAAGTTTAAATTTGGCGCCAGAAGTGTGTTCCATTTTGGTATCATATTATCCACAAGTTTTTATCTTGACAATGATATAATATATTATAGTTATAATCAGGATCTTCCATTTTTAAGCATTTATAATTATATTATACTTAACACTGTTTCCTAATAAGAGAGGACAGTAGCAAGTTCAAGTTTAAATTTGGTGCCAGAAGTATGTTCCATTTTAGTATCATATTAACCACAAGTTTTTATTTTGACAATGATATAATATATTATTGTCATAATCAGTATCTTCCATTTTTAAGTATTTGTAATTATATTATACTTGACACTGTTTTCTAATAAGAGAGTACAGTAGCAAGTTCAAGTTTAAATTTGGCGCCAGAAGTGTGATCCATTTTAGTATCATATTAACCACAAGTTTTTATCTTGACAATGATGTGATATATTATTGTTATAATCAGTATCTTCCATTTTTAAGCATTTGTAATTATGTTATACTTAACACTGTTTTCTAATAAGAGAGAACAGTAGCAAGTTCAAGTTTAAATTTGGCGCCAGAAGTGTGATCCATTTTGGTACCAAATTACCCACAATCCTCGATACAATTGCAAATGAATACCAATCAAATTACACTTCATCAAATTAAACTACTTTGAATCACTTTTTAATAAAATTAAAGAATAATTAATTTTACTCTGTGATTTAAGGAAAAAATCAAGTAGTTTTAGACATATACCGTTTCCTCCTGAATTTAAATATTCTAAGAACGTGATCATAAGACGCATCACCTCGTTCCAAGAACTCATTTGATATTTGATATTCAAATATGTTGCACAATACTTCACGCTACTTTTAATTCTGTTCGCAATTTGGTTTCCGTCATTAACGTACATTTATGTTTTACCTATTTTATGCAATATCGTGAGTCATATTTTACGTTCTATTCGATTCTAATTTGTCTATGCTTTGATCAATGAAGCGTGACTTAATCATTTAAACGCTTTGTCTTGTTGATTGTTGACTAATTTTTTTTCAACTGATCACATTCTTTAATGCAAGAAAAACTTAAAGGTATTTTTACACATTAGATAGTTGTGCAATTTTATTACCCATAAAAAATATAATATTTTCAGAGTACAATTGTAACAATGACTATGTAAAATTAATTATTTTTACTCAAAATTATCAAGTTTTAAATTACAAAGTTTCTGCATGATATCCAATGTAAATTTATGAAATTGTTATATTTAAGAAAATTATTTAAACGCGGATATGCGATGTCAGTGCCTGAAGGCATGTATCTGACGGTGTCTGTGCCTTCAAAGAACGAAAATTGGACGGAAATGTTATTTAAAACCGGACATTTGGTCATGACATAGGAGGAAATCTCTTCAGATGTACATACACATCACAAACAAACAGAATATTTTTTTACATTACAAATACCACATTTCTTTTACACAAAGAATAAATCTATTAAATAATCAAATCGAAGTAAACTGAAGAATTTAATAAATGATTTGCAAAAAACAAAGATTATTTTTATAATCCTCAAAGTTTGCCATAATTGTTTAACAGAATGTTATTAATTTTATTGCACAATGCATATGTTTGTTTTAACGAAGTTTGATATAATTGTTTAACAAAATATTAATTTTATTATACAATATGTTTGTTTCAATGAAGATTAATAATAGGGATAAAGTTATGGTCTCTAATAACAAATGAACTAGATATTATAGGCCACTTCCGGCGAACTTGCTCGAAAAGGAAAATTAATCAAGGTAACCGCGAGGTATAAGAAGAAGGGAATATTCTTTCTTAATGCGATTACGTCTCCGTGGTTACGAAGGAGAATTTATCGAAAAGAATAAAAAGACGAAACCATCTGTAGGAATGTATCGCATATCGAATGCAAGTCTGATAATTCAAGGTTCAACTTTCAGAAAATTTCAATAACCACTATGTAATCTGTTTAAGTAATTCAAGTTTTAAGATCCTTTTTTTTTAACAATTTTCAATCGTTTTAGACCTCTTAGTTTTTTACCTTTAATTTAATTATTACTAGAGTGTTATGGTTATATCTGTTCTATTTTATAGAACTCTAATTTTGTTCATATGTGTACATACATATGTGTGTGTGTATACATTCCTATGTATGTACATTACATGCTCATATGTGTACATTATAATTATATGTATTATTAATTAACAAATTCAGTTAACAATTAATAGTATAATATTAATAGAAATTGGCTTATAAATTATTTTTCTTAACCTCACACATGTTGCACATATCACTTCACACATATCATACATTACATTACACTACATATATCAGAATGTAATGTATATTATTATACTATTTTATAAATATGTAATTATAAACATAATGTCATAATGTTACATATATGTAACTTAACCTAACCTTACCCTACTTGTTAACTAACCTAATTCTTAGTCACTAACCTAACCTGTTCACATAACTTCATTCACACACATAACCTAACTCTTATTAACCAACTCATCGTACAATTTATCTTTAACAAAAATTTCACATAAAATATAATTTATATTAAAACAAAAAATGTTGAACAGCTGTATTTTTTCACAAGTGTAAAAATACACTCCAGTTGTTCGTTCTTTATTCAATTTCGATTTGATTTACACAAAAGATATTCTGTAATATTTGTAACCCTTTAATCGTTTGATGAATCAATTCCGTGGGAATCGCCATTTTACCATCAGATTGCAGCATTTTCGAAAGTTCTCTATCGAATTACGTACATAAAAGCACCTTGCTGCCACCGGTGCTCTAAATATTCTGCAATTCAGTTATGCAGCTAACAGGATGATGCGAGTGGCTCGCACATCACTTTTTTTTTCCTTTTTTTCCACCCTCTTCATATCACCCTCTTGTCATGCAGCAGATGTCATCAAAGATGATAAGAATTCAGACGTTTTCCAGAGCACCCGTAAATAAATCGAACGCATTCGATTTCATTAAAAATACTACCCCGATTTTACAACTAATTTTTCATCGATCAAAGGTTTGATTTAAAATCAAGGTTTTGTACTTATTTTCTGTTTCATCGAATTTTTATCGGAGGCGAATTATTTATTGTTACAGGGGCTTTTTTGGTTCCGTATTGCATAATGTTGGTGGTAGGAGGAATTCCACTTTTTTACATGGAACTCGCGCTGGGGCAGTTCAATCGTAAGGGCGCTATCACTTGTTGGGGTCGTTTAGTGCCACTTCTAAAAGGTAAGCTTTTCTACATTTTTAAAAAATGCTTAAGAAACTTAAAAATGACAGTACAAGAAGTAACTTATTAAAGAAACATATGACTTAAAGCAATTAAATATGCAACATTAAAAATATCAAAAGAAGTATCTTGTCGAAGTTGTTCGAAATAGCTTAAATTAAAATTTATACAAAAAGAAGTATTTCGTCAAAGAAACTATTATTCGAAATAGCTTATTAGTTATTTAGTTAGAAACTATTATTCGTTAAATGTATAAAACAAGTACAATTCTTTCCAAAAAATCGAAAAAGCATTAATATCTCCGAGTGTCTGAGATTACAACAGCTCACACGTTACTTTGCCACAATTCCCCGAAGTAATCGTCTAAGCCTCCAACAATGGCGGCACAGATATAAGTGCTTTTCTGATTTCTTTAAAATCGTTCCAAAGGCACTTTACTGTCATCTTCCACGTCGGAGAGCCACGCATTAGACACACCCGGTATTATTTTCTCTTATTCCACCCCACATCGTATAGTACATTATGTAACGCGTATAAATCCGAGAAAATCCAAGGTTGGACGACCAGTGGTTGAAGAGCCTCCATTTCCGTCGATTTCCTGCTGGAACCATTCTTGATGATCGATGTAAGCGCAGGATTCCTCTTGACTCTTGTCTCCAACGTGATCTCTTTCCTTTTGATCCGCATCGATGAACGACGTAATTGATTCGTCGTTGAAGACGCTCCCACGGGATAATGGAATCTTCGACTTGAAAATCAGGACATGGAGAGATTTTTAATTCCTACGGACTCGCGGGGATAAAGATTTTATACGTCTCCGTTTCATTTGTACCGTTTGTACAATATACACAGTATGTCGGAAAAGTAACGAAACTTTTTAAATACATAGGAAAGAATTATTTTGCCAAACTTATTTTTTTTGTTTAAAGTACATCCGCATCAATACACCGCTGGGCTCACACAACGTTAACATAGATTTTTTTATGTCGAATCGCTTTAAACACCCTTGTCACAGCTGCTTAGACTTCTCTTCCTATGAAAGAGATTACGGCGCGTGGTATTGCAGCGCGGGGAATTGCGGTGCGTGGAATTACGACGCGTGGAATTAATAAGGCGTAGAACTACGACGCGTGGAATTATAATGCGTGGAACTACGATGCGTGGAATTACGACGCGTAGAATTATGGTGCATGGAATTACAGCGCTTTGAAGTACGGCGCGTGATATTACAGCGTGAGGAATTACGGCGCGTGATATTACAGCGTGAAGAATTACGGCGCATGGAATTACGACGCGTGGAATTAATAACGCGTGGAATTACGACGTGTGGGACTGCGACGCATGAAAATACGACGCATGGAATTACGACGCGTGGAATTAAAAACGCGTGGAATTACGACGCGTAGAATTATGGTGCGTGGAATTACAGCGCGTAGAAGTACGGCGCGTGGTAATATAGCGCGAGGAATTACGGCGTATGGAATTACGAAGCGTGGAATTAATAACGCGTAGAACTACGACGCATGGAATTACGACGCATGGAATTGCGACGCGTGGAATTAATAACGCGTAGAATTAATAACGCGTGGAATTAAAAACGCGTGGAATTACGACGCGTAGAATTATGGTGCGTGGAATTACAGCGCGTAGAAGTACGGCGCGTGGTAATATAGCGCGAGGAATTACGGCGTATGGAATTACGAAGCGTGGAATTAATAACGCGTAGAACTACGACGCATGGAATTACGACGCATGGAATTGCGACGCGTGGAATTAATAACGCGTAGAATTAATAACGCGTGGAATTAAAAACGCGTGGAATTACGACGCGTAGAATTATGGTGCGTGGAATTACAGCGCGTAGAAGTACGGCGCGTGGTAATACAGCGCGAGGAATTACGGCGCATGGAATTACGAGGCGTGGAATTAATAACGCGTGGAATGACGACACATGATGTCATAAAACGTTCCTCTGTTAACTAATTTCAGTTTTGGAAAAGGAAAGTAATCACGCGGAGATAAGTCAGGCGAATTTGGAGGATGTTGGAGCACACAGACTTGTGCTTGTAATCTGAATTAGTCTAATGCTAGTTTAATCCAATTTTGTTAATTTAACGCCAGTTTAATGCTATATACCGAAGTTTAACGTTGTATAATATTATTTGCAAAGGAATCGGATATGCAGTGGCCCTAATAGCATTCTACGTGGACTTCTACTACAACGTGATCATCGCCTGGGCACTGAGGTACTTCTTCGCCTCGTTCTCCAGCCTGTTGCCATGGACCACTTGCGACAACCCTTGGAACACGCCACATTGTCGAGCATTCGACGCAAATATTTCTTACACTTTCGACGAGACGTCTCCTATCGATCCGAGTGATAACTCGTCGCTGATCGATGAACGATTTGATAGAAATTTGAATCAGGGATACAACAGCACGTGGTACACGAGCGCTGCGCAAGAGTATTTCAAGTAAGTTTTTATTGAACTGCATCACTCACTCAAATAAACGTTTGCTGCATTTTAATATTATCTGTATTTTGGTAGACTCTTATATTGCCATTTTATACTGCATCGCCATCGAAGATTCATGGATTCGAAGATTCAGAGTATCAAGAAAGAAAGTTTTGTAAATAACTTAATATTGCAACTGCAAGAATTTTCTTTCTGTGTTTCTTCTAAACACTAACTGCTTTGTTAGTGGCAATATAATGAGAGTCTGCTATAAATGATGTGTGAAGTATTTTTTATCGTATAGCAAGATTAGGTAATTTTTGACAATTTTGTTTAAAGCCGAGCGATTCTAGAACTCCACGAAAGCGAAGGTTTACACGATCTCGGGGCAATTAAATGGGACATTGCGATGTGCTTGCTGGTGGTCTACTTGATCTGTTACTTTTCCTTGTGGAAAGGCATTTCTACCTCAGGCAAAGTAAGATTTGTGTTCCTATAAAATTGTTATGAAATACACACTTTGAACATTTAAGTATTTTGATTTTTTAATCAATCAGCTCGATATTGTTTTTAGTATTGAATAGATTTATAGTTTGAAACATCTTTTGCTACAGGTGGTTTGGTTCACTGCTCTCTTTCCGTATGCTGTCCTCCTCATTCTGTTGATACGAGGAGTCACATTGCCGGGAAGTCTCGAAGGAATACGCTACTACCTCAATCCAAATTTCTCAGCCATCACAAAAGCAGAGGTAAAAGAATATTTAATAAAAATTTGCAATTTGCCTCGTTGCAATCTCTGCCGTAAGTGCTACTTTAATTTATGTCATACTATGTACTTCAAAATCATAGATCATTGTCCCTAGTAATTATCAACCCGCCATTTTGTATCACGAATTTAGTTTACTCTTACACAGTCATCCTCAGCAAAATTGATATATCGCAAGTGTTCTTTTACAATTTATCATCAAATCTCGACAGACTTTCAATATTTCAAAATCCACCCCTTCACCTAATGCAATAAATCATAAATCACATTAAAACCCCAACACTAGAACCTTCCCAAACAAGAGAAAAATTACCTTTGTCCTATTCACAGAGCTCCTGAAAGTTCCCAGAAAATTCCTGAAACTCGAGAGAAAATTATTCGTGAAACTTCGGAGAAAATCGTGCGTTCTCCATTCTAGCCGTGGACTTGGTGAATCGTGTCCCAGCGGATGATTGCGGTATTATGAAGTGGCCATTTACAGTGGCCACGGAGAAGAATAAAAAACTGAAGGCCAGAAAGTTAATGCACCGGCATAAGAGGGTCGACAGGATCGAGCAGCGAGAAAAATGGGAGGGCGAGAAACGTGCCAGGTTTAACTGACGACGCTGAAAATGGAAACTCTGTGTACCTGTCATAATGACCATTAGAGTTTGGACGCTGATCGCACGTACGACCCTCTTGGCTGGCAAGGGGAATGCATTTCTACCCGACGACTTAACTTCTGAATCGCTGGAATAGATTCTAGCCGGAGAAATTTGTTGATTTCTGAGATCCGAGGATTTACGGGAATTTCTGTGATCCTTCTTAACGTCGGAAAAGGGATTTCTTTCTTTAAGACCCTTTCCTGGATTCTTCTAACGCTTGGATAAAGAAGCCGCTTATTTAATCCGAGCCTAGGATATCATTTGCTCAAAATTTATGAAATTGTATTTTACATTAATCAACTTGATGTAATATTCTATTCAGTAATCTCCTAATTACAATTTACAGATGCAATCAAATTTGATTATCCAATCAAAGACTGTTCAATCAATTAATTTTACTATTCAATCAAGAGATGTAATTAGGATTTTCTACTTCATACATAATCATAAATTGATTATACTGCTAAAATCAATGATCAGCCATTTTATATTGAGAATATGAAGTATTAAATCATGCAGACATCCGTATTATGCTTTAAGACTCAATTTCATCTTCCATGAGTGGAATCTTTATTTTTATGTCATAATATTAAACATTTTACATTAAAAATTTTAAATGTCATCTGGTCAAATTAACTATGATGATATAAGTTTTTAGATGTGGGACAAACTTTCGCCGTTTTTTGCAGAGCTTGATTAAAATTTTAGTTGTAAAATAAAGAAGTCTGTGGCTTTTATTAAAAATCCTTAATCTCTGTTTAGGTGTGGGTAGACGCTGCCACGCAGGTGTTCTTCTCCCTAGGACCTGGCTTCGGAGTGCTTCTGGCTTATGCGAGTTATAACAAATACCACAACAACGTTTACAAGTAAGAACTTGAGGAATTAAAAATGAAGATACATTCAACAACCATTTGTAATGAATTACCATTACATAAGCTAACTTCAAACTAATTTATGTGGATGAAATATGTACATACATACATACAATTATAAATTAATATTTTCAAAGTGGATGATGTTCTATTTTTCAGGGACGCTTTATTGACCAGCTTAATCAACAGCGCAACGTCCTTTGTCGCAGGATTTGTGATCTTTTCTGTGTTAGGATACATGGCCCGAGCAAGTGGTAAATCCATTCAGGATGTGGCAACTGAAGGACCTGGTCTAGTGTTTATTGTTTACCCTGCTGCTATCGCTACTATGCCTGGATCCATGTTTTGGGCACTCATCTTCTTTATGATGTTACTTACTCTGGGATTGGATAGTTCGGTACAGTCTATGTCATTTTGAAGTATATGCACTGTTGTATTTAAGGGTAATAAGAGAAATAAGGGTTGCTTTATACTACTTTGTACATGTTCTTATACTACTTTGTATTACTTAATAATGCAATTGTATCTAAAAAGTCTTCCATTCCAAAATAATACTTGTATCTCTTTCCCCAGTTCGGAGGATCTGAAGCAATAATAACCGCGCTCAGCGACGAGTTTCCAATTATTGGCAATAATCGAGAAATTTTCGTCGCTTCACTCTTCACGTTATATTTCGTTGTTGGTTTGGCTTCGTGTTCTCAGGTAAAATAATTAAATAGTGAAGAAATTTGTGATGTTTGAAATATGAAGCATTAAGAAATATTTGTGTCCGTACAGGGTGGTTTCTACTTCTTCCACCTGTTGGATCGCTACGCTGCCGGTTATTCGATGCTGTTCGCAGTTTTGGCAGAATCGATCGCCGTCAGTTGGATCTACGGAACCGATAGATTCTGTGCAGATATCAAAGACATGATTGGATTCTCGCCCGGAATCTATTGGCGGGTTTGCTGGAAGTTCGTCGCGCCGATATTCCTCATGGTACACTCTCCACAACAACTTCTGAAATAAATTTAAAAAAATCTGGCTCACTAAATAAAACGTGTACTAAAGCTTCGCTATTGCTAAGGTTGAAGTTTTCCTGTGAACATTCGTTTAAAATCAAAGTTTGTAGTCTCAATTGAAATTAATGTGTAACCTCGGTTGTGGGGAAAAACTGTAATATCATTATGTCAAGATAATCTAATTGAATACGTGCTATTAGAAGAGGTACAAACGAGTGAAAAAGATGCATAAAACGATGGCAGCAAAGATACCATCTTTAAACGACTTTTTATGTTGTTACAGTTCATTATCGTTTATGGTTTAATGGGTTACGAACCACTGACTTACGAGGATTACGTGTACCCCGTCTGGGCAAACGTATTAGGCTGGTTAATTGCGACTTCCTCAATTGCCATGATACCAGGAATTGCAATTTACAAGATCATCGTCACGCCAGGCAGTTTCATTCAGGTGATTAGTCCGATCTTAAGGATTTAAAGATTGTACTTCAAGTTAATGAAACTAAATTTTTAGTACATTACTATAATTACGTGTGAAGCAAATCCTAATTGCAAGATCAATTATTATTGTAGAGACTGAAAATTCTCACCACTCCCTGGAGGGACACTCAACAAAGAAACGCAGACTTCTTGTCCTCCGTAGCAAACGGCGCGGTTCGTCGCAGCCTAATCGTGGATCAAGACATCAACCTGTCCAAGGAACAACAGGAACTGACCAAGGAACAAACAGAAGTTATGATCCAATCCAGGGAGGGTATTAACGGAGATCCACCTCCGGAACCAGTCTAGGACAGTGCGGTTGTGATTTTGCACGGTGCCCGGTTCCAAGTATATCTTTGCTAACATTCCCTCGTTTGGATCCAGTTTTATGCAAGTCTGCGCTGAATCTTCGAACGCACTCACTTAGATTTTACGATACCCCGATTCTTTTATCCCCGAGACTTTCTGCGCAGTGGACTCAATTCTTTCGACCAGAAGATATAACTCGTCGTCATCTAACGATCTCGCGAAACAAAATCATGTACATCGTAGATATCGACGTGTTAACTATATCCGGAAGACCGTTAATAGGCATCTGGAGATTCGTTGACTGGAAGTCTGTTAACAGGCTTTACATCTGTATTATTAATTTGGAGACTCACACCGAGTAGTAATTAATATTAGTCTTTTGGTGCACTGTTTTCGTTTTTCTACAAGTATGATATGATGGAATTTTCTTATAGTGTTCAAGAGAGCACGTCGCAGATGGTCCAACCTGTAAATATTACAGGCATTATGAAATTTCCTAGGCGAACTTAATGAATAGACTAACGTTACCATAGATCTAGCAATACCGTACATCTAAGGCTTTCTCATTATCTAGAAGAAAGAAGTTTCCTTGGGCAATAGCTTTAAATTAATAATCTTCTGATTATCAAAGAGAGTAGGATCCTTGCAATATGAAAGTACCACAAAGTAAATATAGGTAAAGAAAAATTATGATAAGGAATAGTTTTTCTGATCTGTGAATATTTATGAAACACAGTTTTCAATTTTATTATAAAGATTCTTTATTTATATTTGCATTTTAAGTGTTAACCCTTTAGAAATATATGAAAGTCCTGTTCGTTTTACAGCACATAATGAAAGTGTTCAGAGACAATTTCTAACATATTGCAAAAGGTTAATCTCAGAGGATGCATACTGAAAGTATATTATTGTCAAGTCCAATGGTTTCCATTTGATTATTCGACGCTTTTACATCGTCTGGCTTTGTCCAGACGTATATGCTGTGTAGACTATACGCGAATTGTAATCACCGATCAGGTGTAAAACGTTACATTAAAAAGTAGTGTTGTTCAAGTGTTAAGGAGATAACGAAGCAACGCTTTATGTATTAAATATTTGAGTACGATTCTCGTACGGGCAATAGAATTGCACAGGGAGGTGAAACTTTTAGTTCAAAATGAAAACAGTATTCTAAAATTGTTATCATGCGTAGCCAGGTTATCTGAAGGGGCAGACAAAATTTATCTCAAGATTAATTTCATCATGTTGCTTTAAAGTTTGTTTTTCACTTATTGTTTAATTTAATCTCTTTTGCACTAATGGACCCCTCCTTAATCCACTGTCTACGTACATAGCTATTATAACTTAATTTAAAATTATAACAATTCTATGACGAGAATTATGTATTACCTTTTTCGATTACTTACGATACAAGTACTTGTTAACTATAATTTCAACGTTTTCGCAGTATTATACAACGTAAGAATTTCTATAGAAGAAAATTAAAATGTTATATTGCAAAAAATATTCTATAGCGGTTATCTGTTTTCTTAATTGTGAGAATTGACGACGTCACAAATAGTTGAATAGATGTTAAGTATTTGAAAAAAACTATCGTCGTGAACTTGTTAGAAAATATATGTGCAGAGATATAGTTTATTGTTGTTAGATGCAACGATACGTGTATAAATATATGTTTTTGTGTACATATATTTATACATACATGTATACAAAAATGAGCCGTCAAAAGAAATCTAAATGTCTTCTTTAATCGTGAGAATTTCGAATAATGTTGTAAAAATAATTCGAACGATTTTGAAAAATGAGTTTGATGGAAAAATTATTCTCAAAATTTATATTGCAATTTCAACTCTTATTATTTATAATTTGTTCAATTATTATTGTACGTAATTATCTTTTTTTATTTAAATTCTCTGTTCTTAAAAATTTTGAAATATTTTACTTTATAAAAAGAATTCCATCAAATTTGCGTTTTGAAAATGTTTCGATTATGCTTTCAACATTATTCAGATTCTCACGAATCGAAAACGTATTCCATTTAAGATGAATCATCCTGTATAATTATATGTTATATTTTATACATCGCATCTGAGCTGCAACCACAGCCATAGGTAACAGCTCGGGCCTTGTTGTTAACATAATAAATAAATGAACTAAATAAATACTCGCAACAAATCGCCTGTATGATAAACGAAATAATATATTCTTCAGTCATCTTGTTCATAAAATTCCTCGTATATTTATTGAACGAATGATTTTACGAAGTTTATTGATGACTGTGTTATCGTATCAGAAAGAAATTTCAAAAAGACCGCGCGTTTATCGAATCGCACTTTTGACTTCCGTTTTGTGTAGTTCCCGCGTTGTGGTGTTATGTATGATCTACTTTGTGAAATGAGACCATTGTTTCTTTAATAAAAATTTGTGGAAAGTACGAATGTCATTGTCTTAAGTTACGAATATTCTTATTTCATTTCCTTTTTTTGTTTTTCAATGAAAAGACTTTCGCTACAGTTTTAATAATACAATTATTTTATATAGTACATACGAGGTACAGAAAACCTCGCATGATCAGTATACGTTACACTGACAGTATGTTACCAATATATCGGAACTTTCATTATCTATCGAGAAAGAAAAGAATTTTTCCTTATGTGCATAAATATATATAACAGTGTTTCATTGTTACAAAATTGAATAATCACATGTCGATAAAAAAGCTCTCTATTCAAAATTCTCGAGGGTTCTATGGTGCTCGACAGTGATGAGACATTAGCCGGGCTTTTTACGCATGCGCGGTAATTTTAGTCTCAGTAAAATACAAGTTTCGATAAAATGGAGTACCTTAATCACCCTCCATTATTTTTAAAAAATTTTTATAATCTGGTTGTGAAATATGAATGTATAGGTTGGGTAAGATTATAATTATACCCATATACTATATAATTCACTAAAAGGGTATTAACTTTAAGAAAACTATAACATTTGTTGTTAGGACAAGGAAAATTAAAACCTTATCAGTATTTTACACTGATGTCTCATTTTGTAGTGACTGCTTTTTCGCTGCTTTCTCACTAGGCCATCTAGTGACACCACTAAATAGATGCGCTCCTGCATTTCTCGCACATGCGCTAAAAACCCGGCCACTGGTTTCACTGGTACTCGACTTCTCGTTCCTTTAATCGATAGTAGGAAAAATGGCGCTTGCCATGGAAGGTTTAACTGATGTACAAAAGCAAATTTTTACGAAAATTAGCAACAATGAAGTGGCAGAGCTTAAAACATTATTGGCGGCAAATAAAATTAAAATGGATTTCGTAGATGAAAATGGTATGAGTCCGCTTCAACATGCCTGTTACAAAGGAAATAAAGAAATTGTACAGATGCTTCTCGATCAGGTAGGTTAACTTTAGTGATTTAACAACCGGATTAAGTGTTTTTATTAACACTTCGTTTTCTATATAAGTAATTTAAATCATTACAAATGTAGTCGTCTGTTATGTACCTAATAAATTGAACAAATTACAAATCTGCATTTTACAAGCCGACAAATAAACATATATGTATAGTTATTTTGAAACGTAATTAAACATTGTGTATGAATTAGAAATATAGATTAAACTGTTTATACTTAAAAATATTTTTGAAAGTTTTTGTAATGAAAGAACTACATTTTTAAGATATTATTTAATGCATTATTTTATTTGAATAAATAATTTAAATTTATTGCTACAGGGTGCTGATGTAAATGCATGTCAACATGAAAATGCATATACAGCTCTCCATTTGGCTGCTCTTAGTGGAAACGCAGAACTATGCCATCTTTTAATGTCACATGGAGCTCGATTGACTGCAAAAAACAATGTAGGACGAACTCCAGCACAAATGGCTGCTTTTGTTGGGAATCATAATTGTGTAGCAGCTATCAACAATTTTATTCCAAAGGCTGACATAGATTATTATTTGAAACCACAAGGTCTACAAACTGAATCAATGCTTCCACCACATCTGGCGGATTCTTTCCATAAATTTATAATGCAAGTCAATGTACATCCTGTACGTGTAGCGTTGAACTTACAGAGATGTCCTGGTCTCTTGGAAAATGCTGTTAAGGTAAAATATAAATGAAATAATAAAAATTTACAATCATGCTTATGTTTCCTAACTTTTAGGTACAAAAAGTTCTAGAATCAATGCGTCACAAAGAAATGACAAGAGGTGCAGAAACAAATGAAGTGATGGCATTTAAGTATCACTACCTCAGTTGTGTTGTAGCTGAAATAATTAAATTTCAAAAGAGGCAAGAAGCAATGAAGGCAGAGAAAACCGAAAAAACAAATGAAGAAGGAGAAGAAAGAAAATCAGATACTATAGAAGGGTTAATAAGAAGATTTTTAAAGTGTAGCAAAAACGATGGTACGCCAGAATATCAAGAAGCTTTTCTTAGAGAAACTGTAAGAGAATTTCCATATAGGGAAAGCGCAATTTTTCGTCAAATGGTAGCAACTCTTGCAGCTACTGATCCACCGTCAGCGGTGTCAGTAGTATCAGCCGCAATTAATGGTCAGAGAGCATTTTCGGATAATGCACAAATCTGCATCACCTGTGGAGAGGATAAAGCTAATAAAAAATGCAGTAAATGTAAAATAGTGCAATATTGTGATAGGGAATGTCAAAGACTTCATTGGTTTATGCATAAAAAGGCATGTACTCGATTAGGTCAAAGTATAACGCCAAACGCGGAAATAAGCGATGTGGATAAAGAACAAATAAGTAATGCTGTAAGCTCTAGGTTACAAAATCTAAATGTTAATTAATTAAGAGTAACAGAAAATATCAAATTTATTTCGAAACAATCAATTTTAATGTGCTGTACGTATACATATAATTTAAGTGAATTATTTAAAGAAACGTTTATGTATAAAACATTATCAAATCTTTTATTTTTAGGTTTACAGAGAGCAACGGACTTTTTATGTATTACATTTTATATTTCGATCACTTTTTTGTTTGACAATTTCATCGAATGACTCATCGTGTATTATAAATAATGTCGTTGTACCCAAATATTCTATTAAAAATGTTATTTCCTCAGAACTGTATTCTTGTGATTGTCGTCGTCATAAAAATAAAATATCCTTATGAATATAGTTTTATTATCATGCATTTTACCACTGTTACGACACATGAATAATTCTTGTAAATTTTATTGAGCGAGCGAAACGGGTGAACTAAACCTAAAATGAGGGTCCGAACACGCATATAAGAAAAATAAAAAAATGATTATTTCGGCACTTTGGCGACGTAGTATGGTTCCTGAGGCATTTAGAAACAAATTTCTACTAGGGTTTGATACGTTTTGATGCCTAATAAAGCCAAAAAATCAATTTTTGTAGAATTCGGTCCAAAACGGTACGGGTGGCGCCATCTAGCGGCGAGCGGCGGAACTACGAAAAACTAAAATTTCGATTTTCTCCGAAATTAGGCAATTTTACGTATTTCTGAAGGTCAGAAATTGTTCTGTAACCTCTCTAGAACCTATATAATGCCACAAGAACCTCCTCAAAGCGCTAGAAAAGAAAATAAAAAAATAGGTCAAAACATGGACTCAAAAATTGGCGTCCATCTAGCGGTGAAAGTTGGAACTACGAAAAATTAAAATTTCGATTTCCTCGAAAACTAGCGACTTTTGAGTACTTCTGAGGGTCAGAAATCAATCTGTGGCCTCTCTAGAAACTATATGATGCCACAAGAACTCCCTAAAAACGCTAGAAAAGAAAATAGAAAAATAGTCCAAAACATGGACTAAAATATTGGCGTCCATCTAGCGGTGAAAGTTGGAACTACGAAAAATTAAAATTTCGATTTCCTCGAAAACTAGCGACTTTTGAGTACTTCTGAGGGTCAGAAATCAATCTGTGGCCTCTCTAGAAACTATATGATGCCACAAGAACTCCCTAAAAACGCTAGAAAAGAAAATAGAAAAATAGTCCAAAACATGGACTAAAAAATTGGCGTCCATCTACCGGTGAAAGTTGGAACTACAAAATTATAAAAATGCGTTTTTCTCGAAACTTAGCGAACTCTGAATACTTATGAGGCTAAAAAGTGTCATGTGATCGCATTAGAAGCAAAATAATGCAATAAAAGTTTCCTGAAAGCTTTAATAAAGAAAATAAAAAAAATGTCATTTTATGGACAAAACTAGTGGCGCCATCTAGCGGCGAAATTGCGAACTAAACTGAAAAATGTATGTCCGAACACGCAGCAGGGGGGTCAAATAAAAATTGTGAGGACAAAAACTGCTTAAAAACGTCTAAAGAAGCATACTAGGTCGTCAAAGTTGCGAAATATTACTTTTTATATTTCTCCTTAACTTGCGTACGGGCATACGTTTTTCTGTTTAGTTCGCAGTTTCGTCGCTAGATGGCGCCACAAATTTTCTCCATAAAATGACATTTTTTTTATTTTCTTTATTAAAGCCTTTAGGAAGCTTTTATTACATTATTTTGCTTCTAATGTGATCACATGACACTTTCAGAGCCTCAGAAGTACTCAAAATTCGCTAATTTTCGAGAAAATCGAAATTTTTATTTTTCGTAGTTCCAACTTTCACCGCTAGATGGACGCCAATTTTTGAGTCCATGTTTTGATGTATTTTTTTATTTTATTTTCTAGCGCTCTGAGGAAGTTCTTGTGGCATTGTATAGGTTCTAGAGAGGTCACAGAACAATTTCTGACCCTCAGAAATACGTAAAATTACCTAATTTCGGAGAAAATCGAAATTTTAGTTTTTTGTAGTTCCGCCGCTCGCCGCTAGATGGCGCCACCTGTACCGTTTTGGACCGAATTCTACAAAAATTGATTTTTTGGCTTTATTAGGCATCAAAACGTATCAAACCCTAGTAGAAATTTGTTTCTAAATGCCTCAGGAACCATACTACGTCGTCAAAGTGCCGAAATATGGCACTTTGTATGCGCAGTAAAATTGACATAGGCGGCTCATGTACGTATCGGAATGCTGACACAAAATAATTAATTATTCATTACCCGAACATTATTTATGAACTTTTATGATCGAACCATGTAAATAATGCATTGCTGACCATTCTCCAATCATAAAAGTGCACAAAATATATCCACAAAATGTGTAATTAATTATTCAAAATGACCTCGTGTATACCGCTTGTTGCCGTGGCTGGCCTTAGGTTATTAGTTAATAACTAATTAATTTCATTAAAAATCTGAACAAATATGGTACGAGAAAGTAGCTGTGGGATCACTGAACATTCTTTTATAATAAATGTGTTATTAATTCTTTCAAATTAGCTCATGCGTACGATGTATTCCACCGACTTCGTATTGGATATTAATTAATAACTAATTATTTACAATAAAAATGTGAACATATGTGATATGAGAAAGTAGCTAGGGAATCACTGAACATTCTTTAATCATAAGAGTTCATAGACTGTGCTCAGAAAGTGAATAATTAACGATTTTGCATACTCATTATCGTGTATATTCCTCCTGCGCGCCGCCCGCGCATGCCACGGAGGAATAATCACCGAAAAACCATATCCCCGTAGACTTTAATGCAAAATTGAATTTGCTCGCGCTTATGTACTTGACTTTTCAACTTTTTTGTCCACATTTTTCTCTTGCACCACTCAACCAATTCAACCGGATGACATTTTAGCTTTAGCGTGAATTTACTCGCTCGCTCAATATTGTTAGGTTAGGCGCGGAGCGCCTCATTCAAACAGACCTAGTAAATATTGTATGATTCATACCTATCCTTGTTGTACTTACTTTTTGGTATCTTTGTCTGTTTGATATCTGGAAAAGCCGACAATACTATCCAATAGATGGCACTGCTTCAATTTTTGGCTTACAAAGTAAGTAAAGGAGAACGAGATGATAGTATGTATTGCTAAAAATGGTAATCGACCATAGTAGAAATCTTATACATAAGTAGTGGGACAATGTTTCTTATTAAAATGATTGGTAATTATGTTTGAAAATATATAAATGTGAAAAAATGGCTTTAACGCAAGCTGATTATCCGAACAATGCAGCCAAATTTGATTTGGCAATAGAAAAATTAATTGCATTGACTAAGAAAGAAGACAATAAAACAAAGTTGATTAACAATTACCTTTGCAATCTCAATGAACTTGATTACAGATACATTACTATTTCAAATAAAAATGTAAGTAATTGAAAGCAATTTTTATTGATACCATTTTTTAATTGAAACCATATTAAGATAATTGTTATGAATGTTTAAATGCTAAGTCTGCTACAGAGTTCTATAACGTACAGCTGTCTTTTAATGATATCAGATATTGTTTAGTAACATTCAACTGTTTATCTACATCACTATTTTATGTTTTAGGCAGTGCAATTATTAATTAAGCAACTATGTGCTGTTGCAACACCTACAGAAACAGTTCTGGTTCAGAATCTTTGTAAATTTTTAACTACATTGATACAAAATAATATTGAAGTTCAAGAAGAAACATTTGTACATTTCAAGAAGTGGATTTTAGAAGCTATAAGACTTGCTTCATCAGCTGCACATAATAATATCTTTTTAGCTTTAAAGAGTATTTTAGCAAATAATCAATTTAATGATATCAATCAAGTAAATATTAATTTGAAATAATATTTTATATTATACTAATAATTATTAGAACATAACAGAGAGACAATATTTAAAATAATATATATTTGCAGGACTTACAATTATTACTTGAAGAAAATCAACTTCTGATCAAATATCTAAATCAATGTAGTACAGAATGGACTGAAATTCATTATAATGCAATTGGTTGCTTAGAAGGAATTTTAGTAAATATAAACAATAGTACTTCTGTAACTAAAGAATTTGTATATATCGTCAAGGATGTGATACTAAATATCATTTCATCTTCTTTATGTGTAAATGATAATAAACTTATTCATATAAAAGTAAGTAATAAATTTAGTATAAAACAATCTATAATAACCACCATTTATTAAATCAAATTTTTAGATTTTATGCTCGTGCTTACATATTTTACATATTATAACAATCAATAGATTAATACCACATTCCACCGATTTTATGGGCGAAATTTTAGGAGTGATACAAGCATTTTTATTTTATGGTATTAAAGACTATCCTCCTATGAGACCAGAATTTCTTCGTCCAGCGGTAATGAATCTTCCAGAACGGATTCATATTATTCCTAAATGTAAAAACTTAAAAAATCACAAAGCGAAGTTAAAGAAACAACCTATCAAAAAAGCTACAGAGATTAAGAATAGTATTGTGCCAGAATGCAAAGGAGTCAGCATATATTCTAGTGATTCAGATACCTCAGATACTGAAAGTAATAATTCTGTCCTTATGAATTCTAAAGTAAGGCTGGAAACTGTTTATTTATTACAAGCTTTTATTGAAACTTCACAAAGTCGTGAGATGTTCGGATTTTGGCCACAAATTGTTGCCACTGGTTCACGTAGTGATGCCAGGGTATTGACTAGATGTATTTTAAAAGAATCTGTATCAAAGGTGAAGCAACACATGTTAAGCACATTAACAGAATTGCTTACTGATGCCAAACCATTTTTAATGCACGCAGAAGATGTTCAACATAAGTCATTTATTACCTTTTTTGGCACAGTGTGTCTAATGATCAAAGAGTTGCATTTCACATTATCCTTAATTTTAAGCAGTGAATCGAATATAGCAGTTTTAACTCATACTTTGAAATGTGCTGCTGCCCTAATTCAAGGAACACCTTATGCGCGTTTGAAAGTTGGACTTGCTACAAAATTAATGAGAAATTGCAGACCATGTATATTTCATAAAGGTATTTATATTATTAATAAATATTAGTACAAAAACCAGATACTACATTCATTATATTTTATATAGATCCAACAGTCCGTATTGCAGCATTGTCTGCTTTTGAAGCTATTGCTTCTTGTGATCCTATAACACCAGAAATATTTGAAATACTTGGAAAACAATCAACTATGAATATAGAGTTGGATCAATTGCATTTAAACATTTCAAGTAATGATAACACAGATGATCAAGAGGAAGAAATAGATGCTGAAGATTTAAAAAATAATATGGTTGTTAATTATAACAATAAATTATTGGAAGAAACAAATATATGTTTTTTGGTGCACGTTTGTTTAGAAAATATATCGAATAAGGTATATTAAAAGTAAAACTATATTTAAAAAATGAAACAAATAAGATTGAAAAATGATTCATTTAATTGTAGACATTGAGTACACCTGTTCGACTTCAATCCTTAAAGTTGATTGGAAGAATGGTATTCAGTACGAGAAATCTCGTATTTCCATACATAGAATTAGTTACAACAACTTTAATAGCAGCTGTACAAGATTCTGAAACACAAGTAATATTACATACTTGTCGAGCACTCGAAATAATGGCTGGCTGCCTTATTAATTCTGACTTTGAAGACAATAATGCTACAGTATTCTGGAATATTATATTTGAACCTATGATACTGCTTCTCCAACATCAGGAAACTATAATAAGAGAAGCTGCATGTGATTGCTTAGGTAGCATCAGTTCTACAGTGTTTACTCAATTACCTGTGAGTATGTACTATAATTTCCTTTACTTATAGATAGACTCATTATAAACTTATTATTATATCCTTTGGTTAATATCTTTGTAGCGACAAAAAGCAGTTTTAATTATCACAGTAATTTTTGGTGCAGTGCACGATAAAGAAAGTGCTGTAAGAGCTGCTGCATTACGAGCATTAGGTATGTTGGTTACTTTACCTGCATTGAAAGAGGAAACTGGATTTTTAATGGATTTAGCTGATATAGTTTGTTTAACCGCTGACGATAAAAATCTTGGTGTTCGCATTAAAGGGGCTTGGGCATTAGCTAATTTGTGCAATTGCCTTTCAGAAGAAAAGTAAGTTATAAGCATGTCATAAATTCAAACAAATCTTCAATTTATATATATAAAATCTTTTTTCAGAGATCAAGAAGAATTAGTGGAACATATTCCTTTGGAAATTTTATTACCAAAAATTTATCAAGTCAGTATTAAAGCATCTAAAGACAGTGATAAAGTAAAATGTAATGCTGTTCGAGCTCTTGGAAGTATTCTGTACTTATGTTCTGATAAACATATATTAAATGATACATCATCAGGATTAGAAGCTCTCATAAACTGCGCTATCTTAGGAAATGATATGAAAGTAAATAACATTGCACGTTTTAATTAACAATTTAAATTATCTTATATATTTATTATTCGCTATATTACATTACACAATTTGGCTTAACTTTTATTACACTTCTAGTAAACGTAATTTTTAATATGTTTCACTCGTCAAATATTAAAGGTTCGGTGGAATGCTTGTCGAGCTTTAGGACTGGTCTTGAGCAAAAGTCCAGATAATATATTGCCATCTTCTTGGCGGGTATGTAATTAATACAATAAATATCTCATTCACTTCTGTTACTGAAATTAATACAATATTGTTGTTTAGGACCAAGTATTTCCTGCATTATGCAGCTTAATATGTGATAGCCCGAACTTTAAAGTTCGAACTAACGCAGCGTGGGCGCTATATTCTTGTAATTCCTACGGTAAATATACCGTGACTTTATGGAAAAGTATTACTTTAGCATTTGAAAATTCTCAACATGTACCAAGTTATATTGAGTATCCCCATCGCGACGCTCTGATTCAACAAGTAATTAAAATTACCGTTATATAGTTTCTGTATAAATTATTTATTATTTATTACTTAATATTTTTCAGCTGTGCCTTACGCTTAGTCACGTAGCTGCTTGTACCGAAGTGCCAGATTTATTAAATCTTTGGACAGAGATAGGCGAATATGTACATGATATATCTAATTATATAAAACAATTTCAGGTACAATGATTAGTTTTATATTTTATTATCACTATTTAGGAAGTGTGATAAAAGGAAAATGTTCATAAATACTGTACATTTTTATTTTAGGAAACTATTGTACCTGAAAAAGTGGGAGATTTAATAAAAGCACAATCTCAACTAGAGAAATATATAAAAAGTGCTCCATCGTCAGAGGAACAAAAAATTGCCCAAACATTAGCAAGTATCTTTGAAAGAACCAAACGCTATGATAATTTGGATATTACTATTTGAAAGTAATAATGCAATACCTGCTAGAGGAAAACAAGTTGTATATTAATCATGTCCTATAATTTATATCTCAGGTCCTATTTAGATTCAGTTACAATCAATATGAGTTGTACAAAGTTTGAAATAAAATTATATTTTTATTTTACTGTTATTTCTCTTTTGAATTATATATTTTTAATCATATAAAAGAAATGTAACTTTAAATATTTCATTTGGTCATTTTTATAAAAATTATTTTTTTTACCATTTTAAATTTGAATAGGTTTATTTATCAGTATTAAGAAACTGCATCAGTTGAATCTGTACATGTTTGTTCTGTATTGCTATTATCATTTTTAGGTATATTTACAGATGTATCTAATGTTTCACTGGATGTTTCATTAACACAAACAACTTCAGAGTTATTTTCTTCACTGCAATCACTTTGTAAATGTAATTTATCTTCACTCCTACTATTCTCATTTTGATTTTCTTTTGAATCAGTTAATATAGGCTTCACAGTTTCATCGTCTTCAAGTTTATTATCTTTATCACTAGTTTCATTATTAGATATACGTTCACATGTATTATCATTCTTATCATTTATTTCTTGTTCACCTGAACTTTCTTCTTCTGAACTACTATTTTCATTTATATTATGTTGTTCTACATTTTCAGCTTTTGTTCGCTTCTTTTGTTTTCCCCTTTGCCTCCTCTTTAATCTTTTTGCTCGTTTTTTTGCTGTTATTTCCTCAGCTATTCTTCTATTTTCTTCCAATTTCCTGTGGTACTCCTCATCTAATAGTTCCTAATAAAAATATTTTATAAATGTATTTACATGTTTTAAAGTAAATAGACAAATCTATTGCAGTGATTAAAACTACCTTCTGTCCCTTTTCTTGAATAAACTTCTGTCGTGCATATTCTTTACGTCTTAAATGTCTGTATACATGGAATTCTCCGCTACCTGCGCCTGCACTACTGCCCATTACATTACGAACAAATTCTGGCACAGTTGGCGTACTTTTTATTTTAGGACGTTCTGGTATTATAACAGGTTTTTCCTGTTAGAACAATAATACATCATAAAAATACTTGTAAAATCATACTGCAGAAAAACAATTAATAGTAATAATTAAATTTTGTGACACATACCGGATTTTTCATTAATTTTTGAAGTTTCAATCGTTGCAAGTCAACTGCTGTTTTTGCAACGACAGGTTTCTCTTCCTCCTTTTCTTTACTCTTCGGCATATTTTACTATTACACAAAGAATAACTTTAATATCTGCAAAATAGTAACAATTTTAGACGTTTCTCTCTATATTACAAAAACGAGAGGTTATGTACACAATAACAAATGTGAAATCATAGCCATCTATGATTACGTGATTGTGTGAAATATATACGATACAAAAATCGATATATTCAACTGTATCGATTTCATATGTATAGAATTTGAAAATGTATAATTACAAAATTATAAATATTTAATTCCTTTCAAACAAAGCGGTAAAAAGTACTTCAAAATGTTTTATAATATAGGTATTGGTGTTAAAATGTGGGAACTATTACCATTTACCTAACATTGAGTAGTGCATTAAATTTTCTTACATTTTAAATTAATTCAATTACACTTCATTTTCAATTTAGTTACTACTTTACCTGTATATATTTATGTGCATCAAAAATCAATTTAAGAAATTATTAAACATAATTATAATTAAATTCTTGATATGCAAATATATTATGTTTATAATGTTCTGTTCTGTTCTTTATTTTCTCTTACGAGAGGGCGCTTGGGAGGTTTCCTCCCAATTGGCCCATACATATAACTTACATATATTTAAACTTAACCTAAACTATCCGCTTTCGTTACTTCACACTACTCACTCCCTCTGCCTATATCACATCAAACATCCACCCTCTCATGCTTCCAACCTCACTCCGCTCTCAAACATTCCCACTCCTCACTCTTCCAACCATTAGTCTATGCACTCGCATGCGCAGCGTCACTTATCTAGCTATGAATATCTGAATAATAATATATAAAATAGTAAAAATAGTAAAACATGAATACAAAATACAAGATATAAAGTCTCTATAAGTACATAAGTACATAAGTACAGCGATCTACGAAAATATATATATAAAAGGACATATAACATGTATCTGAGCTTAAACATCATATATATAAAATATCAAATATAAACTTTCAAAAATTCACGACAACAGTAATATCTTATCCATAGAGAATTACTTATCGCCCTATTATGGACATCAGTCTCAAACTCCAAACCTACCCCTTACATTTCTAATTTGCACTTTCTAATAAAGGCCCCTATTAATCTTAGGACCTTTGCTTCCCCCATTTCTTTGGTTTCGTGCATCACAGCTCCGATTCTCACTCCATTCCTTATTATTCTATCCCTAAAACCTACTCTCTCTCTCTCAAATCTCTCGCATACCCACATCACATGTTCCAAATCCTCACACTGATCCCCACATTCACATGCAGGTGATCCCTTTAAATTTTTCCTAAACAGCGACCATCCTAAATTATAATGGTCGGCCTTCATCCTGCTCAAAGCACATATCGTCCTCCTCTCTAGATTACCCACACTTACAAACCACGGTGTCCTATGCCCAAAAAAGTATTACTTTGCTGGTCGAATCTCAGGCGGAGCCTACTAACCAAACATGTCTGACGTTAAAGGTAATGAAATGACGACTGAGGTTGCAAAACCTAAAAAGAGTTTCACAAAGAAAACTCATAAGCCAAAACAAACTGGGCTTAAACCAGCCGTTGCTTCACCGTTACCACCTCCTGAGGGAGGGAAAAGCGCCAGAGATAATGTAAGGTTATCTACAACGTCTACTCCTCTCCGTAATGATCCAATGTACGATGAACTCGACATTGAGGATTTTGCGGGTTTGACTGAGTACCGCAATCAGAGACAGTTTGCGATAACACACGAGTCATTCATACCACTTGTGGATCGTGAATATGACCTTCGCGCTGCTGTTGATAAGCGATTCTCGGTCGTAGTTTCGAAGTCCGTATATCGCTACGTGATGTGCATACATCTGTATGCGCGTTACAGTAAATTACGCGATTTAAGAGGCCTCGCTGAGTTGGATGAGATAAATCTACTCAACTACCTTAGCGGAAAGGCTTACACCTTGCCTCCGGCTATCGATTCTTACCTGCGGTCAATCGGAGACTTTCGGGATGAGGCAGGAAAGCACCACCATGTCACTGTCGATCTTACTTGGCCAAACGGCCAAGGTGACTTTGGTCGCGTAGATGCAAGCACGCATTGGAAATATGCGTCAATGCCATCCCCGCGTGTGCTGTCCTTATCCATAATGAAAGATTTGGAGTACACGACCGGAAGGAACGTCGCTCGTGACTGGCAACTGCCAGCCGACCTCCTCCCGGCCAACGTTGGAGAAACAGCGCCTGGAGTTGATGCTCCTTGCAGTTTCAAAAGCCACGTTTTTGTACGCCATTACCTTCTTTATTGCAAATTCTTTCTGGTATACCCAGCAACCTTTCGCAAAAGCCTCATGATTTCCCTTGCAATTCACACATTTCTCAGTTTTTTCGCACACCCCATGTTTTTCTTCCCCACATCTTCCACAGAGCGGTTTAGCAGCAACACCGAGCAAATCATCAAGGAAATGGAGAAGGACATTCTGGAAAATTTCCTTGAGGGATTGCCTGAACGAGTGGCTTGGAGGATTGCCACCTTGGACCGCAAGTTGAAGTCCTTGGAGGAAGCCTACGAGGCCGTGTTGGAGATCGAACGCCGCTTGAAGAATCGACGTCGAATTCGGGAAGCAGAATCACCGCGACGTTTTAAAGAGGATTCTCACAGCTGGAGATCACCAAGAGACTCTTACCGCAGGGATGTGTACCCTCGCTCACCGTCACCTCATCGTAGGATCTACACGCGGGACAGGAACACATCTGGTTCGGAGTCGGAGTACGGGGAGAGCCCTACGCGCGCAACGGCAATGACCTTGCGTAAACAACGCCATTCACGCTCTCCGGGACACTCTTCAGAAGTGTCAGAATTCGAGGAGGACCCTCGAAAAGAAGAAATAGACATCTACCGATACTATTGTAGAAACTGCAGTACGATCGGGCACAACAGCGATAATTGCAGCAAACCACGACGCAGCGAAGACTACCAGCCACGTCGACGCACCGAGGCAGCGAGAAAGACTTCATCACCGAAACCGATGAGGAAGCCTTTAAACTCGCATCGCGCTCATCAAACCGGCGATACGATGAGCGGTCAGGACAACAATCGCCGAAGGACCGTCCGTTTCTCGGAGGAAACACGGAACGCCGAGTCAAGGAAGCACCAACCCCACGTATTAGGATCAAGGTTCCAGAACTGGAAAAAGGAGAAGGAGAATTCCTAATCGATGGAGGAGCTTCCGTTAATGTAATTGTCCTGGATACTCTAGGAGAAGGGGCAATTATTACTTCAAGAGAGAAAATCACCATAGCGGGACTAGCATCAAGTACCATTCAAACCTTAGGTACTACCACTTTGCAGATTCATGGATCACGCACAGAATTCTACGTGGTCAAGGATCTACCCATTCCTGTGGATGGACTCATAGGGAGCCCATATCTTCTTCAGGAACAGGCCGAAATTTCATACTATCATAAAACCTTAGTTACACGCAACCGTCCCACTAAACCGATTTTCTTCAGTAACATCGCAGACATGGAGATACGTCCTCGATCACCGATCAGGTACTGTCTTCCAGGTCGAACTGTAAAACAAATCTCTACCGATCGCGAACCCAGATATCGAGGAAGGATATCTGCCGCGGTTGAAGACACCGAAAGGAGTTTTCATCGGCGAGGCAGCAGTCTGCAACCGCGATGGAAATTGTTATGTACTTGCCACGAACACCGGAGAAGAAGACATCGAAATGGACATCGAGCCACAATTCATCCAACCTTACGAAATCTTCGAATCATCGGATGAAGATCTAGTTACGTCGTATTTAACTGGAGGACCACCTGAAGATCGAATAACTCAAATTCAGAAGACTTTGAGGACCGACCATCTCAATACGGAAGAACGTCAACACGTATTTCATATTGTTGAGGAATTTTCGGACAGATTTTACCTGCCCGGAGATAAATTAAACAAAGTACCTAACTTCCATCATTCCATCCATGTAACAGACGAAATACCGATCAACACCCGACAGTATCGTTATCCACCTGTACATCAAGAGGAGATACAGCGACAGGTAGAAGCTTTACTCTCTCAGGGAATCATCCAACCATCAACCTCACCATACAACTCTCCTTTATGGATTGTTCCAAAGAAGTCAGACGCTGAAGGTAATAAACGTTGGCGCATGGTAATCGATTTTCGTGCACTGAACGAAAAGACAGTGAGCGATAAATATCCATTACCACAAATCATCGAACTTTTGGACAAACTAGGAGGAGCCAAATACTTTTCTGTATTCGATTTGGCGAATGGTTTTCACCAGATCGAGATGGATCCAAAGGATAGACAGAAGACTGCTTTCACCACACCGCATGGACACTTCGAGTTTGTACGGATGCCATTCGGTCTGAAGAATGCACCACCAAATTTTCAACGTCTTATGGATCAAGTACTAACTGGCATGCAGGGAACAGATGTCCTCGTATACCTGGATGACATGATTGTCGTCTCTTCATCGTTACGAGAACACGAAATTAAAATTAAAAAACTGTTTAATCGCCTCAGAGAATTTGGACTTACTCTACAAACTAGTAAGTGCGAATTTCTGAGAAAGGAAGTTGTCTATTTAGGACACATACTTTCTGCCGACGGTGTTAAACCTGATCCTCGAAAACTGCAAGCTGTAAAGAATTTTCCTATTCCAAAAACACAGAAAAATATTCAACAATTTCTGGGATTAACTGGTTATTATCGTCGTTTCATCAAAGATTATTCTTTGAAGGCAAAACCACTAACTCAACTTTTGGGAAAAGGAATCCGTTTCAAATGGACCGAAGAACAGCAGAAGAGTTTTGAAAACCTGCGGGACGAACTCTGCACTCAACCAATTTTACAATATCCGGATTTCAACCGACCTTTCATCATCACTACGGACGCATCTGATTACGCAATTGGAGCAGTTTTGAGCCAAGGAGAAATCGGACGCGACCTACCAATCGCATACGCATCTCGCAGCTTGAACTCAGCTGAAAGAAATTACTCAGCAACAGAAAAGGAATGTCTAGCCATGGTTTACGCCGCACAATATTTCCGACCTTATGTTTACGGACGCAAGTTTACACTTGTCACTGATCATCGACCCTTAGTATGGTTGCACTCAGTGAAAGACCCCACTTCACGTTTGGTAAAGTGGAAATTGAAACTCTTGGAATACGAATACGAAGTTGTACACAAGCCAGGGAAGATAAACATGAACGCCGACGCACTGTCTAGGAATCCTACAACCATCTGTCTTCCATTAATTCCTCGAGAAGATAAAGAATACAAGAAGCCAATTCCAACCCTAGAACCTACAGCGGACACCATCGGTCATCGTATTCGCGAATTGCGACGGGATCGAGAAAGGAGGCCAACATACGTTGAGTCAAGCAGCAGCTCAGACGAATCACCTAATACCCCACATCACCTTTCAATTAGAAGAGGAAGGATTCGCCGAAGCCAATCAGATTCAAAATCAGACACAACTATTGTTACATCAGAAATTGCATTACCTCAACCAGTCTTAGAAAGTAACCCTAATTCCAATAGCTCTTTTACACCAATTGCACATTCCACTCAAACCTACAATAACGCAATACCTAGTCCGAGCATTCCCAACACTTCCGCAACTGCCGAAGACTTAATATCCTTTA